AAAAGCAAACAAAGGTAATTTTTAGAGAAACCCACACTGACTTTATCGCATTGCATGCATAACAAAAAATACACAAGGGCAAAATCCAGTCGGTGAATCGATTGTAAGTATAATTGATTTGATGATAGAAAAGTGTCAAGTTGCGTTACTACTAGATGATTCATAAGAAAAAAGTTTAGATGATGTTTAGATCCTTAATTCAGTGAGCAAACTGAAATGGCATGAATAAATGCAGGATGAGACATTGTGCAGCATCAGTTAAAATTCATTGTCCCAAATTGTAATATCGCGAAACTCTAAAATATCATATGAGAGTAGAAAATATAAGAAATATATTCTATAAACTTTTTGCAATGCAATGTTTGTACCTTAAATTCTTTGTTTCCAATCTTATGTTCAGATTGTCTTTCATACATTGTTTACACGGTATCAGCTCCTCAGTTAGTTGATCTCATTATGTTTGAATCTGTGAGGTTAACAATTTTTTGTAAATCAGATCAACAGCTCTTTATTAGGCTGATTTCTCTTTCGGCAAATCGGCAAGTTTTTATTGTAAATCGCTTACTTTGTTTATGCATACTGCTTGCTATACAAAGAGGTCACTCATGTTCAATTAGGATGTGTGTTTTTACTGAGGGAGAGTTCAACTATAAAAAGGGATTTTCGCTGCTTGTACTTCATTTTTTCTCAAGTTTATTGTACTACTGCTACTGTTGATAAAGGAATTATTATACTCCTGTGCTACCCCATATATTAATATCTACATCTAACAAATCTCCTCGAGATCAGCAAACCTCTCCCAAAACAAATTTTTCAAATCTTTCTTCCAAAACAAATCTTTCAAAAAAAAAAACATTTTGGATTTGTCGTTGACATGCATGCATTACATTCAAATTGTATGTTCATAATATATTTTCCCTTTATCTTTCTGATTATCACTGATTAATAATTTGTCCACACTTATCGCTTATCGCTATTCAGCTAAAAGTGAAAAGAATTATTTTGATGGAAACGGAGAGGCATGCAACTATTATATGTTTGTGTTTGTTTTGTCCCCAACGATTGATTGTCCGATTAACTAGCATGTAAGGTTGATCGTTTCTGTTGCTAATACCTACCCGGTTTGAGTGGCAGTCAGCGGCTTTATTATTTTTTGGAAATCGGTCATTCGAATCCGATTGACCAGTCTTAACAATTTAAAATTGCAGTCTTTTATGCATGCCATTCAACATTCTGATAAAAATTGATTTTCACTATGCTAAACTGATCACATCTCTTAAGCAAGTTAATTTCATCAATTATTGAAAGGATAAACTATCCCAGCAACGATAAATACTTTTATTAATGAAGAAGAATATCTTTTTTCATTCTCTTTGCAGCAACAAAAAAGGGAAATGCGTCAAAGCAGGTTAGTCATATTCAAAAGAAAGAAGTGAAAATAGAAAAAAAATTAGAAGTGAGGGAGGAGAAGAGAACGAAAATATGAAGCGGATAATAAAAGTAGTGATGATATTATTCCAAATGGGACTCGTTTAAATCGATAATATTCAATATTATCATCTATTACTTGTCCGTTTATATCCTTTAACCAAAGGAATCGTTGCGGTTTCTTTTTATTGGTAGTAACTCCAACTGGTCCATCTCTGCAAATACCTTTTCGATAATGCCAAATAGTAACTGATCGCGAATCGTTTCGTCATATTTGAGTTCATCGTTCTGAAGTTGTTTAGTTAAGGATCTTAGGCGACCAAGACACAATCCGAAATTGTCGTTTAATTTGATTCTGGATTCTTTCCATGGCCAAGCAACTTGGTATCTACCATTGTTTTTTGTGATATTTCCTTTGAACCTTTCTAAAACTTGTTCGTCATCCTGTAGATTAAGTTATTCTTGAATGTATTCCTATGAATTCCAGTTCCCAGAATCGATCAATCACTGGAATGTTAATAGGTGTAATGGTGGTTTGATCCTCATTCTGAAAGGAACAGCATGTGCTTTGAGTTACCATCTTGTTGAGGTGATTACCACGTTTATGATTATTATGCTTGTTTATATATCCACTTCCAGCATTCATAGGGCCGACTATTGTGTTGATTAAAGAAAACCCTGAATTTATAATTTGGGCTTTCTCTAAAGAGATAAACTTGAAGAAATAGTCAACTCCGATAATTAGGTTAGGCGGTTTCCAACTGCTAATTTCCTCTGTTAATGGAAACAGAGTTGAAACATTCTGATGCATTGTCTTGATCTACAGATATTACCCTTATTTTGTTTGTTAAATAGTCGACTACTGTGGCTACAATATGTATAATATCTGCTTCTATCGTTTTTATTCCAATTCGCACTTTAGCAAAAAGTAATGTTTGATGGTTTCTATTGTCGAATCCCGCGAATGCCACTTGCTCATAATCAATATCTTCTAGGTGTAATCTTCTTGTTAGTTTCTTTGATATACACGTTGCTCGAATAAAACTACAATTTTATTTGAAACTTTTGGCATATCTAAATTAATTACTTCAACTTTTTTGCTAAAGAGCAAAACTTCTTTGTCATTTCGTATCGAATGCTTTATAACTAGATTGGCTTTGCCGTCTTGTATCTTCTTCGATTGGTCCCAGTGATTGTGCCTGATCGTTATACTTAGTGTAGCATAACGCGGTATTATGATGACCTTTGCAGTACAAACATACACGTTTTCTTGTCTTGCAATTGACTGTCGTATGTCCTGGTTGAAGAGTTTATACAGACGTTGTTTTCTCTCAGTCGTTGCACTCTTCGTTATAGACTAAGATAAGTTTGGCATTCATTATCCCTAGTTCTTATTGCAAAATGCACATGGTCTTTGGGTTTTGCTAATCTTCGTATTAGCTTTTGCATATGTTTTCAGTGTTCTTATAGTTAAAGCCGAAGTTTCTTCGTAAAACGGGCTAATCCTTGATTATGATTATTCCGTGGACCAATTTTACTTTTAGTTACCTTTTGCTCTTTTATGATGTCAAAGAATTGGCTTTTTGTAACTTCGTTTCTTTAGATAATTTTGTTAAGAGTTGTCTTAGCTTAGTTACTGACCATATTTCTGTTTCTCCTTTTTTTGATATACTATGTCCAGAATCCAGGCGAATAGTTTATTTTCAATGACAATTTGAAATTGGATTGTTAGGGATTCTTACCCATTGCATCAAGTTATCGAATTATTCTTTCAGTAGCTTCAACTGTTATCTTCCACTCTCGATTATTTTAATGAAATATGCAGCATTTTTTTAATGATGTGGGATTGCATTTTTTTCCAATAAGGATTTTCCGTATTACATCATAATTTTCTGGGGTTATAACCCAACAAGGCAATTAAATAATTTAATTTTTGGATGTCTGGTATGTTTTGCAAATAGGCTGCAGCTTCAATACTACTCAGAATCCTTTCCACAATTTAAGATTACCATTGAAGGTAGACAGTAGTAGTTGGGATAAGTTAACTGTTGGATGTTTGGGTTGGTTGCTCCTTTATTTCGCCTTCTTTAAGGCGTTGGATTGCTAACTCTAAGTCATTCTATAAACTTATGGTTATGATGACTTCATTTCATTTTTTATCTTCGACCATTTGGGCGTATTTGTCTTCTTGTTCTCCGTTATTGGAACCTGTTGTATATATTGGATCCAATTAGTTTAATTGTCTCAAGTGTGCCAATATGCTGTTTGAGACATATTTTTTCTTCAATAATTCTTTCTCGAACTTCGTGCTGTTGACAGGTTTCTTCTCTGGTCAACATTTGCTCCGAAGGCGTTAGATCCATTTCCTGGGCTTCTTTGAGAAGAGCTTCTAATTTTTCTTTTACCGGTCGTGCGCTTAGACATTTTCCGGCTGACACCAATAGACGTTTCTAGCAACTATTCAAATTTCGTGGCTTTCCCGAAACTGTCAGTTTTTTGGTAGCTTGTAGAACTGTTGTAAGTAGGTGTATTTTTCTCGTTACACTCCAAATCGGATGTACAAAATTCATAAATTCATGCGAAGAGCTTCGAAATTTTTAAACATAAAATTACTTCGTCTCTTCTCATCATCAAGTGACTTGGTAAAGTTTTAGATTATGATTCCGATTAACTGTTTATTAATTTTGCAACAAAAATATGGTAAATATCGTTGAAATTTGGTCAAAAACGATGAAATGAGGAATAAAAAGCAAACAGTTTTCTTCTTAGTCACCCACTTATTTTCAATTATTTATAAAATAAGCACGTGAATCGTGGCTAATTTGTAAATAATTACCTGATTTAAACTACGAATTAACAGATAGTCGCACGACTACTGAAACATAGCTGATTTTCTCGTTACGCATTTGCTACTTTACAAGCAATAAGTTTCAAATGAATAACTGAAACTAAAAAAAAGCATTCAGCTAGTAAATGTGCAGAAAAGCCATACAATAACAAAGAAACTACTGTTTGGAAAAGCAAAGCTAAGAAAAAGCATACAATAAAAAAAGGATCCAGTAAAGCATCATGATAATGTTTTATAGTTCGAAAAAACTGCATATTTATATCAATTTGTTACACTTCTAAAATGACTGAGTCCATTAAGTTAGATAGTCATGGAATTGGAATTTACCAATAACAGCAATTACTTTAGTAATTAATTTGATGATGTTACACAGAATAAATAAAGTTCAAAATCATTTAGTAAATTAGTTTTGAGCACATTTTGGTCTTTAAAATCCTCTCTTAGCTTTTTTTCTTTCTTTTTTTTAAGATAAAATGATGACATCTTAGGGACCTTGAAATTTTTCAAGTGAAAAAATTTCAGTGAAAAAATAATTACTGGTCAAATATGAACGGTTTCCTGTGTTATTTCAGAGGAATATTCAGTGACCCGTTACACTAAATTATTAAAATTCAAAAAAAAAAAAAAAAAAAAAGGAGAAGATTTATTCAATAAATATTTCAGTTGTTTCGCATGTTTCTATCATTCACTTTCGGGTTTTTATCCTTAATTACTTGATTTTCTGTTATTGATGCATTATCGTCATATGACCGTCATCTACCAATAAATTATGCTTATGAACTCTGGCATTATTATGATCTGAAATGAAAAAGTAAATAGCTATAATTAATGTAATGCTGCTGATAACAATAAAAGCGGTAGACAGTCTTGGTGATTAAGCTATCTTTTTAAAAATGATAATACATTTTATCACTTTAGCATTCGCCAAAATATAGTCTAAGCCAAGGAGAGTGAAATCAATTAGCATGCTTTTCTTTACAGCAATCTCATAAATATTTATTCATGGGAAATTCAGCAATCATTATTTTAAATGCTAGCGAATTGTAATCGGACAATTAAATAAATCATATTTCTGATCATTGATGAATTTCACTTTTCCGATTTTTTTCATTTCCAGAGAATTTCATATTTTGCTTTGATTTTAAAAGCTAGGCAAGAAAGTTGAGTGTATACATTTTTTCTGGCCATGTACGGGGCACTGTGAATTTTCGGAATGAGATGATTGGCCGACGACAGGTGCTTGTTGCGGTACAGTCATGATGACATCTCTTTCAACATCCTGAAATATACAGTTGTAATTAAGCAGCTGTACTTCTGTATTTTATATGAATTTAAATTTTATGGAACCGATTTAATTCGTTAGTGCTATCATTGATCAGTACGGGTGGTCTGTAAAAAAATTTTCAAATTAGAATGAAACAAAGCAATAGTAAAAAGCTTGCAGATCAACAGCGTAATTCTTTGCTAGATGGTTCTTTAGTTGCAGAGTTTTCTTAGACTCACAGGAATTCATGAAGGTAATAGAAGATAGTAATAGTAACAGGTAATAGGAGAATAAAGAGAAACTAAATCGAGAAATCACTTTTCCGACTGTATTTCTTCAAATAGGAAATCAATTAATTGGAGAAAAAGTTTCCGTATTTTTTGTGGTTTCTAATCTAAAACTTATTTCATGTAAATTTGAATTAATGATTGATTTATCACTTAACCTCTTCATCATTAGTGCAAACAATGTAGCAACAATTGCGTACGATGCAAATTATTAAAGTAATCATAAAAATGACTATAAATACTATGGTAACAGCATAAAGCACGACAATCCATTCACGTGTAGTTAACACAAATAAGTTCCAGTAACTGAAATTTAGAAGTCTGGAGCAGTTAGTAAATAATTATAAAACTCTTTTAAGTATATATATATGTAAATAGAGTGGCATCCTTCAATAATTACCTCATATTAGAGAAAAATATTCTTGGCGACTACTCAATGATTGTAAAATAATGCAAAATGACTGCATGTTACGATAAATTCGTAATATATTTCATGCGAAATTAATTGAAATATTTTTGTGCATTTGCAAAGGATATCAGCACGCATATTAGGGAAATTTGAACTTTGCTTATAAAATCAAGATATATGCAAAGGAAAATAGTACAAAATTAAAATTTTGAAAAGCGTATAAAATCAAGGAATATTTGCACTCAAAAGTAGTGCAAAATTAAAATCTTTGAAAATTTTGAAAGGAGTCTGGTTTTTTTAAGAAAAATTAGAAATAATTGCTAAAAGACAATTGCTTTTCTCATAAAAGATAAATTTAATTTCAAATTTTCTTCCAGACATAATTTTATTTGACAGAATAAAAGCAAACTGTGTGGGATAGAAATGAATTAGATGTTAGCAATTTGGATGTGTTAGGTCGGTTCTTTTTTTTTTTTTTTTCTTTTATTTAATAATCGCTTAATAAGAGATGTCATGTGTTGAGATGAAGCGATTTAAATATGAATCAGTTAATTTGCAAAATTTTTTGCTGTTTTAAGTCTGATACATTTGGACTTTACTTCATTTGTTTTCATCTGAGAAATGTCTGTCATTACAAACATGAACTAAAAGGACTCCTGGTAATTTAACATTAGAACAGAATAAAAGAAGAATTAGCCCGTTTATAGCTACGTTCAATGGTAATTCAAAATTAAGGAGATTTTAGAGCAGCTTTAAAATGGCATTCATCAAAAAATCTCAAACATCCAAAAATTGAATTATTTGATGTTTGTCTCAAAGAAAAGGCTCTGTTGGTCGTAAGAAGCTATAGTATTGTACCGAAAATTATAAAGTTTTTTTAAAAAATATGGTAGACCCTTTGTTATAAAAAAAAAGCTTTATAATAAATTGCACTCAATCAAAAGAAATGATCGAAAGTCGAAAACAATTATACTGAAATAATGAATGAAGTGTTTCCATTTCTATTATTGATTGAATTAGTTCGACCACCTTTTCTAGTACGCTGATTGCCAGTAGCCTAAAATATTTTTTTTTTACAAATAGTTTTGAAGCGGCTCGAATAAGTTAAAGGAAGAATGAAGTGACAGAAAAATTGGCTCATTGTGACTGCTAATTAAGCATTGTGATTATTAAATTGCAATAATGATTAATTGTTAGAGCACAATGGCTTATTTATGTCAAAACATCAACAACATTGCTTGCTTCATGTATTACAATTAGCGGAATAAGCTAATCCGTTATTATGATTACATTATTCTTATTATTACACCTTTACATTATTACCAGAAATGCTTCATTGGTTTTATTATGATTTTATTGTGATAGTTTATTCTATTATAATATTATTGTGAATATTATTGCTTACTTCTTTCTTCCTTTTCTTCTATATTACCAAGATTAAATCATATTTATTTTTTATGACCAAATGAGATATACATGAATTGCATTAAATTGAAATACTTAAATTGAAATGTTGCCTACTTTTTCTTATTGATATATTTAATAAAATTTATTTATCGTTATATTTGTGTCACATAAATATTTATGGTTGCTAAATTTAAAAATAAAATTAAAAATGAATATTTGATAAGAAAGGAGGAAAAGAAACGGAAAAGATGATAATTGTAATATCTTTTATCATCATATCTAAATATTATTTGTTCTAGCCACAGATGCATGGATGAAGATAATTTATTTATCATGATTAGTGATGGCATTCTTTACAGCTATTTATATTATCAATTCCACCGGCTAACATTTTTATTTTTATCAAATTTTTTTTGGACCCTTTGGGATGACTGAAAGTTATAATAATTTTGTAAAATGAAAAAAAGATTTATGTTCTTTTTTTTTTTTTTTTTTTTTAGAGCTGATACTTTAGTTTGAATTGATATTGCACTACTCTAACTGCTTTTTCGTAAGTTGCTCTCAAATTTGCCTCACGAAGTTCTCGTATTTACTGAAATGTGTTTACTGATTCTATATTGAATTGCAAAAGTTAAATAAATCTCAATGTAAAAATTTAAGAGAAACTGATTTACACGTAGATTTTTTCTCTCTACTCACAAAAAAATCTTTGAAGTAAGTTTTTTTTTCTTAATTTTAATGTACAATTCCAAATGTTGACTTCGAGAAATAAGTGATAGACGAAATTTATTTATTTGATTTCACTAAAATAAAATTAATAACAATAATGGAAGACATAAAAGTGATGATAGAACTTTTCTTTATAATTATCTTATAAGAATATAACTTTCCTTTCAGTATGCATTACCAATGCCTGTAATTTCAAAATGTTTGAAAATTTGTCTAACTAATTAATAATTGATAATGAATTGATGAATTATCATTCAAAACCTTAACGGCCTAATTTGGATTACATATAAATAACATTATCTGTCGCAATAATATAATTTAAAATGTGCTTTTTTTTTCGATTTCCAACTTCAAATTTTTCTCACTTGTCATCTTATTTGTCATTTGTGTTGATTCGTTTGATCATAAAATGTCATCTCGAACACGGCATGTTTAAATGAAATTTCTATATCCTTAATTAAATAAGTTATGAAAGAAAGAAAAAAGAAAAAAGACATAGTTGCAAAAAATATAAGAAAAACTTGGGAAGCCAAAACTGAAATCTATGTTCAACCACTAAATATACTCCCATTAATAAACTCCATATTTGATCCAAGGGCGGTACATCTATTATTTATTCATTATCTCATTTAATATCAAAAAAAAAATGAATACTACATAACGGTGGATTGAAACATAAAGCCTAGAAACTTAAAATCAAAATGGATATTGAATATCAAGAACAGTGATAGTTTCTTAAAATTCTTAAAAAAAAAAAAAAAAAAAAAGTTGTCATGAATTTTTTTTTCTTAAAAAAAAAAGTTGTCATGAATTTTTAAAAGAAATGAAATCTTTTCGAGAAAATTTTCTCAATTTCTAACAATTATAAATGGATTTAATTATTAATAACAGATTGCAACAACCGAATCATTAGAAAGTGCAAAAACAAAGTGACTATATGTAGAACAACTTTCTTTACCTTTTATAATTGCATTTAACAAATACAATTTTTATCTACCGCTGATGAACGAAGACGAAAAATGAAGTTTCACAATTCTTTTGCAAGAATTGTGATGCTTGTATTAATCATGAAAATTCTTTGTATTATAAATTATCTTATTCCAAATATAACTCTAAATTTAGGTTAAAAAAATTAACCTTTCAAATATTCATTTTAAATATTAAAATTTGATGTTTTTAGGATTATCTGTGAGTTTGGAGAATGAAAGATCTGAACATTGAAGCTACTAAAACAAGTAATAATGATGTAGTTTAATTAACTAAACATGAATTATCGGAATTCATATTGCGTGCAAAAAATGGTCAAGGAGGAAAAATGCAAGAAAAAAGCAAGTTGTTCTGAAAAATATCTAATAAAATTGTCAGTTAAATTTTAAAGAAATGAGAAATGATGAGAGTTGAAAGAATCTAACGTTGTTCATCATAGTTTGATTGCATTAAATATTGAAAAAAGTTTTCATCTTCTTATCAGATATTTGATTGGTTGAGCGTTATTGAAATTGGTATAGTTGTTACTACTACTAGAGATTGTTTTCTGAATGTGAACAGTTCCAAAAGTTGGAAAATAATAATTTTCATCAAATTCATGGACAAAAATTATATTTAAGGCATATTTCTATATACAGCATATATGTAATTTGCTAAGGGATTATGCTGATATGTTTAGTGTTTATCAATCGTACTTATTAGTGATACTCGATCAAAAGATAAACATATTTTGAATTTTAATTAATCTCATCAAATCAGATTTTGAATTTAGCGGATGCATTGCAGAAAATTTTCCATCTTAATATAATTGTTGATAATACCTATTTTTTAACAAAAGTGTTAATCAAAAAAGTCGCTCTTCATCTATGCTCCGTTGCAATAATATGCTTTCATTATGATGATAAAGTAAATATTTTATCTAAACTTTTACTATATTGTATTAGATATTTGTTATTAGCAAGTTATTCTAAGTTAAATTAAAGGCTGACAGCTAAATTAGTTTAAATCGATTCAATAAACTGAAGGAGAAAGCGGTTTGATATGAATCGATTTGATTCGATAACTTAGATAAGTAAATAAAATCATTACTGATTAGAGTATTACGGGAAGCACTTTTGAAATGTACCACCAATTACAGCTTAATTTAACTTTTTCACATGAATCTGATTTTCAATTCACAGTAAAGAGTTATGATAATATACTAGTTAATGATAACAACTACCCGTAATTTCATTTCGCTTTTTTAAAATTAATTAGAATTTCATTTAATTTTAAGAGAAAACGAAAAACTTTTTTCAATAGAAAACATTAAGTAAAAATTTGATGAAATCTAACGACTAGATTTGACTTTTTATCTTACAATAATTGTAACTTGACATATAAAACATTAGTTTTTTTTTTTGAGGAACAGATGAAACATTTTACAAAATGTCACGAAACTTTTTGTCAATAAAAATATCTTCAGCGAATAGCTATTTAAGTAAATTTAAAAAAGTGTATTAAATGTTTTAAAAAAAATCAATATCACAAAATCATAAAATTCTGACTTCACTACTGGCTTTAATCTTTGAAAGATTTTTAATTTTTGTATTTTTGGTATTTTTCTCTTAATGAAAGTTTGCATGGATGCAAAAGTCACATTTTTGTGTTCAGCAACGATTTCAATAATTGTTTAATTAATTTAAAAATGCTGGATTTGCAATTATGGCACAAAAGTGCTTCTCTTATCACAAAATTTGTTTAGAAATTAAGAAAGAAACATGCATGTTTAATCATTTTATCAATTCATTTTTGTCGAATAAAAATGCTGCATTACTCATCATTGCAATGATCAGGTGATCAATTGAAATTTGCATGTAAATGCAGATCAACAGTAATTCTAATTCAAATTTTAAATTCTGCAAATATTTTGAAGTATTATGTTAAAAGTTAAAAGTTGACCGCACAATGAAATAGAAAACTGATCAAGAAAAAAGAAACAAGAAAACAGGATGAATTTCTGAATAAATTCAAGTGTATTCTGAAATGTCACTTCTAGCAGTTAATATCATACAATATACAATTTGCCATCAAGTGCAAAATAAAACAATCGGTGTTTATAATTGATAATATTATGATAATAAATGGTGGTGGAAAAAAAAATGACTCAAACCTGCCCTACATACTATGCTTGAATATTTTGATGTAACCATCACTAATCCGGTTTTTTGGGCACTTATTTTCAGTTGAGCAACACTCTCGGTGAGTCTAGAAGTCATTATGACAATAAGGGCATCATCATCTCTAATCATCATCATTTTATTCATTGCAGGGTAGCTCATTTAATTCTCGTTAAAATTTATAAAATTTCAATTCTGAAATTTTTAACAACTTTTTCTATTTTCTGATCTTTTAGATTAGGGTAGAATTGTGAAAGTTATCATAAATCTGCCAGCTTTAATATTTTACTAAACCTCAATTTCTTATGAATGTCAACTTTTTTGCTCAGTATAACCGAAATTTCGAAATATTAATTAAAATTAATGCAATCTTTGTTAAACTGAAATATTTAGATAACTGTTATCAGCGAGAAGATTGAAATTGAAAATATAATGTTTTGTTCAACAATTGTAACAGTATTAGTTCGGAGAACCGGTTGAAACGAAAATGTTATTATCATTGAAGTACTGTGAGCACCCTGATGCATTTCATATCCAGAAACTAGTATGCAAGATCTGCTCCTTTGCTCTCTCCTCTTGTCCCCTTTAATCGTCATCGACGAAACATCGAAAATGTTTGTTCCTGCTGATTTCCACACTTTATAGAATGTATCTCCAACAGTGTTTATACTTTTGTCAGTCAAACAGTTGCGCCTTATATCCTTGTATACGTACTGAATTTATTATCATTTTAAGTAGATTTTTCAAAACTTGTCCATTGTTATTTCTAATTCCGAATGTTTATTTCAGGAATCAAATCATTCAAACGTTGCAATTAATTACTGGTAGGAAGTTGAAATTTCTTTCAGTCACTCACAATTTATTTATCAATTCAAGTTTAAATCAATAATTGGACTAAATTCTATTGTGTAAAGCAATGCATAATTATATTATATATCTACTGCTGAAAATTACGATTTCAATTAATGTTTATTTCCTTACAATATTTGATAGCTGTCAACTCTGTGTCGTTTTTGTGTGAAAACAATTGGTAGTGATTAGTAGTGATCAATAACTTTGTTTACGTTTTGACAAATCACTCATTACTATTTACTTTAATTAGATCTAAAAGTTTTTTAAAAACTATGCGTGATTCTGTCAAATTTTCAAATTCTGTACAAAATCTTTTGAGAAAAGTATTGATATCATAGTAAAATTCGAATTCTCTAAAATTCAAGCTTTGTAAGTATTATTGTAACTTATTTAACAGACGAATTCTAGCACAGCTCATTTTGAAGGTCAAAAATGTTTGAAAACTTCAGACATACCGAAAAGATACTATCTTCTGCAGGCCAAGAATACTAAGCAGTCAGTTCAAATCAGTGGCTATCAAGCTAATAAGTGAATTTTATGAAAAGTTCCAATACCATAAAAATTTTGATATTGCACAAATGGTATTAGCAGGTTAACCAAATTTACAGCAAGAATTAGTTTGATGACTTCTAACTGCTAGATGTTGATTCGTGAATTAATTCAAAATTTTTCTTTTATTAATAATTTCTAAATTTCAAAATTTCATATTTTTTGATGTGCAAATTTTTAGCTTATAATCAAAGATGAGCAGTTTTTGAAATTGAAAAAAAATAGTCACATAAAATTTTGGATAATTATCTTGCATTATAATCTTTCTGTTTACATTTTCCAAATAGCATACAAACTATTTATCATCAAGAAATATGTTTAAAATTTTTATTTGCTATAGTGATGAACGAATAATCAATTTCCAATTTTATAATTCAGGAAATTATAAATGAAAAGTGCAAAATAAGCCCATAATTTTATATTTTTCAGTCGAATTTTAATTCTTAATAAGATATACACTAATTTTCTGCTATATTATTTATAAGTAATTAGTAATTTACGATTGATGAGAAGCTCGAATATTAACTTAAAAGTATTTCTACATTAATTTAAAAGATATTTTCTTCGAAGAGTTATATTACTATCATTTTTGACAGAAATACAAGTCATAGTGATTTCAAATTTTACTTTTTAAATTTAAATATATCATCTTTGACATTAAATATAACTTATGCTCATGCTAATATCTCTCACAATATGGAAACTGAGTTATCAATCTTAAAAGCAATGAAATTTCATGAGATTTTCACTTAAAAAATGACTGATGAATGCTTTTAAATGTAGTTTGTATCTGAAATTCAATGTTCTTTTGGGCCAAATTTTTTTGCAGTGCTTCCTTGCTACCATTGAGATATAGCACTGATAGCAAAAGAAATATTTAACTAATATTTTAAGAAAATTAATCCTACTCAATTAAATAAAAAATACTAAAATGATTGTATTCTATTTGTCATTTCATGCTTCAATCATTGATTTATCGATGTCACATATGATTGTGACAAACTAATCGATATTTATATGTTATAATATTCAGATCATTGCTCTGTAAGAGTGAAAATGACAGTTGAAAGACAGAAATGCAAACTAAAAACATTGTATTGTCGCACTGCTCGAATATTACTTTTTATTATTGGAGTCATATTAACCCTTTTTGGTATATCGATGGCATTCCTGGCACCACATCTCATCAATGCCAAAATTTATCAGGTAACAGTAGTGATAAGTCTTTCAGCATTGAAACCGCTAATCAATCGAGATTGAGAATTATTATTATTTTATAACAATGAATATTCAAATTTATGAGTTAGGTCTCATATTTAAATTTGACCTTTAAATATGTCATTTTGTAGCAAAAGAATATTGCGCGAAACAATGAATTATATCATTTATGGGAAAATCCCGACTATAAATTCAGTTCCGAGATTTTTGTTTACTCAGTGAAAAATCCACAACAGGTTTTTTCATTTTTATTACAAATAATATTATTTTGCAAAATATTGCTTTCAATTATCTTTCAAAATATTCAGTAAGTTCTTTTCAATTATTATTTGTTAAATAATCTTCTACTTTTCATCCTATTACTATCTTTCATTGTATTAAATAGTAAAAGGTAAAAAGTCGGGTAGACAAATATGTTTGAATATTTGAAAATTAATTTAAGCATATTTGTTAAATAGATTTGAAGTCAAGTAACTTAATCAAAAACAAGGTAATAAATAAATAAATAAAATAAAAAACAAGTCTCTTTTATAGGTTTTAGATGGAAATAAGCCAGAAATGATTAAAATAGGCCCATATGCATACGAAATGAGTTTGAAAAAAAAAATTCTTGGATTTGGTAATGGTTCTGTTAAATACCAAAATGTCCATAATTTCACTTTTGACAAGAATGCTTCCTGTGCAGAATGTTCACCAACTCGGGAAATTTGGATTCCAAATATTGTTTTTCAGGTTTTGATCCATTTTTTTCATTAAATGGAATAATCATTTGAAATTCTCAAACGTATGAAGTTTTATATTTGTTAATTTTTTCAGAAATTTGTCGAAATTGCTTCAAATCCGGTTACAACCATGGCACAACTTGCTCTTCCTTCACAACAACCATTTTTGAAAGTTTCCGTAGATGATATTTTATTTAAAGGGTACGAAGATCCATATCTTACAAATGTTAGTTCCTAGAATTCTTAAATATATATATATATATATATGTACTTTGGTTTATCGCTAAGTGAATGGTATTATCGCAGTGAAATATAAATAATAAATTTTATTTTTATTTAATTGTTTTGATATTTTTGAGTTTGCATACTTTGCATACTCGATTTATACACATATATGTGAACATTTTGTTAAGGTATGTGCAATACCACTTGTGGATATAATTTGCAAATCGGTATTGAAAGTACCGAAGAGAATTGGTTTTCTGATGCAGGTAAGTATTAAATAATTCCTGATTTCAGTAATGATTTTAATAATTATCTATTACTTAGACTTTCGTTTTTATTAACATCCTGCAAATGAATAAGCAGAAATTTGACGTACAATACAATCGACAAGTCACTAGAGAAATGAAATATTACATTGAAGTGAATAAATTTGTAACTAGTAGAATTACTTGTATCAAAACGATAAGTTTGAGTTTGTATTAACTTAGACTTATCAAGCTTCATTGGCAGCTATACCTTTAGTCACAGATTATGATATATTTTAACAGTTTAGACTTGACTGAATTAGTGATAATCTGATGTTGGATTGATAAATTGATTTCAAATCATACTTCGTAATCAGCTTTTGCTAAAGTAAAATCAGGTTGTTTGTGATTAATAGATTAATTACTGAAAAAACAGGCAATTTTAGAGGAATGGAGCTCAGAAAATTGTTGAAGTTACCACTGGTAGCAATGATGGTAGTGGAACTGCTGGAGAAATATTAAGTTGGGATGGCTTAAAATCATTACCTGCGGATTGGTGGAATAATAAAGAAGCTAGGTAATTATACATTTCCTACAAATTAAAATTACAATGAATACAACATTAAATGTTTTATTAATTCACAAATTAAAATGTGGTGTTAGTATCTATTAAGAAAAGTATATTACAGCTATCCTTAAAAATCTTATGCGATGTGATGATTAAATTTTTAGGATAATTAATGGCACAGATGGTGAATTTTACAAGCCACTTATCAAAAAAACTGATATAATTTATGTGTTTGCTCCGGATCTTTGCAGGTACATTTGCTACCTGTTTGTAATTTATTGCTGTTACTTTAAATAATATTATCTCTTACCTTTTGTTATATTTGTTTTGTTATGCACATAAATATGGCAGAGCAATTGAACTAGTTAAAGTGTGAATTTGCACAGAAAAGAATGAAACAATCTTAAATTTATAGAAACTTTAAAATATTTATTGTGACTTCTTGATTCTTTTTTTTTTTTTTTTTATTTGAATTCGATAGTGTTTGTAAGCTAATTGGTGCAATTTAGATTTTAAAAACATTTTTTCCAACTTTTGGTTGTCATTCATTTTAGATCAATACACCTAACATTTGAGAAGGAAATCGAATACAAAAATATACTAGCATATCGTTTCACGGTAAAGGAAGATTTGCTGGATCCGACGATACCTGGTAATGAAGGATTTTGTCATAATAACGGGAAGACATTCTTTTCAGAAGACGAGAAGTGTTCTCCAAAAGGACTTCTGGATCTCAGCCATTGCTACAATGGTATATATCAACACAATATATGAATTTAGGAGAAAAAATTGAAATTATTTCGATCTAATTAAATGAAAAATTGAATGAATGAATGGTTATAGGATTAAAATATGAGTTAATGGCGAATAAATTATAACTTTCTTAAGATTCCTTGAAAACCCTTAAATTTCTTGAAAAGCAAAAATTCCTGTTTTGTTTTTTTTTGCAGATAATAAAATAAAATTGAAATTTCATTTTCAGGTACACCGCCCATTCTTTTCTCTTTTCCTAATTTTCTATATGCTGATAAAAGAGTAAAAGAATCAGTTATTGGTCTTAGTGAAAGCTCAATAGAACATGATGGTATCGCTATTGAAGTTGAACCGGTTAGTATTAACTATCTGATCACTTTCTTAACATTACTATGATAACTATACTGTTGATAATTTAGTTTCACCAATGATTTTTAATTGTAACATTGATTTTTTAAAAATTTCAGCAGACTGGAACTCTTCTTCGAACTTATATTCGATCACAGATTAACATTGGCATGTGGAAAGGTCGAGGAATCATTTACCAGTTCGCTGCGTAATAAAATTTCCTCACATTCGAAATTAATTTTTTTCGCAGACGTGTACATCTCATGTATGTAAGGATAGATATGTTGGTCGAAGTATTAAATTCCTGAGCTCGAGCCGTTGTTATTCAGTTTTTGATTTCAAGAAGGTAGCGCACAATTCCGGCAGGAACTTTTTTTGCTCATTCATGATCTATGCTCATAAACTTTACTGCAGAATTTACAGCAGTTGAAATTTAAAAACATTGAAATTTATATAAATAACCATGATAAGTTATGCCTTTTTGACGGTGAAATAATCACCGAAAGGTGTAGTTAAAGTACTCCTTAAGGATTTCAAGTTTGCGCTTGCCCTTGAATATCACTGAGATTTATTTTGCTTTATATGACAATAACAAATAATTAGTAACAGTTTATCTGAGGCGTTATTTTAGTGCGGATTTGTCAAGGATGCGAAATGCGATAGTACCACTATTTGCCGAATATCAAGTAGTAGAAATTGGCAACGATTCATTAGCGCTTCTGCGCAGAATGCTTCTACTTGTGAAAGAAGCATTTGCATTTCTCTGTTTCATTCCTATTTCTACTGGTATTCTGCTTATTTCCATTGCTATCTCCATCGAATTACTCTTAAAAGTTCGTTTTTCTTCTTTTTCTTTTTTTTTTTTTTTTGCAATTAGATTTATTGAACACTCAATGTTTCCTTTTCAATACATTTCTTGTCCTTATAGCTGCTGTATATTTCATTGAGGTTCAGTTTTCTTTTTTTTTTTTAAACTTAATTTTTAATCGTTATTAAATAGAGTGGATAGTGATTATAATGATAATAGTAATAATGATGATGATCAGAATAGAAATTGATTAAGATAAAAATAGACATCGGGAAGATTAATCTATTGTTAATGTAGCGATCATATCAAACAAAAAATGATTGTTTCTGGAGAAAATACAAAAAACTATAGGATTTATATATTAACAAATTTTATCAATATCTATTTAAAAATTTTCTTTATTTGTAAAATATTTTCAACAATTTTAATATTTTATTTATTTATACATAATTTTTATACAACTAAAAATTTTAAAAACTTTTACATCTCAATCATAAAGCTGAAAACTAATTTAGACCAGAGTAATCAAGAAACTAATGAGAGACAACTCAAACAAAGTGACAGTACAAGTGCAGTCGTTACCTGGCAATTAGAAGAAGTATGTGTCATTTAAATTTGACAATTCACACACGTGATCATATTTTTATTTAAGGTAGCGGGTAAAAAAGTATTTCCTTGTTATTTCCTTATTTCTGCAGGTAGAAGGTTAAAGATGTATAAAGTAATTCTTCTTTATGATTCCTTTCCATGTTATTCGCAAATTAGAAATGAAAAAATCTTAGAAGTTTTTGTTATTTATTGTCAAAGTAATACAGTGTTAGTTTAATTTAAATAACGAATATTTTTTTAATAATTAATAATAATATTGGTGCAATATAATATGAAATAATCATCATTTAAACATTATTAAGCCTATGCCGACTATTTTATCATTATCGATACAGAACACACAATAATAGTGATTTTTTTTTTTTATTTTATATAATTTTTAGTAATAATTAATAATACCAATAATAATTAATAATAATGACAATGCATTTATTAGTACTTTAAAAACTACAAATAAGATTATCATCCTTAAAAAAAGCATTATAATGTAAATTCTTCGTTATAAATTCGTTTTTTCTCTTTTAAAATGAAATTGATGATTATTGTGGGAAATAACTGATAAGTGGAGTGTAAAAGTTGTCACCGCGGTAAATTCCCTATTTCTAATGGTGATGATACCGGTGATGACAAGGACAAGAAGTAATTGATCTTCGGAAATTCTATCACTATTGATAAGCCTAAAAAGTACATCAAAATTATAAAACTTTTTTCTGAAAGTCTCGGATTTCAATTCATCCATATTTATTCACTTTATCGGAACTATTTTTCATTGGTTATAAGAGTACCAAAAAATACATTTGCAACCATTATCTATCTTCTTCCTTTCATGACTGAAACGGGTAAAAATTTTCGTCCCAGATTTCGTCCCTAAACTAGAATTTCAATCTCATCCTTCCCTATGGTAATTTTTTTGGTAACGTTTATATGACCAAACCAAACCCACCAACATAATTTTAAAAAAATCGATAAACAAAAAAAGAATCTTTGTACTGTCGTAAATTTAAATCAAAATCGAAATTAGGAATCAGGAATTATAGGTCGACTCATTATTCCTATTTAGATTTTGTATTTTATGTTTCATTTAATTCTGCACTTTTTCAATTCCATCAGAAAACTAATAACAGAGCTCCTGGAAATATCAGGAAATGAGCAGGAATCAATGCTTGTCTTAACAAGTACTTGAAAATTAATTTCTTCTACAAATGAGGCAATAAACAAAAAAAAAAAAAGAAACTTAAGCCTATGAGAGAGAGAAAAAAAACTTGAATATTTAAATTAAAAAAACTAAAGCTTAAATTCTCATCCAATGATATTCAAATGCATCCCCAGATTATCATCAGATTGAAGACCAAATGCTCGCTTTATGATTTAACTTTATCCTAGATAATTGATAACTCGGTAATAAAAAAAGCTTATCAGTGACCACTCCAAAAACGTTATTTGCAATATTTTCTAAGATTTGAAACATTTTAAAATGAACAATTTTTCATGACGAATTACTGAAGGTTGTATCGAGCAGCTTTAAAATTAAACATTAATTAGTACAACGGACGAGTGTACTGACTTTAATATAGCAATCAGAGAAAAAACCCACTTCATTACCAACCATAGCGAATTAAACCTAGTACTTTCCATGTAGAACTTTTAGACTGAATAGTCTACACAGCTTCGTAGCATAAAATATAAATTCTTATAAGATCAACCTGAAAGTCTCAAAGTGAATGACGGTGATAAGGTCATATTATTCAACATCTAGTTCAAATATTCCACATTAAATCATACTTATAGAAGCATTTTGCCAAAGAACAACATATGCAGTCATACTGATTACAGAATTCGACAAACCTAAAGTATAAATCTGTAAAATTCCGTTTTGTTGTTCCTTTTGCTCTTAATGAAGTGGTTTTATTCTTGTCTGATGGAAATTAATAAAAAAAAAAAAAAAAAAAAAAATGGCGATTTCTGAAGAGAGCAAAAACTGAACATAATAATGTGAAAACAAAGTTATTTATTAATACTTCAATTTCACGTTGGGAAATGTCTTAATTTTCATCTATTATTTAACCACAAATATTAAGATTTTACAACTGCGATTCACCCGTAAAAACATACCAACATGTTGAAATGCAAAATAAGATGCACAGTTGACATTGTTCTTGTGTCCTTTTAATCTTATAATCGAAACAGAACAGATAAAAATACTATGATAAATTCTGAACAGATGATGGTTGAGATGCAGTAGCATCCTTTTCATAATCGCTATGATCTTCGATATCTCCACTGTCTTTATCAACAATGTCAAGTTCTCGAGAAGACTGCGAAGTGCTGAGTAAAATGGACGATGGCGTTGAAAGAGATTCAAGTAATTTCGCTTCTTCAATCATAACTTGCTCGGTTAAATGCTTTAGTTCTTTTGATGGATATGTATTGAGAATTTTATCTACTTCTGCTGATAATTCATCTGTTTCCCTGCAATGCAAAATATTTCATTAAAATCTCACCTTAAATGAAAGAGAGGAAATTACCCAATTTCAAACACATGCAATTGCAAATGAAACAGAAAAATTTTTGCATATAACTCTGAAGTAGTACTACCTTTTCACACGTATTTCAAGGTCGTTCATGAGTCCCTTCAAATTTTTCTGTCTCTCAAGTAGTTGGCGTACCTGTACCAAGGAATTTTCCATAGTCCGGATCGACTGAACAAAATTATCTGTGTATATAATTATGAAAATAAATCGAATAGACTATTATTGATAATAACGCCAAAAAAATTCAAATTTTTGATCAGTAAAAAAATGCATCAGTCAAGTTTTATCAACCAATTTTTCAATTTAAAAAAAAGACATCAAAGGAAATTTTTCTATTTGGTAACAGTTCAAAATGCTCGTCTTTGGCAAATTAATCCAAAAAATAAATAAAGAAAGAAATTTCTGCCGAATATAAAAATGGGTGACACCTGGTTACATCCCATATTCATTGCGTTTAGTGGAGGTACTTGATGACCTGAAGTATACGCTTCAAATTCTTCTTCTGGCATTTTTAAGCTTTCGGCATTCATATTCTGCACAAATTGTAGCGCACAACTCACATTCGTAAAGTAATAACCTGAAAAGCAGAAACACATGATGACGGAAAATTATTGGAGTAATTTTATTTGCATCAGTTGTGATCTCACCAATTTTACAAAAATATTTTTTCGTCTTATCGGTAACAATTTAATATACTTGCCTAATGGCAATTAATTCAAAAAATTAAAAAAAAAAACCCCCGAAAAAAAGCAATTTCCAACTTTATTTTTTTATTCTTTTACAAAAAAGTTAAGAGTCGAACAACCTGACTCGCCACTTAAAACCCTGGCAGGTAGAGCAAATCGACTGACAAACTTGACGTTCGATTGAATAAGTGGTGGATTTCCCTTTAGAATTACAAAAATCAAAACCGGCAAATATTCATCGGCACCAGCCGGAGCGCCTACAAATAAAAAAACATCTTAGGATAAACCGTACGTATATCGCAGTTATGGAAAGGAATAACAATTCCAAAGAATTAATAAAAAAGATGTATTTAAAAATTGGTTTTGTGGGCCTATAAAAAAAAAAAAGAAAATCTTACTACCACAAAAAAAAAGTAGTTATACTAAGATGTATTTTTTTTAGATTTGTTAAAAAAAAAGAAAAAAAAAAACAGAAATTATTCTGACTTATTACAGACTTATTCTACTAGTAAAAAGTATTTTACATTCTGTGATGACTCGTTAACAGCTGTTTTAACAATTTAAAAATACATCTCAGCATAACTATTAATATTAATCAAAACGACTACAATGTTACGAGGATACATTAAAATAAGTTCCAGAGCATTGGTACTGATCAATATCACCAACCTGAGCGACTTTCCTTTAGTGCCTCGAAGATCATTTTTGAGCAACGAACCAAACATTGCAATTTTTCTGCTGCTCCACGATGACTGTTCATATCAATAATCTCAGTTATTGCTTCATCCAATTTATCACGAACCTGTCAATTAAAAACTTTCAAATGTAAGTCTTTTAATAATGAATACGTCAGATGAAGTGATGCAATTTACCGATTCCTGACTAAAATCAAGAGTGGTTTCCAGAAAACCAGCTGTAACCCAATTCAAAGATCGTATTCTATCTTGCAAAGATAGATCTGCAGTTTCTTCGTCAGCTCTAGAAAAACATTCTAATTTAGATATTTAAAATTTTAAACAAAATGAGAAAAAGTCAAGAATTCTACTGATACTCTACTCCATAACAAAAGTAATCTTAATAGTCATAAAAGATTTTATGAACCGGACAAAATTAAATAAATACATGTTCAGAAAAAAACAAAATGACATGCCTAGCGCAGAACAATGTGCTATAAGCCCGTACACATATATATTGCTCTACTTCTCCCATTACTTCTTCAACACTCACATCAATCAATGAACCTGAAATTTCACGAAACATGGCATATCAGATATATGAATTGCTGAACTATTTCGTAAAATATGTTAAGACTCATGAAGCTCTCTATGTTCTACATTAATATTTCAAAAACTTATTTTTAACAACGAAACAGTTACCACTTATAATGGGGTTGTGACGCATTTTGTCTGCTAAAACCTGATAAAAATGTTGCACCATACTTGAGAGGTCATCCATATTAACGTTCTGCTGCTAGAAATCAAATAAGCTACACAATTTCAAGTACCAGTTTAACGAACCCAATTCTAGAGAATTACAAAAAGTAGTCGTAAGCAAGAAAACTCTTCAAATTTTATCATTTCAAAAAAAATTTATTTCGAGAACTGAAGCATTCCTGCTCAGTGTTTTGCTTATCTATGATTAAATTTGGATAGGAAAATCAAGCTAACTTCTAGAATTTTATCAACAGCGTGATGCGTTTGCTGAGCTATTTCATGAGCAGCTGATTGCGGAAGATTATTTTGAAGAAACTCGTGAAAACGATCATAAGCAGAGCTGCTTTCTTCACTAAGACGATGTCTGGAAGTTGGTTATTAATAAATGTTCTTCATAAATTAGAACAATGAAAGTCAATTATTTTTCCAGTAATATGCGTAAAGAAACGACTAAACTTTTGGATTTTATTCTCTTTTAAACTAATGTAATTTTCATCCACCCTTATTACGTCTCTTGCTTTTTTCTTTTTTTAATATATATGCAGTGAAGAAAGATTGGAGATGTTTTAAATTATAAGTTCATGCTAAGAAGTAAAATGGAAGAAAAATTACCGGAAATAAACGAAACTACTAAAAGAAAAAGATACAAATAAGTGCTATCAAAGAAAAAAGAAAATGAAATACCTTATTGGTGTAACAGGAGATGGTAGTGTAGAATGTGATGCAGATGTTGTAAATACCATTTCTCAAACGAAATATTTAAAAAAGAGAAAAAAAAAATGAAATTTGTTTTTCGCAAGCTTATCAGAAGTGCTGAATATAACATGCAAATAATGACAAACCTTGAGAGGAGTTTGAATTAGCAGTTAGTGATGGTGATTTTCGAAGAATCGATTTTAACGTAAGTGAACGACTTTCTGTTGATAGCTTCCGACGTCCTTCAAATTTCTCGAAACTTAGAAGTTCTCTACAAATAAAAAACACAGACTGACTTGCAGGGAACTCAGTAAGCAAAATAAAAACCCAGAATTTTTTGAAAAAAATTATTGAGAACCTATTTTTAGTATAGCACTGTGCTTTCTTCTCCTCCATTTGATAAGCTCGCCAACACTTCGAGCATCTCCCTTTCCATTGTGGTGTACCGTAGAAACCACACTGATTAACACAAAGCTGCAAAAACTAATTGCCATATTTTTCTTGTCCTGGCAAAATCTAGTCTAACTCTGAGAACAAGATAAAGCTTTCCTCATCTTCAACGACTACCTAATTTCTAGCTGCAAAAACATGATAAAACTGACCTGGCTTATCTGAAGGTTAAGAAAAAAATCCATGAAAAATCCATGCTTACATATTAGTTACCGTTCAATCACTACAATATTCTTAGTTATTCAATTCAGATTTCCAATGACTAAAGTGTAGTTTTGTAATTAGGATTAAGAAAGCAAAGAAAGTAAACATCCAATTAAAAACTATAAAGATTATACCAGATCTCCTTCCGTAATTTGCACTCTCAATCGTTTATCAGATGAAGAAGACTTCAGCAGTTCTTGAGTTCCATTATTCGCTACTTCAGTCCCATCCATCTTGAATTCGCTAAATTTTAAGATCTAAACAATAATGCTGATATCACTATAGAAAAGATACGATGAAACTAAAATAATTCGAGAGGAGAAACAACCAATAGTTTAAACTCAAAACACGACAACACGTAGCAAATGGAATTTCAATTATTCAATGAACTGGAAAAATTAACAATGAAAAAGGTGAGAACCACAAATAACAATACCGGTTTACTCGGAAATCAAAAATCAACAATGACCAACCGATGTTTAATAATATACTGCAATTAACAATGGTACCAATAAAACCATGAAAGCCTGTTTGAAGACAATTTATCTATACTTCAACCATTTAATTAAGTAAAAACTAACCTACATGCACTTAATTAAGTAAAAAACTAACCTAAATATACCAAGTGGGCAATTTGAAATAGTTGCAATTATCAGTAAGGATTGTAAGTATTCTTATTACATGCAAAGTGTATTTCCGAGGTAAACAAATAATTCAAAAACCTGATTTTGATAAAATTTTAGAATTCTTAAGATGAATAAAACGCTCAGTAGAACATAAATAAGGAGCTTAAAAAATCAGATATTTGAATTTTACTTCTTATGCATCGCGAATGATATATAAAATTAATCCAATAAAAATTCTGGCTATGTCTAAGCTAAACAAAAAAAAAAAAGAAGCTATAATCAGCAAAAGTATCATCCATTCTGCTTATAAGCACTGTGATCAAATGGTCTTAAAACACTCCATCATATATAATTTTTTTTAATTTACGACTTTATATAATCCATTAATTTCCGAACAACTTCAAAAATATAATTTTCAGTTTTTGTCAATAAAGACCTATTTGCACTTGCACAAAATGAATACCTAAATATACAACAAATTCCTTTGCAAGCAATAATAAAATGAATTTTCCAGTATAGCGTTTCAATTAAACTAGCAATGAAGAACCTATTAATTGCGTAACTACATGAAATGAAAAGAAAATTCTAGCTTCATTATTTAACTGATCATCAAGCAATACAAATATCAGCAGTGGAAAATAAACTTCTTTAAAAAATTAGGAAAAAAATATGAAAAACTCAAATGTGCTAATTTTAGGATTTAAGAAATTGAAAAATCTAAATGAAGGCACGATATTATTTTAAGGTACAGAAATCGAAACAATATTTTCAACAACCAATTTGTTTGACTCCGAATGAAACAAAAATATAAATCACAAACAATAACTTAAATGAACATTTGATCGAAAAGATCTAAGTTGAAAAGAATCAGATATCTACAACAGTAACGTCATCGGAAGTGTCATCAATGCTTCGTGACTTCTTTGGTTTCTTTATTTTTCGTTTTTCTTCTGGACAAAATGGATTTTGCTTCTCATAAAATTCTTTCAACAACTTCACAGCCCGACTAACATTAAGATTTGGCATAATTTCAATGAAATGTTTAGCTCCATACTTTTCCCTTGTTCCAACACTAAGTAAACCACCAAATCGTTCATTTGCTGCACCATATAAGATTTTTTTCAAATGCAGATGATATAATGCTGAAGCACACATGATGCATGGTTCAAGGGTAACGTATAGAGTCGTGCAGCGCATTACGTCCTCCAACTCACGTCCGTTATCCGTGCACCACTGTTTCATCATTTCAAGAGCAACCATTTCTGCATGATACGTGGGATTCTTCGAACGATTTACATCATTTCGCCCAAAAGCTACTTCTTGACCTTCGAAAACAAAAACACAACCAACAGGAACTTCATTATTAGCAACTGCATCTACAGCTATTTCAAAGGCTCGATTCAAAAAATGAACTTCTTCCTTGTTTAATTTCTCTTCCAATGACATCAGTACAACATCCACAGCACTTCGCTAGAAATAAACCATCTAAGGACCAAGTGACTTCGGTCAAACACTGACCTGGCCGCAATTACTTCACGACTTCTAACTTCTGCTGAAAAAACACAGATGGACAATCCAAGTTGTAAAAGGAACAAAGTAATCCATAAACCTATAACAGAAATCCAATCCAAGTCATTTTATTGAAAAAAGTGCACGGACTGATTGGATAAAAAAACTTTAGTTAAATTTTAATTGAATAGATTTCTGTACACAGCAGAACTTCCCAGAACATCTTCTGAAAACTTTAATTACTACGTCTTAATTGGTAGGGAAGAGAAATATAGTGAAGTTGCATTGGATATGTGAACCTGTAACATCAGAGAACGTAGAATGTATTCAGCATCGCAATATCGAATACAATATGAATATCTAATAGCATTCACGGGAACATCTAAAATAATTGCTTCCTCTTCTGATGGAATAATCAGTATAGATGATCGTATTAACGGTGATGAACTGGTTATGGAGAAATGAAAACACAGCTTTATTAATAGTTGAATAACACAACATAAGCATCACAGATAAGGTCTAAACACAACTACTACAGATTGGAAAGATGAATGAAATCATATCAAAAAAATCTATGGAAATGGTATGAATAAATAAAGATAATTTTATATCACTCTACTTTAACAATACATGAAAATTTTTATATCTTACAGAATTCTAGAAAAATCCGCCGATAACCACAATAGTTTGAATACCTGCATTTTGTGAAATTGCAAGAAAAAATCTGCAAGGTAGCAACAACTTATTTGCTATTGTCTCTATCGTACGCCGGCAATCCTACGCTTTCTGGTTTGAAATCTTCTAAACTTCTAAGTATCAAATTAATTTTATTTTGCAGTTCATCAGGAATCTTCATGTAAGTTAAATCTGGTACCATAACAACATGCATGCCAGCTGCTACTGCTGCATATACTCCATTAGTTGCATCTTCGAAAACGAGAACATTTTTAGCTTTCTCAGGTTTCTCTTCGAACCTAGCCATTGTTACCAGGAAGGGATCTGGAGCCGGTTTCCCTCGTTTGACGGCAGGATCATCACCCGATAAAACCTGAATGAATGAAATTATTTGTTTTCCTCTTTTTAATTGTCTGAGAACTTCAGCAGTTAAACTTCGAACTTCAATGCCTGTTTTCTGAACACATACTTTCAAAACGAGAGCAAAGAAGGGAAACTTTTTTAACATAATGTAGCATACAAAAAATTTATAATATATTTGAATCTCAAAAAAAAAAAAAACTTGCCCTCAAAGATATCAAATCCAAAAGCTCCTTATGATACTGAGTTTTGAGCTCAAATTCTTTTTTGGTTGAACCAGTACATATAGCCATAGGTATACTGTGAGCCTTTAAATGCCGTATAAGCTTCAACACGCCAGGCATTAATGAACATTTTGGTAACATTTCTTCCGCCATTTCATCATACTTTCTACAGTACTCGTCAACGTCGACTTTCCCGGACAGTTTTTCCTAGAAACGATGTTTAATTACAAGATTTACTAAAAAAAACCTTTAAGCAAACTTTTTATTAACTACTTCGTATCTTATCAAAAAATCAATTAGTAGAGCTAATTAAAAATTGATCTTTCGAAGCTTTTTTCCCATTGTGATATGCAGGAATTCGCAAATTTCTGAAGATTTTTTTGAAGGACAATTAAGGTAACGCAGATAAAGCATCAAAACTACTCTAGTAATTTCAACAATGTTGTCTTATATTTAGATCTCTTTGGCAATTTAAGTGATTTTAATTTTTGCAACAGGCTAAATGAAGTTCATAACATAGAATTAAAATGGAATCATAATGAGGATGAAACGGGATGAAGCAACATATTTTCAATATTATGGAATTGTCGCTTGCTATACAAAATGTTTTGAACAGAGAATAAAAAATAAACAAACGTGTTCAAGTATGTATGTTACAGCGGCTTTCTTAGGCATTCCCGTCACCAAACCTCTCAAATGCGAAGTGAATTCCTTATTATATTTCGACAATAAACACTGGTTTACCTTCGAGAATACTACTTCAGTATCGATCAATAAGCCATCCAAATCAAAAATCACATGTGTTATCTTCAACATTGACTTCATGACAGCCATCTGAAACAAAAAGTGGTGAAAATGAAAGTCATTGTGGAGCGCCACTTTATATTTCATCATAATTTCAATCTTTATCGAAAATAATATATCTTTCATATTTCCACATGTACGTACCAGCAATCTACCACGCTCAATTTTGAAACACTGCATAAAATGAGACATTTCTGTGCTTTTATTTATTCATTTCTACATTTCTATTCAGATATTCAAATTCTTAAGACTTCTAATCCCTGTCTGAAGTGTAGAACAAATCACTACGAACTGGTACTTATCAAACCTGAACATCATATGCTGTATACACAACTGACAGATAAGTAATTTATGGATTCAGAATTATCGTCAAAAGTATTACTATGTCAGTGGCGTAAATCAATATGTGACATTTGCTTGCAATTGCGTTTTTTATTACATTTATCTAAGTAATTCATTTCTCAAAATCTGCTTTCAGTGAGGCTAAAAACATTCTATAATGTAAAAGATGGATCATTTAAAACTTACGTCACATGATTCGGTGTTCATCTTTATGAGAGATCGAAAAATAAAGACCAGTAATGCTTGCACTGATAGGAAATCAGACACACTGCGCCGGAAATGTCAGCACTAGCTATAGCTGCACCAGAAAGTGTCAACTGATGAAGAATGCTGCAGCTCTCTTCTGAGATAATACTGGCTTACACTTTTATGCTAGGCTTAAAACATATGTAGTGAGAGAAATACTAACAGGCTATTACACCCTCTATCCATTCTCTCATTCCTCGTTCTTCTATCTTAGTGCTTACTAATGCTTTTTTGCTTTTTCTATCTCATTGCTTACTAACGCAATTTCCCAACACAACTACAGGATTACAAACTCCATATTTATATAAGAAACAAACTGAAATGAAGTTACTTTGCTTTGAAATCAATTACTTTTCGAAGTCAAAAATGTTACCGTACTACAGTCGAACAGCAAAAACTCTTTTTGTCTTTTTCCTAACTTCATTTCTCACTACTAACGTCGGAGAATATTTCCATTCAAACTAAATTGTTAATGCGAAAAAATATCGCAAGAACCTTTAGCTCCATAAGCTTTGACAATGAGGACGTTATATGATATACAGCTACATAGCTATACTGATAAGATTACGTATCTTAGGACTCCGCAGGATTACAAACTTCACATTCATATAAGAAACAAATTATAGCGACTATTAGTCAACCTATGACTGTTCCCAATATTCCACTTGTGCTTAGAATGGTTACACCAGTGAATGCACAAATTTTCTTTTAATTACAGATGTCCACATATAGTGAGATAAAATTGAGGAAGTGTTATGCTTATTGAGAAATAAAAATTTTATTTCTAAAGTTTTCATAATTTAAACAATCGACGAATTTTAATGGTTTGTAGTAATTTAATACCTAACAAATATATGTAAGTAAAAATACATTCTCAAGCTTTAGAGCAAATAATGATTAAACAATTAACTTACACGGAGTTGTTTCTTTAGCGATGCTCTGCACTCATCGTTACGAGCAAGAAAAGACTCTCCTACAATCTACAGCACTGTGCACTGAGGTATGGATAATAACACCTCGAATTATGATATCCTTTATCAGTACAGCTGAAGCATCATAAAATACCGCAAAAACGCTTAAATTTAATCAAATGGTGGTAAGCCAAACATTTCTGGTTTAAATTCCTCCAAACTATTCAATACCAAAGTTATTTTATCTCTACATTTTTCAGGACTTGAATAACGCAAATCTGGTACCATCACAACATGCATCCCAGCTGCTAACGCAGCATAAACACCATTTATCGAATCTTCAAACACTAAAACATGAGCGGCGCTTTCCGGTTTTACTGAAAATCGCCGCATTGTCTCCAAAAATCCATCTGGCTCCGGCTTTCCTTTTTTAACATGCGGATCATCGCCAGTTAGAACCTGTACAAATACGTGAGGTTTCAATATACTGCATGGTACACTGTATATTTCCTGGGTAACATAAATTAAAATTTTTAGTATTTGCAGATGATTTTGAGATGAAGAAAAATTTTTAACACAATTACATGAAGTGGAATGAGATCAGACAATTCCTTTTGATTTTTCATTTTCGCATCGAATTCAAAAGTATTAGATCCACTGCATATTGCTGTTGGAATTTTATGTTTAGCAAAATGTTTCGCCAGTTGCATAGCGCCGGGTAATAATCGACTTTCAGGGAGATGCTTACCTAGTAAGTCCAAATATTTCTCTCTGTACTCTTTCAAATTTACTGTGCCAATCAAGTGTTCCTGAAAACTGACTTTGAAACTCAAGCAATAAAATTGGGTGAATTTTTCTTATTACTTTTGAAAAATTTTCCAAATGACAAGAAGACCGCAAAAGATAATGTAGTTTGAACAAAGAATGCATTATGAATTTCAAATTGCTTAGATCTGATTCTGGATCGTGAGAGTTTAGAATAACAATAAGAACAGAAAGTAAAGACATACATGCTCAAGCATCGTTTGAATTGCATCATCCATCTTCATACCAGTTGTCTTTGTCTTTAATTCCATCGTGTACTCCCTACCATAACTTTTCATTAGTTCTGTATTGACTTGGGTATAAATTGTTTCTGAATCAAGCAATAGTCCATCCAAGTCAAATATTATATGGGTGATTTCTGGACTTAAAATATTCATTTTCCCTGAAAATCTAATTTAAAAACATTTATTTGTATTATACGAGAACCCACCACAATACAAACGATAATCCGGAACTTAATACGCGGAAATCGAATTTTCTTTATAATGTAACACTTTAAAAGATAAATATGAAGAAGTGATTTAAGTATATTAATAGTATGCTCCATCATCATACTATGTACTATACTTCATAGAATTTATTTAAATGTTATTCAGAAATGAAATTCTACAGAAATTGACAACAATACTTGGTTAAGCTCGCAGCAAATATCTAATCAAATGATCAACCCCCTCAATCACGTAATCTGTAATAAAGCTGTACCATCAGAAATAGCATAATATAAAATACTCAAATACAGTAATTATAACTGCCAGAAAGATTACGTTTTAGCAACAAGCAACTGAAATAAATAATAAATATAGAACGGGTTATTTATCTCTACTGATAATGGAAATCATTAAGACCTTGAAATTTATAAATTTTTATAAAAAATCTGTAAAAATCATTTAAAAAATTTATAAAAACTATTAAAAAACAATTTGTAAAAACTGTTAAGTTAGATACACACCCTCAATCCAATGAAAACCAATCAATCAGTTTTTGACGAATTAAGATTTCTACATTGAACATGGAATTAGGTCAGTAAGTGAAATAGGTATATAATATAGAAATAAATGTTAAATCAGTAATATACACCACAGCAATTCACTGTCTCCAATGAATTCGCCAATACATAACTATAATTTCTGTTGTACTTTTCAACAAAACTCGATCCATAAGGCCAACTCGCATAGACTAGTCAACAGATTCTAACGAAAATAGTGCCAAATCATCACAATTAAAATCGAGAAATTTCCACATGTCAGATTATAACTAGATGTGACCAATAAAAAAAGAAGTTGAATTTTACTTAAATTACTAGAAAAAAAAAATACTAAAAGTGTGCAGCAGTCGACAATCAGTTGATAGTTTTGTGTTTTCGCATTTTTATCAAGTCTTACTTCTTATCTATCACAAACTGTCCACTATAATTTCGAAGAAGTTTGACATTAACAACTATAAATCACTCCGAAACAATCCATCTACGTCTAATGTCATATTCGTTTATATTTCCATCACTAAGTAATGCTTACCTTCAATAAATCGATGTCATATGAATAGTTGTAGGGAATTTAATCAGTGAACACATCAAATGCATCTTCTGATACCAATACACCATCTATTAACCATATGCTGAATGACATCAATTAGCGCACCTCTCATAGAACTTTCGTCTTTTGCATTTCACAACGGAAGCGCAAATTGACAAAATCATCCAAGCAGAAATCACACACAAACACATACACACATACATGCAGACACATACACACACACATACAGACACATATATGTAAAGAATTATTTCGCAGTCTTTTGTTTCCACAGCCATCAATACTATTTTCGTCACTCTCGCTCATCCCTTCTGCCTCCACCTGGAATACACTCTTTATTCGTTTTACTGAGTTTTTTTTTTTTTTTTGTTTTATTGGCTTAATCATATGACAACGGAGGTAGGGACTTCGATTATCAAATTGTTACTTCCTGGCTGTAGGGTAGGGACTTCGATTATCAAATTGTTACTTCCTGGCTGTAGGGTAGGGACTTCGATTATCAAATTGTTACTTCCTGGCTGTAGGGTAGGGACTTCGATTATCAAATTGTTACTTCCTATCATTACTTTCCTCACAATTCTGTAAAACTTATTGTACTACTGCTACTGTTGATAAAGGAATTATTATACTCCTGTGCTACCCCATATAATTAATATCTACATCTAACAAATCTCCTCGAGATCAGCAAACCTCTCCCAAAACAAATTTTTCAAATCTTTCTCCCAAAACAAATCTTTCAAATCTTTCAAAAAAAAAACATTTTGGATTTGTCGTTGACATGCATGCATTACATTCAAATTGTATGTTCATAATATATTTTCCCTTTATCTTTCTGATTATCACTGATTAATAATTTGTCCACACTTATCGCTTATCGCTATTCAGCTAAAAGTGAAAAGAATTATTTTGATGGAAACGGAGAGGCATGCAACTATTATATGTTTGTGTTTGTTTTGTCCCCAACGATTGATTGTCCGATTAACTAGCATGTAAGGTTGATCGTTTCTGTTGCTAATACCTACCCGGTTTGAGTGGCAGTCAGCGGCTTTATTATTTTTTGGAAATCGGTCATTCGAATCCGATTGACCAGTCTTAACAATTTAAAATTGCAGTCTTTTATGCATGCCATTCAACATTCTGATAAAAATTGATTTTCACTATGCTAAACTGATCACATCTCTTAAGCAAGTTAATTTCACCAATTATTGAAAGGATAAACTATCCCAGCAACGATAAATACTTTTATTAATGAAGAAGAATATCTTTTTTCATTCTCTTTGCAGCAACAAAAAAGGGAAATGCGTCAAAGCAGGTTAGTCATATTCAAAAGAAAGAAGTGAAAATAGAAAAAAAATTAGAAGTGAGGGAGGAGAAGAGAACGAAAATATGAAAAGAAAAAATACAAAAAATAAAAAGCTAAAAAAAATTAAAAATTGAAAGGAGAAAAATCAAAAAAAAATTTTTTAAACTGAAAAAATTTTCCTGTTGTTTGGAATATTTTGTTGTGTAGAAACAATTGAATTCAAGGTGTAGGAGAAAGAAGTAGAGCAATTTGGGAATTTTATAGTCATTCTATGTTTTTGTATGACATTTGCTTACAGTGCCAGATCAGGAAGTTTGTGGGAAGAGATTTTTTTCATAAATTCGAACATAGCTTGCTTGGAATTGAATTACCGACTTCGGTTTTCCAGGTTTTGTTTCGCTTTATTTAAGAGTTCGCTTTGACATTTTTGTTAATTTACCTAGTTATTACTAATGGCTTTTACTCCTTTGTTTTTCAAAATTGCTATAACTATTGTTTGTTATTTAAAGTTTACGTTACTTTATTATTTTTATCTTTTTTTGTTAAAGTTGTTTTTATTGCTCCTTTAAATCTGTAAACCTGTAAAGAAAATGTTAAATTTTTTTGCTATACATTTCTACATGTCAGGTATCAATCTATAATATATTTAATAATATATTTTTTTAACTTCTAATAGGTACTTATTTTATTAGGTTGCGTTTGCTAGTGTTATGTCATGTTTAAGGATGATTCCTTTTTTGGATATTAGGTAGTTGGATAACTTCTAATTTCTGCTATTCAAACTTATTTTTAATTACACTGAGTAATTTTCCCTTACATTTAGCCTTACCTTTTAATTTAGATATGAAATATCAATCTTGTAATTATGCCAGTCTTGTAAATTATCCATATTGGGGAAAATCGAAGGTAAGTATGGACGATAAGTTCTTTCTTTTTTTAAATTGCATTAGAATTTATATTTCTCATTCATTATCTGAAACTAATGTGGTCGTGGAAGATTTGACAATTTAATTTATTATTTTGAGAGAGGTTGTTAATCGCAGAGAGATTCTTTGATGTAGATGTAAATATGTGTGGTAACAGTGGAATATAATAATTCCTTTATGAACAGAAGCAAAAGTACAATAACTTTATAGAGAACAATTGAAATTGAAATCTCCTGATTCCTAGTAAAAAAACACACGATGTCCTTTCAAGAATAGTGACCTCCTTATATAGCAAGCTGTATGCGTAAACAAAGTATATGATTTATAATATGATCGGTCTAACAAAGAGAAAATCTATTTCTAATTGACAAACCGCAAAGGATATCAGCTAAGCAAAAGTTGTTATAATTTACAATTAGTAGCGACACAGTAATGAAGTGAACTAAATGAGAAGCTAATACCGTGTAAACAATATACAAAAGATTTTCAGGTTAAACATAAGACTGGAAACAAAGAGTCCAAAATATGAACATTATTTGTAAAGATTTTATAGAACATATTTCTTACTCATATTCACAACTCTCATGTTTTAGAGTTTCGCGACACTTCCGACGCAGAATTTAATTTGGTGATTTGTTATAAGTCATTCTTTGTTTTTTGTTGAACTTTGTTTTGTAGCACTTCTAGTTCGTTGAGCTATGGGTTTGTTTTGTAGCACTTCTAGTTCGTTGAGCTATGGGTTTGTTTTGTAGCACTTCTAGTTCGTTGAGCTATGGGTTTGTTTTGTAGCACTTCTAGTTCGTTGAACTATGGGTTTGTTTTGTAGCACTTCTAGTTCGTTGAGCTATGGGTTTGTTTTGTAGCACTTCTAGTTCGTTGAGCTATGGTTTCCTCTCGTTCATCAATTTCATTTATTGTAACTTTCGATATTTTTGATCGTATCTTCCTGTTGAATTTTCAATGGATATAAACATATTTATCTTCCTCATGGTAACTTGATTAGAGCACTTCTTATTATCCTCCCCTTATTGAAGTATACTGAAGCTGCACATGCATCTGCGAAAACATGAATTTGTGCGGGTAGTGATGTGTCTATTACGTGGTATATCTTTCACATATATTGACCATGCACATGTAAGATCTTCCCAATTCTTCTGATCCTCCATACTTATTAACTGGCCCCAGCTTACTTTCTTTTTCCAAAGATTTTTACGAAATAATTTTATCGGCATTGTACATGGAACTAGGGATCCTAAGGGATCATATTGAGAAGCTAGGAACTGTAATACTGTTCTTTTTATTGGTACTTGATTCTTCCAAGGTTTTAGGGTTATTTGAATTAATGTCTTCACCTGGGTTCCAATTGATACCAAGAATCCTTTTAAACTCGTTTGTCTCTGCTTGATCTTGTTCGGGAATCTTAGAATTGAATTCTTTGTTGTTTGATAAGAATTCTCTAACACTCATTGAGGCATCGTTAAAGATGTTTTTCATTTCTTGATATTTGCGTAGATACACTTGGTTGATACTGTAGTGTTGTCGACATAGAGATTTTTTCTAATCTCGTTAACGAGTTCATTGTCGTAATTTTCCAAATGATAGTTAAGTGTAGCGGATAATAAAAGTAGTGATGATATTATTCCAAATGGGACTCGTTTAAATCGATAATATTCAATATTATCATCTATTACTTGTCCGTTTATATCCTTTAACCAAAGGAATCGTTGCGGTTTCTTTTTATTGGTAGTAACTCCAACTGGTCCATCTCTGCAAATACCTTTTCGATAATGCCAAATAGTAACTGATCGCGAATCGTTTCGTCATATTTGAGTTCATCGTTCTGAAGTTGTTTAGTTAAGGATCTTAGGCGACCAAGACACAATCCGAAATTATCGTTTAATTTGATTCTGGATTCTTTCCATGGCCAAGCAACTTGCTATCTACCATTGTTTTTTGTGATATTTCCTTTGAACCTTTCTAAAACTTGTTCGTCATCCTGTAGATTAAGTTATTCTTGAATGTGTTCCTATGAATTCCAGTGTCATAATCGATCAATTTCTGGAATGTTAATGGTGGTTTGATATATATAATATATGTATATAATATATTCTAATTGAACATGAGTGACCTCCTTGTATAGCAAGCAGTATGCATGAACGAAGTACACGATTTACAAAAAATTGACTTGCCGAAAGGGAAATTAATCTTGACCTGGTTTATAAGTAAATCTAATCACCAGTTGATAAACCATAAAGGAAGTCAGTTAAGCCAAAGTGGTTAATGGTGTAAATTCAAACATAATTTACAATTAATGACGAAATAATAGCTATGAGGTCAACTAAATAAGAAGCTAATACCGTGTAAACAATCTATTTGGAAGATGAAAACAAAATAAATGGTCTACATGAAATAAGACAACTTTTAGTTTTATGGATGTAATACAATTTTATTTTATTTGATATATTTTATTTCCAGTTTCGCTACACATTGTATCAGCCCAACAATCGCTACAATATGAAATAATCATAGCATCCCAATAATCGCTATCACGGTTCATGACTGAAAATTCGAGTGATGTTGTTAACTCTCTTCTTCCCTTCTCTTAATCAAATGTCTTATGAGTACACGGATGTCCTTATCATTTATCACTTTCAGGTGATAAATGCAAAAAAAAAAAAAACAGCGAATAGTATCTACAGCAAACAAATCGTTCCATCCTTAGTGACCTATTGAATGATGGTGGAAATGTTGATGAGGGAAGTGTCCATGATGGTGATGGTGATGATACTGATGCCATGGTTCATCCCAGTCATCGTCCCACCAGTCAGATGTTGTCACCGATACTGTCAACAGAGCTAACAATAATATTGTGGCAAATCTTAGTGATACCATTTCCCCCTGAAAGAATCTTGAAATTGTTATTCGGCAGCTTTAATCAACAGTACTGTGTGAGGAACAGAAATAAAAATTTAAAAAAATATTTAGAAAATATTGCCCTGTTCTAACTTAATGAGGAAGAGAAGAATTAATGAGAATGTCGCGGTGGAAATGAATTGAGAACAACTTAAATACCCGAAATTAGGCCAAAAGCTAATATTACTTGTAAGACTGGAAGTGGGAAAATTGCAGTCCAACAAGAAGCTATAAAAAAATTCTTTTCCCATTAACCTAATTCTAAGCCTGTTTCAGTATTTGATATATAAGCATCTCTTTTCTGAACTTCCTTATAGCAACCTGAACAGAATACCTCTTCTAACAAGTACTCAGTAAGTTTCTCCATTAGTCATTCCTTTTTACTAAAGTTTATTTAATCGATAATTACCTAACTTATCTCCTTGGTCATTTTTTGTGGCGTAATTCGATGTCTTAAATGCTAATTATCTGTATTGCAGTGATGGTATCACTGCGATTTGCCACAATATTATTGCTAGCTCTGTTGACAGTATCGGTGACAGCATCTGGCTGGTGGGACGATGACTGGGATGAACCCTGGCATCAGTATCATCACCATCACCATCATGGACACTTCCCGTGGCATCAGCAACATTTCCACCATCACCCACATCACGACGGTCATCATTCGTTTGGTCACGGAGGATGGAAATGGGATTGATATGATGTAAAATGCAACTGTATTGCTGTTTTCCAAAACGACTTTTGATTAAAAAAATAATTTACTGTAATTTCTCTGTAATTTGAAATAAAAGAAATTTTTATTTTATACTGTAATAATATTAGGTGCATGAAATAGTTTCAAAAATATATGGAGTAATTTTGAGATTCCTAGAAGTTAGCAGCTGGTCGATAAAATTTTATAGTTCTAGAAAACTAATTACTATTGATCGAGTTAATTTCAAAAATTTTCATACTAACATACAGTAATTTTTTATAGTATTTATCACTTCTTAAAGGAAAACTATGGTTTAGAACAATATTTGCGTAATATCTCTATTTCATCTTATTCATGTAAATAAGGGATTAATATAAAAGACAAATGAAAAAGAATTGCAGTATTATATAAAAAACGATTTGATAATATCGTATTTGCGGCAAATTTTAATTGTGAGATGAATATTAAAATTGAGATAAATCAAAAAGAAGTATAAACATTTTAGTATTAAAATGACCAAGAAGATCCATCATGTTGATCAAATTGAACATGACGAGATTCCGTGGCTGATACAGTGCCATCCGAAGAATCATACTTAACGGATGGTCTAATTCCATCGTTAGTAGAATTTAGACTAACAGAAACGATTTCAGTTTTTATTTCTCCATCATTATTTTTTCCTTTTAGCGATTCGCTACGACACGCATCGTTTTGCTCCTTCTTTACCCTTTTTTCGTTTGACAAAAATTTTGCAAATGTTGTTGCAGATGTGATGTAATCAATGTTATCGATAGTTTTATGCCTTTTTAAACTTTCCGAAGCTATAAATTCATCCTTGCTATTCATTCTAGTAATGTATCTGAAAATTGGTCAGAACTGGAATACAATATTAATCTTCAATTTCAGTTAAATTTTGGATACATTTTTAAGCAGATATATTTTTTATAATCCAAGTATCATACTTGAATAGGATAAAAATTATAGTTTTCAAAATAATAATTATCTGTCAAAATGATCAAATACATATAACAATAACAATAGTGGTGTTAACTAGTTTCAAACCAAAAAAAAAAAAAAAAGATAGGATTAAGAATTAAAATTTGAACCTGATAAGGATCAAAAGGATAATAGCAGATAAGGCAATAAGGATAACCATCAACCAAAGTAAATTTGTATTTGAGAGTTCCTTAACGGTTTGATGCGAAAAGGCTGAATCGGTAACATTCATTGATGGAACAACGGTAAATCTAACTTCTTCCTCAGTGGTTAGCGCAGCCAAGAAAGATTCCGTATTATGACGATTCCGGTGATAAATCAATAAATCTTTGTAATCGGTTCCTGGACATCGAGGTGGCTATAAATATGTTTATTTTGGGAATTTTTTTGGTAGAAAGAAAAACAAATGAAAACCTAGAAAATAAGATTTAAAAATTTTTTCACTTATAAGTGTTTTCAATTATACTTAAAATTCAAAAACGTATCAAAGTGTTAAACATTTGGCGATGAATATTAGTATGCTATATGAGTTTTTATAAAATATTTTTTGTAGTTTACATTCGAGAATTCTCTGATTATGTTAACCTTTTCTTAAATAATTTCCAATGAAATTTTCTAGTTTTTCTTTGAAAAAAAGTTTAAAGTTTTGCAATCAAATAATGAAGAAAATTTCAGAGAATTTATAAGTGCTAAATTTACATCAATACTATAGCAATACAATAATGAGCTTGCTAAATTATTTCTAATTACAAATGCCGAAAAATTTTTAGGAAAAAAAAAAAAAAAACAAAGTGACAAAATTTATTACTGTAATTCCTTCACAACCATCCGCTCTTTTAATGCACAAACTAATCTTGCAATGAAATGATAAATGTTCCGAATTGGTAAGTTTAAAAACTTTGACATATGCAAAAGCCATAAGTTTATCATCGGAGTAAATCACATCGTTAACAATATTCGCATCCGCAATACAGCTGCAAATATTTTTTTATTTTAATTCATTTTCGAAATATTTTGAAAAAAAGAGGAAAAGAAAAAGGCGAGCACTTCTGCATGGTAACTACAAATTATTTATTGAATATAGAAGAGAGTTTATTTAAGCCTCATTAATGATCAGTGCTATGTTGTTCGATTTTTAAAATCTTTTCAAGTTTGATTGCTAAAAACCTTTCAAAATGAAGTTTTTTTTTTTCCAATCAAATGATAATTTTGAGGAAAAAAAGTTTCTACCCTTTACTATCGATTATAATATGTTGTTGTTGTTGTTTGCTTTCTGATTTAGCATAACAATCATGAATGTGTAATCCGTATAAATCTAATGCTTCTGCAATGTTTCGATTTTAAAGCGATTACATTTTTTCAGTTACTCTAAAAAGAATGGGATTAAACTAAATTTTAAAGAATCAGGAAATTTTAATTATTCCCATTCAAAATTTTGTTAAAAAAATTGAATTGAAAAAGTTCACACCAAATGTAAAGCAAACGCACTTGTAAAAGTTAAATATGTCATTAAAATATTTAAAAGTTTGCGACAAAAATAATTTCAGTATATAATTCACACAGTAGAGGAAACCATATTTTACAATTAATGCTGAAATATTTTTTTAATTAAAGAATTAAACAAAAAAAAAAAGAATCATACGGTGATTATTTTCACATTCCCATTTATGATAGATAGTATCGCCAAGTTTAGCATATTGGATTATCGGTCCATTTGGTGTATCCGCTCGAATTGTATAATTACATAATGGTGGTATTGAATTCAGTGGTAATATTTTTGCTATTTTAATATCACTAAAATTAACAAAGAAAAAAAATTGGCACTCAAAAGATAGGTTATTTTCAAACTTTAAAATTACAAAATTATTTCGAAAAATTGGAAAAAAAGTTTTGGCAAACTTTATTATTATAATAGCACCATATTTTATAGTCGTCTTTTTTTTCACTTTGCTTCTCTCTTACTACAAAAATTTTATGAATAAAATTTCAATATCAGTCACAGCAAAAGAACTACAATTTCAAAATTAGGATTTAAAAAAAAAAAAAAAAAACAAATTCCCTATAAATTTTTTGGAGAAATTTAATCCTTCAAAAAACAAATATACTTAAGTTTCTAACTGAAATATTTTAACTAAATTTTTATAAATTGAACTAATATATTAAAGGTAAATTATTCTAACCCTTGTGGGCGCTGATTAATGCGCAAATTTGTTAATTCGTGTAACTGCTGAGGTTGATAACACTGAAGAACAAATCCCTTATCTGCATCACTTACTAACCATTTGTCGTGAATTATATTGATCAGTGCGGAATAATTCAGTCCTGCTGGATTTACCTGCGAATTTAAATTGATTCAAATTCTTCTATGGAATACTATTAATTCTATAAAGTTCAATAAAACAGCGAGCAAAAAGGTGTTATCACTTTATCATTAAATTTATGTTATCACTTTATCATTATTATTAATTATTGTCAAGAATGGACAGTGAAAATGACATCAGCAATAAGTTACAATAACTATCGCTGCTTTCTTATAGCTATGACAACTGAATCGTGTCAACTGTGATAACTACTTGATTAGACTAATCTCTCTCTCTCTCTCTCTCCCTCTTCTCTCTTATTCCCTCTCTCACTGATAGCATGAAATATAAATTAGCAAATGACAAATCTGAGTTTTCACCATCGTTCTATTAATTTAATAAATAAAAATTCTTACCGATATTATTTCTTCAATATCACATTGCTTAAAACTAATGAAGAAATGAACTTCACGAGTGTCAATACGTTCACCGAATTGTTCAGCTTGAATAATTTTTGAACAATTTTTCGTCATATTTTTACCTTAAATAAACCAAATTTATTTCAGTAATTAGTGTAAAAATAAAATTAATCAGCCAGCAAAAAAATTTTTGATAATTGAAAATAAAAAAGAAAAAAAAAAAACTTTCATTGCTATCCACTTAAGATAACAAATCAAAGCTTTTATATTGAACAAATGGGTTAAATTAGTAAAATAAAACCAAAACTATTTGAAGAATATTAATCAACAATAAGCTTTTTCTCTCATACCCCGAACAACGATAGTTCCACCAAATGATTTGAGTAATTTAAATGTTACATTGAATCCATCATTTAAACATTGAACAGTAAATTCCTGAACTGATTGATCCATTTCCATTGCTATTCTATTCTCGAAAAATGCTAATTTTTCTTAAAATTTTCAAACATATTATATGGTTTAAATTAGACATAATTTAGAAAAACAATACCACTATTTGCTACCGTAAACAGTCTCAATCCATTTTTAACCGAATTACCTATCTACCTTACCTCTAATGAAATTTTCAAAAAGAATCCATTTGGTGCGATCAAATTATTAAAATTTTTTACTGCAATAATTTTATTACATTCGTGAATTTCAACTTTTTTTTATTTTAAAAATTTCGCATGGCAAAATTTAATTAACCTTTTGTAGTGGTTCGAATATGCTTTGCTAAATGATCAGCTAGTTGACCATTGTTCACTGCAGTTACATTGAAGATAAGATTATGATGCTCGTCTCTGATAAGTTGTTTAATCAATTGAGGATTTGTATCTTTGATGGATACTATTATTACAGTTATATTGTTTGGATCAAGTAACTAAAATTAATTACTATTTTTAAATTAAATTGCATTTGGACATCTTTGTTGGCCATTGTCCATTTTATGTTAAGCCATTCATAATTTGCTTTGATGACAGTATAAGACGAACAATTTAACTGGCCTTTTTGCATGAGATAAGCTAACGATGAAGAAATCGTTTAGATTTTGAGTTAATTATAAAATAAGCTTACCTGTAACGCTTCATGGAACTGACCACTGGACATACCGCTACTGACCATTACAAGTACATTCGGCACTTCATCCCTATCACCCTAAAGTAAAGAAGATATTGCAGTGATATAAAAGAATTTTTATATCAAGTGAAAAGATTTGCAAATTTTATTCTAATACTTTGATAGTTTAAATTTTATAAATTAATTTGATTGTTTTTTTAAAAAAAAAGAAACTGAAAATCTTTATTAAACTTACTCTTCGTTTGCTAAAACCATATTTGACAACTTTATGAATGACATTATCAACACTATTCAAATCACTGATGTATTCAGTATCACCAATATCAGCAAGAAGACAAGGTTTACAATTATGCTTACGGAATGAAAATTCCAGCACTGGTTCACGTGTAAACTGTACCAATGAAATCTGCTCAATAAAAATGAATTTAAACTTTAAAATTTTATTAAAAATGACATTTTTAAAATGAAGTAAAACTTCGTTACTAATATTTTTATTTTAATCATTATTTTTAAATTATGGAAATTTAATGAATTTTAATAAATCTAATTTAACCTGCACTCCATCAGGACCAATATTTTTAAATTGTTCTACGGTGTCCATGATAAATTTCACCGCTTGTTGAAAGTATATTTTAGTAATATTATGAGAAGTATCTAATAAGAATAATATATCGGATCGTATTTGATCAGATTTATCATTTACTATCGGACATTCACCTACAATAAAAATTATTTAGCACTTCGAAGTTAATATTTCTAAAATCTTTTCGTATGACATCGTATGACTACCGTATTAATTTTAATTTTACTTTTAAATTTCTACCGAATTCTTTCCATACTCCAAAAATTAGCACAAAATTTTACATTTGAAATATCACATCATGTTCCCATTAGTAAGAAATTCATACTAAAATATGTCTTCCTAATCATATGTGACATCGCTTCTTTCATGCTTCAAGAATTAAAAAAAAAAATAATTTCCTCAATAAAAATAAGTTACCTTCATTGGTAGCAATGTTATCACAATAGATCGGTTCACTGACCTTTATTTTGTTTGTATTTGATTGCTACAAAATTTTAATCATTTATCATTGATTATCAATAACTAGTTATATTTACATTCCGACTCTTGACAAATTTTGAACAGAAAGTAATAGAATCATTAGAAGTGAAATCATTTTATCTTTGCTATCATTTAAATTATCTTTGAATAGAAATCCTAAAACTGTAAACAGATCTATTGCCCTACTGAGAAGTATCTCAATATCTCAACTATACTTCATTCTCAATAGTTTTATTTATGAAATTCTGAAATCACGTTCTGAAATATTTACTTTATCACTAATTGCTTGAAGTCTGGTTAGATTTAATGATAATTGTGGTTGAATAAATTATGTCTTAATAGTTCTAGCAAATGAATGCTAACCGATGTTATTAATTCAGATTTCAGAATTTCACTTTTCCCTCGCTTTGTTCCAAATTCAGCAGACGGTGGTGCATGCTCACTCGAAATTAAAGTTCTTACTGAATCAATCGGTTCTATGTAATCCGGTTGAGAAGCCATAAAATCTTGTTCTGGAATTAAAAATATTTCCGGCGAGGAAATGTTTTGCCCTTGAGTAGTAAGATCAGGTAAAATTATTCCATCTCTTGAATTAAATCCGGAACGAAAAGGCTTTTTGAATTGTGTTTGCTCTGCTATTTCAGCTGATTCCATCGTATGTTCCTGAGATGAAATACGTTTTGTATTAATACTATCCTGTTTTTGTAATAAATCAATCATTGATTGTCTTCCCATAATCATAGTTTCATCTTCAGCGGAATCTGAAGGATAAGTTTCTTGCATCTCACTGATCTGTTCGCCAACTGCAATATGCGGAATTGTGAGAACTGATGAAGCTTCTCTGTGTGACTTTTGCTCATCCAGAATCTCTCGATCACCTACCGCAATGAAAGCAACCGGATGTGCTGGACCAAAATATAATGACTGATTTTCAGAATTAATTTTCGATTCAGTAATGTTTTCAATCAAAGTTATACCTGACGATCTACTGGTTTCATCGAATACCGGTAGTAGTTTAATTCCAACGTGAGCTGGATCAAATTTTTTTTTGTTAGTAAAAATTAATAGTTCCGGTGTTGCATTTGGCAAAGAAACTGTGGAAGTTAAAAGTGGTTCAAAAGGTAAAATATTCTTAGAAACGGCATTATGACCAGTGCTTGAAAAAATCGTTTTTTTGAAATCTGTTTCATTCTCTGAAATCCTGTAGGTGTTAGGAAGAAAGTGCACGGTTTGTGTGCTTGACGTTCCGGAATGTTTATCTTCATAAAATATTTTGGGATTAAAATTAATTGTTGCATCAGAACTTTGTTGATCTGATGTTTGCTTTAATAGCATTTCATTATCAGTAATAGAAATTGTTGTAGTAGTGGGAATTTGTTCAGGAGAAATGAAAACAACTTCGAAATCTGAAACTAGTGTAGTTGTTTGCATAGATGGAGTTTTTGTGAAAAATGACGAATAATCTACGATATGGCTTGATTCTAAGTTTCCAAATCTATAGGTAGATGAATTCGAATTAATGTTATTGATATGATTCGATGTTGAAAATCCGTTTTCCGATACATTCAAAGTAGCTGGACTCATTTTATCAAAATTAGCTCTCAGCCAATTTCTGTCTATTGCTGCTACATTATCAGAATTTGATTTAAATCTCTTCGATGGTTCGATTTCTTCAATTGATAATCCTTCAAATTTCTTGGATTGCATTCCATTTTTGCTATTTCTATTAGTTTGATCAATCGGTTGAATAAATGTTGCAATGTTTCCCTGAAAAATATTAATTAAAGATTTTTTAAATCTCATTTTAAAAAGAAATGTGGGTACATTTGAAATTTTTTTAATTTAAAACAAAATTGATAGATAAAAAGTCCATAAAGCATTTTTCTTTTCACTAGAAACTTACTTTTTTAAACCATTAAACCACTGCTCAAGCGATTTTTCTTGTAAATGTAATGGAATTCCTTTTATAACTTAGTTGTATACATGTAAATTAGCAGTATAATTTTTTGAATTTTCTATTACCAACACAACAAAAATCATTACGTAAAAGTGAATTAAAGTTTTAAGAGAATTTTTCGTCATTTCCGCTTTTATATTTAATTTATTATTAATGATACTTCTATAACTCTTCAATCCATTGTGGATTTTTTAACGAAATCTTGAAAAATTAAGAAATTCATTACTCACTTCATCATTGATCCTTGGCGACACATGGCGGCTATTGCTTACTTCGTCTACGGTACCTTTTTCAAGATCAATTTCAAGTGATATGGGATTTTCTTGACTGCCTAACAATGCAATCATATTTACTTCATGATAAAAAAAAACTAATAACTATACAAAAATGGAAGAGTTAAAAATATAAACGTGAAAATAAAAGCGCAAATGTAACAGTAGAACTGATGAGAAATTGTTTACCTATTTCTTTATTACGAAGTTCATTTGTTCGTATGTTGGAGTTTGTGGGAGTTTTATTTGGAGTAACCAGAAATATTTGAATGTGTACATTATTGATTGATTTATCATCCAAAACATCAGCGATTTTTTGTTGACTTTGTTCATTTTCGTTAAATCTTGATGTTCTCTGATTATCGGTGTGGTGTTGAGAGTGATAGTCAAATGATGGGTTATGATCAGGAGTTGCTGTAGTATTTCTATAGATCAGTACTACCTGAAAGTAATTTGGAACATCAAGAAAGATAAATCTGAGATTTCAGAATTTTTAGAAACTGAATTTCATTCCATAAAATTCATGTTCACAAACTTCAACCAATTGCATTGAATTAAATTGCTTTAGATTATATTAATTTTCTTTGAATTAAATTAATTTAGATCACTAATGGTTCATAATATTAATTATGATGTCAATTTATAGACATTCCCTATGGAAATATTTGAAGCAAAATTAAATTAGTGTTAATTTTCATTAATGGATCAATCAAAAATCACCGCCAAAGAGCAAAAGCCACAGAAGTGCGAATTCAACAAAGACCTTTTCTCCGCCCAATACGTACACATTTTTAAGAAATGCAAAGATTTCTAAGAAACAAAGATGAAATGATTTTGCCAATGAAATCATTCATAAATAAATTGTGACCTCTTGCAAGATTCCATTTCACTTTCTCACCCAAATAATAATGAATTATTAGTGATAATTTTAAGATTGGAAGAATTCAGATTTTTCAAAGTTATTTAAATTTCAATATTATTATTATTTTCATTTGAAACGTCAGACGTTTATTTATTAGCCCACATCACTCACTTCTCATTCAGTTTCTTTCTCTCTAAATTCTCTAAAATAAAGAAATGGAAAACGATGAAAGTTATTAATAATTGACTAATTAAGGAGATTTAAGTCTAAAAAAATTTCGCATTTGGAAAGTTTCTCATTACATTTAGATTGAAAATTTAAAAAATTTTAAAAGAAACTCACATTTATAATTATTACGAAATGTATTGCAAATCTTCGTATAATTTGCCGCATTTCAAAATAAGAGAGCACTTTACAAACTGCAAAATTTGCTCAAATGACTATTTACGTATGTAATATAAACACGTACCTTTGATACGAAACAAAATAAATTTAAAATAGAAATGAAATTGAATAGTTGAATTGCTATCACTAAAATTTGAAATTATTAAGTTTAACAATTTGGAGAGAAAAAAAAAACTCAGGAAATAGCTGAATAAATTATAACAGCTTTATAAAGCAAATTGATAAAGAAATTTTTGATAAGAAATTCACAATGAAAAATTTCTACAAAGTAACAAATGACCATTGTTGATGATTATTAAATTTTTTTTATCTTTTTCTGTACTTTATATAGGGATGGATATAATTGATCAAAAAATAATTCAATTACAGGATTTCACAAAGAAAGTTAACACGAAATGTTTTCGAGAATTATCATTAATATGTGCATCATGCAAACTAAACATACAATGGACACTTCGGCGACTAGCAAACCTTTTTTTTTAATCATGTGAGATTTCGTGATAATAATAATTATCACTGATATCAGAAGATTTTCGCACGCAAAACAACAAAATAGGGCTTAAGATTGATTAAAAAGGATAATTATTAGACTAAATGAAATGATAAAAAAAATGATAATATAGAAGAGTAAAGATGAAATAATCAGCATCGTCTATCGTCTGATAAGCAATCACTATTATTGTCGCAGTGATCGAAATATCAATGATCATTCTGCTTCTGTTTCAAATTTTATTGAATGTATTCATTTCACTAGGTAAAATTCTTATTGTTGGGAGTGAAAAGATTTCCAGTGCTTTTCATAATGATCGTAGCACTTTAAAAGGAAATAAATTATTAAGAAATGAAAATAAAATAAGTTATAACCATGATTAAATGCAATAATTGCTATTTCATTAATTAATTACGTTACGCAAATATCCGCTATTTACTAAAGTTAGTAAGTAATAATTACTAGCTATCAGGAAATTAGTTATTAAAAGATAAAAAAAATTTTTAATGAAGATAGAAGTGGAAGAAGCAATAATAAAATAATGTAAAAGAAACATTTGTCTTGTCAGTTTCATAGTTTGATAGCAGAATTCTCGATATATCTCGGGATTCATGCAAACAATGTCTTTGATCTGAACAAATAATGCACAATGAAACTAAATAAAATGTTTTCTAGAAAGTTTTCTAATATTTCCTTCTCAATATCCCTAATTCTGAGAAACTTGAGAAATCAGCAAAATTCTTATTTAAATCTCTAAATTTCATTAAATGATTACAAATTTACATGGTCCATATAATTTGAAAATGATGCTAATTTTAGATGGCTTCCAAATATTAGAAAAATCCAACAAAAAAAAAAAAAAAAAAATAATAATTCTTTTTTTGGAATTTATCAAAAAATTAGAAGTTCTTTCTGCATATTCCAAATTTTCTATCTTTCAGATATGTGATTGTTTTCCTCAACATTCTATAACTCTCAATTTTAACGATAAACAAAAAAGTACTCATTACTGATTTAAGATTTTCAGATTTATCGTTTATCTTTCGTATATTATTTGAATTACTCATTGAAATTACAATTTGATTTAATATTAATTATAAGTGCACTTATCAGTCAGTTATTGACTATTTTTAGCTTAAACTTGTACTCAGAGAAATGGAAGCGAAACAGAGTTTAAAAATTTTAATTTTGTGCTTTTAAAAGGATGCATTGATAGCTTCTTCAAAGAAGTGCAGAATACAAAAGTGACTATAGTTTCAAGTTATAATTTCAAATTGTTATGAATAAATCGACCATATCCTTTAATTAAGTAATAACTATTATAGTGTGTTCTCGTAGTTAAGAATTGTGACATTTTGTTGACTGAACAAAATTCATTTTCGATGTACATTGGTTTTCTGAGGTAAAATAGTTACATTTATATTTGGAAAAATCATTGCGAACGATAATCACCAATCAATGATTATGACTATTTTTTTTTCTATTTCCTATTTTGAGATTTTCCATCTGACCATTGAGACGGCATTTAAAAGTCATTTTACAATTCGATCGAGAAATAATTTCCATTCTTTACAGGACATCTCAAGACGACAATTTTTTCCCACCACTACTCAGCTAATAAAGCTTGTGTTGATTAAGTTTTATTAACTCTTTCATTTGTTTCAAACATTAAACTATCGCAGATTGAAGACGTTCAATTCCTTTCTTCTAATCTGTATTTTATCGTTAACTTTAACACTTTCATCTTTTTTTCAAAACTTTTAAAGTTGTGTTATACGTTTGTAATTATTTTATGGTCTAATGCTTTGTTAGTATTATAAGTTATTTGTTAGTAATCTTATAAATTCCATTAAAAATTCAATGAAGAAAAAGCAAAAATTATTTTATTTCATTGCTGAATTATTAAAAAATAAAAAACTTCTCAAACTTGTTATTATTGAACTTTTTTTTGCTTATGGCAATTATTCAAAGTAAATAATAATTGAATAGAAGTCTTAAGCTGAAAAAATTATAAAACATACATTTTCTTGCTCGATTGTACTATTTTAATACATTTCATCATTATTCAAATGCATCAAATTAAATATAAATTGGCTCACAATGCTTCGAGATGCATAAATCACAATTGCGCCTTGACTGATCATTCGGTAATATTTCACTCATTAATAGCCTACCAATAGTTACATTTCATTATTAACAGAATTATTGAACAAAAAAAAAATTTTTTTTCTTTTAATATCAATAAAGTTTATAAAGTTTAGAGAAAAATTTGAAACCAGTCGGTAAATGGTTAAAGCGACTCGTAAATTGTCAAAATCATTTCCCACTGACCTTTCACTTCTTCCCCACATCCTTCAAATTCTCATATATCACCGCCCTTCTCAATTCCTTTCCGTCAACATTTCCTTTTTATCATTGTTACTTTTCTTTCAGTGTTATCCAATTTCTCTTCATTCCGGTCATATCTGCGGTCAAAAGAAACCAGTCATTTCAGTGTTGCAAATCTTCAAGGGATACGTTTATTTTTGCAGAATTTAAGTCAAAACAATTAAATTTCTGTATTAATTAAATTAAGAAAGTGTTCAATAAATTTTGCATCTTTCACTAATTTAAGTAAACACACAAGAACTACTGATCCGGAAAATTTAGTTGATTTTAAGCATGGAAGAGAGAGAAATAGTTCTCTAAAACAAATGAAATTTACAATGACAAGAGAGAACTATATACCGGATATTCGATCTTTAGTGTTCGATTTCCAGTCCTTTTCCAGTACTTATGCGCTCGATCAAAAATGATTTGTACTAACCTATGTGAAGCAACAAAACACCATAAAAAAAGAAAAAATCATAAAGGCTATAGAAAAAATTTTTACTTGCAAAGCAGAATTCAAAGTAAAGCTAACAATTTCTCACTTATTTTGTTCATTCTTCTAATATTTCAGAATCATAACACGCAGTACTTACCACTGATGAAGACTTGAAAATCTAACAAGAATTTTATGAAGTCTTAAAGAACAAGATATAAATCAGCTCTAAAGTTGAACAAATGCGCAATAGTCCATTCATGGATTATCACTAAAATCTTAGTTCTTTTTTCAGCAGTTATAATTTGAATGATCAAATTATCTCTTTCATTCCATCTAAGAGTAATTCATATAGAAAATGTTGTTGTTAATATTTTATTAAAATTACTTGCTATCACTTTCATTTCATAATGATATATAATGAGGAATAATTTAAAACAGAGCGTTGTTTGATTAAAAAGAATTCTCAGTGAACCGGTTGCACAATTAAAATGGTATAATTGTTCATGTATCTTAAAAATTCTTTCGAACAACATTGATCGCATGATTTAAGATCTCGTATTTTGTAATATAATCGGACAAAATCAAATATTTTCTCCTATGTTTGATACATTAATTGCTAAGTTTATTTATATGAATATTTATGTACATTCATTTATTTCATGCACATAGCCAATTTTAGAGTTAAGTTCAAAAAGTGAGAAAATACTTGTTAGAGGCTTGCAAGTAATATCGTTTAGAAACCATCAGTATACCTTTGAATTAACTTTTATGACTCGTCAGCATAATTCTTCTTATATTTTTTTTCCTGTCTGATAACAATAATTCCTTCAGCCAGAACTGATCAAAATCATAAGATGCTAATTACATTGATGAAATTATTAGACCAGCCAAGAATACACATTTTTTGTCAGCACAATACATCAAAATATGATTTGAGATTCAAGTTCATGAATCTATTTTGGAATCACTTCACTATGCAATCACACAGAATGTCTCTGGAAAAATGTCCCATTAACTATTTGGACATTTCCTGCCCTGTAAAACAATTAAAATCAAAATTTCCAAGTCAATTAAATGATCTACATTACTTCTTAATTAGTATTACTTCTTTATAATTAATTACTATGTCAATGAAGAAATGTGCAATTGATTTCGCTTACCTTTTTTTTTTTTTTTAAAAAAAATGAGATTCACATAAAGAAAATATCTCAGTATTTCCAATATTTGTTAATTCTATCCAAATTTTGAACAATAACTTAAAAATTATATCACTGATACTACCTGTCTGCAATTTAAAGTTCGGAATAATGAAATTATATGAAACGGTAGCAATGATTATTTTAATGACTTTGCTGCCACTTATCTTCCTTGTACCAGCGATTATCTTTGAATTTTTGGAACGAAAGCAACAAAAGATGTTTCAATTTTTACTTGAATTTAGACCAAAAAAATTTATCATTCCAGTGGTTAGTTGTTTCTTACCTTCGTCATTTCAATTCATACTTTCAAGGATAATTGAAATAGCAAGCATATTCAAAAATCAAGAAATAGCATCATTTAAATCAAGCATCACGACTATATTATGCTTAAAGAATCTTTGAATTATTAGTATAGTTTTAATGCAAAGCTTTCTTATTTTTAATTTCACAGTCGCATGAAAAAAAGATTACACAGATATTTCGAGATCTAAGTGATTGTCACCATTATATCTATATAAAATCATTTAACTTCACTATTGATCTTATCAGTAAAAGTAATATATTTTGCCTCATTTAAATATAAGAAGTATTATCTAATCTCATAGGATCAAAGAGTGGGTAACTGTTACGGTCACAGATTCAAATTGAAAAATGATAATGAACGATGATAGAATGATTGCAGAATAGTATATCCGAAGAACAGTTCCAATGCCAAAAACAATTTAATTGCAATGCTAATCGCAGCAGAGAAGAAATCAGAGCCATTTTTTCTGCTCGAAATTGCCCATCATCTAGAGAATTGCGTAAGCACATTACGTTGCGTGGATCAATTTCCCGCTATTCTGTTATAGAGCATATTGTTAGCGTTTTACATGCTGCATGCATGGATGATTGCATCCTGCAGCTGCAAATGAATTTAAATTGAAACAGTTTTAGTATCGTTATTGTGTACATCTCCTACACAGCAATCAAGCTCATGCACTACACGAAAAGATGACACAGAAGGGATAAGGAAATATCAAAGAAATGTCAACACTGATATAGAATCTTCATCAACAATACAATCAAGTAATATGAATTCGAAAACTAGCATTCCAAAGAAATCAACTATTACAAATGACAAGTTTATAACGTCACGCAGCAGAAGAGGGACGAATATGCACGTGAAAAGGCCATCTTCCGTATCAGCGACAACAAGATCTTTCACAAGATCATTATCGGAAAAAAGTTAAAAGAATTAATTTATATATTTAATGAAGTCACCACTATAATTACTACTCTAGCATTTTCATTTTTGAATAAAACTTAGGAATTCACTAAGTATTCTTCATAATTCCATTGTTTATCTCTTCAAGTGACTCCATTTGACATAATTTCTAAAATTTTTGCTCCATTAAATGATAAGTTTCATAAACTTTTTATAAAATTTTGGAACTTTATGCAAATAGAAAGTATATGCTTGAGTCCATTAGTTTCAGGCTGTCCATTCATTTTTTATATTCAGCTTTTAGTATCTGTGTTACATATCAACTCTGCTGTCATCATTCATTTAAAACTTTAACTAAATCTCAGAACTCGCTGTATTCTGCTTTTTTTTGATATTTCAGAATAGGACGAAGCACTAACATTTGAAAATACCTTACTAAAAAACTACTATAATTGGACCAAATTATGTCAAGAAGTTCATTGATCAGGGAATAAAGGCAGGAAAAAAAAAAAAGACGAAAATTTGCTTCTTATTTAATACTTTACCATTCTAGTAGCAATGATATTACTTGCAATCTGCAACTGATCAGTTACGGTAGTGAAAGCATACTATTTCATAAACGTTTATATCTCTAGTTGAGCTATTTACCAATAAATACAAAGAAAAGCTTTATAATTTAAGATAGAAGAAATTGTCAAATACGAGGCAAAACAGTTGAACATTGCCAAAGAATATATCAATCCCATTTCCATCCTCCGTGACCAAACGAATGATGACCGTCGTGATGTGGGTGATGGTGGAAATGTTGCTGATGCCACGGGAAGTGTCCACGATGGTGATGGTGATGATACTGATGCCAGGGTTCATCCCAGTCATCGTCCCACCAGCCAGATGCTGTCACCGATACTGTCAACAGAGCTAGCAATAATATTGTGGCAAATCGCAGTGATACCATCACTGCAATACAGATAATTAGCATTTAAGACATCGAATTACGCCACAAAAAATGACCAAGGAGATAAGTTAGGTAATTATCGATTAAATAAACTTTAGTAAAAAGGAATGACTAATGGAGAAACTTACTGAGTACTTGTTAGAAGAGGTATTCTGTTCAGGTTGCTATAAGGAAGTTCAGAAAAGAGATGCTTATATATCAAATACTGAAACAGGCTTAGAATTAGGTTAATGGGAAAAGAATTTTTTTATAGCTTCTTGTTGGACTGCAATTTTCCCACTTCCAGTCTTACAAGTAATATTAGCTTTTGGCCTAATTTCGGGTATTTAAGTTGTTCTCAATTCATTTCCACCGCGACATTCTCATTAATTCTTCTCTTCCTCATTAAGTTAGAACAGGGCAATATTTTCTAAATATTTTTTTAAATTTTTATTTCTGTTCCTCACACAGTACTGTTGATTAAAGCTGCCGAATAACAATTTCAAGATTCTTTCAGGGGGAAATGGTATCACTAAGATTTGCCACAATATTATTGTTAGCTCTGTTGACAGTATCGGTGACAACATCTGACTGGTGGGACGATGACTGGGATGAACCATGGCATCAGTATCATCACCATCACCATCATGGACACTTCCCTCATCAACATTTCCACCATCATTCAATAGGTCACTAAGGATGGAACGATTTGTTTGCTGTAGATACTATTCGCTGTTTTTTTTTTTTTGCATTTATCACCTGAAAGTGATAAATGATAAGGACATCCGTGTACTCATAAGACATTTGATTAAGAGAAGGGAAGAAGAGAGTTAACAACATCACTCGAATTTTCAGTCATGAACCGTGATAGCGATTATTGGGATGCTATGATTATTTCATATTGTAGCGATTGTTGGGCTGATACAATGTGTAGAAGGAAGTCATAATTTGACAATACTGTTCGAAGTCCTTGTCCTGCAGTCCTCAGACTCTAAAATGAGGACACAGTTATTTAGTAGAACAAGCTCAGAAGTCCTATGTCATATGATTTAAGCCATACTAAAGCCGAATAGAGAACGTATGCCAACTGGAGACGGTAGAGATGAGCGAAAGTGCTGCTGAAGAATGCATTACACAATGTGTATGTGTGCATGTTGTATGTGGTGTATGTGACGCACGTGGCGTATATGTTATAAAGTGTAGGGAATATTCTCGACGGTGCAATGGGAACTGTGGTTAGGCATGCGCTTTGATGTATTGGATGCGTGATGGCACACTTCCCCCGACAACGAGGAGTCACCTGTCACCTGACTTTTGGATTGTTATATTGCTAATCGTGATGCTATTGATAGTGAGAATGAATTCTTCTATTGCTATCATCGTATGATTTTTGCTGACAACAAAAATTTGTGTTTATTGAAAAGATTGAAGTGAGAAAGTGACAATTTTGCAAATATAAATCAGAAATCAAAGAAATCATATCGCGAGCCACTTTCAAATTTGTCCTCTTCCAGTATTGACAGCATTTTTTCCACCGTTTCTTTTGGTGAAAGTGTTCGCCTGTTCACCTAAAGTATACTTTTTTAAATAACTCATATTTTAAATTCGGAATTATTTATAACGTTTATTTCTGCTCTGCCAAGAATTTAATTAGGCTTTACTTCGAATTTATGTTTGAAATATATAATTAAGATTTGTAAGAATTCTTTTGCATAAAATTTATTGGTGTAAAATTTTAGAAATGGAAATAAATAAGTAAATATACAAAGAAAGAATAAAAACCTCAGTGCTATCAGCTTGCGCTTTGAATGATTCCCTTATTCCTTCATCATATGACCTATAATTTTTTAATTATATAATTTCAAATAACTTTAATAAAAATCCAAGTGACTGCCTGCTATTCATTTGGTTCATGAGAAATAACTATTTAATTTTTCTTTTAAACTTTCTCCTTTTTCCGGAAAATATTGCAGTGTGAAATCAATTATCCACATTGCAGCATATGAATATACTGATTTGAAGAACGTTTTGCTTTAAATGTTCATTGTCACACCTTTTAGCAATTTCATTATGCATATCGGTTTGCACTGGACCAGGTGAATAATTCAGAATTCGTAAATTACTTTCCTCAACTGCTAACGCTCGAAAGAATGCCTCACGAGCAGCTTTTCCAACAGAATACTGAAGATTGTATTCCTTTTCAGGTTTATTCCCTTTTTGAACTAATTTTGAAATTAGCTAAAGAACGTATGTGAAAGAAAGAAATACAACGTGAATATGTAAAGGAGAAGTAAAATTTGAAATTAAACAAATAACCTGAACCATGGATGGGAATGCTTTTACAGCTAGTAGTGATGTTACATTTAAAATATAGCGAGCCGGAGCTACCTGAAATCTTGTTAGTTTCAATATCGATTACTTTCAATTCTTAAATTTCCTATTACTGCACCATTTTTTACCTTTTCTTTTTAACCTACTAAGTTTTCTAGTAGTTTTATGCAAATTTTATACAATTAAAATAGTATTTAAGTAACACACATTAAAATTTTAAATTTTTGCAAAGTTTGTTGTTTTATTTTAAATTTATTAAAAATAATCGTTTCTTGTTGTAACTTTTTTTATTTATGGCATGAAATGTTATAATTGATTAAGCATTGAAATCATAGTATGTAAAGTATATTTTAATTTATATCACTGAATTGATTGATTAAAAGTTCAACTATTAAATTGTATAAAATCAAAGGAAAGCAAAAAGTGTTGTACCCGTTCAGGAATGGTACTTAACACTGAATTGTTTATGAGTACCACTGAAACAAAGTTAATTTGCAAATAGCTGTGCCAATCATCCGAATTAATAATTTCTACGCCTCGTTTGGTAATATCACCAACTGTCCCAGCATTATGCACCAACAGTAACACATCGTATGTTCTTGAATTTGCTGTTAAAAAAAAAAAATCCGTTCACAATGCATTGCTGTTATCCAACATATTCAATGAAAAAAATCTCAATAATAAGTAGTAAAATTTCAAAATTATTCGAAAAAATAAATGAATGATGCTAGATGAAGATTAAAACCTATTAGAGACGAAATTGCTCCTTGTAATTCCAGAATTTTGCCCGAATTCAATTTTTCAGCATCGCATACCAAGACATGAATATCAATTCCTTCGACACTGTATAAGATTTGAAGTGATAAAAAATTGATTGAAATGACGACAATTGATAGAAAATTAAGAGAATCAAAAAAGTGAAATGAAAAATTTGATAAACCTGGATTTGATTTCATCTCTTAGCTCTTCAAGTTTTGCAGCTGTCCTTGCGGTGATTAAAAATGCGGAACCTTTGGCAACAATTTTTGATAGCTGTAACACTGTTTCTCGACCAATACCACGACTTGCACCTCAAATTTGAAATATTAATTGCTTATCTTTACACCAGTAGCAATATATTAGCCTAATTAGCTTTATATGATTATGAGAAATTTTAATTTTAATATTCAATGATTTATATACCTGTAATTCATTCATTCTATTTGGCTGTTTTATAATTTGATTGATAAAAATATTTGCATAACTAATTCACTTACCAGTAATAATTGCCAAAACTTTACGTCCTGTAAAAGTCATTATGGGCCCAAAATATCGTTAACGGTCGCTTTAATTAGCTTCTACTCGTTTAGTTCACAAAATTGAAATAATTCTGGTTTTATTACAATTATAAATTGAAGATTACAATCATAAAACTGAAAAAGCTATAAAGATGATTAGTGTGCAAGTGTAACATTCCCGATGAAATAATCTTCTGTAAATGAAACTTTTAAAAGAAAATGAAAATGCGAAATAAGGAATAAATCATTTAGGCACAGGTAATTTTTCAGAACCTGTTTGTATCATTGATTATCAGTTGACAATTTGAGATCTTTTAATTTCACACTTCGTTATCATTAATGATCAATTCAAAACAAGCTTGTAAATATTAAAAGAGTATCGAAGAGATAATACATTTGTAAAGAAGAGATTTTTTTTTTTGTGTGTGAATTCTTTGATGTGATTATAGTTAAGAGTATGCTAACTAAAAGCTTTAATCAATTCACAGTTCTAATTTTATTCCATCGCAGAAATGAAATAGTAGAAAAGAAGGGAAAAAATTGAAGAATAATTATTGGATCGATAAATATATATCCTTCCTTGTTTATTTCATTTCGATTAAATTGTCTGTGCTTTTGCGCACTCTCTTCAAAAGAACAAAAACAATTTCTTAGAATAGGCAGAACTGGCAGCTGCAGTAGATTGAAGGGAAGGCAAAATGGAATATTTATTTATTTCAAAGAGTCAGAAATAAAAAGCCGATGGGATGTTGACGTATTTGTTCAAAAGATGATAGAATAATAAACTAATGTTTTACAGATAGTCATTTGATATGATGATTAGCTTGCTGATAACAAGATAATGCCATTAATGTAGGAGTTAAGAAGGAGAAAGAGAGGAAGTAAAAAAAGGAAGATATATTTGATAAGAAATAGAAATGTAAGCTGAATGGCATTGTCATTCGACCAATAATCATCATATTAGTCGATCGATCAATCGATCGATCGGTTCACTGATCTATAATAGTTATGCCGTGATGATGATTTATAATATTTCTATTAAGAGAAGTAAAAGTTGAATTAATATAAGGTTTGAGTTACAAACAGTTCATTAATAAATCAATTAATTAATATTAATGAATATTGTAGAGTGCTGAAGAGAGATAGCAGTTACTCTTGCACATATGCAAACAAAAAATATTCCACTTGCGCTTTGCATACACATATAGATAGCTTACTTGCATGTGATAAGCAACCAAATAATCATTCACAGTTGAGATAGATGAATAATTTAATCGTAATTACTGGAAGAGTTAAAGTTAAAGTTAAGCAATCAGTACTTATCACTATCGAGTTGCCATTCTTTTATTTGTGCTAGCCGTTATGTTGTCCACTAATTGTCCATCATGGAATGCTGCAAGTACTGTTATTGACCATAGTGAACGGGAATAAACTTTTTTCGAAATTAACAAAGTGTCAAAAGAGTCCGAAATGTCACGGCAATCACCCGAATGGACCTAAATCATCCGAAGATATTAAAAGTGGTGATAACATGATAAAACATTTCAATTTGTCGCCCAATCAAATTGTCATTCAGATTTGGTGCTATCATTGGAATGTTATCAGCACTCTGATATCGCTGCTATCAGCACGCAAAACATGCCAAAACATTTTTTTCTAACCTATTCTTATTTCTCCTTACTCTATGCTAAAAAATAATTTGCTTACAAAGTTAACATTCCAACTAATACATATATTGCAATTTTCTCGACATCTTACCAAGATTTTTTTACTTGATACCACTTTACAATAGTTGGCCATCCATTTATTTCTTAAAATTTACTTCTTTGTACTTTGAAAATCAAACTTTTAAAAAATATTAGGTCTTGTGGTTTCCATGGAGACAGATTCAATGATTACCAATGAAAAAATGAAAATAGAAAAATTGTTGCAGAAAAGATTTTTTAAATTTGTGAAAAACTGTAAGCAAATAAGATGTTTTAAAAAATGAAAACGTCCAGAATCTACCAGAATAAATTTGATTTGTTTAATTATCAAACGAATGTCATCATGTAAGATTTGTCAAACTTCTATCTAAAAATTAATAAATATTAGTAAACTAATAAGATGATGTTGTTTTCAGAAAGACCTATATAGGGTTTTCCTTTTTTTTTTTTCTAAATTACAATTAATGATATATTTTGAGTTGCAGATGAATGATTAATTATGGTACGGCTTTCTTTTTTTTCCAAATACTTTTAAGTAGAAGAAAATGAAGTGTTTACATCACAGTGTTTTTTTCAATAGAATTAAATATTTGGAAGTCACCAAATAGAAAATGAAGTAAATAATGGATTGCAATTTTGGAGGAGAAATTTTTTTTAGTATGTTTACAATTGTATATGTATCACATATTCAGGCTAAACTAAATAAAAAACATACTAAAATATGACAAAGCTGAAAAAAGTTTATAAAATTACCTCATTAAAAGTCATTAAAGTCTCATTCAAACCTCATTAAAACTCAGTAATTAATTTACGAATTCTCAGATATCACTTAGCATTAGTGAAGATACGAACAAAGAAACTTTTAGCAAAGAGTATGATAGAATGATTAGTTGCATTTCCCGTTGGAATAATGAATGTGAGTGTATGCAGAGATTTATGAAAAATTAAATTTAGGTGAGATTAGACAATCAGTGAAATATGACATTGCTTTTGCATGTTAAAGATGAAGATTAATGTAGAGTCCAAAGTCAAGTAGTTTGGAGTAATAACGGTAATATTAAGTAGTCCGCAACAACTCTCAGTAAAAACGCAAGCATTTAGACGTGAACCTACGTTATCTGTTGGCTATATCTATTTGATGTTTTCTGACCTTTTATGTAAGACACTCTCATATAATTACTTTATTAAAATTGTAATATGATTAAAAAAAGTTGCAATACGATATTCAACTGTGCAAAATTTAAAGTTTTAAAAATGTGAAAAAAAAAAAAAAACTTAATAAAAATACATTGAGTTAAAAAAAAAGTGTTGAGCCATAGCAAAGATTATTAGCTTTAGATTATCTAATAATTTTTCATTCGTTCTCCCTCTCTCTCTCTCTCTCTCTCTCTCTCTCTCTCTCTCTCTCTCTCTTTCTCCATATACGTATGGAGAACTTATAAGGATTTGTCAGCGAAGTTTTCTTGATTATAGTTTGAGGTTTGTATAGACAGATGTGTTGTGTAATGGGATCTGTTGTAACGAATTTTATTCCTACGAACTACGTTAATGCATATTGATAATGTACTGATAACTTCTAGAAGCGTTATCTACGAGCATGGAAAGATGCGGAAGAGTTTGAATGAATGAGTGCGCGAGACTAGTCAAACTGAAGCTTAGGTGGGCATTGGCTCATACTCGCAGTAAGTAAAGAGCTGTCACTATCGAACGAATTTACTTTTTATACAGGTAAGATAGTAAGAGTTGTTTTTAACATTGTGTTAATTGCTTGTAAGATGACAGTTACACCGACAGATCTCTGTACTCGACGTTAGACAAAGAGCTGACCAAAAACCTTTTAGCAATCGAATCTCAGTTTGACTTCTAAAATTTAAGGTCGCAAGAATAAAATGACTCAAAGCAATTCTCAACATATTAAGCAATGCAAACATTCTTTGTTAACAGTGTGTAACATTCTAGATAAGGTAGATAAGTTCAGCTGAAATTGGAAAATGAGTGAATGTTAGATAAATGATTTCTTAGAAATAAAGATGAAATAATTTTATATGAGAACAAAACAATTTTTAGTCTTATGAATTTAATAAAAATTTATTTCTCTATATTATAATTTGGTCTTTTCGACAGTATATTTATGTAAAATAATCAAAATGAAATTCATCAATTTGAATTAAATTTCTTTGAGGTTTACATGAAAATTTTTCTCGTTTTTCTTCCTATCACTTTTTAGCTATTGTTTTATTTTATTTTTTTAAATGAAATATTTGACATAGATGACATGCAATTTTTGTGCTAATAGGCTAATTAATTTAGTAACAGTGAAATTAAACAAAGAGTAATAATTGAAAAGGCAGTCAAAAATAAAAGTTGGTAAAATTAATTACAGTGATGGAGAATGAGAATTCTATGAAAATAAAAAATGACGAAAATATTAAAATCAATTTTCATATTAGGAAATGTCTCCCCATTAATTTCAATTTCTAACATAGTTTTTATTTAAATATATGTGCATATATTTAAATCCCTCCATCATTTTTCTTGAATATGCTAAAAACTTCTCAAAAAGTTTAGTGCTTATTTTTTAGAAGTAATAAATATATTTCACCTGTGCCACTTGTCACATATTTTCTTTTTAGGTTTATTTGATACTATACTATTTGTTGGAAATTTAGACATGAAACAGTAATCAGATTATAAGAATTGATAATTTAAATGGTAAAATGGATGACCTTAAATACTGAAATAAAAAACAAAAACCACAAATAGACTAATGCTTCGTTAAAAAAATTAAATAGCAAAAACATGGAATAATAAAATTTACAGTTTTAATGCTATACTAAAGTTGTTAAACATTTAAAAAATTTCAACTCATTGATGTGAACTATCAAATGCTTCTTTTTTCTAAAACAAAAAAAAAAATTAAAATGTGAAAATATAAGCATAAAATATATTCGAATTATTATTTTAAGCATTGTAATAAAATACTACCAAACATAAACATAAAGCAGTAATGAATGATAAATAATATTTTAATTCATTGGATAACGTTAAAGAAACATTTTAATTTCCTTCAATTACTAACTGTAAAATTGCTAAAAGATGACAACAGACAGTGTAGTATTAGTCTTCCTGAAATCCAATCGAATATGATGAAAAAATTATCTTTATTTCATGTTTAATCGAAATTATTTCAAGTCTAATCGAAGGCATGCAACATTTTTTTTTTTTTAAAATGAATAATTCCTTGTAATAGTACTATGCATAAGATAAAAATAAAAGTAAGAATCGGGTTAAAGGTTAAGTAATAAGTTGTTGTATCTTATGCACTAACGGTTTACAAAAAATTAGAAAAAGAACGTCGAATTCAACATTATAAAGAATGTTGACGTTTTTTTTTGTTTTTAACTTGTAACTAAAAACCTAAATAATACGAAAAATTATTTTTTGATATTGCTTACTAATAATAAAAGATAAAATTAAAATATTGAAATCATATGCTTCTTGACTCTGCAGAATTAATAAGGGTCAAATTTGGTAATTAATTTATAAAATATGCAATTTATCACTCCTTTTGTAACTCTCTCCACATCAAATTAGCATTTTTGTAATCTTTACAGAATCGGTTATAAAAACAAGGTTATTACTTCCTCGGTCCCACCTTCATTAAGGTTAATTAGAGAACTTTACTTAATAACAGCAGTAAGTATTGTTATTTTACAATTTGATTGAAACGAATACTTATGCATAACTTTTCGAATTCCCATAATTACTTTAATGGGCCTTCTTTTAGCTAAAATTGAAGTTACATTTTTCTTACTTTATTTTAAATTGCTGTGAGTAATGTGTAAATACATAAAGAAGTGTTATGTGAAGAAATGAATTCAACCGTACCAACCCCTTAAGATCTTCCAGAGATTCTATTAATTATTAATTAACAACTAACTCAATCTTCTACAAATATTTCCTTGCTAGCACGTAGAAGAAATGAGAAAAGAGTAAAAAAAATTTATTAACAAGCCGTAATATTAAAGCTAGCTAACTAGAGGAACAAGTAAATAGAAAAAAAAGTCGAAATGTTACAATTAAACTTAATTAATTAATAACAGTATAATAATAAAAGTAATTAGTAATGATAATAAAACTTAAAATTTATTTGGGGAAACATGAATGGAGCATGTTCTCCAACCTGTCGCGCTTGCGTCATTTTTTCTTCGCCGTTTTAACAATCGATTGATGGCTGAACTTTCAAAGAATTTACCTATTTGTCATGTCGGAAGTCCGTGGAAGTCAACAGTATTAAATCTAATAAAATTAAATCTAATAAAATTAAAAGTTACAGAATAATAATAAAAGTAATTAGTAATAATTGTAATAATAATAATAACTGATAATAATAGTTATAATAACAATAATAACTAATTAATTAATAATAGTATAAAAAATAATAATAGTTATTATTATAATAAATCAATAATAATAATAATAATAATATTTATTATTATTTAAAATGGGATTTATAATGGGAGTAAACGCAACTGCATAATTCTGTTAAATTAAAAATTTAATGAGAAGTTTCATACCAGGCATAAAATCACTTACAATAAAGTAATTGTCTTTGCAACAGAAAGGCAAAACATTACGGAAAATGGAGAGGTAAGAGAAAAGGAAAAAACGAGTGGAAAATGGGGATTATAGCTTCTAACTGAAGTGGAAACTATTATTCATTTACAACTATGTAACTCGGAAGCAAAAAATATGAAGTCATATCACAATAACGATGAACAACGAAAAAGAAGGCATTTAATGAATACAAAATATTTACATTTTATTTTTAAAATTAAGTTAGAAACATTAACATTCTTTTTTCACCTCTACATCTGATGAATGTTTCGTTTCACTGGAAGTGAGATTTTCAAAGCATTCAAGGGTAAAATCCTGAAATGTTTCGTTGATGCATAACGATCCCCCAAAGGGATTATCAGATGGTGTTTCATCAAGGATGCTCATCTTAGTTTTCCATATGTACAGCCGTTCACGATAAATTCGTGCTTCTGCCAAATCATCAATTTCTTCATAGGCTAACATCATTCCATCATAAATAATGCCAAGTCCAGAATATTCCTCACCAAATATATTCAGCTCTGCAAAAATTATAACATATAGATGTTGGGATGAACGAATCGATATTGTCCTTTTCCTCTAGATAGAAAGTACTTTCTATTCGTGTTTAAATTTATATAAATGTATGCATGAAAGATGCGAGAAAGTCAGAAATCTATTGAAGTTTACTTTCAAGCAAAAAATCTGTATAATATGGATGTAAAAGGTGAAGAATAATTTGGATGTGGAACTTGGCAATAAGGTCAGGATCTCAACTCGAAAGAATTTTTCTAATTTAGCAACAATAATTAATAATAACTAATAATAGTAATAGTAATAATAATAATTAAAAATTGCAATAATAATTAATAATAACAATAATAATAATGTAAAGATTATTTTTTCGAGTTTAAGTTCTGACCTTATTGCTAAGTCTCACATCCAATTCTGAGGGTGGAATATAAGATGTGAGCTATGGGTAACGATAATAATATGGAAGAGTAAATGTTGTAAATATTCCGAAGATTTGTATCTTTATAGCATAAGTAATAGTAAAAGAAAAATGAATAAATTTACTTATTACATATGTAATGATAAAGCATTGTGAAATGAACGTTAAGGAGCTAAAATGAAATTATTTATTTATAAAAATGACTATGAGCTAACGAAATAGCAGTGATAATCCAATCATGAATAGCTAAAATATTCAAGAAATTATGACTAACCAAATATAACTGTACAATTTCTCTAAAAAAAATTTAAGAAGGAATTTACCAATTTCAAGGCATTTTTTGAAAAGAACCAAAGCTTCCCGAGGTCGATTCGCATCCTTCAGATAAAGATAAGCCAAGGAAGTCATAGTGAGAGCTGTTTCATGATCATACGCGCCGTAGACAACTTTTTTTATAGCCAAAGCTTTTTCAAACATTTCTTCAGAAACCTATATGGGAAAATTCATTTTCATTTAATATTTATGATAAAAATTTAGGCAAAAATACCAATCTTTATGAACCATTTTTTTTTCAGTGGTCGAAATTGTTTAATTGCCATTGTGCAGCAAAGCTTCCTTACATTGTTTGGAATATCTTTTCAATATAACGCAAGATAAGTTGAGTAAGTCAGCAAGTCAGAACAAGCTTAAATTTAATATTAAATATACAAATGCTAACATCAGTTTTTTGCAATTGACGAAATATAGAGCCAAGATAATCATAAATCCTCGCACAATTCGCATTCTCGCCTTTAAAATTGAGATACTTGTTCAGGGCTCGCATATGTGTTTCCATCGCTTCATTTAGCAATTGTTCTTGAGTGGTATCATTTCGTAACGTACTCTTTATCGAAACTAGCGCTATATATATATTTTTTTTTTAACTTGAGTAGTACGCGACAATATGCTTTGGTTTAATAAAAATTTCAGCAGAACATCACATCTATCGGTATGACTTTAGTGACAATAATTCTTAAGGTAAGTTTTCCTTAATGTAAAGAAAAATGACCGAGATTTTGAATTAAAACCAGAAGACAAATAAAAGAACTTGCAACGTTTTGTAATTCAAATCTTTAAACTATAGTGAACAACCTTGCAGCTCTTCAGCATTTAATAGCTGATAATGTTCTTTATCCAGCTTTGCCCGATAAATTTCCAGTGCTTTACTGGCATACTTTTCACAACGAAAACGTAGTTGAATGTATTTGTCGCTAAAAATTTTAAGTTTTAGAGATCTCAGGAACATTACTCTCCCATCTATAAATTAATCTATACCTTATGATAAATCAACAGAAAAACCTGCAAGAAAAATAAAAAACATGCCTATTGCTACGATATCCAGAATAATTATCATAGAGAAGCCGGTATGCAGCACGAGCATATTCATACATTGCTTGTCCATCACGGAGAGAATCTGTCCCAAAATGTTTTTGAACCATTTTTGCCATCACCTATATCAAATCAATTTTAAATTTTCTTTGTTTTCCAAAAAAGGAAAAATATTGAAAATCTTCGACAGAACATTAGGTTTGAATAAAATTTATGATGTCAAATTCGGAAAAATTCATCTAAGGACCTCAGTAGCTTATAAATTTATAACGACTTACAACGAATAAAAAATGTTAACTATTCCTACAAGCAATATCCAACGAATAAAGACACAACTTACAGTATAAACCTGTACAGCTATCTCAACATGATCCGAATTGAGCAAACAATCTCCATAGTCACATAACACAGAACACAACAATCGCTCAAGCTCTGGATGACTCAAAACAATTACTAGTGCGAACCGAACAGCTCTCAGTGCTAACTTAAAACATCCTTTGAAAATGAGAATCTTTGCAGTAACACATAAAAGCTCCACTTGTCCCTGCAAGAATTCAGATTTAAACCTTAATTTTTACGCAATATAATCCTGATAAATACCTCAGCAAACAAGTCCTACACAACATATATCATGAAACCTCTATTTCAGTCGACTCAATCACACATAACATGATCGAAGATCATAAAGAATATGGATCCATTCGCTTTTTCATTTTCTTTTTTTATGTTCCTTACATTTTAAATTTATTCACAGAGGAGATAAAGAAAATCATATAATACTTGAGAAATTAGTTTCATCTAAAATCCATTCACTGTCAGTAATGCAACTTACGGAAATATGCGTTCCTTTGTCATGCGCAGCTTTTAGTGCTTTTAAGCAAAACTCCATGGACTTCTTGTAATGGCCAAGTACGTACCTGAAAATACAAACGTTATAGAGTTTATTTTCAAAAATAATCAAATCCATTCATTATATTACGAAAAGTAAGGCTAACTAAGGATTAAAAAAACTAGCCATAACAAAGCGCATTGCGTTTGAATTTGAACGAAATTGAGTGTTCCAATATCACCATTGCTTTCTAGCTTATCAATTAATGTATCAGTAAATGAACTAATATGTACTGCTTCGACGAATGAACAGTTATTCATGTAATATTTCAGTAGCCTTTAAAAGATTTGATTAAAATCAGCAAAAGAGCTATCAAGAAACAGTCTGAGATGCCATGCTTCATTCAGCATCATTTAACATTTCAAACACGACATATTTCAGTGGAATGCTACAAATTAATATAACCAACATAATTCCATAAAAAAAAAAAAAAACATACCAGTAATTTAGTTCAAATAATTTACGTTGACGCAAATGGTGGTCGACTGATAACCAATTCAGAATTTTTTGACAATATATAAAGATCTCACCGGGAAGACTAAGCGATCCGTGATCCAAAAGAAAAGTGCCTAAAAACTGTCATCATTATTATTTGCTAAACAGCCTTTATCTCAATATATCAATTTATTATAACAACTTTTTGCTGACATGAGAGCTAAGCTGATAATTTCTTTCCTCTATTTATGACAGTTACCTAATATGAGTGTACATTCGTACAATTCTATATCTTTCGTTCTTGTACGATCCAAAATTCGTCGCTTCAAGTCTTCGAATAAAATTCGTTCAATTAAATAACCTTTATTCATTAATCCATTGAAAAGCTCATGAACTGTCATTCTAAAAAGTGAAATCTTATTGCATATATCAGTCGTTTAATTTTAACCAACAACTTAATTATCAAACACATAAAATAACAAAACATGAAATAAATGGTAGATTGTAACCCATAAATACCGAATAATTCTCATGATAATAGCAAACCTCCTCATTTTCCAATTTAGAATTCTTTGAAATGTGTCGATGCTACTCCATTCTTTGCTCAATATAAGAAATTTGTTTTTCTTATATAAACCTACGTGGATCTCAAACAGCAATGGTAATGGCAGAGAATATGCTTCTGCTGGCATTCCGTTTATTTTACTCGAGATGTAATTCACGACCGCGTTTTCTAGCGATCCTGCAATGTTTAAATATTTCATCATAAAATCAACATCTGCAAATAAAACTGACAGTGGATAAAACAGAGACGAATCCATATGAAATAATAAATTTATTTTTTTAAAAAAAAATTTTTTTTCTTCGTGAAATCTTATAGAAGGAATTTTTTTAAATCTTCCAGCAATTGTACTTTTGGAGCCACTATGTATTTTCTTACTTGCTTTCTTCACTGGGAAAATATCTGCCCATTGAAAGACTAATTCGAAATACATTTTATAACTTAGTTACAAAGATTTGAAGTGAATTTTTTAAAAAATTTGCAATAAATTTAAATATTTCAAATATAGTTCAGCAAACAAACCTGGATTGTTTACTTTCCCGCTTTCTCGATTAAAACTCCTCATTCCCCAGATTTCCAGCAATTCATCCCATTGACCGAAAATTGGATCAAATAAGCCTCGCTGCATAACCAACTGTCGCATTTCATCGCGTTGTCTTATCAAATGTTCAATCATATTACGCAGCTCATCAATGAGTCCCACAGCAACACGCTCCATTCCAGCACCCATTATTGGTCGATCATTTGCTCGATTCACTTCTCTATGAATACTGAATTCCTCGGAAATAATCACCCAACGATATTTTGATTCCCAATAAAAAATCTTCCATCAGATCGTAAATCCACGAATAAACCTAACCATATATGTGGATGAATCCACAGAATGTCAATGGATCTAGAGAGGATTTGCTGAAATTACCTATTGAAAATGAGGAAAGTGATTTAGGAAAAAGAAATCTCACACAATTACGTAAGGAATACATCAAAAAAAAAAGACTCTATGTAGTTAAATTCCATAAATCATAAGCTATATGCATCAAAGAAAACATTCATAAACTGAATTAAATAAAAAACTGAGTTTAAACAAAAAGAAAAAAACCGACTCTCCCAACACCGCAAGTTGTTCAGCTAACAGAGCATTTGCATTATGTACCAATGCATGAAAATCCCTGTCGAGATGATCCAAATCATTTGGATTTTCATTCTGTTCAACTGCTGGGAAATTCAAAAAAGGTAAATTGTGTAACATTTGGGCAGCTCGTTGCGCTAAACCTGCCACTCCTTGTTCATTTTCATCTTGCACAGCCATCTGCTCCTCGTCATCATTTGCCATTGCCAAATGCCTTATGTAATGAAGAACGAAAAACTATCCCTGAAACTGTAAGCAAAAACAAAATTACTAAACATACGTCATTTCAAATAAGAATTACCAAAGCTTTTTTAAATTCTATAATAACTTATAGCTAAAAGTATTAAATTGGTGCAACATCTATTCACAACAAATTTCACAATTTTCTTAATATAAATTTCATACAACTTAAAAAGATTTCCACACACTTAGAAAAGTGATGCAATTCAGGTATGAAGTTGAGACGTAATATAATTTATATTGAATGATTCAGAAATTATTCACGCATAAATTAGGAAGCAAAATAATCAAAAATTTTTAAAATATTAAATCTACAAATGATTAGTAGCAATAGTTTGATAGCTGTGCTGCAAACTGTTCCCTTTACAGGTAACTATCGATTAAATTCTGTTGAAATTATTCCTTCTACAGGTAACCACTGAGTAATATTTCTTTCACTGCTAATCGCCAATTAATTATGGACAAAATAGGAATAGGAATAACTCTGAGTAATTTATAAAAGTATTCGGAAACGACCGGAAGTAATAAACACGGCGACCAATCAGGAAAAGCACAAACACCTAACTAATGAGCAGAAGAAATGGAAATCCATTAAATCCGTCACTGCTTGACAAATGACACTGCCAGGAATAATACGTACGGCGGGAATTTGAATCTAATAAATAATTCAGCTAACAATTTTACAATTGGAAAGTATGCGATTAATGAATGGAATAAAATTTTACTGATAAAACTATCTGATAAGACTGATAGAACTATCCGATATATTTTCCTTCTCCTTTTCATTCCATTCCATTAATAATACCCTTAAAGAGTTCGAATATCATCCAATTACCACAAAAAAATATTAACGTGATTAACAGGATGACGTACGACAGGGTGACGTACGAGTAAGATGGTTATAAATTATTTATTTTTATTAATTATTTGAAAGGTTATATGATTTGCTGAAAATTTAATAACTTCTAATACATTCCGTGAATTTGATATCGTATCATCACAACTACGAGTGAAGAAAAGACGAAGTGATATCATTTTCTCCCTGGAAAAAAAGAAACTCAAAAAAAAAAAAAAAAAAAGGAAAATTTGCATACTTAAAAGTAAAAGAATGAATGATTCATTGTTATTTACTATTTATTTTTCACTGTTTTGAAGAGAATTTTTTGTTTTTTCTTAATTTAACAGATGACATAAGTGAAAAAGTGGCATCGTTGATTAACTGTACGATAAAAGTAAGACAAAAGTAATATATATTACTATCATTTTATTCCTTCCAACATATTCAGTATTTGGCTTAAATGCAAACATTTAGCTTACCTTAAAATTTAATTCTCTTACTACTTCCTATCATTCATATCATTTATTCATCATCCATTTCAATTTCGGGATTGATAAGTAGCAAAATTAATCAATTAATTTAAAAAAATTCCCTTCAATTTTCATAAAGTCGAAAACTTGAAAGGAAAATTATGCTTCGCTAAAATTTGAATCAGATTTATTATACCTTATTTTATAGCTTTGTTAGAATATTTAAAGATTTTTAATAGTTGCAATAATTTGTTTTAAATTAGGTCAGAAATTTGGAAATTCTCTCTTTCATTCTGGCATGTTCAAGGCAATTAGCGGCAGCAGAAAAGAAATTGAACGAAAACGCTTGAGAAGATGAATCGTTTTCAAAAATACATTTGAGGTTTAGATAAATTTCATTGTTACTTTTTAAATATAACATATGAAATTTATTTATCTCTAATTCTTTCTAACTTCATTCTTGGAAAGAATTTAATTCATAGCTACGCTAAGCTTTGCTTTCGTAAAATTTCTTCGATTATTTTATGCAGTAATCAAGTACGAATTAAACAAAACAGAAAAGTCAAATTAAAAAGTGAATTAAACAAAAAGTAGAATTAAACAAAATAGAATGTTTCATAAATTTGTTAACTGGATAGCACATTAAAATAACTCAAATACAAAAGGTTTTCAAGATATCGTCCCTATCCATATCACTCCTTGTAGTACAGTCTGATGACATGCACCTATCCTGGCCTCTCTTTCATCTTCATTTATATTGCATGAATAAATTAAAGTTCAAACATATGTAGCATGAAATCTACTTTATTGTATCTTTGGGAAGTAGCCTGAAATTTGTTCTATTGCATCCTTATGAAAAAGATTTCTTCTGTTTATGGCTGAATGTAACGAGTGAAATTACGAATGGATCAATCATTAAGAGATCTGTCAATATAAAGATATTCAAAGATCTTTTAATAAGACGTATCTATCTTATTTCTTTTTTCTTTTCAGGAATATCTGGCTTTTGCTTTCATTCATCTAGATATGACTATCAAATATTACTTTATTACATCTTTAGCCCGAAGTTTTAATTAAATAACACTGGAGAATGATAAACATATTTTGTAAAGTATAAAGATATTAGGAGATAATGATTTTCGTCTGTATATGCTCATGTGAATATACTGAAGTTATTAAAGTCGCTGACAACCCCAATTAATTCAACGTGTGGAAAAAATAAACGATTCAAAAATTTCGATGTCCCAGTTGATTTTATCCGGAGTTCCAATGAATCCTTAGTAAAAACTTTCAAATTGTACGAGTAGATAAAAAGGAAAACATTATGGATCTCCAGTATCTCAATAACATTATCATCCACACCGACTTCATGAACAACCTTATCATCATTTGCACATATTTACTTCATCCTAGAAAATTTACCTATCGTCCGATCACATACTTAGGAACTGCATGAAAAACCTGAATATCGCTCTAAAATATGTTGAAGGGATAAAGAACAGGGAGGACAGTATAGGACAATGAAGAATGTAGAAATGAAGAAGTAAGAACAAAATAAACTGAGCTCTAAATCGATATGACTGACAATCACTTAGTATAGAAAACTTAACTTCCTCTGCTACAGTCTCATTTCATTCTCTCAAAAACTTAAAAGTAAAACATTAATGAAAGCAAGAAATTGATTTCAATACTTCCTAAATACAGAACGTTAAGTGTGTAATATTTATATATTTAATTTGTTCGTGAATCTCAAACGTTATGATCTCATGATTCGTATCGATAGGAAATCTGTGGCATCACTCGTGAGGTACATTTAAAACAGCAAAAAAACTTTAGCTTCATTGTAGCAGCAATTTTTTCTTAATAGGGCGATACGATAATAAGAGATCACAAAATTGGAGAAGAGGACAACATGAATAAATTAATTGCACAAAACTTTATACAATCAAGTGGATTAATGAAAAAATGACTTCAGTGACTGAATTTGTCAATGGCTAAGATGAAAATGACTTCACAACTAATTTCGCTTACAAATAATACAATTAGACATAAGTAATACAATTTGCAAGGATGAGTAATAAAAGGCGAAATGATAGAAGTGAAGAAATAGTGGTGTATTAGGTATACTATTTAATGTCTAATACCATTTAAAAACATATGTCTTATTCAAGCTGTATGTGAAGTTCCAGCCTAAAAATAACGTAGACTATTAAACGGAAATCAACAGATTATAATAAATAACGAAGTGATAAACAAAATCTTTTAAATTTCCAAAAAATGAAAAAGGAAGTCAGATAATTCTATTTGCGGTACCAAATAAAGAAAAAACAATTGCTCCAATAAAACACTGCAAAGATGTAAAAATAAACACGTAAGCCCAAGTGCTGCCCGTTTCGTGTAATATATATCCAGCAAGATACACACCAACAAAACCGGTTATTGCAGAGAATGCATTAAAAACACCTGGAAATGAAAGAAATTTGAGAAGGAAATTTCATATAGATAAAGAAAATATCAAGTTCATGTTGATTGCTTATTTGTACCAAAAAATGGGTGCAATCTATAATAGCAAATGAATATCTATCTACATCACATCTTTACATACCTTAGCATAAGGGATTAAATAATTAGTTCCCTCTACTTTTTGGCTAACACTTTCAAAAAACCTTAATATAAATTTTATTCAAAAACTTTGGTTTTAAAACAATTCGAAATACTCTATGAATGTGTGGTAAGTTTCCTAACTGCTTCCTTTGAAACCTAGTGAAAAAAAAATTTTTTTTAGAAGCGCGAAATTACCAAAAACTGAGCCAGTATGGTTAGGAGCAAGGTCACATGGATTCACTGAAACACCACCATGATGAAAGCCACGTGCTGCCATAGCTAATGTAAAAGTGAATAAAGCTGCACTGAAACTCATAGACTGCGTTGAAATTAATAAGCATACCGCAATTGCACTCAATGAAATACCCTGCAAATATGAGAAATTAGTTTATTTGGTAGAAAATTTACAGTTATGAACGAAACAATATAAACGTACGACAAAAAATTAACCTCCATCAACTTCCTGGTAAGAGTAAGAGAATGCACATAGACAAATAATGATGTTGCGATAAACGGGGCAAAAAAGGCAGTTATAACAATTGCAAGTGAAGGTACTACATTATATATAACTCCTTTGGCATCAGGATATGTATCTGCGAAATAATATGGAAGCCAACTGAACAACGTATAATAAGCGTTAGCACCACAGTATTGCGCGACTGCTGCTGCCCTTAAAAAACTTGTACGTAGCATTTGTTAAACACAATGGAACTATTATAATTAGTAATAATTAGTAACAAAAAAGTTTACAAAGATAATAGTAATTAATGGCAGAAATAATAATAGAAATAATGAAAGAAATTCCAAAAAAAGTTCGAAATATTCGCCAGTTTTAATTTCAAAACTTTGAAATGAAGAAACCACATGAGATTCATGTTATTTTGAACAGTTTAAAATAGAAAAAGAGGACAGAATTTTCCAACGTACCAAAACGATCGATGTTTCAGGAGTGTATTCCAAGGAACCACATTTTCGGAGGAGCTATTGCTAAATGATTTCCGCAAGCCACTAACTAAGGGAGCTTTCAACTCGTCGCTTTTGCCGTCGTCAAAGTCACTGGATTGGTTACGTGATGTCAACATGAAGCGAAGCAATGCCCACCACAAAAATGACATCAACCCTGAAACTTTACAAGTTTTATTTTTTACAAGTAAAAAATAAAAACAAGCTTTCCAAATGAGCAATAGCAATATTAATCCAGTCAAAACGAAACAGTGAAATGCTACCGAGCAGAGATAATACTAACTGGAAACATACCCACACACTGAAATAGGGCGCGCCAACCGAAAGTTTCCAGTAATATTGAACCAACTGCACCTGCTAACGCCGTCCTAGAAACCAAAAGCATAAAGTGTTCAAAAATGCTACCAATTATAACCAAACCTTTTCCAATAAATTTTACGGAAAACCGGTTAAAAAATTAGTGCCTCACCCGAGATGAGATCCTGCCAGACATATGCCTAATATGCGCCCCTTATCAAAAGACGTCAGATGTCGAGAAGTCATTGAAGCCATCGATGGAAGATGGAAAGCTGCAAGCAAAAATATATTGCTTGAAAAGCTTTAACATGTACGCCTTGGTAGATTCAAAATCAATCGAGGAAGTGATTCATTTTTTAGGCTCTGAAATGATCGAAATTCTAGAATCAGTTAGAACGTACCTTGTCCAACACCTGTCGCTGAACGGATGATAATTATAAAAAGCATTGGATGATTTGTAGAGTATGAGAGGTCGAATAGTAGAGGAGTAAAGAAAGTGAGCAACGCCCATGTTAATGTACAGATTCTCAACACCTTCTCAGCGCCCACACGATCAGCTACATGACCAGCAATTATTTGAGTACAAGCATATCCCCAGAAAAACGATGACAATACAGTCCCCTTAAACATAAATTTGCGTTAATTTATATTTTTCTATGCATTGATATTCTAAGGAAAATCGTTCCTATCACTGTAACACGAATAACTATAACAGTTCATCTTGAACTATTGCGATTAACAACATATTAAATCATATAATTGTCCGGCAAGATAATTAGTGAAAATAATAAATACAATAGACATTACAATTGATTTAGTAACATAAATAAACCTTCCTGCTGCTTTAGTAACATAAAAAGAGAGAAAATTCGAAAGATAAAACATACTGCATCATTTTTGTTCCACGAATATTCATGAGCAATCACTGTAGCACATACTGGTAAAGCTACACGTGCAGCATATAACATACATGTACCAAGAAACAAATTGGCTGTCCATAAACGACATTCCTGTCTGAAATATGAATGCTAATTTATCACCAATCAATAATGATACTATCTTAAAATATCGTTTTTGTTCTGTCAAATCATTCTGCAAAGAATCATCAAAAGTGATAGTTTTAAGATAAATTCTTTCTGATCAAATAAATCTAGTTTAATAAGATTCAAGTAAGCGATGACATCACGTGAGAGGATATATTGTATCGGTCAATAAAAAATTCTATTTACATATTGACTCCAATTAAAAGTGCGAGAATAAAAGAAAAATAATGTAAATAAACAAACCTGCTCCACAATTTATCACAACTAGTAGGACGACTTTCGATATCTTGCTGCAATAACTTCATGTCGGCGGGCAAAACATAGCCCGCCGTACCTGAATAATCTCTTTGTTTACTTTCATTGCTAATTCATATGGCAATAAAAGAATGTGAATAATTGAAAGAAAGTAAAAGTGCTATTATTTCTACTTTTCAAACACTAACAGAAAATTCCGCCTGGAATGTTCCTTTTTACACAATGAGGCGGTTATTAATTTAATTTCAATTAACAAAAGATGTGAAAAAAAAAAGTATAAAGCATGATAACAAAATAATAAGAAGTTGTCATTATGATATAATCTTCATTCTTTTCCATATTAATTTATTTTCTTAATTATAGATTATTAACCATCTAATTGCAGATTAATTAGAGACTATTAATCACACATATTTATTAATAATTGTAGATTATTAATTATTTAACAGTACTGAAATTTCTCCAAATATTCCCATCCCATCATAGGAACTGTTCAATGAAGCCTCTTTAATCAATGAATGAGCTATTTCTTACTTACTCACACCACGTAATCCCGCTTATTCTTATTGTCCGTATCAAGTTATTCAATATAACGTACGTCCTCTTCACGTTCGACCACACGTCGCAAACGTTGACAACACAATTTTATATTATTATTCACATGCAAAGCAAACTACCACGTATCAAGTATCTTTCTCTCTTCTAAACACACTCTTCTAAAAGTTCTATTTTTCTCTACTGCTGTCTCGGTAAGCAATACTCTTTTCTTCCTTTATCAATCTTCCAAAGAAAGGAAATGATAAAAATATAATTTTAATGTTAGGAAGTGATAGAACTTGAGTCAGAGAGAGAAGGGAAGAGGAAGAAGAGAGGGAGGAAGGAAGGGAGGAAGAGAAAGAGAGAGAGAGAGAGAGGTTCACCTGCAATGAATTCATTTCAGTTTTCTTCATTTCAAATAAAATCACTGGCAAATTTAAGAAGGCAAATAACCGATAATACTACTTTTCACAATGTTAAATTAAAAGTGAACTCTCAGTAACTCAGCTAATTCCTTCTTCTCTCACTTCAAACAGACAGCTATGATTAAATTATCAAAGTATTAGTTAGTGCCAGGTATCTCTCATATCATTCATATTATCATATTTAATGAGTAGAAATTTGATTTCGGAAATAATTTCAAGAAGGGAAATATCAGAGCAAATATAGAAATGTACTTCCTCCTATTTTTAATTGCAAAAATTGCAAAGGAAAAGAAATAGTTTTTATTTAGTGATAACAATTATAGACAAATCTATATTGGGCGATATCAGTGATGATAACATTGATAAGAAAGAGTATATCCGATTGTACTGTCACACACTGAAGTACAACACTGCTGTACAATCATTCATTTCTCATATGAAATAGAGAGCCTTTTTTCATTTTTATTTCCTCGGCTTTTTTGTGAAATGAAAAAGAATTATGAATGAATAAGAAATAGAAATTTTAAATTGAAAAATATCGATCGATTTTTTTCTTTGGTTAAAAATCATCAAAAAGAATGATTTAAAACAATAGACAATGACACATTTTGCACAATTTTATTTCTTTGTTTCATCGCATTTTAAATAAGCTAAAACAAGGATTAAAATTTATGAATAGGAAAATTGAACAAATCTTGTCAAAATTTTCACTGAAACATTTAAAAATGAAGGAAATATGATTAGAATGGAAATAAGGTGATAAAACGGTGCACTGATTAGTGATTACATATCAAAAATAATTGATTAGACGAATAGCACGAATATTTAATGTCTTTTTTTTTTGCGTTGCTGTGAATTATAAGAAAATTACATTGATTCGTTGAAAATTTCTCGAAAATTATTTGCAGAATTTTCCACCAATAGTATAATTAGTTCATAGTTCGACAGTGTAATACTGAAAGGAAAACAATGAGTGCAAAAGATTATCATTTTGATATCAATTATTTCTAGGAAACATTTTGATAATAATCAGCAGATGAATAATCTATGAAACAATATTTTCAATTATAAATTCAGTTGAATCAGAAATTATTAGTTCACAACCCCTTATATTTCTTGTTTCATCGCTTTCCTATTTTCGGTCAAATTTGCATAAAATGCAAATTTGATCGATCATATGAATAAAATGATGAAAAGCAATATATAGCAATCATTTTGTAGCATTTTTACATTAATTGTTAAAGAATTTAGCGAAATTTGGTGAAAGCAATTGTGAAACATTGCATTTTGTAATGGTGTATCAATCAGCTACAACTCCAATTCATACTTCAAATGGTGCTCACACACCTGTTAATGGATCTTCACGATCATCTCAGACTGGATCAGGGACAGGAACGGGGACAGGAATTGGAACAGGAACAGGATTAGGATCAGGATCAGGATCAGCATTATCACATAGCCATTGTAAAATCCTTTGACACTTTTATAATGCATTTTTGTTGATAAAAAGATAATGAATGTAAGTTGTTGTTTGAATTTTCTCAAAAAAAAAAAAAAAAAATGAGTGATAAAGAATAAAATAGTTGGTTGATTACATTTGTTGCTGATCATCTAAATTAAAAGTTTCTTTCAGCGAAGAAACTTATCATTCGTAGAAGGTCATCACGAAGTAGCAGTGGTAAATTTCATCTAACATTCATTCACTAATTGATTTATTTCCGTTTTAAGAATTTTCAAAAAAATGTTAAATGAAAAAGTTAAGTTTAAAAATTTGTTACAATACTATTGATTATTCTGATTATTTTTTGGGGCAAACAGCAATAGCACCAGTGAAGTCCTCTGTATCTTCACGATCTGCAATTTCTGAGGTACTCTCGTGTTCAACAGTTAGTCAAGATTTACGAAATGAACTACTAAGAGTAAAAAAAAAATTCAGCTCTTAAAAAAATGATACGCCAAGATGCTGGGATTAAAATAAACACAGGAAAATTTGAAATTTTGGACGACAATTGTTTTACGTATATTTCTTTACTTACTACATGTTTACCTATAATTGGAAAAATTTTAAGTATTATCCTGAATCAATGCCTGAACCGGTGCCATCTCAATCGTTACGCAGTAAAAAGCTTATTCAGGTCAGCAAATATTCTCTATAAATGAAAAAATGGATAAAAAATATAAAAAGTCTCAAAGTCATATTAAATCTTTTCTAGATAATGCCTGAAGAGGCTGGTGGAACAGCTTGGCAAGTAGAAGATGAGCCATTTTATCATGGTTTTATGTCAAATAATGAATGCAAACCACTGCTTACAAATGCGGGTGATTTTCTGGTACGACGGGCAGAAATTGATGGTGAAATGCAATATGTCATCACTGTTCTTCCCGAAAATTCAAATGAAATTACAAATTTTATCATCAAGAAGACTCGTCCTGTGAGTAATTCAATGAAATTCAAATTAGTTCAACATAACTCTCACTGTCATTCCTTCACGTGCTGTAATATGCGTTTTTACGTTCGTACGTTAAATCATTTTCAGAAACACCTATATTACGTGTACATATACGCATTCAAAACAATTTCTGATCTAATTGCATATCATAGTCGTATGAAAAAGCCATTAAATAATGAAAACGTATGCATTCTGAAAGGGATTGCACGAAGTGATTGGCAACTTGCCCATGAACAGGTAAATATTAATTTGCTTTTGTACTTAATGGTAGATTTACTTTTCTATAAGTAAGCAAGAAGAATACCGAACAGTCTTACATTAATTTTTTTTCAAAATTTTTATTTCTTTTGTTTCATTTTTTTCCATAAATTTACATTTTGTTTTGCTTTGTTTTTTTGCAATGAGTTTTTTAATTTACAGATTGAACGAAACAAAAAATTGGGTGAGGGAGCATTTGGTGAGGTTTGGGAAGGAACGCTTAACCTTGGAGTGTTTCGCGGTTACATACCGGTGGCAATCAAAACACTTCATTCAGGAAATATTAGTGCAGATGAAAGAATTAAATTTCTTCGAGAAGCAAATTTAATGCTTAAACTAAGCCATCCCAATATCATCAAATTTTATGGCGTAGCAACCTTAAAGGATCCTATTATGATCGTTATGGAGTTTGCTAGTGGTGGATCACTCCTTGCACGAGTACAGAATACCAAACGACCGGTAGAATATATCAAAATTTACTTTTAAAACTTGAAATAAAAAAGCTTTTTGCTTTATCGATTGATTGTTTATTTATTTTATTTTTTGTTTTTATTTTTTTCCAATTCTCATAGCCTACTGATGCGGATAAGATACGATATTGTGCTGGGGCGGCTTCTGGTCTGGCATATCTCGAAACAATGCAGATTATTCATCGAGACATTGCCGCACGAAATTGTTTGCTGAGTGCAGATGATGAGGTTAAACTGAGCGATTTTGGACTGTCATTGCTTGGAATTAAATATCGCGAAAGAAGCATGAAAAATGTGCCTATTCGGTGAGAGCCCTATTGAAGCTTCCGTATATGGAAAACGATAAGGCCGGAAACACAGTCGAATTTGCATTTAAAAATTGACTTTTTATATCTTAAATTAAATTAAAATAAATTCAATATCAATTAATTCATCCAATTTAAGTTGGTTATCACCGGAAACACTAAAACATGGACGTTTTTCATCAAAGACCGATGTCTGGAGTTTCGGTATAACCATTTGGGAAATATATTCAGGCGGTCAGGAACCATATGCAGAAATTCAGGATAATAAGGAATTGCGACGAGGCATTATTGAACAACGGGTGAATTTATTATTTTTTCTGGAAATGAAAGGAACGAATGCTTACTAAATTATTTGAGAAATTGAATTCAGAATTTGAACTGGTTAAATGGAATAATTAGATTTCAAATCCAATAATTTGAGGTCAAATTTGAAATAAGTTAAAAATTAAAAAAAAAAGTACAAGGAGTTAAAAAACTAAAGACTAATTTAATCCATATTATTAAACTTTTATAAATTTCAGGTAAAGATATGCAGCCCACCTGGTATGCCACCGATGATGCAGCAAATAATGTTTAGCTGTTTGACATATGATCCGAAAAATCGTCCAACATTTCAGGAATTGAATGTGAAACTATCTGCTGCTCGACCCAGTAGTAGCTATTTCACGCTGTCATCCAAAATTAAAGGATTATTTCACTTTTAAACAGATTTTTATTATCAGGAATTATCATTGAACAGTATTTGTTGCTACACTTCTAGCGATTCTTTAATAAACAATTCTGATTTCGTACTAAAATTATTTTAACCAATTCGGAAAGACTCATTGGTTCTAAATTCCAGTAATTTTAAAATTAAAAAATTTCAGAGTTTATCAAATATCAAGTAAATTAAACGTTCATATTTTAATGACACTTCCTTAATTAACGTAAAAAAATGTTTCTACTTTTATAATTAATATTTCTATTTGCAAAATGTAATATTTTTGAATAAACTTTTATTGGTTTGTTAATAAATTCTATGTTGTAATTAATTCATTTATAGTATTTTATACTAAATTTTTTTGATTCTTAAATCAGCTATAAATTATAAATGAATTTTAACAGCTTGCAAAGCTCAGAGCACAGCTGCAATTTATAAACGGATAGCTCCAGATTTTAATAAAGACATCAAATTTTATCATTAATTCATTGCAGTTGAAAATAAGTCATAGTTAAATGATTTCTGATTAAAATTTATTGTTATTTGTTTGATAATAAATAATTTAGCATTTTATTTAATTAAAGCAAGGTAGATCAGATTAATCTCTTCATTTCTCTTCGTGAATATAAAATGAGATCTTTTTTTTTAATTCTGCAAATAATTTGTGCAAGACAAATTTGCCAGCCATTATGTGGAAGGAAACTGGCAATATTAGTTATATTGAACTTTTCGAAACTCACATCGAATAGCTCTAATCAAATTTTAATATCAGACATAAAATTTCAGCATTGCTATCATGATTAATCATTCTTGGTATTTTATTATGATAAGTTATGGAGTATGCAAGTTGCGACAATGACAAATGATGGATAATTTTAGGAATTTTAACGCTCCATAAAACTTTTTGCTTTTGCATATTTGCTTAACCAACTAATAACTTGAAATTAAGTTTTAAAAAAAGGATTTGTGATGAGTCAATCTTCACTGTTTACCTTATCATATTCCTTATCTTCACTTTCAAAAGAAGAATTAGTCACTGATTCAAGAGTAATGCCTATGTAAATTTGAAATGTAGTTCAAAATAAACTAATAGCACATCGCAATTAAAAAAAAAAAAAAAAAAAAACAGAAACCTTTGTGTCTTTTCTGTTACAAATACGTAAAATAATAACTTTTATACTTTAGATGGATGGGTAATTTCAGTTTGTATATTTCAGTTCTACATATTAGCTATTCTTAAGAAAAACTGATCTGATTCCATCACGGATCAGTGATCTTTAGCTATTCACAGGTTATCTTCAAAGACCAGGAAATACCTTGGAGAATATAATCTGCAAAATATTTCAACTTTTCTCGCATTATTCTCCATCACATCTTCATTTCCTTCTCATCTTAAAAAATTACCATCTTTTCTTATTTCAAAATTATGCTTATTAATTTTATTTACACAAGCAAACTTTTGCTATTCAAATTTTAGTTACTTTATATTAGTGCAATTTTTTTTTCCATTAATTCTTTCTTTGTGCTCAAATAAATGTATCAAAAATTTCTAAGAAAAATTAAGATTGTTAGAAAATCACAGTTACAATAGATTCTGGATTGATAAAATCGAAAGACTTATGCTAAGCATTCTCAATAAATAAATAATAATGTTGTAACTGTAATCAGACAAGCATTATCATGATTTTCTACTCGATAAACTCATTGATCGAGATCGAGAATTTTTGCTGAACGGTAATGTAGACCGAGTAGATAAGTGCTGTACAGAGGAACTTCTTCCTCCTAAATTCATTCTTCTAATTGAGTAATCATTTCTAATATCAATTTTATCTCTTCCTGCTCCTCCATTTTGCTGTGAATCCAGAAAGATTGATGTTGAATTTTGAATTGCTTTCTGAATTTGTATAGCTGCTATAAATGCTAACTCATCTACACTTCGGTTTATTGCTGATGGAATACAAACTGATGAAGGCGGTAGAAATTTACTTTCTCGAATGCTAATCGGTGGCCGTAATGGTGGATTACATGGTTTACTTCCAGCTTTGACGTAAAAATACTTTCGATCACGACGACTTATCTGTTGTTTCTCCATTTTTGAAATCCATCCACCAATTTCATAAATTTTTAATAATGCACCATGTCGACGCCATGGATTTGGACATGATCGCTCGACACGTTTCTCGTACGTTTGAAAATGTCCAAGAATTGGCAATTCGAGTACATTTTGCGTTTTTTTCCATATAATTTTTGTACCATGAATATGTTTCATTCCTGGAAGTTTTGCTGTTTCCACGTATTTCTGACCGATAATATCATCGTTGAAAAAGAATGACTGTGAGTGATGATCATTTGATGATGATGATGATGATGACGATGATTTGTACATAGTAATATTTTCCATATTATCATTTGAGGGTTGATGATTGGTCAGTTTCTCTTGTGAAATTGAAATTCCCGTCATTAAATCATCACCATTATCGCTGGTATCAATTACTTTTGATTCTAGTTGTGATGGAACTTTTCGTGGCATTTCTTTGAAATAATATACAGCCGTCTGCTAGCACGGATTTGCAGAAAAATAATGTCATAGGATGAGTCTCATATTTTATTCGATGAAATTTATTGCATTTGCATAATTTTTTTTTGACTAATGCTAGAAGTGAAGTATTAGTCAAAATTAAAAGAGATTAGATGCGAATTTAACAGAAATTTATTTCGTTTAAGTAACATTTGATGTCACTGATTCATTTGATATCACTAATATTAAAAACTTGAATTATCAGTTGCAAAAGTACTGAAGCAGAGAGATTTATACTTTATGCAAATGCAAAGTATCAGTAACTGTGCAATCTAATATGTTACAAAAGAAACAAGAATAATCGATCTTTTGATATTAGCAAAAATTTAAGAAAAAATAGCCAAAACGTTTTATAAAAATTAAAGGCTCACTCAGAATGAAGACGCATTTTTCTTTTTTATCCTTTATTAGATTACCAGAAATGAATTATAAAGTAAATTTGATTTTGAATGATTTGAACATTTGATATCTTCGAGGAATATCTAAGTGATAATATTCCAAATGGTAGCAAATGGATGTTATTGAATAATTTAATATTTCGAATAATATTTGAAAAAATATTACTGAAATAAATTCTCATCATGAAACTATTGGAATGACATTCAAATATATTACTTAGTTTTTCGATTATTACTAATTATTACTTTTGAATCGTCTAACTGAAGGTATTTGATATGGATAGTTATCGTCTATCGAGATCAGATCTATGATTTAAGTCGTAGCAATATTGTTTTAGACTTTTCTGTCTCTTTATGATTAAAATATTATTCGGAGTGTTCTAGAGAGATTTTTGGTGAAAAAAGCTATTTACATAACAACATAATAATCAAGAAATATCTCGAGAAAATCGTTCACTTCGGAATCCGATACTTTTGAGAAGTATATTCATAACATTTCATATGAAATACATACCTTAAGTGTCACATCTGAAATTTTATTTATAAGATAAGCTTGGAGCTGAAGGGATAAATTAATAAAAATATAGCATATCAAACTGAAAAATTAATAAAAATAGATGATTCAGTCATAAACTGAAATGGAAATTTGTAATTTTAAAATTGAAACAAAATGATTTTACTAATATAAATAATTAATTTAATTTTGATTGATTCTTAATTTTGACTGATTGATTGGTAGTTAAATATTATATTTTTATTTTACATTTCCTCAAGCAACTTGCACTGATGGAAAATTATAAGAAAGAGAAGATTTTTTCAAAATTCTAAAAACGATTATTCATGGATAGTTTATTACTGAGATGAAAAGTTGGTAACTGAAAGGGAAGCATTGATAATACTACGATAATTCAACAATATATTCCACTTACTGATTATTTTCATTTCGTTCTATCCCACTTTCTTTGATCTCAGCAACCTTTGTTGAGAAAAGAGTTCATTCAACATCTCCTCAGTTAATTACTTCTACTTATTTGATTGTTAGGTGAAAATTGAAAAGAGATGATAATTGTTATCAATTTCTTTACATTAGCATATCACAGTAGAATGAATGATTTAATTCCAAAAAAAAAATTCGAAAAAAAGCTCAAAATTTCTTCATTATGCCATCGTTCAAGGCTGTAAGACAATGTGAAACTCATTGATTTTCAAGAAAAGCAACACAATCATATTTTGTCGAGATTTTATCGAGCAAAGATTGACATCACGAGAATTCGAGAGTGAACATAGCTTGGCATTATAATTTGTGCAATATCAAGTAAGCATATAAGTTATTTAATAAAAATATAAGTAAGAATGCAATGTAAATTATGCATATCAATAAAAATGATAAATGATTTAGTTGTTTGAAGAAGCAAAGACGAAATAATAAAGTTAAAAGATTATTTAGTGGAATATTTTGAAATTATCTAAATTACTTTATGATTCACTAAATTCTTGTAGAATTACAAGCAAATATAGACGAAAACTTTTGTGGGATTAGAAGAGCACGAGAGAGAGAGAGAGAGAGAGGGAGGGAGAGAAAGAAAGAAGTGGGATAAGAGAGGTGGAAAAGAAGGAGAGAAGGGAAATTATCATATTTCTCTCAGAAGGATCGAACATAGTAGAAATTTGGATCTTTTGGTGACAATGCATCAATTTCTTATTCGTTCCTTCGTTTCTCACTTTCTTTCTTCCTTCCTTTTCCTTTTTTTCCTTTTTTTTGTTTAATTTCTTTTAATTTCAAAGTAATAAATTTGCTAAAATCCTTTAAAGCATTTCTTTTTTGAGAATAAAATGCATTTTTGAAAAGATAAAATACAATTTGTGAGCAAAAATGGATGAAAAGCTTTGAGAGATTAAAATAGAGAGAGAGAGAGAGAGAGAGAAGATGAAGAAAGGGGAGAGAGAAAAGAGAAGTGACGTAAAGGATAACTTTGAAGGGAAGAAACTAAAAAGTTTTCTTCAATATTTCTCTAACTTTTCTCCATCATTAATTTTTGTGCTAATTATAAGCCATCTATGAACAACAGAATTGTATAGATAATAACTTAAAATATAAGATAAGAATAGTGCAAAGTGAGAGGTAATTAATATACAATTGAGAATACTTTAAATTAAGTAATTGGAATAGATGAAATTTCTGTAAATAAGAAAGGTTATTTAAATTTTATTGTAAATAAAAGCTCTTTTTAACTTAATTACAGTGGAGATAATACAATTCCTTCATACCAAATTACCTATTTATTACTTTAAAAAAAAATAATATGACGTCTTTGCTAATGCATTCCCGTATTAATTGTAATTAATTATTATTCATTTATCAGAAAATATGATAAAAAATTATGTTTTATTGGAAAACGATAAATCTTACTTTTAGCAAAAAAATCAATGTTATCAACTAAACCGATTCTAAAGCAATTAATAGTATCCTTCACCTGAATTTATCACTTTGATCCGTTATATCATTCTAAGCTAAATTATTTCTTCAAGATTTTATTAAAGATTTTGGCAGGGAATATGTTTTATAAATTGAAATTACGAAAATGATATTTTTAGGAATTTAACTTTTAGTATTATTTCACAAACTTTCCAATTGTTAGGAAAATGCTGCATAAATAAATAAAATTAGAAAATACGAAGTTTTCATATTCATTAAAATAATCGCTGCACAATATTTCGAGGAGAAATAATTCTACCAAAAGAATTAAAAGGCAAATCGTTGAAAACTCTATTTTTTTTACGCTTAAGCCAGGCGGTATAGTAGTATTAGCTTATTAGAAAAGCGCATTAGCATTTATGGCCAAACTATAATTCTTTCACTATTTTTATTTATCATTTTCTTAATCTTCTCTTCGCATCTAAGCATTAGATAATAAAAAATTTTAGAAATTACAAAAAAGCATAGAAAGTTGAAGGAAATATTGTGTAATTTATTATTGATAAATTTTTAATTTTCAAATTAATGCATTTCAGAGAAGGAAATTTCAAGAGAAAAATAAAGATAGTGAAAGAATAGACAATCAATATTAGTTTAGATGAATAAAATAAAATGATAATATGAAGAGAATGATAAAAAGAAATGACAAAATAACGATTTAATGTTCATTTTTTGGGCATTAAGAAAAATAACTTTTTTTTTTAAGGGTAAATTTATTTCATTTAAAGGGTATTTTCGAATTAAATATGATTATGTAGTCCGGTTTAGTAGTTTTTTTTCTTTTTTTAAGTCTTCACTTCTCATAAGAAAAACAAATTTATCAAAATTATTTTCAAATTTTTGAATGTCCTTTCATTTGTTTCTTTTGAATATGTGATTTTTTTTTTTTTTTGGAAATTTCTGCAACTAATAAAAGAAAAGAATAAATAATCAATGTGAATACTGATAGTACTACGATTGTGATTTTAGTAGAAAATATAATGAATAAACGAAAGAATTGAAAGAACATTAATCAGAAAAATAAGGAAATTAAAAGTTTTACCACTTTAATTGCTCTTTTAATTGTTTATTTATTTAAATATTAGTACATAAATTAATAAATTTGTAAAATAATTATATTTAAAAATTTAGAAATTAAGAATATGCTGAATAAATGTTGAAATCAATTTATAAAATAGATAACTTTTTTTAAAAGTTAAAGAGTTGGAACAAAACGAATATAATTACTATTTCCCACTTCATAAATCCATTCGCTATAAATGATGAATGATTTATTTGTCCTAACAAAGAGAGAGAGAGCACCGATGACTATTATTGACATTTGAGCACAATATGATTCCACTGCAGCATAGGTTTGGGTCACTTACCATCATGACCTTCACAGATTGACCTTTCTAGCCTTTCAAGATACTTCATCCATTTCATCTTTTCCATAACTCTCTTCTATCATTCTCAGATCACAAAAATACACATCTATTTGTTGTCCTTTCTTCTTTTGCTTCCTGTGTTTTTGCAAATTCAGGAAAAATCCTCAAATTATTATTGTAAAAAAAAAAAAAAAAATTTGATAAGAAAGTTCTAACTCAACTATTCAGTTCATATTCAGTTCAGTTCAATTTTAAATTAGTGAATTATTTGATAGTGCAAAAATTTTCTTCAAATTTAAATTCATTATGTTATTTTTTCCCTACAAATAATTCTATCCCCAATAGCAAATCTTCCATTTTTAGACATTATTAAATTCATAAATGAACCTTATGTAAATTTAAATTACAACAAAAAATAAAATTCTCATAGCAATTGATAGCAAAACCGAGATGCATTTACAGTATTATAATATCAATTGAGCATTTTTTTCCTCAATTATCACTTCTTTTCGTCTTTTTCGGAAAAAAACCTACCCTAAAAATCCGGTTGGATAAATATGGAATCCATAAGCAATTTTTTTTTTTTACTTACTAAATTACCCTTTTTGAAATTATTGCACGGTTAAAATTTCAGAAAGGATGTGAGCAATGTTTTCGCATTATTTGTTTCGTTGTCGATTTCTCTGTAATGCAATTAAAATTCGGAAAGAGAGAAAGGAAGGATGGGTGGAGTTCTTTTTTCTTTTTTTTTTTTTTTTTTGCCAGTTTGAGGCGAACGGATTCAATTCTTGTAATTTAAAAGTATTCAGAATAGATTTCACCTTGAGAAGTTCTCCTCACTTGCATTTCTTCTATCTAAAATCCCATTTATCACTCACTCATTGAGACTACTCCATTCTAATATATTTTAAGTTCATTTTAAAATAAATTAAATTAATTTTAATCTTACAAAGTTACATAATACCTTCAATTTCTATATAGACGAGACAGATTTCGTTAATTTTCCAGCACTTTTTACTTATCTTTTTATTTTTCATAAATTGCTAAAAAGAAAAAAATATTCACATATTATTACAGTTCTTAACTTTACTTCAAGAATTGTTTCATGAATTTAAATTTGTCCTATTTTCCACTCCTTTTTCTTTTTTCTTGCTTAATTTCAAATCATACTTAATAATAATTTTTTAAAATCAAACATTACATATTTAAATTTATTCTACTTTCTATTGATTCATTTTGAAATTGAGAAAAAAAAAAAAAAAGAATTTACTTTCATTTTGTTCCACTTTAGAAATATTTTTACTTGACATTTTACTCAAACGACTGCATTTTTATTCTTTGTACTTCATTACTGCACAATGAATTGAAATGCATTTGAAATACTAATAAGTCTTTTTTACTTTTTATTTTTCAGTAATTGAAATGCAACAATGTGTGAGAAAATTTTTTAATTCAACAATTTTCTTCGTCAGTATAATAATTTTATATTTCTCTTTTTTCTTTTTTTTTTTTTCCTGTCGCTGGCAATTAAAAATTTTTCCACATATTTACTGAAGTGAAATTAAATCAAATTAATTTTAACTTTGCAATATATCTAAATGAAATCCACTGGAATTTTTTGCATCATATGTATATCAAAATTCTTGAAGCTGAAGAAAAATTTCAATTGAATTCAAGATAATTTCATTTTTCACCTACTCGAATATATCCTATCTTTCAATTTTCATTTTTACCATAAAATTGCTCACATAATATATCATTTGGGGAATGCAAATTTGCGCCATTACAAATCAATCTCCCTCTTTTAGCCATATAATTAATATACTAGTGAAGCAGCTTAAAACTTTATACTTCTCCGCACTACATGCATACAACTTTATTGCTATACTACAATTTCACTTAATCCATTTCTCTCTCTCTCTCTCTTTCTTTCCTCATTTCCATTTCTCATTTTTAGCTCATTTGTCCATATTTTCCCATCCATAAGTGGCCGCTGTTGTCTCCTTCCTGTCCCTCTTAACCGTCTTTCCCTCTCTCTCTCCCTCTCTCTCCTGTATATATCCAAGTTTTATTTCTATTCTTTCAAAATATTTGTTTGATTTACATTACAATGATCTGTGATTCTTCCAATGTTTATCGTTATTAATTATTCTCTCTCTTCTTTCAATCACATAAATCATTAATTATATTAAAAAAGAGTTTAAATCATTTCAACTTCTGATCTCTGTTAAATTATGAAATTATTCAATTCTAATATACAACAACAGATAGTTTTATATCACTTTTGAATAAATTTGAAGATAGTTTTATATCACTTTTGAATAAATTTCTCTTTTCATTTCTTTCCTTTCTTTTTTTTTTTCTGTTAGGAAATACTCTGATAGTTGGATCAAATAAGGAAGAAAAAATGAAAAATATTTCAGTGATTTGAAAGATTATTCCCTCCGGTATATTTAATCCACTCTCTATTGTCTTCTTTCCCAATATTATGCTAATCTTTCCTTCCCTTACTCAAATGATATTTGATATTTGAACTTCTACATGGGATGTTCTACTACCCTCTGCCATGTACTGTTTGCTCGTCAAGAACGAGATCTCTCGGTACAGCGAGCAGTTCCACTGCTACTTTCGGTACTTCTGCTTCAGCTAATGATGACCTTCATTTCCATCAAGCAAATTACAGTTGCAGGTAAAGTATATTTTCTGAATTATTCAGGAAATTTTACAAAGATTTCTCATTGAAATTCATTCTAAGCTTTCTTTATCGAAAACTTTTTTTTTTTTTTTCTAGTGATATCATAACATTTAATTACATTATTATTAATAATTATTATTATCATTATTAATATCACTATTACTATTATTATAATTATTATTACTGTTACTATTATCATTATTATTATTAGCAGTATAAGTTACCATGTCCGACTAACGTATCATAGTTGTGATGAGTAAGTTAAATGATAAAGTAAGTTATCAATGCCATAATTACGGCAATGCGGAACAGAGCAGTAGCAGCACAAGCAGCTATCCACTTGAAGGAATGTGTTAAGCACTCTCATCTGTTACTGATAGGAACCATCTGCGCCTCTCCTCCCTGCGCCCTTCATACTCCTCTTCCCTTACCTATCGATCTAGCACCACCACACTTCCCTTTGTATTCCTACTCATCCCGAATTGCTGGTTGAATAAGGCCAAATCCTTGTTGCCATTAAGTACTCACAGGCCTAACACACTTGAACAGAAGGCAGCAAAATCTGACTAAAATCTCATTCATTTCTACCATTTCATTTATGCTTTTGTAAAACCAAATAAATATTCCTGTCATTTTCTTTTTTCCATTTATAACATTTATGGTTCATTTAAAATGTTCAAAAATTTGATGGAATCTAGAAATATCACTCTAAAATATTTGATTGAATAGATAATAAGTTATTAATAGCTTATTAATAACATTCATTGGTAATAAATGAAATTTGTATGCAAAATTTCATTTTCGAAAAGTGAATTATGAGGAAGAGCAAAGATATGAAATGAATATACACTTGCTTTTAAAACAGTTGTTTAATATCAAGAGAGATTTCTTCTCCCATGCATGAAGAGATAAAAGATTGTCAGAGTTATTTATTTATTTAATTTAATTGCTTGTCGGGAAAATGAATTAAGTAGATTGAGTAGACAAATTAATTCATCTCTTCAACTTCATAATTTTTGAAGTTAAAAAGTTTCAATTTCAAAATAACTAGAAATGGACAGAGTATTAATCGTAGACACAGCAAATCCTTACGAATTCCATACGAGTTAGACTAACTTCCTTCAATGTATTCTACTTACTAATTAACATTACTGAAATTTGTAACTGAGATTTTGTTTTTGAAGTGATACATTAGGATAGTAGTTGATTATTTGTATTGTTTTTTTCATTAAATTTGAAAGAAACCTTTAATGAAAAGTGCAAATTAAATTTATACTTCTGTAAATTGAATAATAATAATAATAGTAATAGTGATTATGAAGAATGGGAATCAATTCTTGTCTCTGCTAATCAATTCTTGAGCCTATAAAATTATGGCTCGACATAATTCGTTGTTCAGTTTTGGCTTCCAACAAAAAATTGACCGATGTGAAAGAGAGAAAAGAGAGTTTTGAATGGTTGGTTGCTAAGGCCAGCACCCATTCATCATTAGGTCGTTTCTTTTGGTCCTACATATTCCAACATTCTCAATTATTATTATCATTTATTAGTATTGTTATTATTAATTATATTATTAATTCGTTCCTGAAATTATATTTCAGGTAATTAGTACTCATTGCTGTTCCCGAATTCCATTCTTTGTAATTCTATGTAAATAAATAATTGAAAAAAAATAGGACAACAATACCATTTAAAGGAAAAGCTCTTCAAATATTATTTGAATGCTACTACTGCTACTATAACACCATCATTCTATCTGAAGTTTCCATGAAAGTATGATGATTGTGCACTTTAGACTTGTGGTATGCGAAAAATCGTGGAATCGGTGAAACTTGATGACAAACTGAAAATATCTCTTATTCTAAGCTAATAATTTTTTTTTGTTTTTTAATAAATGATTTTATATGAGAAATAATTAGCGGTAATGCAAGAAAATGATGACATGAGACATTTTCACACAGACAGATGAACCATTACTGTTGTGACAGGTAGTTGGGTAGGTAGGGTTGATGGCCGTCATCTGAAATTAGTTGTCGTATTGTGTCACTAAGGTGCTTAACCATCCATGTCATTTGTACGTTCTTGCCGATTTTTATTCACTTTTTCCGCTTCTTCATTTCCATCAGCATCGTTACGTCGAAAAAGGTTGGTAAATTGATTATTTGAGCAATTCATTAGAGAGGTAGTTCATATTAACATGACTATTGATCGTACCTATAAACACTATTTTAGATGATTGTTATTATAATGTTAGGAATGATTTACCTTTACCACTCTACTGGTATTATATACAGTAGAAATAATTTTTAGTGTCATTATTTTCTACCATCATTTATGATAATATTATTATTATTTCATCAGTGATAATAAGTACCCAGCAACATTATCATTTATCGTTATTCATGTTTGCGATTTCATTAGCTTATTGTTTTTGTGAAGTGACCAAGACGGAAATATTAATATACAAAAATAAATAAAAAATAATAGTAATTAATAATATGGTAATAATAACAATAGTAATAAATGGTAATATAGAATAATAAATAATAATAGTGATAATAATAAATAATAATAGTAATAATAATAATAATGATAATAAATAGTAACAATAATAATAATAAACAACTAATTAAATACGAATGATAAATAAATAATAGTAATGACAATAATAATAATGAATAATAATAGACAAATAATAACAATGGCAATAATAATAATAAAGAAATAATAATGGTAAATAGTAGTAATAGTAACAACAATAATAAATAATAATAAATAGTAATAATAACAATAATAATAATACATTAAATAGCAATAAAAATAATGGAATAGTACTTATTACAACAAAATATTCATTTATTGACTTTCGTTGGTGATACCATATCTTCCATCATTGTCAGTATACCATATCTTCCATCATTGTCAGTATCATCATTAATATCAACGTCGTCGTCGTCGTTGTCGTCGTCATCGTTATCAGTCGCTGTAATGCGATACAGCTGTCGCTAGTAAGCAAACCAGCTGGTACACTTATTAATCATACATTTATGCAAAATAATTTCACTGCAACATCTCTGATCCATTCATTATATTATGCTTTATTTATCCTTACAGATGCAAGATGTACTGCTATCACCTGCAATGATATCGTTATCACTGTTATATATCTCACATTCATCCATTATCACATTTTCATTTATTACCTTTTTTTTGCAAAAAATTCTTGTCGTAATCTTTGCTATTACTTTCATTCAGCTGCTTTTCTTCTATCAGTCACTTTAGTATCTCACATTTCATTTCATTTCATTTCATTTCGTCATTTCAATTTCAACAATATCATATTGCCATATCAGTTATTTTACTTCCAAATAATCGCCAACTTTGTCATCAAATCTACACATTTTACTAAAATTTTTTCTTTTTCTCTCCTTCTTTAATAATGCAAGCTTATCACTGTTATCATCTTTATCTCTTCTGTTTTTGTTGATGATAATTTATGAGCCACTTTATTCTTTCATTTTCTTTTTCAGACACTTATTCTTATTCTTCCTCTCCCATTTTCATTTTTATATTTGAAAAACTTTTATAATTTGCACTAATTATTTGTCAGAGATTTATAACCCGTTAATCTGTTGTACATTTTTAGATTTGAAGTATGTGAAAAAATCATGGAATCGGTGATGTTTAATAACAAATTGAAAATATTTAACAATGATGAAAGCAAAAATTATAAGAAATGTATTTTCATTTAAGAAAGAAATCATTTTTAATTTCTTTCAATAGTTAATTTTGCATGTGAGAAATGATTAGCAGTGATGCAAGGAAATGATAGCTGGACATGTCACATGGACAGGTCACATGGGGAGGACAAGGACCGCTACGCAAGCACTCCTTCGTCTTGTTTTGCTATTTGCTATTTGTACTAATCAGCGCTGTTAAACTTTTTCATTCATTTAGAAAAAGACAAAAGAGTGCAGTACTTTCCAGCACATTCAATTATAAAATTTTTGCTGTAAATATTGAATGATTCATAAACTATTTATCAGTGATATATTGCTTATCACTTTTAGTTATTATCATTATTGCTACTACTGCTACTGCTACTTCTGATACTGCTAATTTTAATTAGTGTAAAAGCATATCTCGCATCAATGACTCTTTTTTTTGATGCTTAAAGCGAATGTATTAAATCCATTTTAAGAATTGTTACTTCAATTTTTACTCTCGTTGTGATGTTCAATAATTTTCTTGTCACCTTGTCATCTTCTCAAATTATAGTGATTTTCGATAATGGAACTCGTTTTTTCTTTTTTTTTTTTTAAATTTTTGTTAGTTCATAATACATTTTTTTTCTTTTGTGCATATGTTTACTATTGCTTTCTATGTCGGCTTTTTTTACTCTTTTTTTTGCAAAATGATGAATTCAGACAAAAGGAATTTTTTGAATGAAAAAGGGAAACCGGATTCTTAATAATATAATAAAAAGAATAAAAATCCGAATACGGAAAAGAATTTATATGGCTTATTTGTCGAAAGAATAGTTGTAAATTAAAAAATTCTATCCAATAATAAAGATTTTTTTTGAGGCAAGCGGATTTAAAAAAAAAAAAAAAAAACGGGACAAGCTTAAATGAATGAATTCAGAGCAAAGAGAAGAAATGTAAAATAATAAAGGAAGTGAAGGAAAGAAGAAATTTTAGCTGTTATCAGTTTTTATCTTGAAATATATGCTCCTTCATATACAATTATATATTTAATTTTCTTTCAATTGTTTGTTTCTTATTTTTAAAATATTCCATTTAAATTTTTCCATCCTTTTTAAATGAAATTAATTTTGATGATTTAACTTTTAAATTGATCAATTATATTAGCTAATAGTAAAATACTTGAAGTATTTTATAATTATCTTAGATTTCTTTTCTCTCTTAATTCCTCTTAATTTAATCTTTTTTCTTTTTTTCTCTCCTTCAATTCTTCTTTCTTTTTCTTTTTTTAATTTCCATTTCCACTTTTGATATGACAAAATCTCATTTGGAACAACTTCTAGCATCCCTTGCTAAAATCAAATATTTCATGCAGAAGAATATTCTCCTATCATTTGTTGTCATTAATTGGAAGAAGTCCGATGATATGTGTCAAATTCCCCTCCCCTCTTTCCCCTCCCCCTCCCAAAAAAAAAATTGAAGCACATCCACAAAACATAAAGACTGTCATCTTATAAAATTCTTATCCTAAATTTCCATCAATTTTTCAAATATTTTAGAAATTATCTCACTGAAAATAGGAAAGAAACTTCAAATCATAGTTGCTGCAACTATATATTTCTCTAAATTACCTAAATTGGAATTGTTTAAATTTCAGGACAATTTTCTGTGCATATTAGTTTATTTTCTCATTGTCACATTACATTGAACTATTTGGCATAATTTTTATGGCAAATTTGTTACTAGTAACACTCGAGATTGCAAAAACTCTCTGATAACTCTAATCAATTAGTAATGTATTTTGACGCATTAATTTTTATTTCAAATAGTTTTATAGCTTATTCAAACATGGAATAAAATCTTCTATGCTCTTAAATTTTATTGCTTTTTCATTTTTGATTTTAGAATATTTTTTACGGACTAATGCATTAATTAACAAAAACAACTTCCGTATGTTTTATTCATATAATTACGAATTTTAGTTTATCATCATTTTTCATTGTAAATTGTTTATTACAGCGATGAGGAGGGAATGATCAAGTTTGGTTCGGGCAGTTATAGTGTTCGGGAATCGGAAGGACTAAATCCGCAAAGCTTAACATTCCCGGTTCGGACAATTTCTTGCACCGTCACATTCCTAGATAACACTGAACGAAGATTCGAAATTGAGGTATATTTTACTTTTACTTTTCATTTCTCTCTTTTTTCCTCCTTTTTGTTATTTAAAATCATTGAGAAAAGTTCATAATAATTTTCCTTCAATTCAGGAAATAAAATGAGGTTTATTGCCAGATGTTATCATCAGGCGCAATTTGTCATGCTATCAAGAAATTCACTTCATTGTTAAACTTTCGTATCTTTCTTACTAAATCAAGATTAATGGGAAATTAACTGTAAACTTATTTATTGAGAAAAAAAAATTTTTTCCAAATGTTTCAATAGAGTTCAAGAGTCAAATTTCAAGTCTCATTTATAAATGATTTATGAACTATGAAAACAAATGCGTTTTTGTTTATCAATCGAGTAAATCATTTCATCTGTTTTTCTTTCTTTCCTTTTTTTTTTTTATTGAAAACTAGTAAATAATATTAATATTCTAAAATATTAAGTTGGAAACTTGATACTTGTGCTTAAACTTTAAACGGAAGGTTACGTACGTCTCGATTAAAAAAGTATAAAGTGCTAATGGGAAGTCACGTACGTTTCGATGAAAAGAAATATGAAGTGGTAGAAAATATAGTATCAACTATATTTAACCTTTAGATATTACCATTCAAAGTTTTCAATAATTTTTCTGATCAAAAATCGAATCTATCTTGAAAATAACAAAAATGTATTGCGTATGTCGCGTAATACGTCTAATGAAAATTACACTGAGGTACAGTGTTGAGAGAATAAGTAAGATAACTTAGCTATTCAACAAATATATGAAAGAAAATAGTTTAATGAATGTTGGTGACACTTGACATTGAGTATGGAATTGGGGAATTGTTCCAATTAGTAATTTTAGCGCCATGCCAAAGGACAAATATTACTTAACATGGTATTTGATCATCTTGAATTGGTCGAGAAGGATTATTTCGGATTGCAGTACATATCTGCCCTTGAAACAAGCCAAGCCGGTGTTAAGGTTTGTATTAAATCTAAAATAGTATTTTAGCTTTTATTTCAGTTCTATTAAAAAGGAGTTATTAAAATTAGTAATTAATTATTTACTCATTCACACATCGTTTTTTATCGTTTTCAAGTTTTTATTATAGAATCAAATAATTACTCTATTGTTTCAGAAATGGCTTGATCCAACGAAATCGATTAGGAAACAATTATTTTGTAATTTTTCTTTCCTTCATTTTTTTGATAATTTTGAATTAACAAAACAAAAAATGACTTGATCTGTCATTTTTAAGTGTTTCTTTCATTTACAAACTCTAACCAATTGCCAACCTTTGGTAGTTTTTAGAAATATTTCTTAACCTAATCTTTTGGCATCATCATTTAAATTCCTGTTTGAAGTTGAAAATTTTTCAATATTTTTAATAAAAGCTTCCTTTCTTCTTTTTTCTCTATGATATTCTGTAAATTTCCTTTCAGACCCACCATATCAGTTGCATTTTCGCCTCAAATTTTATGTTAGTGATCCATCAAAATTAATGGAAGAATATACAAGGTATTATTTATTATTCAACATAGATTTCAAGTAAATAAGAAATGAATCATTTTTAATACAAACATCATAAATAAATATTACTTGGACAATTTTTATTATTTCACGATAATTTCCTTTAATTCTTTAGACCTAGCATATTTTTTTTTTTTACAGGTATCATGTTTTTCTTCAACTCAAAAATGATTTATTGGAAGGTCGATTAGTTTGTCCTGAAAATAGTGTTGCTATGCTTGCCAGCTATGCTGTCCAATGTACGCTTTATTTTTTTTTATTCAAGTTTAATTTTATGAAATCTTATTGATATTTTGAATAATTCACTCGATCAGATCAATACATTTTAATAAATATAAAAAAAAAAAAAAAAAAAAAAAAAAAAACTTAGAATTGTTTGAAATAGTTGAAATTTCCTAGCTTATAACAAGGTGAAACTAATTTTTCAGCAGAATTTGGTGATTACAGTGAGGAGGAACATGGTACCTCATACCTTAATGAATTCAAATTTATTCCTGAACAGAGTACTGCCCTAGTTAAGAATGTAATCGATTTACATAAACTTCATAAAGGACAAAGTCCAGCTGAAGCAGAATTCAATTTCCTAAAATATGCCAAGGATCTCGACCTATATGGTATTGATCTCTATCCGGCTAAGGTTATCATTTTAATGATATATTATATTTTCTTTTTTTTTTTTTTAAATTATTTTAAAGCTTAATATTATTTCCTTTTATATCAGTCTATAATTTTATTATATTAAGTCCAATCGAATAATCAATGTTCATTAAATAAAATATTAATTAACTATTAATTAACTGAAAGTATTTCTTAAGATTCTTAAATTTCATTAATTTCTGAATAAAATTTGATGCAGGAAAGTAATGGTACAATGATTGGTATCGGTGTGAGTAACAGTGGCGTAGTGCTTGTGCGATGTAATCGTCGTGAATCAATCTATCCGTGGTCTGCCATTATGAAATTATCATTTAAGAAGAAGTTATTTAGTATACATATGCGCACGATCAAAAGTGATAATGTAAGTGTATGCTTTTGAAAAGCAAAGAGAGAGAGAGAAGTTTATTGATAAGTTTGTTTCTGAATTAAATCGAGAATAATTTTTAAAATTTTAAAAGAAAATTTTGTTGATAATGGAATAGTTCCTTAGAATATTGATGTAATTGACAAATTAATAATAACCTAAATGGTAATAACAGAAATGAATTACAGACGGAAGAAGATACGTTGATTACTTTTAACATTCAAAATCCGGAAAGTTGTAAAGCATTATGGAAAAGTTGCATTGAACATCATACATTCTTTCGACTTATTGCTCCACCGATACCGCCACCAAAATCATTCTTTAGCATTGGAAGTCGATTTCGCTATAGGTTAATTTTAGGATATCTTTTAATTCTATTTCAAATAAATTAATATTCAAATTTTTCAAAAACTGTTATAAAAAATGTCAGTGATGATGATGCACTTTCTGATTATTGTAAACAAAGCTGCAGAAACTTTAGTTTTTACGGATCCTGTTTAATTCCTGATAGTATTATAGCATTGATGATATTGATGATACATTTTGGTTGTGTAAATAAAACTTTAGAAGTTTTAAGTTTTTCTTTCCTAAAAGATCTTTCAGCACTGAATTTTCATTAAATATTAAATAATCGTAGTACGGAAAAGAGCACTGTTAATAGATGATGTGTTAACTATTTATTAAATAGTAGCCGTTGAATGATGAGTTTGTACAGGTGCGCCTGTCATTGCGCACTGTCATATTGCTGTCTTCTTGTTTGTTCAAAGATCAATTGGAACTGTTAGTGTGGTAGTGAAATGAAATTTCAACACTTTATATTGTAAGTATACTACTTAGAAAACACTGCTATCTTCGTATTGAGTAAATAATTCGTGATCAAATTTCAGTGGACAATTTAACATCTCTTTTACTCATTGATAAATATTTACGCTTGTTTTCTTTCTCTTTCTCTCTCTCTTTCCTTGTCTCTCTTTAATTAGCTTGTTACAAATTCTTATATTTCATTTAATTAGGAAAATTTAATTATATATTTTTTTCTTAACAATTTCTTCTTTCAAAGTATTTTGTACCTTTTGCGCTTCACTTTTAATTTTTTTCCTTCCGTTTTACATTAAATTAGATCGTTAACCGAAAAAGAGAAAATTTGTTTATCATACATAGATATAAGTACTCTGATAAATTATCTGAAAAATAGCTATGCGCGGTGTTTTGAATTGTAAATTCGCTGTTAACACTATTTCGAAATAATTTGATCTGTAAATGAGTAAATAATTATTACTTCAATTTAAATGAGCAATTTCCTTCTTTTTTTCTTGCGATTGATTTTTTTTATATTTTCTGCTTAGTCTGTCTAAATTACCAAAAGCAGTAGTTTTCTGTAAGAAAAAAAAATTCAAATTTACAAATAGGAAAGCGCTTGTAGTTATTGGAACTGTGAATAGCTCATTATCATATTTAATCATCCATTTGCGCATCACAAAGGTTAATCTGACAATGTGATATGATAGAAGGAGTATGTAACTCATACACATTTATCAGTTATCATTTCAGTTAGTAGAATTTTCGATGTCTTTGATGAAATATATTCCCTTTTGGCTTATTAGTTATACAAATTGCAAGATGGATTGTTTCTATCCTTTTCTCTCTCTGTCCTTCTCCCTCTCTCCCTCTTCTTTTAGAAGAGAAGAGAGGGAGAGAGAAAGGAAAAGTCATACTATTAGAAAAAAATATATCGAAATAACGAATTTAAAAGATAGACTGCTAGAGGAATGGTAGTATTTTCTATCTAAATATGAAGTTAGTAGCACAATTTGTTCTTAGCTTATCCAAGCTTACTTTGCTGTATTATACTTAATATTTGTTACTTTCTCTTTCTAAAATTTCAACTTCTTTCTTGGATTTTTTTTTTCAATTTTTAATTTTTCATTGCAAAAATTTAATAATACTATATGATCTTCAAATAATAATCATAGTAATCACATTTCTTGTTTCTCAATTTAAAAAAAGAAAAAATACCTTAAACAAATTTTTGCTAAATGATCACACTGATCTTGTCATAATATTCTTCTTTTGCAATTTTTCTCATTGAATTTTATCATCGTTTTCTTTGCTGTAAGATTTGTTCTTTCTAAGAAATTCAATTAGTAACTTTAAAATAACTTTTTGCTAATAACAGTCACTGGGAAAGTTTTTTGATTTAGATTATGTAACTTAAGAATAAGAACAACCATATATCCTTGCATATCTTCGTTCTATTTATGTACCTATGCCAGTGTGCCTGGTTACGATAACTATTATTTACACTGTCGCATTGATTGTCGCATCTTATTAATATCATTTCAAAAGAAATGAAAAAGCTTACGTAGACTTTAATTTATTAATATTCATTCGTTTTTTTTTTTTCTACTATTTTATGCAATTTTCGAAAATTCTTCTCCATATTTTGAAGGAGGAATTCGTCAATTATTGTAATTTGGTCAGTTAATTTGATGTGTAGCTGCCAAAAAATTTTTTAAAGTAAATACAATTTTTATGAAGTTTTAATTTAGTCAAATTTATTCATTTCTTCGACATTCAAAATTGTCACATTCATTAGATTCTAATTCATAAGTTCGCAGACATTTTCTATTTCTTAATTCGTTCAATTATAAAAACATTTATTCCCCTTACTTTACATTTAATTTATAAAAAAGAGATTATCACTAGTAGTTCTACCTATCAATCTATCAATCTACCTATCAGTTTATCTATCTATATGATATGATATGAATACAACACAAAATTAATTTTCATTTAGTGAAAGTACAAATTGCTGCATGTATTCATCATTCTGCTACTTTAACAAATGCAAAAATCGTGGCGGAATTTGCTAGATATTATTGAAAAGTTTGTTTTACATTTTGAAATATTTTAAGTTTTTTTCTTTGTCATATTGTTTAATGGATCAATTTTTTTATCATTTCCAATACTTTTCAAGTGATATAATAGCACAGATGACTTCATGACTAATTATTAGTCTAACCAAATTCTTCCACGACAATATGTCTACTATCAATTATTTATTTGTTCTATCATTTAATAGATTTAGTTTATGTTTGAATGACTGCATAAATCATAATGAGTTGACAAGCGTAGAAGATTCTAAGTAACTGTAAGTTGGTAGTAATGATAAGATTGATACAAATGAACACATGTTGTATTTGATAATAAGATATCAATAGTAATCCTAGAGATTTATAATAATTTTTATTCATGGAATTAAGTGGATATGTTTTGTGTAGTCAAAAGGTACAATCTTCGTCTGAGTATTCAATAATGCTTGTTTTATCCTCTTACTTATCATTATTTTAAGCATTTTTGAATAACTTAGTCGATGAATGATAAGTGATGATAATGATAATGGTAGTAATCATGCTAATAATAACGAGAATTTCACATAATTCGATAGCAAAAGAATTGAATTTTTTTTTTTATTATTTTGTGCAATTCTTACTTTCATTATCATCAAATAAATGAAATGAATAGATTAGCTTTATTATATTAGCATATCGCTGCTATTTCATCAAAGTTTATTTCCGCCAAAGCTACTGACATTAAACAATCTTTTTAAACAGAAATCCAGTAGGTTTCATAGCATATGTTTGGCTCAGTCTATGAAATACAGCTTTTCTACTCTTCTAGCTAATTCCCATTATATATATATAGTTTAAAATGAGCTTGATAGTTGGGCAAAATTTAACTGATTTGGTTTATTCTATCTTTATTAAAGTAATAGTGATAATAATGTTTAGTAGTAGCAATGATAAGAGATAAATAGTAGTGATAATAAATTTCTTTTCAACTGAATGACATTTAATTATTTTAGTGGACGAACGGAATATCAAAGTATGGAAGAGATGAGGAGACGTGCTCGTGTCGAACGCACATTTTTAAGGTTCATTTCATTTTGACTAAACAATTTTTCAACGCTGTTATCTTATTGAATTTGTAAATTTAAAATGTTCTAGCTACCGTGGCCAAGAAATCTATTTTTGTCTCGTACATATGAGTGATTTAGTTTTAATTTATTTATGACAATTTTCTTGGATATGTTCTTGTTTACTTGAATAATTCAAAATCCTTTTCACAGTTTGAATTATGTGATTTCTCTCTAATTCTTCATTTACTCAATAATACTTGCAACTTTTTGAAATATTAATTATAAATAATCAAAGTTTTTCTAGGCATTCAAGCCGTGAATCCCAGAATACGATGAATGGTAATTCATCAAGTGCTCGAGATTATGCTTCATCTTATAACACCACTTCACCTGTCATCGCATCTCGCTTTTTCTGGTATTACATTGTTATAATTTTACTAATTATGAATGCTTTCTATTAAATTATTTAACTTTTGAAAATTTTAAATCAGTTCGTTTCAAGCTATATCAACTCAATGTAAAAAACCATTGAAATTGCAATTTTTCAAGAAGTTTGATTTAATAGTTTGAATATGTCGGTTATGTACAAAGTTGTAGTGGTGAAATAATTTTATAATTTTTAATTTAAAATTGGCAAAAATCTTGATAGTGATTTAAGTTTAATTTAGAATAGATCTTGAATTACTTTGAAAAATAATAAAATTAGTATTATGAAAGGGAAGGTCTAACTGAAATGATTTTAACAAGTTTAATTTACAATGCATGTTGCTTTTTTTTCTTGCAGTAATTTTTTTGGTAATTTTATTTTACGATTTCTTTCTTGCATGAATGATCCCGCATATCTTGCAGTAGTAGTTAATTTGAAATAGGAATGCTTCTGATTGTTGAAATGTGCAGGTTATAGGGATTATTCATAAGAAAATAATGCCGGTAATCGTTAAGCTTTATTCATGCTTTGCTTTTAAAGTAATCAATTATGTTTACTGTAGCCGTTCGCAAATTTATTTACGAAAATGGCTTAGTGGACGCATTCGTGGTGTGTCACCATCTTCTTCCACTCTAACGACAACCATCAATAATGCGACACGAGGAGGAGAAGCTGTAACATCGCTTGGAACTGTTGATAATTCGCTACAGCGCACTGGTTGCAACACATCGGGCTCAACTTTATCACCAATCTCATCGGTTACTGCTGCTCCAAGTGGTACTTTGAAATTTCAGCAATCTGAAATATCACATAACGCTGATACTGTACAAAAGGAAAACGTTGATAACGATGACAAAATTGCTAGCAAAATTGATAACTCAGCTGTTGTTGCTGAGGAGCAAAGGTTCCCTTTTATTTTCTTTTTTAATGCTTTTTTAAAATGCTTTTTTCATATACATTATAGTAATTCTTAGTAATTATTATTTGCTCCTTTTCAATTAATCAATTCGCTTTTATATTTATTTTACTAATTTAATTAATTAAGAATAACGGTATGTATAAATGTACGAATATAAGTGTACATTTCATATTTGAATAGTAAAAAAGAAAAAAAAAAAAGTTTTATTACAATAATCTTTTGCTATTGCTGTTTTCCCTTATTGCATGATTCCTTAGAAGATTGCATGCGTTAATTATTCTATTTCTTAAAATGTCACCGAACGATTTGCATGCGTTATTTCTCAGATTGTCATTTTATGAATTATACCTCATTTTATTCTTATACTTTTTCACTTATTCTTATTGTAAAAAATGCACAAAATAACAAATTATTATGAGAACAAATGCAATTGCATGCAACCATTTGCTGCACTCATATTGCATGCAGTATTTGCAGCTAAAACAGTTTTGGAATTGAATTCATTATGATTCTTACATCTCTCTACTAGAATTATTTCTGATTCTATCAGCAAATTATTGGATTAACAGCACAGGAATCTTAATATATAAAAATAATTTTGAAAAGATTACTTTTATTTACAAGGAAGGATTTAATCCACAGGAATCTTAATATATAAAAATAATTTTGAAAAGATTACTTTTATTTACAAGGAAGGATACTTTTAACACACACAGTTTACTTTTTACTTACAAGAAATAATTCTTTTAAAAGTTAAAAAAGGTAATAAAAAGTAAAGAAAAAAATTTTTATAATATGAGAAATATCTGTGAATCTTATTGTACTATTTTCTTAGTAATATTTTAATTTAATTGCATGCTCTATTCAGGTTTATTAATTCATTATAGTTAAAGTAAGTCTTAAAAATTAACCTTTATAACCTTATTAGTATAATCCATTTCGTTTCTTTTTTTTCTTTTTTTTTTTTTTTTTATTGCATTAACCTTCGTAACAATTATTTTAATGTTTTTGTGTTTTTCTACAATGCCGATAAGATGAAAGGATATTAATATCAGTACAAAAGATAAACCTTAAATTCGAATCAAATTTTAATTTATTAAAAATTATATAAGTCTATTACATCACAAGCTTGATTATTCTCTTACAAGAGATTTTCTCTCTCTCTCTTAGCTGATTTTTATCGATTATTTTTACTCCTTCATTATTATTGTTTACTTCATCATACATATTGTTCACAACTGCATTATTTATTCTACTGTCCATTCATTTATTCATTTGCACAGTTATTCAGTTTACATCTCGTAAAGAGTTGGTTGGTCATTGAAATTGTAGAATGGAAATGATTGACAGTGAGTGGTCAGTCTATTTTGTGCTTATGCTTGCACATCGATACTTCCTAAATTCTCACATTTCAAATTTCATTTCGTCTAATTTTCCTCACATAATATAATATTATTATACATTGTAATTATATAGATCATTTCCTCTAATAATTTATTTACAGAAATTTTTTAGCAAATACCAAAAACAAAAAAAAAATTCATTATCATTAAGTGATAATTTTTCACTTCAGATTAAATAATTAATCAAATATTTGAGCCATTTTCAATTTATCCTTCTTTTGATTAAAAAAGATTTAAATACTATTATTAGATTTACGGAATTGTAGTGGATATGGTGTTTGGGTTCATCATCTTTCTCATAAATCAAACAATCCTAATTAATATCCAATGGAAATTTTCTTTTTTTTTTTTTTGCTAATCCTTGTATGACGATGAAATGTTTTGAAAAAAATTTTTCTTTACATCTTGAATGCAATGTAAAAGTCAACATGTATGAATGATATAATGATAAATGATTAGTATTTTTTCTTTGGAAAAAAGATAGGTCAATGGAGGTCATCGTTATCTTTATCATTAGAGAAAGGTAACCTTTCTTCAAACTGCTCACTTTCATCGTGCATTTTCGAGAATGAGTTAATTTTCTTACCTTCTTTTCTTGCCTTCAAACGAATTCTCATATTCAGTAATCTAATATATCGGAAATAGATTTTAATATTTATCACTTTTAGCATTTCTACACTTTTACATTTCTTTTTACCTTAATTTTCCACATTGTTTTAGGATTGCTCCTTACCTGTTTTTTTTTTTTTTTTCTTTGAAAATTCCAATATTTCATAAAAAATTGTCGAAAAAATTTTTTATGTGAAAAAAAAAGTTCTTTTCAAATTTGTACAAAATTGACTCTTTTTTTACAATTAATTTTCGGATGAAAGTAAGCTATTCGTTGTAATCATTCGATCGATGTATTATATAGAGGTAAAGACATTTCATTTTATAGCTAAATATAAGGTACTTAAGCTGAAAAAAGCGATCAACAGACATTTCCGCTTCCAGTTTTTCTTATCATTTCTGCTCTCTTGCTATTATCATTTCTTCTCTTTTACAACTTTAATTAGAGACGGAAATTATCATTAAATAATCTCATTTTTTCAAAAAAATTTGAGGAAAAATTGATAATAATTAAGTGATTGATGCTATTTCAGATTATTAGATGTTTTTAAATATAAACTTTTATCATTGTGAAGTTATAAAGGTAATTAATTACCTTTACATTGCTTGACCTTTTTTTTTCGCTTTTTTCTCTTTTATTTCACAAAAACTGATATTTCTTTTCCCTTTTTTTTAATTTAATTGAATATCCTCGTAATAATTTAATGTTTTCTCATTTATTTGTGTTCATACATAGTTTCCATTTAATCATCTTTTTTTCATATTCGATGAAAGAAAGCCATTTTATCGGACTTATAAAAAGTTTTCGCTTTCTTTGCATAATGTTTGACTTCTATCCTTATGGATTAAAATTTCATAATTAGTTATTCAGTAGAATATCATCAGATAGTGTTACCTTTTAGAAAAGGTTCATTTATTTCTTCCTTTTTTAAATTCCAAAAGTGTTGTAAGCTTTGTTGTTAAATTTTAAAAAATAGTGTAAGTAGTACCTTTTTGCATTCAGTGCAATTATTAGAGATGGTAAACACTTTTCTCCTCGTAAAATCTTTGAAAAATTAAAAAGAAGTATAATTTGATCTGTTTTATTTTAAATATCATAATAATTTAGAAGTATTATATAGAAGTATTTAAACATCTTAATAATTTAGAAGTATAATTTAGAAGCATTAAATTATTTTTATTCCATTTTTTAATGGTTATTACTGTTATAATCTAATTATAAATTCATTTCTGTCAACATCATATCAAAGATTTTCAAATCCAGTTCCTCTTCAAAAACTAATTACAATGATGGACTCAAAATCATTTCCATATATATGTTTTGAAAATTAAAGTTTTGAAAATTCAATTTAATTTCTTCCAGCATTGGAATAAAAAAGGAAATAATTTGTGTGTCCATTAAGATAGTGAAATATGGAAAAGGTTATTAAATAGAATTCTTTGATTATATAAGGAATAATTTCTGTACTATAATTTGATATTTGTGATATACAGAAGAAAGAGCACATAAAATTCATCGCTTTTCTCCATTAGACGTCCTCTCATACTATCTATCCTTCTTGCAATCATTCTTAATCGTTGTCCTCTTTTGTCGTTTGACATTTTAGATTCTGCTGATGAATTGAGTGAAAGAAGAAGTAGTTCGTCATTGATCCCTTTCCCTCTCTCTCTTTCTTTCTTTCTTTCCCCCTTTCTCTCTCCTCTTTCTCCTTTTTATTCATTAACAAAACCTGGCAAAAAAATGCTCTTTGTTCGAGCATTACCAGCACAAATTTAGTATGTTTTTTTTTTTTCTTTTTGTATATTATTTCATTTTCATCTTTTTTATGATTCAGCAAATTTTAATAATTATTAATTTAACTACGAATTACACATTCAATTACAATTCACCTCCAATAATTGACATACACTACTTACAATAGCAGTAATACAAAATTACCTATGCTATAATGTGTATCCATCCATCCATCCCTTTTAATCATTCCATTAGTGTATTTTTCTTTTTCTTTTTGCTCCATCATCAAATTTACATATTTTTGTTCAAATAAAGCAAAACATTTCTCATTTCCTCCTCTACATACATCACTTATGTTCGACATTTAAGCAAGCAGAGAGAAATTTTATTCATTCGTTCATTTCGTTCCGTATCTTCTCTCTCTCCCTCTCTCTCTCTCTCTCTCTCTCTCCCTTTCTCTATCTAAGATGAGCATCAATTTCTAAATGGGACATAATCGCCAAATTGGAATGATTGTTAACCTTGAGAAGGTTCGATTAATGACTAATGTATCCTTACTTTACTTATTAAGACAGCATTTTTTGAATTCATCCAAGAGAAAGCATTACAAAATAAAATAATATTCTGTTATTTTTCATAAATTTTACTATTTTCATCAAATTTCACATATGAAACATCACAAAAGTGCAGTAGAATGTGAGTTGACATTCTTGGATGATTAAAAAAAAGTTAAGGTAGTAATTAACTGTTAAATTCAAGTAGAAGCCATCATATTTACGACTAATTCAATAACATTTTTAATACTATTTAAACAAATAACAAACAAAATCGCCTTTTTCTTTCTTTTTCAACCTTCAAGTTTCTCTCGGAAGAGAACTAATTTCTAACAGAACCGGTTATTTTGTTTAACTTATGCGTCTTTAAAAAAAAAGTAAAAAATTTTTGACATATGTACTAAATCCGAAAAAAAGAAGTGTTTTCAGGAAAGTTTTCAAGAAAAAGTAAACATAGCTTAAGTTCTACTTTGCCAACTTACAATGTTAAATGACACTACTTAACTTGCTTGGACTGATCTATCTTTATCACCAAACATTTGTTAATGTTAAAAGTATGTTGCAGTGATTTTAGATAATGTAAAGAAATGTATTATTAAATTATATTATTCCTCTCGAATGACTGTCTATAACAACTAGATGAAATTAGTAAGTTAGATTGAATTTCATGAAATTAGAACAATTTGGCTCATTAATTTTGATGATGTTTTGAATAAAAACTTTATATATTTCTTTATTTATTAATTTTATTTATTCTTTTTTCGTCTTTCTATCAATAAAAATTTCTTTCTAACTCATTTTTTAATCATAAGTTGCATTCCTATCAGTGCAGAATTGAAAACAGCATAAATAAAAAGTTTAGATTTTCGGTTAATTTCCTGAAATATAACGCATTCAAAATATAAATGTGATAAACGTTTTTTTTTTTTTTTTTTTTTTTTTTTTCAGAGAAAAGAGTATTAAATAAGAATTTTTGAAGAAATGATTTTTTTTTTTTTTTTATTGAGTGACATCAGCATTATTAAACGAAAGCCTAAAAGAAAGTCTTAGGTGAAAAATTATTTTCTCTTTTTTTTATAAATTATTCTGAAATGTTTTGCTTTCTCAAAGATTCGGGGAATGACTCATTAAGTTGATATTACTACAAATTATAAAATTCACACCTTCTGTCTTGTTTAATTATCATCTATGCAAGATGTATGACATATGATGTTAAATATATTGGACATATTGCTGCTGTAATGCTTGTTGAACTAATAACATTTGTTAATTGAGATCAAAGCATTTGAAATTTATATTAGCAATGAATTTTAATAAATATAAGTTTTGTTAATGAGTGCAGCAATGATAAATAAATGCAAATGTTACATTATATTAAGTTTGATTAAATCTAACACTAATATCTTTTAAAATTAAAATTCACTTTATTCCTCTTTGCACTAAGTTTCTCGCTTTTCTTATATATTCATATTTCTAATATTTTAATCTTCTTTCCCCAACCTTTCGTTCTAATCATCTAATCAATTTTTAGAGAAATCAATAATGATTCTAATTCAATTCTAATGCATTAATTTTAGTGATAGATTTGATAGTTTGATGATAGCTTTAGTTTCACTAGAACAAAATGATGTTTGTTGAGATAGAAATAATGAGACAAATACAATTGAAAGTGAAATTTAAAACATTTTGTTACATAATACAAAACATCTAATTAATTATTTTCTGAGAATGTTTCATAATGAAGAGAAGCACACTAATTTTAGTGGGAAATTCTAACTCTTCTACCTTCACTCCCTCTCCCTCTCCCTCTCTCTCTCTCTCTCTCTCTTTCTCCTTTACGTTCTCTTTCTGAAAGTGCATTTTCTCACTTTTTCAAATTTACATCTCCAATTCTACTAATTTACTCTTTAATTCAAGTTTATCTAAGCATCACAGCAGCACTACCTCACAATCTGTTGTTTTCATTTCGACTAGTCAATCCTCACTGACTCTTATCTCATAAATATCACACAAAAATGAGGAATTAGCTGATATATCAACATCAACCTAAATGATATGTGCAATTATATACATGTGTGTATGTATGTATGTGAGTGTGTGTCTGTACTACATGTATGTGTATGTGTATGTGAGTGGCTATATAAGATGTAGTGGTGGTGGTTAGCAGTAGTATGTTGGGTTGGACATTTTTGAAGCCATCAGTAGCGTCAGCGATCGGAAAGAAAGAAGAAAGGAAGGAAGGAAGTAAGCAATGATTGAATGAAAGTTGTAGTAGACGATAACGCCTCCTCGGATGGCACAATGCGCTCACTGATTATTCTCTTTGAAGGATTGAAAGCATAGATGAAAGTGTCTCAGAGGGAGAGAGAAGGGAAGAAGGAGAAAAAGGGAGAAAGAAGTTTAGTTGGAATCTTTTTTTTTTGGAGTCGGTTTCAATTTCTGGATGATAAGTTAAGCAATAAATTGCTTCAACTTGATTATTTCAAAAAAACATCTGTTATCACTACTGCTATTATCATTGTGAAGGATCTGTTCATTGGACTATGTTAAAATTTGCTGTTGGCTTGTGGGCTATTGATTTATACGGTCCAAGATATAGTGGTGTATCCAAATTCCGGTAAAGATTTCCTATTTTATTTTTCAGTTTATTATTTATTTGGCCCGTTGATTTAAATTAAAAAGATTAATTTCTTCTTTGTTGAAATTTGGTTAAATCTAATAAAAATATTTAATGCAATATTTTATTTCGTTTCAAGTCAAACAATATCTTAGATACTGGATGAAGTTTACGTTTGCTGAAATTTAATCAATAATAGGAATTTTTTAGGCAAATCATTGTTATGTTAATCATCATAGGAAGGATATTTTAAAAAAAAAAAGAAAAACTCTTTTATCACTATCGAAATTAGAGAAATTGATCATTTCTTTGTTATCAAATTACTCAATATCTGATGAAATTGCACGAAATTCATTCGGTGCGAGACGAAATATGAAAAGTTTAATTTTAATAGTTTCTCCTAATTTTGCATTTATATCGATCAGTTATGTTTATGTAAAAAGAAAAGAAAAAAAGTGAAAGAAATTTTCTTCTCGAAAGATTTCTATCATTCTATTTTTAACAAATGGACTTTTTTTTTTCTTGTTGACGCTAATTTCTTTTGAATTTTGGTATTAAATTCTAACACGAAAATGTTCTGATAAATTGTAGAAATTTTATGATTCCATTTTTATTCTTTTATAATCAGAAAATACATGCAAATATAATACTACACTTTCTAATTTATTGCTCTTTTTAAAGAAAAGATAATTTGTGATAATTCAGAATGGTTATCATAATTTAACTATAAAGATATATATGGTTATTATATAATTTTGATGACACAATTCAGTTTGGTAATTCCTTTATAAATTGTAATTGAGAATTTGTAAAGAAAAATATAAATTTGCATAGTTAGTAAGAAATTTATTGTTGTTTGTCATGAAATGGGTGCATGAATTTGATTGAAAAGATTGATAGGTTGTTTAAAGCAGTTAGGATGAATTACCACTACTGCTACTACTGATTTCTACCGCTATCTAAACATCGAATCTGTTTAATATTTTAGTAGGAAAATAGCAACGTCTTGTCTATCTATTTTAGAAACAACATCCTATCTAGTAAAGAAATATTTGTAAATAATATAGCTAATAATAGTTATTACAATATTCAAATAAACTGATTTCTACCTCTTAGGCTTAGGCTTATATCGGTTAGCTAAAAGCACAAAATAATTTACCTCTTTTTTTTTGTTTACTTATATCATTATTTTTGGCCAAAACTTATTTGAGCCTTACTTTTCCCTCTCTCTGTATTATTATGCTACACCAAATTCATTCATTTCAAAGTTGAAATGTCCAGCAACAGATGAAGTGAGAGGCGTGGAGAGAAGTGATAAATCCCGTGTCTTGGCGTACCACCAAAACATGGGCCTTGGGCCAAAATGCGCAAATATGAGCACTATGCTTGTCTGGCCTAATATAAACATTATGTAGTAAACATCATTCACAGACAAATAAGCTTTTTTAAAAAAAAAAAAGCTCGAAAGTGAAATTTTGTTTATTTTAGTTTTTCTTTTGAAAATATTAAATTGCTAAGATTTCATTTCCAAATTATGAAACTTGTTAGAAATGACTGAACTTTCGAATTATTGCTTTTTTGTCATTTTTCCCCGAAACAAATAATTTTGAAATTATTATTGCAATGACAATTAACCAAAGAATTTTTTTGAGAAAAAAAAAATTTGAAAAATTTGCTATAAACAGTTTTCATCCTCCTTATATTTGATGATTAAAAGTTAATTTTAAGTTGATATACAAAAATTATTTTATGAATATTTCTTATTTAAAATTCATTTGCAGTGAAAGCACTCCAAGTTCATCTGTATGTCGTGTGTCGTGCACACAGCAAGATTCCTCCACTCGATTGCAAGAAGCTGCCACACCATCGAGAGTAATCGTTGCACCACCTGGAAGTTCAGCAACACTACAACCGAACAGTAAACATCGTGAAACGACATTTGGTATAGATGAAGATTGCTGGCGATCTAGTAGTGCTGCCATGCTTACTAATGGAAAGGCGCAATTAGTTCGTTTACATTTTCATTCATCTTAAATTTTGAATAGTTAAATGATTGAAGTGATTTGTAAAATGAATATTTCAATGACTTCGATATGTTATCAAATTGATTTTCCAAAAAAGTTTAACGCTTTATTACCTGAGAATTTAATGTTTGTTTAGTTAATCTAGTATACTTTGTTGCATTTCCTGTGCTTAAAATGAAATTTTTCATTTTCATTTGTGAGAAAAAACGACAGATATCAGATAACGAATTCTTTAAGCTTTAAATCCTTTAGTATGATTCATTTTAGAAAATTTCACAGCGTTGTATAAGAGTACTGGCATACTTGGAATATTAAATTTATATGTATTAAATGACAAATAAATTAAAAGAATTAGAGAAAGTATCCATGTGTCTAAAAATAATTGAACTTTGGTATTTTCATCGATTTGATGAGACTTTCAATTCTAGTACTTATTTCTGTTTTGTGTATACACTATCGCTATATATCAAATGAATGTGATTTTTGAACATCGATTTGGCGTAATGATAGCTATTATTTGCGCTATTTCTTTTACAATAAATTGATTAGAAAATAAGAAACGAACGAAGAGATTAGAATGGCAGTAATTAAATGTCACAGCAATTTCTAACTGCTCAGAAATTTCGATTAGATAAATTTTGTTCCAGTCAATAAAATTAAATTAAGTAAAATAAAGGAAGAATTGGAAATTTTTGAAAATCAGTGTATAATGACTAAAGAATAGTACTAAACTTTAATTTTAAGTTACTCTTTTCTTCTTTTTGGGAATCTGTTATTATATTGGGCAAATGGAAATGAACATTTCATCACTTAAATAAATTCGAATTATTGCTTCCAACTAATTGCTTCCTTATTACTGATTAATTATCGATGAATATGTTCTATTTTTCTTTAGTGTAATAAGAAGATTATTATCAATTATTAATTATCAGATTGGTGGACCATCGACTACAACAGCTTCGGTTGCTGCGACCGTTCATCGTCTAGGTGGCATTAATGGTCATCAAAGTGTATGTCGCAAGAGCACTAATAATAGCACATCAAATGCATCTGTTTCAAATGGTTTTACAAGTGGTTCAACCGTAAATCGATTTATCCCAAATGGTTCCGTTGCTGGATCACCGCTTCGTGTCCATTCACCGCGTACCGTATCAAATGGTAAATTACAAAATGGTGGATCTCCACGATCGTCTCTTGCTAGGTAAGCCTTTACTCATTCATATAAACAATCACATTTTTTCATCTTTAATGTTACATTTGCATAAAAAAACTTCAATTCGAAATCTGCTCAAAAGAAATGCAAAGTAATTAGCTATTGTTAAAATTAGTTTCTGTAAAAAGTATCGTAGCTATAATTATATTGTTACGTATACAACACATACACACATATACATATAATTTTTATATATATATATTATATTTTTTTTTATATTTATATTATATATATTTTTTTTACACGTATATGCATATAATTATATGATTTAATTATTAATGACATTGATTTAAACAGTTCATGTTTTTTTTTTTTTTTATCGTAATGGTAAATGTATACAATAAGACATATAATAATTTAAACTTTTAATATGAAATTCCTTTAATAGTGTGATTTAATAACTTCTCTTTAAATTTTTTTTTTCTTCATCTGTACGCTTTTTTCAGTTATTCATCGTACGGTTCAGTAGTAAATCAATCTAACGGGTACAGTCCGACGTACATCAGGCGATCACCTCGTCCGGTCAACTTTATACTGCCACTTCTTATGATCTAACATATTATCAGCTATTAATGGGTTAATGAAATTGATAGTACTAATGATGTTTTCTTTTAGTCATTTCTATTCTTGATCTAAGTTATATTTTAGCCGGACATAAAGTGTAATGTTTTTAATAGTTAATTTTATGGTAGTAATTTAGGATGTTTTAAGTTTTAAATTTATGTTCAAGTGAGAGGGATTTCCTAGAAATGCTAAAAGAGAATAAGGTAAATTAGGATTAAATCTTTTGCTCAGTATGCATTGGATCTCAGTATGAAAATTTGAAGCTATAGGAGTTAATTGATTTGCTTTTAGTCATCATCTCCAATAAGTGAGGACTGCTTAGTGGTAATCCGGATGCGAGCAGATGCCCAAGGCCGGTATGGTTTCAATGTGAAAGGTGGTGCTGATCAGAATTATCCGGTAATTGTAAGTCGAGTTGCACCTGGCAGCGCTGCTGATAAGTGCAATCCTAGGCTAAATGAAGGCGATCAGGTATATTTATTAAAAGCTTCAAGAAGTAATACTATTAAATTGAGATTATTTCGATTTTTTTAAAACATTCATATCTTGCTTATATTTTTTGTAAAACTATTATTGTAACATTAAAATGGATGATCCAGTCAATGAATTTATGGTCCAAGAGCAAACTTTGGTTGTTGTTTTTTCTATTTTTGTTTTGTATTGGATTGCAGGTTTTATTAATTAACGGCATGGATATATCCTCGATGCCGCATGAAAAAGTTGTTCGATTCATTCGTGCCGCACGTGATTCACCGAAAGGAGAGCTAGTGCTTACAATCAGGCCGAATGGTACTCTTTGATAAACTATAAGACTTAAACGTCTTAGTTGAACTAATTGAGCCAGAAAATCATTTCCGACTTTAAATTATAGTTTATCGGTGTGGTGAGGATGTGGAAGAATCAGATGCACACCATTTACCTGAAGTTCCTCACGTAGCTGACACAGTGCCGCGTTCTGATAAGCTATCACAATCCCTTATCATGCTCAAAGAGTCCCTTTCATCTGGAAAAATTATAACGCAATTTGAGGTGAGTTGTTGTAAATTTTAATTTTTGCTATTATCATTACAAACTTGATTTCTTATTAGCTTATCGTAGCGTAATTTCAATTCAAAAAAGGGATTTTTTTGGTTATCTGTTAAAATTTTACCTTACATTATGTAGAATTTAGGAAATTATATTTGATTGTTCGTAATTGTGAAAATTTAAGATTGGACAAGTTTTTTAAGACAGAAATATGAAGAATTGCGCGTATGATTCACCTTAAAGAATATACTCATTGAATTTCAAATTTTGACGTAGAGCAAAAGAGAAATATGCATATTTTATTATTGCTAAAAAAAATTTTTTTTGTGCTATAGCAATTGTATCGGAAAAAGCCGGGTTTATCGATGGAAGATTGTAAGCTATCATTAAATGTTAATAAAAATCGTTATCGAGATGTATGCCCGTACGATAATACCCGCGTAAAGATAACCGCACCTTCTGGCGACTATATCAATGCGTCCTTTGTCAACGTAAGCACTTCACTTATTGTAATATTTGCGCTTTTCTAATATTACTTTTAATTGTGATCTATTCCTTTAGTTATTTAATAATCTCATCAGCATATCAATATGCATATTTACTTTTCATTTCAAAAAATTTATCAGTAATGAATGGGTATTAAATTTCATCTAATCTTTTAATTCATTTGCTGCAGTCCTTTTCCAGTTTAATTTTATGAAGCAAGAGAGTGTGGAATACTTATACAAAATTAAATAAATGTTCCATGCTATAGATGGAGATCCCCTCAAGTGGTATTATAAATCGATACATAGCAGCTCAGGGACCACTTGCGCATACATCCGGTGATTTCTGGTGCATGGTATGGGAGCAGTTATGTACAACAATTGTCATGCTAACTACTACCATCGAACGAGGTCGTATTAAATGCCATCAGTACTGGCCTAGACTTTATGAAAATCACGATTATGGTCGATTGCAAATTTCTTGTATTAGTGAACGAGAAACTGCTAACTGCGTTTATCGCGAAATATCAATTCAAGATATAATGGTAAACCATTTTTTAAATCAAAATTATTAACTAGGAAGATCTACAATGATTCTAGCCCAGTTTCAACTCTTTCCCAATCTAATTATCAAGCAAGAAAATCTGGAATGCTTTGACATTTTGATTGTTTCAAAAATTTGCAGACAAAAGAAGAGAGACGGGTAAGCCAAATGCAGTACACGGCGTGGCCTGATCATGGTGTTCCAGATGATCCGAAACATTTTATTGATTTCGTCGATGAAGTTAGTTCTGATTTCGGGCTTTTTATTTATTTATAGAAAATATACTCATAATTAAATAATATTTTTCTTACAAAATGTTATTTAAATTCTCACTAACTAGTGTAATTTGGGTTTTGAATCTGTTTCTGAATAACTAAACCAAGTTCAAGTTTGTTTTATATTTCATTTTTTTATTCTTGTATGTGTAAAATCTTAAAGACTTAAGAAATTTAGGTTCGACGTGCACGAGCAGGTTCAGTAGATCCAATCGTTGTGCACTGCAGTGCAGGAATCGGACGAACCGGTGTGCTAATACTGATGGAAACAGCTGCTTGTCTGGTAGAAGGTAATGAACCGGTGTATCCCCTAGATATTGTTAGAACAATGCGCGATCAACGGGCTATGCTCATACAAACACCGGTACCACTTTTCATCTTAAAATTCTCTTAAAATTTGAGGTTTTTGCTAATAAAAATAATTTGTAATTGAATATTAACTAAAAAAATATGGTGTCCGAATTTCAAATGTCAAATTAAGAAGTATTAAGCACTCAGACTTGCTTGAAAATTTGTCAAGTGCAAGATGTAGCTTTCATTTGAAAATTATATGTGTAATGAGTCGAATTAAAATAATATTTACAAAAATTCAGCTGTTCAGCATACTTACTTGGATTAATAATACTGTTTTATAGTTTTAGCTAATTTCACGTTTTTAAATATATTACAAAGCATAATGGAACTTGTATTAATCCATCAATCCCTTTAACCTTTAGTATTTGGTAGCATCATTTATGATTGATTTTTTTATTAACTAATTTACATAATACCGCATGATTTTGATAATGAATATTTACTAATTGGTGAATAGTAGGTAAATTTCAGGGTCAGTATACATTTGTATGCGAATGTATTTTGCGCGCTTATCATGACGGTTTGATCAAACCATTAGCGGAGTATTGCGTGCGTTCCTCTTGATGGCAACACATTAATATTACTATTTTTTTTTATTTTTCTTGTTACTGTCATTATTAGTATTTTCATTATTATTATTATTATTACGGAACAATGTTTATTCTGTATGTACAGCTGCTGCATGTTTCAGTGTAGAACATGTAAAGATCATGTGTTATTAGGTCAAATTTTAACGAAAATTAAACGTCCTTTCTTAATTTTGTTCAACTATAATGTTGACAATAAGATATTTTTGTATTTTTGTAGTAGAAAAGCATAATGTTCTTGCTTTTTGGAGTATGTTAAAAGAAACTTCATCTTAACAAGGCTTGGAGCTTTTTTATCATGTTGTCAATTATTTCTTTGCCAAATGTACTTGTTTTAAATACTCAAAATAAAGTTGAGATTATATATAAATAAATAAATATATATATTATATATTTATTTATTAAGATTGATCGATTATAATGGTAGACATTAGTTCTTTCTGTCGTTTGTGAACAAATTGGTGCAAAAAAGATTCAGCAACGGGGATTTCCATGGTTGAGATTTCGAAATAATGCATTTGAACATGTCTAAAATGGTATTGTCACTATTTTTTTTTTTTTTTTTTTTTTTTGGGAATGATAAACGCATGGATTTCTGTTAAGTTACAAATAAAAGAGAATTCAGAATAAGGAGCGGTATTGAAGAATTCTCAGAAAATTTTAAAGGCATTGCAGAGCATCTTCCGGAAATTAACCGGACCTAGACTTCGCTTATTCAGATCAGCTGCACACATTCAACAGTGTATACATCTATCATGAAACGTCAGTGTTAATATATATACAGTACTTACTTGTATTATTAATATTATTATTAACGAATATTATTAAATAACTGGAAAAAATAAGACCAAAATTGCATCATTCGGTTTTTTTTTTTTAATGAACAGATACTAGCTTCTTAAGGAAAGATGAAATTATCCATTTTGCTTAGACGAGTCAGAAAGTGGATGGTGCAAGGGAAAAGTCAAGAGGTTAGTGCTTAAAAAGTGAACCAATCACCATTTCCTATATAGTTGTACAGTTGTAAATAAAACATCTCTTAAAAGTAATGATCTATCATGTTTATGGCATGGTTGAAACACAATGAATTCTGAATTGCTGTGATATCATTGTCCAGCAATATGATGTCATTACCTATATAATTAACTTCAATAATTATCAATGCCGAAATATGTGATGTCACATCATAAAATTTGTTTCTGTAAAGAAAATGGCATTAAAAAACAAGCACTAGCTTCCATATCCTACATTGATAATAATCAAAGTTAATAAAAAATAATAATATAACCACAATAGCCAAAAAAATATGAAACAACGAAATTATTAAATAATGATTGGCCTTATTATTACTATTACTACATTGTTATTTTTTTCTTTTTTGAGTTTTCCTTTTTTTTAGTTTTTATTTTTCTTTTTTGATTATGATTTATTTCTTTTAATTTGTGTTTTTAATTTTTATAATGTTTTTCGACTAGTTATACTGTTATTTTTTTATTAAGTTTGATTAGTATTAATTTAGGATGTGGAAGCTTTATTTCACTTTTTGTTTGGATTAAGTTTAATTAAAATTTCTTCTTATCGGATTAGAGAATGCTTTCCAAAATTTTGGTTGATTTTTTAAATTCACTAGTTTCCCTTCTTGCTAATTTTACTTTGAGTTATAAATGAAATTTTTGTAGTATATTAGACATTATATAAATATCTCAGATTGTTACTGGTTTTTTTTTTTTTTTTTTTAAAACTTTTTATCATACAGCTGGGGATGCTTTCAGTAGTGTTCAAATATGTGATATTTGAGGCTAACCTAGATTGACTTATTCTTATTATACGTCCTAGTGGTGCTTCTATGCTTTTTCTTTTATTTATTTTCATATTTTTAAAGGTTTATAGTAGTTATCGTTTTTCAAAAGTATGAGTAAATAGTGTTATCATATATCTTGTTTTCATGGATATTCTTTTTACATGTTATATTTTAATTTGCGGAGATAAAATATTAGGCGGCAATCCATTGAAATTTTTTTATTTGAACCTTTTATTTTTCTTTGATTGTTAATAGTTTTGGTTGTTATTCACTTTTTTTTTTCTTTTTTCTTTTTATTTTTTACATTTTAATGATATATGATAAAATTCATTTTTTCCCTAGATTTTGATTTTTTTAACTTTTTTGATTTTGTTTAGCTTATATTTTTCTTTTAATTTAAGGGATCCTATGTTATTCGTTGAGTCTGATTCTATGGCCCTTATATTGTGCCAGAATGGTATTTTTTGTTTGCTTCAACTGCTCTTACTCTTTTACATATTTAAGTTTTATTGGTCTAGAACCAAAATTAAATAGCAGCACTACATACACTAATGCATGTGTCGTGAAACCTCAAACTTGGGTAATTAAACCTTTATTTAACATGAAGCAAATAATAGCGCTTTATACATATCGTACGGATGCTACACCGATTAACAAACGCGTAAACTATATAAAATGCAATAATATAAAAATGGTGAAATAGTACAAAATTATAAAGTATTAGACGCATCCCAATACCACCCAAAACATAAAGCAAATGATGGTTATAGAAGGATTGGTTGATTAATATATAAGACTGATTTAACGAATGGAAATTAGATGGAAGAATTTCTCATGGATGAACAAAGAAGATTGTTAACAAGATTAGTTTTAGTGTGTGAAAGGAGGAAATAGATTAGTATGAGACATAGCTGAATTACAATGTAAAAATATTCGGAAATTGAATCATCAAGTGTAAGAAAAATTTTGTAAATGTAAATTAGATTTAGGAATTAGATAAGAGGAATTTGTTAGTTTTGGATATAATAATTTAAATATTTCGTCTTTCACGACACTCCCGACCAGAAAAGGTGGGTAATGCGTGGGGTTCATAAAAAAGTGGGGCTTGTAAAATTTCCATGGGGATAATTTCGACCCTTTGACGAGTCTGACCTTTATGACATAAGAAATTAAATATAGAATAAATTAATGTAAAGTCAGATTTAAAGACAATAAGTACAATTGATATTACCACAATGATTATCCCAATTATAATTATTGTCCAGTGCGAAAGGAGTTTCTCCAAATTTTCTTGTAAAAACACCTTCCATTCTTCAAGTGTTCCTTCAAGTTGTTCTGTTAATTCTTCTCCACGTTGGCCGAGTTCATTCCAAATTTCGGATGTTTCTTGCTGTTCGAAAACTGGATTTATCATTTGTTGATTTTGTGCTAATATCTCTAATGCTGCATTGATTCTATCGATTTCAAATTTACTTATCAATCCGCTTCTAAATTCAATAATTTTTATATTAAGTGAATCGGACTTGCACGGGGCGATCAATAATTTTCCTTTGATTCTTTTAGCGATCACATCATCCCTTTGCAATAATAGATTCGCAGCGAGGGTAGGATTATCCAGCGATAACCATTCGATTAATAATAACAGATTATTTCGATTTTCACAAGTTCGCTGTTCTACTAGTTTTAATTGTTGCTGGAACTCTTGTTGCAAACTATCGAGTAAGTATTGAAATTTTGTATTTTCGGGATCACTATCGTCTCCTCTTTGTGTTTCCATCATCATTAGCTTACCTCTAGGTGAAGCGAGTGCTAAATTTGTATTCCTTCTGTTTCTATTGTTAGCGATCCTCGTTACAATGTCAATAACAGTGTCACCATCCATTAAGTTGGGATTAGAAAATTTGCAGTTTTCGCTTCTAAATGTTTTGTTATATTTACTGAAGACGAATGATGTTTGTAGTTCGTCTATGATAACATGATTTTCGTATAATTGAGCATTAAAATTTCCCACCTTACGATATCGACACTTCTTCGTTATTTGTTGAATATCCCATAGAACGATACTATTGTTTGTGATACATTTTCCGTCTTGTGTAATACAATTCTCCGCAGTTTCGAAATCCGACAGACCCATTTCCATCGTAAAGGAATATTTCTCCTTCTGTTAATACTAAATTTGTAGTGGATTGGCATCTAACACCCAGCCATTCGTAGTAGTAATGTACTTGGTTGGTTGTTATCCACTTATTATGAAAAATTTGGGCTAATTTACTTCCATTGATCTGTCTTTGATCGTGTAAATCTCTACAGGTTTCTGATGATGGTGCGGTGGTAGTTGTTTGGTCCGAAATTACTGATAATGAAAACCACAGAAATGCTTTAGTACACACAGTTCGGGTTATATTATTACACTTGATCGCAGGGAGTGTGATAGGGACTGCGAGTGTAAACATTAACCTGAAGTAGATTGGAGTTCTGTGCCGTGATTTCTTCACAGTTCCATTTCTCTGGAATATTGAACAGTATTCCTGTTTTCCATTGGCATTCTTTTTTTGCCTTCACTGGTATCATTAAGGTATAAAGCATAGATACTGATAAAAGTGAGACCATTAAGTTACTCTTACTGACCTCCTTTAATCGAGATTGTCGTTTTGTATTGCTCCTAGTTCGCATCGCAATAGGTTCCTGGAGCTCCTCAGTGTTCTGTTCGGTTTCCGGAATTTTCATATTTTCTTTCTCATTAGGTTCAAGATGAATTTCTTCATCATTAACTTCGAGAGGATACAAGACATTTATTGGACGATCGAGAAGTTTCCCAGTGGGAGTTTCTACCTGAACGTTCCTAACTTTACCTTCTTTATCGATTTTGATGTCCTTGATCCGTAATAATTTCCACATTCCTCTTGGAATTCCCGATTCATTTAAGAGTACAATCTCTCCCTTTCTTGGAGTTCTTTTTTGTGTTCCTTTGGATGAGGTAATTTCCCTTTGCGTGCGTTCTCTGAGGCTAGTTAAATATTCGGTTCTCCAGATTTCCCAAAAAACATTGAGAGTTTTAAGGGTACTTTCCCAGTGTCTCACGAGTTTTTCTCTGGTATCTAGTCTTCCTGCCTGCTATAAACTTCATTTATAGGTAGATGGAGCGAAGCGTTAGGCAAAATAAAATCAATTGGACGTATAATGACGCAATCGTCAAAATTGGCGTAAGTTAGTGGTCGGGTATTAAGTATACCTTCAACTTCTGCAATTAATGTTACCAATTCCCTTTCCGCTAGGAATTTTCTGCCAATGGCTCTTCTTAGCGCATTTTTCGTTAACCCAATTAATCTCTCGTAGATTCCTCCTTGCCACGGAGCTTTTGATATAATATTTTTCCAAGTCATTCCTCCCTTTGCTAAGAAGTTGGAGACTTTGACTTGTGTCATAAGAGATCTGAAAGCCTGAAATTGAGTGGCATTGTCACTCAGAATTAACTCAGGACACCCTCGTCTCGCAACAAATCTTCGGATAGCATGCAAAAAGGTTCCTGCGGATTGGTCTTCTGCTAATTCGAGATGCATGGCTCTTGTTGTAAAGCATGTAAATAATATTATCCACCTGTTTGTTTTTTCATCCATGAGAAATTCTTCCATCTAATCTCCATTCGTTAAATCAGTCTTATATATAAACCAACCAATCCTTCTATAACCATCATTTGCTTTATGTTTTGGGTGGTTTTGGGATGCGTCTAATACTTTATAATTTTGTATTATTTCACCATTTTTATATTATTGCATTTTATATAGTTTACGCGTTTGTTAAACGGTGTAGCATCCGTACGATATGTATAAAGCGCTATTATTTGCTTTATGTTAAATAAAAGGTTTAATTACCCAAGTTTGAGGTTTCACGACAAAAAATAAATTTTGGTGCTCTATCGTAACCTCTTACTAGCTGTAGGCCAAAAAGCAACAGTAGAAGTATTGTGCCAGCAATACGAAGCAAGGGCAAGGATCATCAAAGATAAATTTTGGTGCCCGAGGTGAGGTAAGGTATGTCGGCCAGTATAATTGTTCAAGCTACACCAGTAAAAGCGAATCTCGAGGGACTCCTCGATGAAATACGACAAAGTGGATGTAACTCCGCTAGACCAAAAAGCGACAGTAGAAGTATTGTGCCAGCAATACGAAGCAAGGGCAAGGATCATCAAAGAAAAGTTGATGCGCCTCGAAAAATACGTTGGCACTCTTGAGAAGATCAACGACAAATGGTTGGAACACATTCAACTAGCCCCAATGTCGCAAAAGAAAAAGAAGAAAAATACGAACAAATGGCAAACGACGATAGAGGTATTTTAAAATTAATTAACATAGGTACGGATACCATTATAACCTTATCTATGTACAAGGATGATACAGAGTTAGCCCTTAAACGTCTAGCACAAATTAAAGAACCTAGCTTAACTGAATGTCATCCAGTAGTAAATTTACTACCACAGTTGTCGTTACCAACGTTTAGTGGAGACCCTAAAACATGGAGAGAATTCTGGAATAGTTTCGAAGCCTCCGTACACTCTCAAAACATACCAGATATCCAAAAATTAAATTACTTGGTTTCTTGCTTAAGAGGAAACGCCCTACAGCTAGTAAGAGGTTACGATAGGGCACCAAAATTTATTTTTTGTCCTGAAACCTCAAACTTGGGTAATTAAACCTTTATTTAACAAGCAAATAATAGCAAATAGCAAATAATGAAGCAAATAATAGCGCTTTATACATATCGTACGGATGCTACACCGATTAACAAACGCGTAAACTATATAAAATGCAATAATATAAAAATGGTGAAATAATACAAAATTATAAAGTATTAGACGCATCCCAATACCACCCAAAACATAAAGCAAATGATGGTTATAGAAGGATTGGTTGATTAATATATAAGACTGATTTAACGAATGGAAATTAGATGGAAGAATTTCTCATGGATGAACAAAGAAGATTGTTAACAAGATTAGTTTTAGTGTGTGAAAGGAGGAAATAGATTAGTATGAGACATAGCTGAATTACAATGTAAAAATATTCGGAAATTGAATCATCAAGTGTAAGAAAAATTTTGTAAATGTAAATTAGATTTAGGAATTAGATAAGAGGAATTTGTTAGTTTTGGATATAATAATTTAAATATTTCGTCTTTCACGACAGCATGACTAATGTCAACAAATATGAAACTGATAAAATTGTTGAATAGCATTATTTGCACCACTTGCTACTACTTCTTTCTGCTTGCCACCATTCCGTATTTTACTACCGTAACCACCTGCTGAATAAGTGGTTACAGTAAGAGGTGGTTGCATATTGCCGGATTTTTCACTATAAAAGAGCGAGATTTTCATAATCAGACCTTTGAGCTTTTTTATCATGCTGTCATGCACTTGTTTTAAATTGCAATTGCAAGAACATTATGCTTTTCTAATCAAAACGAAATAGAAGATTTCACAAAGAGAGGAATTTGAACAATTTTTCCAAAAAGAAATATTACTTGAATGTAGAAAGAGGAAAAACGACAGAACTGGATCTTCTGAAGAATTAGTAATAGTTTTCATCCTGAGAGATTCTGTATTTTGCCTTGAAGTTTTGCAACTGAATTTCTGCTTCATTGAATTACTAATCAAAGGCAGAGCATCATTTCAAATCTATATTTGTGATTATGATGAATGCAAGATTTTGAATTATGAATGCAATTTGTGATTATGATGAATGCAAGATTTTGAATTAAGTTACAACATTCGCTGAATTTTTTTCCATGGATTTTAATATAAGATAAAACTCTACTTCACTCTTCTTGCTACTTCGCGCACACTTTGAATTACCTTCAAAAGGATGTTTGCGGACAATGTTTCTCCAATATTTTATGGAGCAACTACACCTTGAAATATTGTAAGTGACTCACACAAAATATCAATGACCACTTGGTCAATAACCACTCATAATTCATTCTCTTTGGTTTGACCGCTCAGCACGCGTCAACTCCTTCCGGAAAACCTAATTCAAGGTTCTCCACGCAGTCATCAAGTATGACACCCACACTGTAGGAGTGAGGATGACACACTTCTTCCCGCTCTGGAGATGACGCCCTGCCACATCATCGCGGCTGCGCTCCGTCGCATTTTCGCTAACAGCGAAGAAATACATACTACAGAAATGATTCTGTGAAGTATGATCTCGATTGCAGTTTCCCCAATTTTTCTTTTCACTTATTTCCACTGCAAATGATAAGTGGCTTATTGCAAAAACTTTTAAAACTACTCCCTCCTTCTCTGCCACTCACGCCATCTTCACAATCTCCCTACTTCTCTCGTCACAACTCTCTCTCAGTGACAATTAGCCTCACCAATCAATACACACGCCATTTCCACAACTACGAACCCATAAAGTCATTTATATTCTGCTACGTTTGGTGAAGTATTTGGATATTTGAGTGTACGAAATATTATCTGAATATGGAAAACACTATTTAATAAAATACTATTCTCGAAAGGAAATTTCGAATATTGCTACAAACTTGAATTTCCCTAGAAAAATATGACAATAGGAATGTACAATTTCCTCAATGTGCAATAGCAGATACCGGAATGTTTCACCTTCAGAAATTCAAATTTATGAAATATGCTAGCTTTAATTTGAAATAAGACGACAAAATTCATTGAAATATAGTAATAATGTTCCAACTTCAGTCTAAAGCATTCGACTTCTGTTGATCCAACAAAATTGGTATCCACAGACAAAATAAGCTATAGGTGATGGTAATACAACGTATGTGCAAGATATGTTCAGCGTCGATTACGTTAGGATAATGACAATGGAATGCATAATACATTAAGAAATATGAGGTGATTCTTTGTCTGATATTATAAAGTTTCTCAATTACTGTCCAATAAATATTACAGTTTAATCATTCTGCGCATAGATTTGTTTAATAGTTTTCCAGTTTTGCGTCATTACTGCATCCGTATACTGCGTTTGTACCACTTGTGATTCGTTGGTGAGCGAATCGATGCCTTTCTTCGAAATTTTATAAAATACTTTGTCGTCAACCGCCTAAAAAAGATTTTTTTTTCAAGTTCCATATTTTGCGGTTTTCAGAAAGAGTTTGAAAAAAAATGAAGTTAGTTAATTTTAGTGAAAAAATCCTGTTATTTTTCAATGACTATTACTGGTGTGTAAATATCACAATCATGACTTTTATGACGTTTGTTGGAAGTTTGATATCAAATTTTGATTGATAAATGGCTAGGACATCTTGAACATCTACGTCAACGTTCTTATTGTTTTGAAAAGTTTTTCATTAAATAGGTAAAAGTATAGGTAAAAGAGAAATACTCAGTGGTAAATTAAGTCTCTGAATGAAAATACTTTAAGTTTCACAAAAAAGCAGTAACTATTATGAAGGATCATTGCCTATTCAGAGTGATCAAGTGTTAAATGTTAAATAAACATTTTAGACAAGACTGAAGTAAAAGTAACATAGTTCGTATTACCATTTCTTTACTATTTGACCTAAGTGAAATCAATTTATGAGACCAATATGATAGCGCATATTAAATTTGACAGTTTATTCTAAATCTTATGAAGACAAAACAGATAGATTACGATTTTTTTAAAGAAGAAATTTATATCTTAGAATAATTAAACAGTTTAATACAATATGCCAACATGCATCATAAACGAGCTAGGATGGTAAAAAGATGGAAGTATGAATTCGAGGAAATATCGATTGGATAGATACCTTATTTGTGGCCGTATTTTTCTAAAGTAGTAGAAAGGATGAATATATCTAAGATCTGATGTGGAATGGTGATTAATTACTGGTAGTGTGATAATGAAAAAGGCCTACAACGTTATCGGGAAATTTCGCTTACAAAGCATAAAGCGAATGACAATTTTGGTACTTGAGAGTCCGAAATTCGTAAAGGATCACATTAATACTCCATGAAAATTCCATCTAAAAACCTTCGTTAATCATAACTGCAATAGCATCACAGAGCATTGAAAAATAAAAGATTCAATGTAGATGAAAGGCAAAGTTAATAATTTCAGTTATCGATAGAAATGTTAACAGTGATAATCGGAAGAATTAGAACAGGGAAATGTCCAGCAGCAATACTGAAAGATGTGAAATAATATAGTTAGGGTAAATGAAACTATGACAAGAGAACATTGTTCAGCGATTTTAATTTTAAACATTATTTTCAACATCTTTCAAATTTTTTTGTTTATTACAAAGATTCGTTTTTGCGTATTATATATTTTTCGTATTATATAAAGTAGTTTAAAGATATTTAAGTCAAATGAAGGCAAAACAATTCATTCAAGACAGGTAGAAATCATTCACTGAAATTAGTTTGTACTAAATCATTTTAAATGCTTTAAACAAAAGGAGCTATAATTATGAAAATTACATCTATGCAGCGATATCGGATTATTACAAGTAAAGCAGAATATCGAAAAGAGGACATTGAATGATATATTAATGTAGATCAGGAAAAAAATGCTGGTTTAGATTTTTAAGCAAATATTTATTAAAGTGACCTAAGGAATGCAAATTAATTAGCTGACAAATTAAAAAAAAAAAAAAAAAAAAAAAACAAGCCGATACATGAGTGCATTTGCAAACACTGATACGAAAGGTAATGAAAGAACGGACTGGTTGATTGTGATTGCAATATCTAATTTGAAAATTAATGTTACGCATAAAATATATCAAAAAGACTGAAAAAAAGGGAACTCAACTGATAGTTTGAGCTAAATCATAAATGTGACGAAACAGTTCTCATTCAATTAGTGATTATAAGAAATCGCAACTCGCTACCGTTATGATACATGGAATAACTTTGTGAAGAATATAAAACATATGAAAAAGAAATGGTAAAAACAGAAATGAAAAAAAAGATAGCGGGGAGTGAAAAGTGAAATTTATAACATCTCGAATCCAATGAATGATATTGAAAAGACCAAACTGAAGATAAACCTTATTTAACACACAAAAAAGAAGTTATAATACGACCATAACGAGGCAAATGAAGAAGATATCTCTGGAAAACTAATGGAGAAGAAATATTAATCTGGTGATAGACTTGGAATTATAACGGCGAAGACCAAAATTCTTGTTTAAAATATTTGGTAAGCCATGTGAGTGACCACATTTATCAATAATTTAATAATAATAATAATGGTATTGACCTTGTGATGATTCGGAGAGATGATTTGCATATAGCAATTGGAATCTGATAATTTGAATAGTAAATATCTGAAATCAACCGCTTTGATCCATCGTTTACCAAGTGATGGTGATGGCTCCCCACGCCAGTAAACAAAATGGTTTGTTGTTACGATGGCACAACCACGATGTGCCATGTAACGAAGTATAGCAATAATTTCATCCTGAATTTTCCGACCTAAATTTGGTGAGTTTTAGTGATCTTTTTTTTTTTTTTTTTTACAAGGAAATATAATCAGGGAACCAACAAACGATAAATCGTTCATTTAAACTTTTTTATCAAGATTTTCCATATGAAATCCCAAATATTTTTATAAGAATCACCTGCAAAATTTGGACCTTAAGATATATATTGCACAGAAATCTAGAATGATACAACCAAATATTAAAAAGCTGTCTCGTATAACATAATTCGTATGTATTTTGCTAGTTGGAGAACACTCCAATGAAAGAATCAACCTCCATCGAAGTATCCCCAAGCTGTAAATGCTAATGCTGCACCAATACTGTCGATTAGAACGAGTGCAAGATTTTGAATGACCTTCAAAAGAATATTAATTATGGACAACATCCGTCAAATATCTTTCCCACTGATTTTAATAAAAGATAAAACTCTGTTCAACTCTTCTACTTTGCTTGTTATTATTGATGCAGTTAACCAGGATGCGTAACGCAAGATTGCGTCGTTGTCATTATGAAGCAATTCGTGCATATTTTGAATTACCTTTAAAAGGATGTTTGCAGACAATGTTTCTCCAATATTTTATGGAGCAACTACACCTTGAAATACTGTAAGTGACTCACACAAAATATCAATGACCACTCGGTCAATAACCACTCATAATTCATTCTCTTTGGTTTGACCGCTCAGCACGCGTCAACTCCTTCCGGAAAACCTAATTCAAGGTTCTCCACGCAGTCATCAAGTATGACACCCACACTGTAGGAGTGAGGATGACACACTTCTTCCCGCTCTGGAGATGACGCCCTGCCACATCATCGCGGCTGCGCTCCGTCGCATTTTCGCTAACAGCGAAGAAATACATACTACAGAAATGATTCTGTGAAGTATGATCTCGATTGCAGTTTCCCCAATTTTTCTTTTCACTTATTTCCACTGCAAATGATAAGTGGCTTATTGCAAAAACTTTTAAAACTACTCTCTCCCTCTCTGCCACTCACACCATCTTCACAATCTCCCTACTTCTCTCGTCACAACTCTCTCTCAGTGACAATTAGCCTCACCAATCAATACACACTCCGTTTTCACAACTATTTTGCTGTGTTTGGTGAAGTACCATTTCTTTTATGTGAAGTTGAACCATCCCGTAAATTTGCATTCAGTATATGGTCATTTGAACCTATGAAGTAGTGTTAAGTAATTAATTACTTGAATATCTGAGAGTACAGCTCGAAGATCTTTTTCATCGTAAGTCCGTGATATAAACACTCGTTCAAGCATTCCTTTTGCTGTATTTCCATCCTAAAATTTGAATCATTCTGTAAATTTGCAGTTGCTATGCATATCACAGTAGAATTGTTGGAAAGTTCTGGAAGGCATTCAACTTTTTTCGATAACATATTGACCAGAAAGCGCTGTGAAGCATACTGCCTAATACTTTTTTTTCGACCGAAAATGTAGAAAATAAGGATAAAGAAATATTAATGATAAAATAAAATATTGTAGTAATGGATTAATTCATTGCAAATTACCTGTACACCACGAGATTTTAACATTTGCAGTAAACGACTACTACGGAAACTACCGTTTGTGTCGATGTAAACGATTTTTTGTTCCTTTTCATCATTGATTAATTGATTTGCTATGAGCGAAAGACATAACTGCAGTTGAGTAGACGAATTTTAATACAGTTGAAAGAAGGTTTCAGTGGATTACTAGAACTAAGTAACTTATCATAGTAAAAATATGATTTGACATAAACAAAGTCGATTTTACCTGTGTCTTTCCGGAAGCAATATTACCAACAAATTCGGTAAGTTTACCCTTAGCGACCCCACCGCTAAGATAAGTGTCGACATCTGGACAACCAGTTTTCTGCACGAGCCATGGTGCACCAAGTCTTAGGAACAGATTAAGTCCCGTTTCTTCATCATATTCCGGGTCGTCATCATTCATAATTATCTGGAAATTTCTTAGACACGATACATCGATGAAGGCAAACACATCCCTCGATACAAAAACACAACCCTTGAAAGCAATTTTTCTCAGCTATTTCCACCACTGTTTGATAATGTTCGACATGTTTAATAAATCGGTATGAAGTCCATTCTAGAATTATTCAAATAGAATACTTGTCGACCTAACCATCTGGTACGAATCGATTACGTAATGAAATGTTATCTTCGAGAAAATTTTCGAATCCTTTTTATTGCAGTAAAGATCATCGGTGGAAAAATGAAAATGGGAGCGTACAATTTCCTGCAGTTTGCAACAATGAAACACTGGACAATTTCACCTTTAGGAATTCAAGCCTTCACATAACATGGATTCTTCGACTTGACAGAAAAGTCTCGGAATAAAATAAGAAAAACCATAAAAAACAATACTGAGAAACTGTTCAAAGTTTGAATCTGCAACATTCTTACAGTAATTTCGAAAATAATTTAAATCTCTAACTTTAATTCCATAACAAATAATAGGAATTCTAGAGGATCTCAAAGAAAAAAAATGATTAGATGCAGTGATTCAAAGAGAATCATTTAAAAGGAAATCTCTAAAACAATGTGGAAGAATAATGCTCTTTTCCTCGATCCGTTTTGCTATAGAACTGTGCTAAATACAGGTCTCAAGTAATGAGTGATATTGGAATAAAGTAATTATATACATTTCACTCAACAAGCAAGAAATAAACAAATGAAAGATATAGAAACAAACAAATGACATCAACAAAAAAGGGCTAAAGCCTACTTATACTTCAAAGAAAGTACATTTCATTTCATATTTATGAGTGATTCGGTTTCTGTTCTAATATTGGCACAATCAAATGCTCATTTGCCATCAAGTTATACTTCTTTACGAATATTGTAAATCGACGACAAAGATGCGTTTCTGTCTGAAAGTTAGCAAATGTTATCAAATAATACCAATTTTGTCACGTAAAAAATAAGATGAAAAAACTCCAGAAAGCTTGAACAAATTATCCGGTAGTTTATTACAAAACTTTTGTTCGATTTTTCTGACTGAAGAAAAAGATAAGAACAGGCTATCTATCGACCTATTTTAGTCCATAATTATCATCATATTTTTCTGATTTTTGATAAAAACTATCGATCATTTTTTTTAGTCCATGATCCTGTCGCGTATAATCGATTTCCGAATACTACAATAAAATATGGTAGTAACAGCGAATATGGTAACAGTTGAATGAAAAGATATCATCACCTCGAATTTTTCGAACAATTCAGGATGATGAAAGTACGCGTGTGAGAAAATCCGATAAATTCGGCGGCAAACCGAACCAATTTTGGCGATCGATGACTCTTTAATTGAAACGCGACTGGGAAAATATTTGTTACTATTCAATAATGCCGCTGCACCGTCCAAAGTATGTCGCGTATAATCGATTGCCGAACACTACAATAAAATATGGTAGTAACAGCGAACGAATATTCTGGTATCGAGTGCTGCGAAAAGCAAACCCACAATATGAATAAAGTAAATTATAAGAATAATATGCAGAACTCACAAGAAATTCTGACTAAAAAACCACCATAATAATTTTATGTAAATGAAATTTATGGAATCTACAAAAGCCGATACCTCTTTCGGATTCTTATGAGCCGCACAAAGGAATATCCATTGTTCTGTGGCAGTCATTTGCACACAAACGTCTGGCTTACATTCATCCTTGAAATTTTAGTTACTTTAACGAAAAATTGCAACCATTGAAAATCTAATTCATGTTTAGATTTTAGGAAACTTTTGGTTTTGAATTTCAAATTGTCCAAGTTATCCCAGACATTCCTTAATTTCAGCAAGTTTTCAAACGCCAAACACAGTTATAACATATTCGACAAAACATGAATCACTATATTAATTTCTATTTCCGCTATAACAACTTAATGAACATATCACAAACGCTTTTTTACCTGCAACAGTAATGTTAAACCATTGAGTTGCATGCAAAACTGTCTCACATGTTCATATTTCCACACTCCTTCTTCTTGACCTGGCGGGGATTTCAGAATAGTATCTACATCTGATGGATCCTTATGAATACACTGCTGTATGTATTGCTGCACATTCAGTGTATTATCCATCTTAATGAAACAAATTTTTGACTTAAACATGATTTTTTTTTTCAACGAAATAAATTTGACTTAAATATGATTTCAAATACACAAGTCGAGATGCGAATTAGTGATTTTCGCATCTATATAATATGATTATATGTGCTGAGCTATCTCTCAAATTGTCATTTACCAATCCTTACAGAAAAACTTCTTATAAAACCAAAACATGAAATTTTCGCTGAGTAAAACTTCATTCTTATTCCTTGACTCTCCTATTTCACAGAAATAATATTTTAATTCCAAAAAATATGCATTGTTATAAACAGCTGAATTTATATTTTAATTGAACTAAAGAGATCTCATATCAGTATAAACATATATATATATAATATATATATATGCACCCAAATCTTATGCCAATAATTATGTTGAAATTCCAACAAACTGCATCACAAACCTCTTCGAATGGAATAGCTGGCCAATTACACCATTCTTCTCTGGTTGTTCCTGGATCATTCCTGCGATAAATGACACTTTTCTCCAGAGAAGTGCACATTGAATAAGCTTTTCCCTGAAAATAATCAATTATAAATTCATTCACATATAAATGAAAGGATGAAAATCTTTTCCAGATTGTGCATTAACTATCATACCTAAGATGTACCAATGCTAATTTTCGAAAATCATTTAAATAGTTGCATTACTTTTGTTTAGCATTTGATATTGGACACAAAGACGCTACCAAAAACTAATAAACAAAATCTTAGGTCGGAATGAAAAACATAAGGTGATAAGTCTTTGACATTTATGATAGATTGCTTTTAATAAGGAATAATTTCATTTTTTCAAATATACTACGCTGTACTTTTCTACTGTTGATTCCTGTTATATACTGGTTTTCAAGAAGCAAAAGATTGCCTAAAATCGATGGACTATAGCATCTTATTGGAATTTGGAGAATCAATCAGACTTTCAAAGATCTACGAAATTGGTGAAACCACTAAGAATTAAAAACCTCAGTAAGCATTAAATTTTATGGGAGAATGCAAAAAAATCATATTCACTAAAAATCATATTTAAAGATTAGTTTATGACAAGAATACAAAAAGAATTGTAATTGAAAAAAGCACACAAAAAACCATAAAAAAAAATTTTTATTTCCAATAGAGCAACATTTCATAACGGACCGCATATATACTAGTTGCATCTCCCCCGTAAAAATTCTTTGATTGGAAATGAAACTTAACGATAAAGTCGGAGTCGTTTGGGTTGAATGCATTGGATTGTTTCGCTGATTGTTCTGTGATTAGTGCTTCAGATGATTCTTCCTCCAAATGTTCCGGAAAAGCTTTCAAGTGTTCCGGAGAAAAAGAATTCTTGAATAGTGTTGTAGTGGAATCTTTAAATGACGATATTGTGGACATCTCTTTTAATATTTCTTCCATTGGTTCGTTAATTGTCACTAAATTCTTCAGTAGTTGTTGATTCATTGTATCTTCCGTTGATGCTTCCTCCAAAACTGCCAATATTCGATTCATTGTATCTTTGGTAGATGCATCAGTTAAATCCTCCTCTTCTGCCTTATTTAGTGATGATATTTTTGTCGTATCGTTCAGTAATTCCTCCACTTTATCCTTATATGTTGCATCTATCAAATCATCCAGAATTTCATCAATTTTATTCTTAATTGGTATTTCCAAAAAATCCTGAAACGATTGTTCTACCATATCTTTGGATGATACTTGTACTAAATCATTGAGAAATTCTTCCATTGGATTCGTTGATGAAGCTTCCACTAAACCCAGCAATTCATTAACAACATCTTCCGTTGTTTCCATATCGGTAAAAAGCAAACGTTTACCATTCACTTCTACCCAGAAAATAAATATGTCTTATGTTGCACCCTTATATGATCTTTTTGGAATATGCAGATTTCATTTTACATAAATATCAGTCAGTGCTCAAATATGAAACTTTTGAGTTTCTAGAAATACAAAAGGAAGCCAAACTGATAAATGATTATACAACAATAATGGGAGTAATTGCTAATTATCATATCATTGCTACTATTGTCATCATCGTAATTATTATTACGATTATCATTGAGTTGTTATTACATTTTATTGGTACTATTATTTCGAAAATATCATTATTTTCAGATTAAAATTTTTTGTTTTGTTTTTTCGAAAAGGACATGATCAGTTTTGTTCATTCTTCATTTTTCATTTGATAGGTCTATTGTCTAACGAATAGAGGCGATGTCTATGATTCATCTAATTAAAATGTAATTATTATTACTATTATCCTGAGTTGTCTAATTGAAACATTTACATATTGCCTCGTTGAAGCATTTATACATTTCTTAATATCACTTTTCAAAGAAATTGTTGATAAACTACTCTATTTTTCTTAAAAAAAATTTTGCTAAGCTCATTAGATGATCAAAAATGAAATTACTCTGCCATTCATGTCTTTAGTTGAAATTATGGTCTTAGTTGATATTTGAAGTAAATTATAATATCATGCTACCGTTTTTTATCATTTCCATAATGTTAATAATGATGCTAATCTTTAATACCAATATTAATGCTGTTGTTGTCATTATCATGATTGTTGTATCTTTAATTCTTATCATAGTTCTTTATCATTCTTCATATATTTCACTATCATTGTCATATTATGATCATCCTTATTATTTCTATATTATTAATAATGGTAACTATTGTAGCCATTTCGTGACTGTCTTGATTCATCACATTTTACTATAATGTTTATATCATATTATAGTTTATTATTATCGCTGTGTTAACAGTATTGCTGTGTTTCCTTTTTTTTTTTACTCAATAGAAAAGTAAGAGAAAAAGTTGAGTTTATTATATTCCAGTATTTTGGTGAAAGTTGTAAACTGGTCGATGGATGATCGGTTGGTTAGCAATTAGCAGATTGTGATGAGTTATCTATCTGATGAAAAATGCATCAACCAGCCATCAGTATTCAATGTAGCAAAGCGCCACTCAGTTGTCATTCAACGATCACAATCTCACAACTTTCTCTTTTCAACCGTTTATTTAGTCATTTTCGGTCGCATTCGAAAATTTCTAGCAAACAAACAATGAGTAAATATCGAGTCGAAAATACACATTACCTTCATTTATTTATATCCATTCATACTACTACTTTTTCTCAAAAAAAAGTTGCCACTTTTCTTTTTCCCAGACGTACCACTATATTATTTCTTTTTTTTTTTATTTTCATTTTTTTGTACTAATAAAAGTAATATAACAAGTTTGTTCGAATTCTGAATTTTTTATAAAAATTGAAATGAACGAATGTGTTCCATTTTTCGTTTTTTCCTTAATTAATGCTTTTCTTAATCTTACATTTATCATCACATTACTGCTATTTTATTATTTATTATTATTATTATAATTATTATTACTATTAATTTATTATTATTATTTTATTATTATTATTTATTATTATTATTGTTTATTGATTACTCATTATTATTGATCTATTTTAAAATATTTACGGAAATTATTCATATTTTAAGCATCAAATAACTAAAATATTTTGTATGGATTTGCTGTACGTGGGAGTATAATAAGGAATGATTAACAACTAAGCAATTTCTTTTCCCTTCTCCCTTTGTCTCTCTTTACATTAATAGCTGACAGCCATTATTTATCTTAGTTTGATGTAATATACATAAATACATTCCACTATTGTGCAAACCGATAAGAATAGCGAGTGGGAGAGGTCATCAAGTAAAGCAATGGGTAAATATGAAAATACAAAAATAAAAGAAAAAAAGAAGGAAATAGATATAGTTTCTCATTGTAAGTTACAAAAAAAAGAAACAAATGATTCAACAAAAGTATGAATGGATGGATGAGTCATCGTTATCATTCTTCATTATTCATTGTGATCAATCCCGATTGCAATGGATGATTTCAGTAAATTTCCCATTTCATTTTATTTCCGCTCATTAATCTCTTCTTCTTAACATTAGGAATAGTTCAGTTCATATGCAAATATCCTTTGTGGCAATGCAGTTGTACTAGCAAATATAGCAATTTTGTTTCTGTACTTCATGCTTAACAACATGCAATAAGTATGAAGTATGCATATGTAGAACCAGTTGAATCATTTCTTAGCCATAATTTGTTGAATGTTGTTTAAAACAAGTAAAAAGAAAAATAAAGGTTTCTTTTTTTACGAATCCTTATGTTTATTTGCAATCTTTTGTCCTTTTATTTACTGATTAGTTCATTTGTTTATTTATTCCATTACTATTAGCTGTTGAGACAATTGAGTTCTTTATGTTGCAATTAAATTTTTATAATTTTTTAAGAAGAAATTCTTGCAATTTTTAATTTAGTTTTTTCTATTATAAATGCTTGTTTACAATTGCAATAGGTGCTTGAAATAGTTTAGTCGATTAAAGGCGGTTTAATTCGTTAATTAATGTACACTTCGGTAGATTATGACCTTTTTTAATCGCTGTTTAATTATTAAATTTTGGATTTTGTATTTAGGATTTGTTTGTGATTTGATAAGAATTGCTGCAACAATTATTTTTTAATAGTTTTTCAAAAATGTTATAGGAATATTCTTGGGTAGGTATTATTAATGAAACGATATATTCGTGTTATGAAGAACGGGATTTTGTGGTATCAAAATTTTATTTTAATAATTCGTTACAGAATTATTTCCCATGGAAAATTTAACTCAAACTGTTGTTAGTCCAATGAAAGATTGATAAAAACGTTAAGCTAAATCAAATTTAAATAGGATGAAAATGTTGTTAAATAAATTAATAATGGATTGAAAATAATTGTTCAAGAAATTAATGATCTATGAACATAAATCCCCATTGCAAATAAGCAAACGATCACTCACTCAGTCCTTAATTTGAAATTGCAAAACTTCAGTCCAATTAATCGATCAAGTAATAAGTAAACATTTGACATATTTCAGTGCATATTATTGTTAGCAGTATAAATTATCATTTTTCATTAATGTATCATTAATAATTAATGTACTTAAATGCCATAAAATAGTGATGATAGAAAGCGATGGTAAAAAAAATATTGGCGAACAATAATTACAAATTAAAGTTTTTCCTTTCAAATATTGTATTGCAAGTTTGGAGAAAGCAAAAGTAGCAGATAATTCGTTTTCATTAATCAGTCAAAGAAGAAAATCACATTATTTAAAACAAAATCATAATTATTATGTTTAAAGCTACCATGACTTTCTTATGCTTATTCGATATATATAATTTTTTTCTTTAACCAAAAATTTCTTTTTTTTTATCAGAAGTAAGTAATGAGTAAATTGAAAAAAAAAGTTGACAAAATTTGCTTGTCAAAATAATCAGTAAAACTTTGTACGTACATATATTTGCAATTAATTAGTGTTGCGATCTTTTGGCATTGCTATCTTTTTGACACTTTCATTTAATTTAATAGAAAATAAACAAATTGAAAAAGATTTTTTTTTTTTTTTTTTAACAAAAACTTCATTTTTTGCTAACCTTTTTTGATAATGAATGCAACGACAAGCAAAATATTGCTGGGAAATCAGGAAATAGAGAAAAGCGGAAAACATAAGAGAACAACAAGAAGGATTAAAATGCTTCAATAAGAGTTTGTCACTTTTCTTTTTTTTTAAAAAAAAAAGAGGAAAAGAAAATACTATCATTTTCATTATTCATTTTGATTTATTGTCATCTGCCATTCAAATCCAACTCACTTTTTTGCTTCCTATTCAAAGATGAAAAAAAATTCAATTAATCAGTAATTTATACTGTTCAGAATAAATTATCGAAAATGCATACATTACAGTAATGAAAATTTGCTTATAATAATATCGTCATAAAAGGGAAAATTACTTTTTTAGCAGTAATATTGCAAAAATCACTTTATTTTAAATTGCTAAAAAAAATTGTTGAAATTAAAATTTGATGTTTGATATCTAAAAAAATGCTTAAAAAAGATTATTTTTCTTTTGTTAATAAAAACAATTTAATGTTTGAAAGGCGAATTTTTTGTTAATAAAACAATAACTCTCATTAGTCATTCAACTGAAATATGAAATTCTTTTTAGTTCAAACATTTTCGAAAATTTCTTCCTTGTCCTTTTCATCAAAATGATTTTAATGGAAACAGCAAAAAAAAATAATGTATATATATATAACATTTACACTTCTAGCATGGAACATTAAAAGTCAGACACTAATTCGATAGATTGTAAAAATCTCTTTCTCCCTCTCTCTCTCCCTCTCCCTCTCCTTTTCTCTCTTTATTAAAATACATTTTATGTATTTATGTACTTCTTTACATTTTTTTTTTTTGCATGCTTTATAAATAAATATTATAATTATTTACTGTATTAAGTCATCAAAATAACAATATGCAAACGTATTGAAGAGAACAAAATTTGAAGATTATCTCGAAAAAGAATTTAGATATGCATTATACGTGAAGTAATTACTTACGCACGTCTAGTATACTTGACTCACGTACGTCTAGTATACTTGACAACGGATCCAACAACAACCAAAATAACGCACAGTTTTATATTTTATAATTATTTGTTTTTTTTTTTTTTTTTCATTAGTAATTTTTTAAAATATTTCTTCAAAAAATGAATTATTCTAAAAATTAAATAAATAAGTATGTATATATATATAATTTCAAAAGAAAAATATTGAAAATTCGGAGGAAGTTCGAGGAAAGAAATTTTTTCGAAGCACTTTGGGAATCATGCATAATTAATAATTCATACAAATTTTTTTTTAATTCATTAAATAACACAATATTTCATATTTTATAATTTTCCCTTTCCTTATATATACATATATATTTTAAAAAATATCAAATGATATAGGAAGAAAGTTTTCATACTTCGTCATTTCCTCCTTTTTAAATGCATTTTTCAAAAGGAACAAATGATTTCGTATTCTGTCATTTCCTCCAATCTCGAAATATATACATTTTCTCAATTCGAATCATTCTGAATAGAAGCAAAAAAAAAAAAAAAAACTGATAGAATAATTTTGATAAGCTGGATGTAAATTAGAATTTACTAGAATTTTTCAAATTATTACCTTTTTTTTTCTCATTTCATTGCCCTTATATTTTATTTTCAATTTTTCAAATGCACATTGTAGCAGAAAATTGAAACCTTTGACCTTGATAAATGCAATTATTTGCTACAAGTGAATTAATTGCATAATAAAAGTGAAAGCAACTAATGATTATGTTAAATGTTTCATTCGAGGTCATTCACTTGACTGTTATTATCATCGTATCGTCATCATCATCATTAACATCATATCATTACTCTTTCCTTTCAAAATTATCAATGATTTAATTATCATTTATTCAAACAGAAAGATGGAAATAATTGTTATCATCAATTTTACATAGAAAAATATCTCTTATGCAATTATATTAAGCGTGCAGTATAAAATTAAAATTTCAACATTTGAATTTTTTCAATTAAAAATTTTCCTGCTTTTTTCTGGTTTTATTTCATTTTTCTTTTTTAAATTTGCACTGAAAAATTTTGCAATTGCATCTGAAAACATCTGAAAATTTCTGTAAAACAAAATGCATTATATATATATATAAATAACTTTTTTTTAATTTTTCTTTTTTTTAAATACTATAAACTGATGATAGCTCTGAGAACATATTTGTATGATTGAAAACAAATTGTGAAAGTTTTAAATTTTGAACTTATATAATCGCGGCGAGATGGAACGGAAAGTATTAAAAGTACAATTTCATGCTCATTACTTAATAAATCCAACCATTTTATCATTGTTAATTGAGGAAGTTAAATTTTAAATATTTAAAGGAACAAAAGATTTGGCCAAAAAATTTTTACGGACTGAAAAAAAGTTTATGAAATTATACTAATATTTTATGTCATTCCATTTTTTTTCATTTCTGCTTTATAAACTATTATACATAAAAGGCTATCGCTGTGCTATGAGTTTGTTCACATTTTTATTTTTTTATTTTTTTGCTATTCTGATTTTATTGAATTTTCTTATCCTTTTCTTCCTATTCCCTAAAATGATTGGCATATGACATATTCGTCGTTCTTTTCACTTTTTTCACGTTTCTGCTTTGCCATTTTTAATTTCTAAATTCTTAAAAAAATGACTGAAAAAAGGTTTGAAAATTAATCTTAAATAAATAAATGTCGATGGTAAAATATAATTGAATAAATACCAACTGTATTAGATAAAACTTAGGAATTGATCATAACTATATCCGAAAAGAGATTAGCTAGTTAAAAACTTATGTAAGATTCTCGAATTCAATTAATGAATTTATGCAATTTCAATTCCCAAATATTAGCGGAAACGAAAACACAGTAATTTTGCCACGGTATTAAACATATTTCTCCCTGAATGTTCAATTTTTTCTCTCCGCCCATTACTTGAAATAAATGAAATTAATACGATGTGCTGTATGAACACATATAATGAATACAGTATTCACTAATTAATGAATTATTATTGTATATTATTTTTATTTCTTATAACTTATTGATTTCAGTTCAGTAATGGCATTACTATCAAAATGTGTATATCTCTTAATAATCCAATTTGTATCATTGCTAAATTTAGCAACAGCCATAAAACTTGAAGATGTAAGATACTTTGAATTTTGTTAGCTTGTATAACACACATAACTTTTAATTATACATAAGTCTTGGATTTTAATATAAAAAGCCAAAAAAACCAGTCAAATTTTGCTAAATTTAAAGTTAATTTATCGTTGCTAAATTTAGATTTCAATAAAATTTAAAATAAAATTTTACAGTACCCAAAATTTCTATAGCACAACTACAATAAATTTCAAAAATGTTCATTATCTTTAACAAAGTTTTTGCCTTTACTTTATTTGCAGATTATCATTGAAAATGGAATTGATGAAGAAACTACGCTAACAGATGATGATTTTGCAAAAGCGCCAGAAGAAGAGTATAACCTTACATTGTTAGGTATTCAAATAAAACCTGATCCAACAATGGGTAACATGACTGAAGGCGATATAGTTTTACCAAGTTTTAAAGGATTTATTGATTATCGAAATAGTCGTTTAGAACGAAGTGCTGTGAGACAATTTTACAGGTATCATTTAAATTTTAGAAAAAATGCAAATAGTTTTTTCTAATATTTTTTCTATTTTATTAAATCGCAATAAGCAATAATTACAGAGTGATAATATAAAATGAATTTTCCGTCATAAATCATTCAACAATAAATAACTGAAATTCAGAAATTATCAATTATGAAAATTTATTTCATTCAAATCTTGCTATATATATATATATACTTTTTAAGAGAAATTAACTAATAAATTATTATTTTAGACGTTGGCCAAACGGTGAAATTCCATACGCAATTAGTTCACGTTACGGACCGTATTCACGTTCAGTAATTGCAAAAGCAATGCGAAAATTTCATGACATAAGCTGTGTTAGATTTGTTCCACGTGTTCATAATCAACACAGTGATTATCTTTACATTATGCCACATGACGGTTGCTATTCATTAGTCGGACGTGCTGGTGGACGTCAACTGCTTTCATTAGAGGCGGATTGCATTCAGTCCGGTACTATAATTCATGAATTAATGCATGCTGTTGGCTTTTTTCATGAACAATCCAGGTATAATAATAATAAATTAGTAATAATAGTAATAATGATAATAATGGATTAACAATAGTAATAATAATAGTAAATAATAATAGTAATAATAACAAATTAGTAACAATAATAATAGTAATTAATTAATAATAGTAATAATAATAATAATAAATAATAATAGTAATAATAATAAATTAATAATAACAATAATAATTTTCTTATTTTTATTTGAACAATATATAAATTAAAACCTGAAAAGTTAGCTTTTATAAAAACTAGTAGACGACTTTTGTTTAATTACCGTCCTTTATTAAATATTTAATTTACAAACTATCAATTAGCTAAATGTCTAAATTTAAGAAAGAAAAATCCCTGCAATGGTTCGACAATTAAATTAATGATTTGATATTATTAACTTAAACTTTTTTCTGAGTTAATAATTCTTTTTTAATTTAAGAAGCAAAAATATAAAGTGATATTTTGGGGTGTAAAAATGAAGTAAGACAAAAAATATGCAATATTTTCTTTTTGAAGAGAAATTATTGGGGAAAAAGATTGTTGTATATAAGATTATATTTAAAAAAGTTTGCAGCAATTAAATGAATCTGAAAAATTAATTAATGAATTATTTGGAATATATGAATTACTGCTCCAAAAAATAAAGAATCGACTTCTTCACAATTAAAAATTCAAATAAACTTAAATCTAAATTGACTTCTTTCTTAAAACAATTTGAATATCATTCTTGAAATATCACGAGATTAAAAACAAGCATTTAAATTTTAAAAAAAGCATAAAGAGCAATTATGATTTTATGAAAGACTGCAAATCATAAAAATGCAGAATAGTTGTGTAAACAATTTGTGATGTTAAGGCCTGATCGTGATGAGTATATTGAAATTATGTGGCAAAATGTGATGCGAGGTGCGGAAGATCAATTTGATAAGCAAAGTCTGCGACATCTCGACATACTCAGTGAACCTTATGATTACTCATCAATCATGCATTATGGGCCATATGCATTTAGCGGTAATGGACGTCGAACAATTATTGCTCTTAAGGTTTTCATTTTTTGATTAATTTTAAAAAAAAAAAAAAAAAATGAAAAAACTAAAAATAGTACAAAATAAATACATAAAATTTTTTTGAACTTTTAATTGAGGCATTAAAATCACATAATAGAAGTTTGTAGAAAAAAATCGAAAATTGTTGTTAGTTAAATTTTTAAATTTAAATAGTATTAACAATTATTGCACATTAAATTTTGCTGAATTATTTCATGAATTTATTTTTTCTTTTTTTTTTTAGCCCGGTGCAGGTGAAATGGGACAACGTGAATCGTTATCGAAAATTGATATACGAAAAATCAATAAATTATATTCTTGTTCACGAAAATCAAAACCCAAAATTATTATTGATGAAAATTCGATTGAAGATATCGCTGAGGTTACGAGGCCAGTAGTGCCGCTAAAAGTTAGATTTTTCCGAAAAGGATCAATTAAGCAAAAATTTATTAAGTGGAGTAACAGTTTGATTGGAAGCGTAAATTTTATCAATAGGCAATGGATTAAAATTAAATATTTGAGTAAATGATGAAAAAACAAGACGGATGATTAAGCATAAGAAAGGGAACATTTGTAAACAATGCAACAACTAACAAACATCACTCACATAATTTTGTCAACAATAATTCTTCGTTTCATACGTATATTTAGTTTATTTTATGCATAAATATAACATTTGTCTAAAAAAAAATAATTCAATTCAACGTAATCTAAATAAATGTTTAATGTGTGTTGTGTTGTGCTATGTTATTTTGTGTTGTTGCTATTGTTGTTGTTTTCTGTTGTCGTTGTTGTTAGTGGTTGTGACATTGTTTATTCGTGATATCGTCATATTTTAAACTACCTCAGTCATTGATTACTCATTCTTTTTTTACAAATAGTGACAAGTTGAACTACTTATTATGCTTATTTTCTTCAAGTATTCCTTTTTATTATTAGCTATTAATAAAATTTTAAATGAAACAAAAATTTTTGAAGAACCACTCAAACATTTGAATTTTTTGTTTTGCCCTAAAAGATTTTAATGAGTAATAACATAAACTGATATGAGATATGAGCAGATGAACAAATTAATAGAATAGATGGGACAAATATAGATAGCTTTCATCCCTATTATCATATCATTTTCATCCCTATTATCATATCATAGCAATAAATTTTCATCCCTATTATCATATCATAGCAATAAATTTTCATCCCTATTATCATATCATAGCAATAAATTTTCATCCCTATTATCATATCACTTTTCTTCTAACAATGTGATAGTCCAATTTATCCTATTTTCCTCAATCTTTGCATCTTTTTAATACTGATCAATTAATTAATCCTGGATAGTCTTTGAAATTTTTATCATTGTGTTTACTTTCAGCCCACTGCTGAGTGTAGTGATAAAAGCTGGCGTTGCATCATTTGGTCGTTATCAATTTTCGATTATTGCTCAAATAGCAAGAAAATTGCCAATGATTTATGCCCAAAATCATGTGGTACCTGTTCTGACCAACTGATAAACAAACCAAAAGCACCAACAGCAACACCAGCACCACCACCACCGCCACCAAAAACAACAAAGTCTGAAATAGAGACAATAATATTAGACTTGTCATCAGAAGTACCTGCTGATACTGCACAAATACGGTATACAACCGTTACTACTTCTAATAATGCTATTGTCACTACTGGTAAACCTATTGGCCTATCAACAGGCAATTTAGAACTCACAAGTAAGTTAATTATGAAATCTTTAATTAACAAAAGTTCTAATTTATGTGCATTTAATCAAGCAAATTACTTTAGAAATATAAACAATTCATTCTTGAACATATTGAATTTATTTCCAACATTTCTATTAAGTTTCATAAAAATAAAAACAAATTTCAGCAACTACTTGTCGTGACCTTGATTATTCATGTCCAATCTTAGTACGAATTACGGATTGTGATGATTTCTTTCCACATTATTCGATGAAAACTATTTGTCCTTTCTCTTGTGGTTTTTGCTCGAATAACAACAATGACAACAACGACAACAATAACAACAGAAATAACAACAACAATAGAACACCGAAAAAACCAACAAAAAAATGTGAAGACAGGGGAAGTTATATAACATGTAAGCTGGCGCTTTTTTTCAATGAATGTGATGAAAAAGTGAATTTATGTGCAAAAACTTGCGGTGCTTGTTGATAATTGACAATTTTTAGAAATTTATCAGTGGAATGGATGAAAAGTGGCAGAAGAAAAAAGGGTGGGAATAGAATTTTTATTTTGAAATTATTTACAATAAAAAAACTGTAAAATTCTTAAGATGAAAAACATTTTCACTATTGATTAAAAGAAAAATTACATTTTCAATAAATAAGATTTCAGGAATTAATAAATATAGCGGTTACCTCGTAATATTTTTGTCTAAATATATAATATTGTTTATTAATTTGTAATTTGTTTGTTCAACTGCGTTTGTTCAACTGCAAAGACAAACCGAGAAAATATGTTTGGAAGTCTCTCCCTCAGATAATTGTTATCCAAATGAAATTAATCAAACTTACCGCTTCTATCATTTCAAAATGATAAAAAATACTTTGAGGGACTAATTTCTGCAATGTCCAAAAGTGATCGAAAATCAATTTCCTCTCAACAAAGTTTTTTAACCGAAGCAAACGTACCGGTATATAGATATCCAATCTTGTCCACTTCTATCTACGACTGCTGATTTAAGAAAAAATAAAAGTGAAATTTGGAAAATAAAAAAAATAAAATTTCTTCCTTCTAGTTTTGAAAAACTTATCAAGCAAATTCCATACTCAAAAAATCTGTTGGCCAATTTTATAGGCCAATATTTTTACTTTTTTTTTACAGTTTCATCCTTTCCATTGTTAATTCAAATCAATCGCTATCACTGATTCAATCATCGAAGTAAAGTGCGATATATCAAATATTGAATTAAAGTGTACTTTATTGAATTCAATTTCAATCTGCCTAACATTCCAATAATCTACTCACAACTGGCAATCTTATTTGGTCTCAACAGAATGGAAATTGTTGTTTTGCATGCAATTAATTAGTCGCTTGCTATTATCATTATCATAGTTTCATCAGAAAATCGTTTAAATTATGCTTTCTATATTATCATATATGAAGATTTATAAAATATTTCTTTCAGTGCTTCAACATTTCGGTCGTAAAAGCTTATTGGTAACCACTGATGTGATAAATCTATAAAGAAATTAATGTGAAATAAAGTGTGTGAAGAAGACTGAAGTATATTACAATTCAATCACAGTCTATTAAATTTTTGAGCATTTTCTAACTCTGATTATGATTAAATCACATTGAGAATAGATTACGTATATTTTAAAATTATATGAATTGGTGCATATATATGAAGATTTGATGCATATGAGTATTTGGTCACGTAAAACAGACAGAAACACCGTACTGTATGAACTAAAAGATGAATATCAACAACTGTCTAGGATAGGCCTTAGAACATTAAAAATTACACAATTAAAATTTCAAAATCACATATGGCTTCAAGCCTTAAGCAGTGATATTATACTTTCACGCAGCACAATATTAAAGCTCAATCCTTGACTACAATCAGAATAGATCCTAAAAAATAAACAAAAGAAGACTCATTGATTTTCTTTTCAATTATCTCATCTTATCTTCGATTAATATATGTTCTTCCTGTTTATCAAGTAATGAATTATTGGTCGATACCACCGGATCTTTTAACTGTGGCATGCGTTTTGATTTTGGCAAAAGTTTTTGATCAACAGGAATACCACGCTTCTTCTTCCATTTTTCTTCAAAACTCAGAATCGTTTCCACCTTTAAAAAGCATTGTAAAATTGACTCCTTTCTTGTTCATCGAGGCATTATTTAAATCAAATCTCATTATGTTATATTGCAAACAATTTTTTCCGACAACTCTGCATTTCGTTTAATTTTTACTTTCTATCATTTATAAACATATGCTTTCACCTTATAACTGATAAAAGAGAAATTATTCACTACCTCTTGTGTCCATGAATAACCACTAGGTGAACCCACTAATAAATGTCGTAATTTACCACCCGAAAGTTCGTCCAGTCGTTCGAATTCAGCAATTTCCATTTCAGGAAGCTCCCGCCGAATTGTACTACAAATATCCGAATGCTATGTGGAATTCTTTTTTTTTTTTTTTTTTACAAAATGAATTCGAGAGAAAATAAAAAGAAAAAATTTCTCCAATCTTAATGATTAATAAAAGGCGCATTATTCCATGCAGTTAAGAAAAATAAAAAGGAAAGACTGCCTAATGTTTTCCATTTTACTCTTCTATGTTATGTACACAAATAACTATAATGACACATATATGAATACTGCGCAAAAAAAAGAACATTCTTTAGTTTAAAATTAAAAAGCAAAACCTTGTCATTAACGGTTTGTCATCATCCGTAACAGCAGGTCGTTCGTTTACTCGACCAGCAACATAAAATAATCGCCCATCATCATCTTCAGCGTATGCATTACCTTTAAATAGCTTCGCATTTTTTCACTCATAAAAATTATCGTCGTTGAAGGCTTTTGAGAAATCTTGACAAATAAAATTGAAATCATATACTTTGATCAGAGTATTGCTCAAATCTTGAACAAATAATACCACAATCTCGAGTTTCCAGATTTTTCTTACTGCTTTTACCTTATCTTTGCCATCTGTTCCTGAATCGACTATAAACCGTACTTAGTACTTGAATTGTAGTACTCTCAAAACACAACCTTTTGCATCCGTGATAACCCTATCGTTTGCCAAAAGTTCAATTTCCTTCTGCAGTAATTGCATAGCATTTTCATAACTGATTCCAAATATTCTCAAATTTGGAATCGATTCTTCCAATAACAAAGCCGTTTTTGCAATATCCTAAATTATCCTCTAAAATGTAATTATATTTCACATTCTTCTGTTTATTTTTATCAGCACTGGAAGAATGAGAACATCTGAATATTATTACACTAAATAATCATCCATAATTAAATAATTATCATTTAGGTAATATTGTTACTGCATGTTGTGTTTCTTATCTTTCCATACCCATTCTTACAAAAAAAAAAAAAAAAAAAAATGCAAAAAATTTTAACTTGCTCTGAAAAACGTGTCCTCTAATAACAATATCAATACCTTGACATGATCCATTCCTTCTAAACGAAGATAGCGCAATTTCTTAAGCGTTCGTAGACCAGCCAAGCCTTTGGCTGTGATTCGAGTACAGTCACTAAGATCTAGCATTTCAAGTGATTCCGGGAACAACGCACCAATTCGTGACATCATCCAATCATCAGCATAACAACAACCAGCAAGTCTTAGCAATCGTAAATGACGTAAACTGGCTAGATTTTCCAAACCTGAATTAATCATTGACCATTAATGTTTAAAAAAGAAAAAGTTTACGAAATTTACAAAGTTTTATGAAGAATGTCAATATCATGTTGTTACATCAACAGAACTACAGTTTCGAAAAAAATTGCGATCACTCATAATGCAAATTACAATTTCTTCTCAAGCATAAGAAACAAACTGTAACTTGTGTCATCCGACAAACATCAAGCATTACTACTGTTGATTATTATTATTATTATTATTATCATTTTTATCCCGAAAACATTTCAAAGCGAGGTTTTTTGGAAAATATTTTGACAAACCTTCGAACATCAATTCTGTGTCGCTAGCATCAATTGCCTCAATGTATAAGCCCGGGATTTTTTGTCCTGGTAATGCGTAATTTCCTTTATGATCCTTTTTTATCCATACTTTATCAGCGACAAATTTCACAGCTGCTCCACGATGCACCAAAAAATGAGCAGCAGCTAAATCTGGGCCAAGAAATAGCAAACGTTCCGGAATAAATCTGGAAAATAATGAGAAGTAAACAATATCCTTAACAAATGCCGCAGAATTATAATTCAAAGTCATTTATTGAAACCACATTCATTTCAAAATGATAAGGAATTTAGAAGCTGATTACAGATCGATGATAATGTTACTTTTTCCTCATTCTTTTTGATTTTGAAATTTCTAAATAATTAATGATATTGTTAAAATAATACTAACATAACATTTTACTTCTTTTTGTTTTTTTATTAGGATAAACGAAAATTGGAAAATCTTCAGATTAAAGAATCCTTAAAACAAATTACGAAAAAAAATATATCCGGCAAAATTATTCAAGAAAGAAATTTTTAAAATGATGAAAGTGATAAATTATCATAACAAATACTCCTAAAATTCGAACCAATTTAAAATAAACATTCTACCTTGAAATATACAAACAGACATGAATGTGCAAATACTTTATTCTCATATTTATGCTTATTATCGAAATTTGTTTAAGCTATTGTTCAGCTCAAATAAATGACACTACAACAACAGATTTTCATTATTGTATCTTGGCTTAGGAACAATGCGCAGTTGTTTTCTGGTATTGTATCATTTGAAATCATTAACCATCATATTATTAACATCACTTTCAATTGCTGCCGCTGTAAGGTGTTTTTCAAGCATGCAAAAAAGTCAGGCGGAAGAGTGTGGCCCTAACGGATATTGCTTTTCATTTAATGGAACTGATCTTGCGGCATACATAAAAACTGTCCGTGGTTGTGATGATAACTTTATATGCGAGGTAAGATTCAATTCATTCCCTTTCATTATAAGAGTAAGCAATAAATATAAATGCGAATGACAAAGAACTTCCAAAATTTGATCAAATTTTGAATTCAGTTCACTTATTCATTTGAAATCAACATCTACATGTAGTAGCAAAGAAAGAAAAAAAAAAATGCATTTAAATTTAAGGTTATGGTTAACAATATAACAGAAGAAAAGAAATATCCAGTTGGTACGCTGAAACAAAATGCATTTGGTTATATGAGTTATTGCGCCAGGGATGTTATGATACGCCCTACCCACGAAGATAAAGAAATGATCGGTACACTATGTTGCTGCAATCAGGACTGGTGCAATGCAAATTATAAGTATGAACCGGTTAATGATTTAGATAGAATTTTCGAACTTGATCATGGCACTGTGGAAGATTATACTACATTGAAAAAAATAGCCAAGAAATATGGCATAAGTTGAATTTGATTATCCCATGTACTTATTTATTCTTTATCAGTTTCACTCTGTTATATTTTGTTCCTTTTTATGTAATTGACTAGAACAATAATTATCGTGCTTAAAACTACTTTTCTCGTCCTTATCGTATTTGATTTTTGAGAAACAATCCCCATAATTATTATTATTGCTTGAAAATATCGTCCAATTCCTCTTCTGGTAATAATAAATGAAATATATGTCAATTTCCTTTTTGTACCAAGACCTATCATTTAATCAGTTAACCGAAATCGATATATTTTTTAAACGCCCAAAAATTACCAAAAATTCATGTTAGATTGAAACTGTATTAATTATATTATGCAGTTTTCATGTACTTAATAATAACATATATATAAATGATAGAGTGCAATTACTATAAATCAACAATTCCTACAGCACCACTTTTTAATAAATGTGATTTGCAGTATGTATTAACTCAATAACTATCTAAATAATATTGCATATGAACTTATCCTATTTAGAATAGATGATAATAGTACTGAGAATAATAGACAAAAAGAATAATTAATTACCTTTGATCATATTGGAGATGTTGAAAATGTTCATAACGTTTAAAGCGACGTAAATTATCCAGACTATGGTCGACATATCGTAGCTGTGTATAAAATGTATTAAATTCGATATCATTTGGCACATCCTCCGGCTGTTTTCTTGGCAGAACTGAGAAAACTGGTGTTAATGTTAGTTGAAATCTAATTTAAATAAAAAGCTGGAAAAAAAGTTGAGAGAATTTCTAAAAATTATTTGATCAATTTATTCTACCAAAACTTTACTAGAAGATTGTTATTGATGACATCAAATTATGCGATTGTTCAATAAAAATGATTTAAACAGAAAAGGAATGTAAAATCTTTTATTTTATTACATATCACAATTCGACTGTTGCTAGAAACTGCTGAATCAAAACTGATTAAACTGAGTTAAAATTTAGAGACAGCATTGAATTAGAACAAGAAGTTATACAAGCCAGAGGAGAAGGAAAAGTGATCACATTGAATTGAATTGCATGGTCAATGAATTAGTTACGTTCCGAAGTGTAAGTGATGGAATACATCTTATAAAAAATGTGTAACACATCACAAACTTACCATCTTCAACTCGTTCAGGCGAAATATATCCACCACCTGCTAGTTTGATGTAATTCTTCACTGAATTTTCAACTTTCTTCTCTTCTACTTCTTCAGCTACCAACTCTTGCCATCGTATGAATTTGCTCCACCGATGAATGAACGTACGTTTTTGACATTTAATACATTCTCGAATCACGAGTTTCCCAAATAGATGAATATTTTTCATTCTACAAATCAAAAATACCACTTCCATAAGCTTCGATAACTTTCGAAGTTGGAATGCAACTGTGACATAATTCCAGAAATGAGTAATTCTAGGCAACTTTTCAAAAATCTTAACAACCGTATCTGCCAGATTTCCGAATTCGTACTTTTTGATAAATCTAAGAAAATTTCTACTACCCAAACATAATTGTAATATCAATATTGCCCTTCCTGAATAAACTTTTTTTTGGATGATAAACCAAGCATTCCCGAAATTACATGGAACAAAAAAAAAAAAAAAAAAAAAAAAAAAAAAAGAAAGAAAATCATAAACAATTTATTTTCAAATGTACAAAAGTTGTGTTAAAACAGTAATGACATTAAACAAGAATAAATCATAATTAATAAATGCATATTTTAATAAAGGAATAGTTTAAAGTACGATCGACAGAAGAGGAAATTACGAAGGAATGGATATGACAATGGATACAACACAACCTTGAAACTAATAACACATTTTATCTTTATTCATAGCTTAAAGTTATGATGATTAATTGTTGTCAGCTGCTTTCCTAATTATAATGCTATCTCAAGTATTCTGATATAAATATATATTAGATATGTCTAAATTTACCCACAAGATTTATAATTGGTAATTAATATCGACAAAGAAATGATTCTTTTTCAAGTAACAAAATATGAAACAGGAGTTTTCCAACATTATTTGCTGTATTTTCGCATTCCTTTATACAGTCTTTCACAAAATGTGATAATTGTTTCAACCAAAATTGGTAAAATATACTCTATATACCAAATATCTTGCTGTAATCACAGATTATCGTGTTTTTAGTATTGTTTTCACCAATGTGAAGGCACCGATACCAAACATGCCGAATATCACCAATGCTCTAATCGACAGCCACCATCGATTGCATTCAGATTTCAAGTTAACTTTTTCACTCTCTTCAGCTTCATTCTTATCAATTATGGTTCTGGCGCGATCAAAAAAGTCTTCCTGAAATATGTATAAAGAACTGAACTTATGATAAAACCATTTTCTAAATAAATTAAGAGAAGTGAATATGATAACTCAAATTTAAAACTAAACGGCTAATTTAAAACCAATATCTACTGTTATGTGATAATTTAAACCGATATATAAACCAAATTTGAAAACAGTCCGAATATAAGTATTACGAATATTTACAATTATCATAAAAATATCCAAAATTTCACTTCATTACTTCGTTTTGTGTATGTAATTCAGATATAACATAAACGTATCAGGTCTCACGCGCAAAAAAAAGTTTGGAATAGTTATGTTTGATTTGTGGTACTGCTTAATAAAGAATCAATCGACTTGCACTTTCTTCACTTCTACCATAGTAAAGATAAACTTCTGCCTAATAGATATATTCTCAAATATTTCAGACTATATTATATTCATCTCAAATTATTTTGAAAAATTCGATGGTCTGCAGTAACATTAATAATTGTGGATTTTGTCTCATTTTCCAAATTTTGCTCTGAGTAATTAACATATGAAATCATCACACATTGCTCTAGAAATTAGGAAAAAACCAAAAAAATGATTTCCCAAGAAAATATTAAAAAAGTAGTTCATTCATATACCCAAGAACGTCTATCCTGTGGCCATGTCAAAACGATTCGCTTGTGCAAGAATTTAGACGTATATGGTGCAATCATTGACACTTCTGTAAACAACTGTAAATCACAAAGTTTCATCGCAACTAATCCAGCAAATGCAATCAATGCCACCAATCTTCCATAAGACAGTTGCTTATTTGACTCATCATCATCGTTATGAGCAAAACATTCTACGACCTGCAATATTTACTGGCCTAAATTACTAGAATATATTTATATGTAAGTGAGGGCCATAGTTTGGAAGATACTATTAAATCTCTCAAGGATGCTACATTATATGCCTTTTATGTGACAGAATTTGTAAGCGTAATATAATAAAATTACAAATCATGAATGAAACAGCAAGGTAGTTCAAGTTAATAGCTACAAAGTCATATTTAAAATAAAACGACTAGTGTATGGGAAAAACGATTGCACCAGTTTGAGATGAATTTCTAATAAAAAGAGTTTATAAATATTAAAATAGACTAGTATTTGTCATTCAAAAAATATGTGGATAAATGTTATGCATACATTTACCTCAACATATCGTTGAAATGTAAGCCTTCCATTAAGGCATAATGTTGTAACCATATTCGTGAGTTCTTCTGCATGCTTCTTTTCAAAAATTAAGGCAACCGCTCGAATTAATTCAAATCGATAATCGTCCGAAACTGGGATTTCTGGTAAACGCGGACAGTAAACGTTATGTAGATGTACACGATACTGGATATAATCAGTGACGTAACTCTGCAAATCGACAAGTAAATTTTAAACTTTGAAAAAAAAAAAAAGACACATCATAAATGGAGGGATAGCTGAAGAAATCAGCATTAAGAAGAAACTGAAATAAGTTTTATAGTGAAAGAAAAAGTCTTACAGTCATTGAACGACGAAGCAAATATTTAGAGTAACAGAAGGGTTAAAGATTAAGTCCAGCTTACTAAATAGTCATTGCATTCTTGAAGGTTTATTATCTGCTTTTCATACAGCGATATTTCTTGTTTAATAATAAAAGCCAGCCCTCATTTTTTCCTGAGTCCACTACTTTTGTTTATACCGTTAACCAAATTTCCACAATCCATTAAAAGATCGATTAAGATATCGTACAAAACTGAACCTGTATGGTACTAAGCCCTCTCAGATCCATTGATTCATCGACTGTATCTTCATTATATTGATCATTTCCCACTGTGACTAAATCAACGGCACTCATTTCTTCAAAAATAAAACTTTTCACTCTTTTGTTGATGAACACTACGTGAACGCAAAACGTGTCTCTCCGTTGCTCGAAGTATCGCGAAACGTATCGCTACAACCTTACTTTAACATTAGCACTTACGCGTTGCGAGCGATCATATTCGGATTTGAACCTTCCAGACACGTTTTGTATTCTCTACAGCTATGACGTAAGTTTCGAAAATCATGAAACGGTTATTCAAAAACATTTTTTTTTTTTAAACATATGTGGAAAAAGATATAGTAACATCAAGATTATCTTCAACTTTGATTTTTTTTACACATCTGGTAACATCAAAGGTTGAAGATAACCTTGCACTTCACGCATGTTCCTTCACAAACTTTATGATACTAATATTTCCGAATTATCTGGATCATAAGCCATCGCATTTTTTAGTAAAACATGATGCAATTTGATAAATTTTATTTTCGAGACATAAATCTAATCAAAAAACCGTGAAAAACACTTGATTGGAATGTGTTAAATCCCGTATAAATGAACATATATAAGTGAAATTAAATTTGTTGCAAAACCAACACCTATCAAACTGGAAAATGTGCTGCTATTCACAGCATATCATACGACAATATAACAAAAATTCGAAAAAATCCACTAATTCATAAAGAAACGATTGTAGCAAGAACAAAATAACAAAGGACCATTAAAAATCCCTAAGGCTTTTTTAAAAAAAATTTACTAAACCCAGTTCATGAGAATGAATCAAAAAATTCAATGTGGTCCTGGAAAGACTGATTTCCGCGATTACAGAATAATGTCAAAACAACAATATGTATTAAAGTACAAACAATATGAAAACTTGTGTTTTAAAAGAGAAATAATATAAGAAGAACAGAACGTATCTTCGGAATTTACCATTCCAGTAGTAAGGCTATAAAAAAATCAATTACATCCTTTCAACCCTTTCTCCATCTATTTGCCAGGCACACAAAGCAAACATAGAGAGATCTTTTCCACAAATTATATAAGCAATAAGTAATACAGTAAACAATTAGAAGACGAATGCATTAATTTCCGCTTCACAAGTAAGATTTTAAACGGATCTCAAAATAGACCGCTCTAACTTAAGTAAAAAAAAAAAAAAAACAAGTGGATAACAAATAAATCACCGTGTTCTAAGCAAGAATCTAAATAATGTAAAAACGACAATGCTTACAACACCGAAAACAGCCAATCCACTAACTGCTGACCGCCATTCATTCTTTTCTATTTTTGACTCTACTTCTTCAGTTTTGTTCAGCTTGATTATCGTCCTTGCAAGATCAAAAAATTTACTCTAAAATTTAATTAAACTTTAAATAAGATGGAAGGAATAATTATCACGGAGTTCTTGTCTTTCAATCTAAAATATAAACTTTCACCGTTTCAAGTGAACCAGAAAACATACTCAGAAGTCCAAATATCCATTATTTCGAGGATCTTCTGCAAATATAACCTAGATGAGAATCTAGGTTGAGAATCCCCTCAGATTAACACTTATGTGTGATAAAAATAATTATTTACTATTTAGTAATAACAGTTTTGAAGTCAATTACTCATTCTCCACCACTCAATCCTATCGTTATAATTTCGTCTTTTTATGTAACAGTTATATCTTCCTCACAGTCATATGAAATTAAAGTTAAAAATGATAAATTACACCATAATATGAACGAACCCAAGAACGTTTATGATATGGCCACGTCAAAGCAATTCTTTTGTGCAGAAATTTTGAGGTGTATGACATAACCATTGAAACTTCTGCGAAATATTTCATGTCGATCAATCGTGTAGCAATCAGTCCAGCGAATGCGATCAGTGCTATCAAACGTCCATAAGACATTTGTGATGGTGATTCGTTGTGAATGCACACAAATTGCTCCATAATCTTAAAAAAAAGTTATAAGGATCTCTTTTATTATGAAACCACCGTGATTGCTTGATACATTTAATTACGATGTCCAAAATTCAATTAATAACTGTAAAACTATATTCTTTTTTTAACAGCAATAGAACTTTCACAAAATAAGTAAAAGATGCTTCACTGAACACAAACCTCGATATATCGACTGCACGAAAAGCTCTCATTTTCGCATAACATTTCCACCATTTTTTGAAGCTCTTCTTTATGCTTCTCTTCGAAAATTAAAGCCACAGAACGAATCAAACCATTTTCGCATTCTTGCCTACAAGGGTAAAACAGATTTTGTACTTTACGATTTCCATGTATGCGAATCCGATATTGAATATAATCAGCAACGAAATCCTGCAAATCTTGTTATATTGTTCGAAATTATGTCTACAGTATGACCATTAAGAGTACATGATTAGAGAACGAATTTAAACGTTTGAAAGTTACAAATCAGTTCTAAGCACGCTGAGATCTAACGCCCCGAATAACATGAAAATTGATTTCTCATCCGACTGCAGTAATTCTCTACTCTCTCTCATGCCCTCAGTGAAAATAAAAAATATTCAGCATCAGATGGATTTCTTTCACCTATCAATAAAGCAAAACAAAGATGCCACTTACTTGTATAAGGTACATCCCATCTTCACATCCTAACCGTTTATTGCTACATTCGTTACATTTGTCGTGTTTTGAAATGATTGAATCACTAAGGAGCATTGTCTAAAAATCTATTTATTCTTCATTTACAGTCAGTAATTACAAAGGATCTCGACGAAGTGACGTAAAGACGCGATCAACTGTGGAACAGATTGTAATAGGGCACATTATTATAACCATGCTTTCATAAACTGAATTCGCGAGTCTCATCTCAAAAAAGAACTTCAATAAACGAAATATGCACAGAAAACTCCAAAATAAATAATGAATTATAATCAATAAATAGTAGGAAATGAATTAAACAATATCAATCACCTAGTATCTAGTGAAAAAGGCGGTGCAATTATTAACACTTTAAAATGAAATTTTATATTCAGAGCTAGTAAGTCTAAGGGTGGAATGCAATAAATAAAATTCATTTTTTTGGTATATCAACGACAACATAATCTTCTTGCTTCAGTCGAGGTGCCACTACAACTGCTAACGCAATCAGTGCTGCTAACGAAAGAACCAAATAACCACTGGTATATACTGAAGCAATATCTGTTCCCAGAGCCAAATCGAATGCAATGAAACGGATACCGTTCAACGAATGAAAAGCGATAGGATAAGCAATGATAAATTTAAAAATATCAGTTATAACCCACGGTAACCCAAGACCACGAATAAAATCAATGAAAGTGGTGAAGTTCAATGGCAACAGAGCAAAACCGACACCACCAATCAACAGAGTACCTGAAATATGATTGAGAATCCTTGTGATTAGATACTTTTTATTAATTACCTTTGGTAAATAAATTTCATAATTCCTATTAGTTCCAAATCCCTACAACCCAGTGAATTTTGCTACGATTAACCTTCGTCCTGAGATATGGTTCACATTCATCTCCTTACCTATTATTCTCCGTTTTATTCTATAACAGTGGGTTATTGTTACTAACTTTTCAGCATACCATTTCCATTTAACATTATCTTCGAGAACTAAAATTTAATATTCACTAAGCATTCACCAGCCATAGCACATCCTGTCATACGATGAAATCCGGAAACCATCCATGTGACCTGTGGTTTATATACCGCAAGATGTGGGCTGATCGGTCGCTTCAAAGCCCGTTGTCGCAAAAGGTAATTCCAACCCCATTCCTGAATTGGAGTTTTGATAGACTGTTGCGGAACACTGGTACTCAACAATCGTAAGGTCTGAAAATAGATAAATCCTAGTATTATTTCTCGCTTGTTAAAGCATCGAATAATCTCATGGGCGTCCAATATTATGCATAACTTGCGTAGAGCCGGGTCAAGTGTCAAATGAACAAGTAACGAATGACTTCTCACCATCATTACAATTACTAAAACACAGCAAACGAAAATCGCGAAGAGTTATTCATCCTAACTTGTACAATTTAATCATTCTTTAGCCAAACTCCAGTTTTCCAACACTTCTTTATTAACTCTAATGGATACCTGAACATTTTGAGACAAAGCGCGGCAGAATGCAGCATTCTTCATCTGAAACAACATCTTCACCTGAAATATACGCAAAATAAAATACAATCTCGAATAAATACCTTATGATATCAATATTGAAAATCTCATAAATGTTTAATCATCAGTTAACTATTGAAATAATCAACAAACAGCGAAAGTAAACAATTATTAATAAGCAAAATTTAAATTAACATTAACCCATGCTTTTCTCCCCTCAATCTTTCCCGCCCATTGATTTTGCACCCTGCATTTCAAAAAAATGATCTACTTTAAAAAAATAAGAAAAGGGATATTCGAGAAGTTTGATTTTCACTATTTTTATACAGTGCAAATAATTCATTCCCCATATAATAAAATAATACCAGTATGACAAACCAATCACTGAAATATTACTTGGATGACATATCAATCATTATTACATGACACGAAACCATATAAAATGATTTATTTCGAAAACTTTAGCTAAAAATTAAAATTGTCACAAAATTTCTTAAAATTCATATAAATACCACGTGATACATTCATAAACACATACATAACTGACAAATATATATATACCTGACATACACAACGTGTTAATACAACTCACATACAGTACAAAGTAAGTATACCTGAAGATACACGGAACAAATCAAATCATACGTGAAGAGACTTCAACAAACGTTAGCTGAACAATTAAAATGTCTCCAAATTAATAAGGAATTAGCACTAGCAACGATATAAATGAGGCAAATGAAGAGAGATCACTGATGACCTTAACATGCACTTCGGGCGTAAGTGAATGCACACTACCGCCATTCCAATCGATGGTCTCACCCCTCAGATCTAAATCGATTCAAGCAAGTCTCTCTATCACCGCTCAAATCACATTCCCGAATAGAAATAAACATCTGATTGAGAACAAAAACAAACATTCACATAAATTATAATTAATTATTCTATTTTGCAAACATCAATAACAACAAAGAAATGAGTACTTGAGTGAGTGAGGGAGAATGAGAAAAAGAGAAGGATTGAAGAAATACAGAGAGGATGAGAAATGAATGAAGAGCGTAGATTCATTCCTTGTATATCTACACAGCAAGCGAGAGATAGCGAGAGAATAAAAGGAATGGAGAGAGGGAAGAATAGAAAAGTGGGAGAAGAAAGAAACAATTTAAAAAATTTAAAACAATTACTGGGAAATGCAATTTCACACGTTGTTTCATCCGGAAACTCTTTAAATTTACTGGAATCTGAAATGAATTGATAGAGTTAGGAAGGATGAAAGGATATAAGTGCAATAAACTTTATGTCAGATTGGATGAGTCTGTTAAAATTAAGTCTTTCCATATTTTCCATCAACATTGCCGAATCTCATGTGATTTTAACAGCATTTGAATACATTATATTATCAGCAAAAGAGTAAGCTATTGAGAAATGTAAAGTTATTCTATTAACTCCGCATTTTCCTATATGCATTTTTTTTTCCTAACCTTATGCATTTTTTTGTGTGCATTTTCCTAACCTTGTTGCCATTCCTAAATAAGCAGTCTTGATTATAAAGTAAATTAAGAAACTTCATGTGATCGAGCGGAATTTTTCATGATAAACTTCAGTGATAACTTAGTCCTACGTCCGAAAAAATAAGTGATAGTACCCAAGCGTTAAAGCTTGCCACTGTCTCAATTCCAGTTCAGTGCAGTCCATCTAAGAATAGTATCCAAGTTTGTGTTCGTAGCGAATCCGTCAAGTTCATCACCCATCATCCCAACTCCCATGAATTTCATAATAACCTCAGTGTGTAATTTTATTAATATATTTAGCTGCGTTTTTACAGATTGCTTCATACTAGTTTACCTTGTTGGTCGTAGATAATTTTGTCGAGTAATGGTATTTGAAATATTTCAGTATATTAAATCAGGTTGTTGTACTCCTGAAATCTGTTCTGCCTTATTTGGTAGTAGATACTGTTGCAAGAATGAAGAAAATCGCACAGAATGCAGCTGAAAACAGATGTGCTGGGTTGGGACAAATGGAAATGAGCTCGGTTGATTATAATAATCCGGTCGATACAACTAATGCTCTTATATTACCAGTAAAGACCAAAGTAAGCTGAATTTTTGTCATAAAAACCAAAATCTAGCTTAATTTTAGCTCGATTTAAGTAAAATAATCGACAGATTTTTTCTTGAATTAAATTTCGGCATTTGTGGTAACAGTTTCATTTATAAATCTTTATTGAAGAAGAAAAAAGTAAAGAAAGCAGACGATAAAGTAATGAATCGGAAAAAAAGTGAAGCAAGGAAAAGGCGTCTGGAAGAAGCGGAAGCTAAAATATCTAAAACTAAGCGGAAGAAGCTGATAAAAATAATGGAAAGAAAGAAGAAGAAAGAATCAGTGAGAATTTACTATTGTTTTGATATACAGTTTACTAAGACTACTACAATTTTAAGGAGAAGCTGTTCATATTTAAATCATTTTTTGCGAGTTTTCGCCTAATTCCTTTTTGTTGACAGATTTTTTTCATTTTTTTTAAAAAAATTTTAGATTTTTGCCAATTTAAAAAATATTGCTGGTTTAATTTTACCTTTTTCAGAAGGAATCACTTCTGGAAAATTTGATGCAGTACCAGTTATCCACTGGAATAATGAGCAAACTTGCAGCAGAAGTTCATCCGAGGAAGCCTGAAAAGTGTTAAATTTATTGGCAGTTTTTCTACTCTTTCTTAACCAAAAAATTCTCAAAATCTGATAAACCACCAGATTTTGGAACCCACCGTTTTTTTATGTTCAAAATTTATTGTAAATTTTCATACTGTTTAGACCAGAGGATGGTTTCGTCGCAAAGAAATTATCAAATCTGGCGGGTCGTAAATGTAACTCTTTACTTGAACTGAAAAAACAGCCAGTGCAAGAAAATTATTACGAGACAGGAAGTGAAAGCGAAGATGATGTTTCGCTTATGGAGGAGGTTATATTTCTTTACATAAAGTTGACGTAGTATGTTTGTTTTTGCCGAAGTTACATGGTATTATTTGTAGATGTAGATGCTCTGTAATATAACTGTGTTACAAATGCCAACTTTATGAACATATTGTTTGTTTTAATTATTGAATTTTCTCCAGATAACAACAGTTAACGCAGAATCATCAATATTCACCACATGCGATAACGATGCGGTAGAAAAACAAGCTGTGAATAGTGGGGATAAAAAGCAGGAAAGTTTAGCAAACCAAAATACTGAAGAGAATAAAATGAAGATCAAAGACAATGAAGGTATGCATTTAATGGTTGTAATTTTCTTTAAATCTAACTTTCTTATGTTTAGTAATACTTTTTTTGAGTTCGTTTTATGGAAACTTGAAATTCATTTATACAGTTTTTTTTTTTCTTGTATTTTTCAATTTAGAACTTATAGAACCAAGTACTTCGGAACTTGACGTTGCAAATCTGCCAGTTAAAATATTCGTTAGGAATAAAATGTCAGTACTGGAAGATGCACAGAAAAGCAACTTTGTCCCTGTTCATCGCAACGAAAGTGTTGAAGCACAACGATCAAAGCTGCCTATATATGCTGAAGAACAGATCATTATGGAAGCTATAAATGATAATTGCGTATGTTTATCGATAATTTGCAAATAGAATATGGATAATTAAATTGATTAAACTGTAGATATGTAGAGTAATAAAATCATTAAGAAAACTGAAAATTCCAAAATTCAATAGTGGTTTATCGTTTGTATATTCTTTGAATTGCATGAAAATTCGCAGAAATAGAAAGTTTGCAATTTTATCATTTCCAACATCAGGCAACGATAATTTGCGGTGAAACCGGTTCTGGAAAAACAACGCAACTACCGCAGTTTTTGTATGAAGCTGGTTATACCCGTGATGGTAAATTGATAGGAGTTACTGAACCTCGACGCGTGGCTGCTATAAGTATGGCAGCACGCGTAGCACATGAAATGAATTTACCAAATGCAGTGTCATATCAAGTATGATTTGCAAATTTATATGTATATCTATGAAGTAATTTTCTAAAGGAAGAATGAATTTGTCTGAGGAATTGTTAACCATTGTTGGGCTGTGGAGTTTATTTGTGTCTCGCATTTCAAGTAAATTTCCTTTTTGTCAACCAGATAAAACACTTATATTCTTCTAAGATTAGAATGTTAAAATAACTAGCAATTAAGAGAACTTCATTTTGGTTAAGTACATCTACTTCATGAATGGCGGCAAAGGTTGATAATTCTAATCATTGATATAAATTGTGAGACTGTTGTTGCAGATAAAATATGAAGGTAATCGGTCAGCTGAAACATCCATTCTTTTTATGACGGATGGCGTCTTAATGAAAGAAATTCAAAAAGATGTGATGCTTTCAGCTTATTCTGTTATTATAATCGGTAAGCTGCTATTTAAATAATAGCTTTTTTAAATTAGAAGAAAATTTTTATTTCTGATTAATTTAGTTTTATTTCGTTATCATTATATGTTTATATGGAAGGATTTTTTAGACGAAGCACATGAACGATCAATGTACAGTGATGTGCTCATTGGTTTATTGACACGAATAGCACCATACCGCTCCCGTTCAGGCTCACCGTTAAAGCTTATTATTATGAGCGCAACCTTACGTATAGATGACTTTCAAAACAAAAGGTACTTGGCGAATTGCTTACTTTTCGTTTTTTTTTTTTTTTTTTTTTTTCAGGCATCTACAATTTTTTTTCTACGTATTTGTTTCAATACTTACTATTGCATGCATCAACTTATATTTTATCTTTCTGTCTTCTTTACTTTAGGCTGTTTCCTGTATCGCTCCCACCTGTACTGAGTATTGATGCAAGGCAATATCCTGTATCTGTTCATTTTGAAAAGCGCACACCAGAAAATTATCTCATTGCAGCGTTTCATAAAATTTGTAAGATTCATGAAAAGAAAGGTCCTGGGACCATATTGGTTTTCCTTTCTGGAAAATTAGAGGTATTGCTTCTGATATTTCAGAGAAATTTTAGTGATTTCCTCAGCTATTTCTATCGAATTTATTTTAAGTATGATATTGCTTAGTTTATTACCATTTATTGCAGGTTATGGCCCTGTTAAAATGGCTTGTGGAACGCTATGCGATTAGGTATCTTTTTTATAGCGAAGAAGTATTTTCATCACATTTACAGTAAAAGCAACTTTTTTAATGTTCTTCGAGAGAAAGTGAGAATTCATTTCATCAGAATATTCATTTAATCTCTCAAAATACTTACCTAAGTTAGTGTTCTTTTATCATTGAGGCAGAAAAGCTGCGAAAAAAAGAAAAGAAGAGACGGTAGAAAAAAATTGAAGCAAAATCAATTGAAACTGGAGAAGACAATTTCGAGTAAATTAAAAAAAGACGAAAAATCTGCAGATGATGATTTAGCAGAAGATAGGTTTGCTGATGCTGACCATTTGGATTGTGGCGATTCCGACTCTGAAATAAATGAAATCGTAAGTTGTAAACTAAAAAAAATTTCATGAAGTAATGAGTGAGATCCAACACCAACTTTATCAGTTTAAGTTTATAGTTTCCATTTGTGCAAACTGATCTTTTTCTTTAGAATCTTCATCCCGAAGTTTTACGTCCACCAAGCTCATCAATTCCTCCGCTTTTCTGCCTACCGCTTTATTCTCTGCTATCCAGTAAAAAACAGCAGCGGATCTTCGAACCGGTTCCAGATGGGCACCGGTTTGTTTTCCTACATTATCTTAATTACCGTTTAAATAGTCTTCCAGTGAATTTCTTGTACATGGCTTTTCCTATCGTAGCCTATATCGTTTTTTTTTTTTTTTTTTTACATATGCTTCTGATGCTTGTTAGTTTGATATTGTAGGATGTGCGTAATTGCAACGAACGTAGCAGAAACATCGCTAACTATTCCCGCTGTTCGATATGTTGTCGATAGTGGTCGTGAAAAGAGACGTCATTATGATCCGGTAACTGGTGTTTCTCAATTTTTTATAAATTGGATTTCGCAGGCATCAGCTGATCAGAGGGCTGGACGTGCCGGACGTGTTCAACCTGGTGAAGTCTATAGGTATCATTGTTTAAACTGTCACTTTTTTAAAAATATTTTTGTAACGTATGTTGTATATTACAGCAATCTCTTTCTAAAAAGAGAGAGAGAGAGGGGGGTTCTAAAGGGTAAGCCTGTTCTAAGCATTCTGTGTTATATTATCTGTTAGAAATGGATGGGGCAGAAAAAGATCTTTCCTAATTTTGCGGTATTAAACACTCGATTTATATGAGAACACTTTTTTTTTTCGTTTTTTGCTTGCTCGTCCAAGAGTCATAAGTGCAATCACTGAATTAATCTCAAATTCTTGCTGTTGAAAGACATTTTTTTTTATCGCATGCCTAAGACATCGAATTTCAGATTGTACTCTTCAATGGTTTATTCGGATTTCGAGAAATTCAGCCCTCCAGAAATACTGACTAAACCGGTTGACCAACTAGTACTTCATTTAAAGTCTATGAACATCGTCAAGGTTATTGCTTTAAATTTAACATTTCTTTTCAGAGTGTAATACATTAATCTCGAAAAAACACTTTTTAATTTTATATTTGAGGTTGCGAATTTCCCTTTTCCAACAGTACCTGATGAAGATTCACTGGAAGAAGCTGAAAAGCGTTTAATCCGTTTGGGTGCCTTACAAGTGACGGTGAAGAATAACGTGGTTCGTTTGTACAGTGCTTGTTATTATTATTATTGTTATATATAGATCTTTTTATTCTATTAATTTACAGTAAAGAATAATCTGCCACATTGCAGCGATGTTTTACTGGCTATATGTATACGTTTAGTGATCTCATTTCTTGTGCAAAAGTTTGATATCATAATTTAGGTAAATTCAAGATTTGTCTATTAGTCATTTCTGATTCCCATCTCTTATTTGTAATTTTGTTTTACCTGATATTTGTTTTACCTGATTTTTGAACATTATTTTAGAAAGAAGCACGAATTAGTTTTCTTGGAAAAACATTATCTATTTTCCCATTGGCTCCATCCTTTGCAAAGATACTTGTGATGGCAAATCAGCATTCTCTGTTGACTCATGCTTGTTGTTTGGTTGCTGCATTATCAGTTCGAGAACCACTAATTCCTCTTTATTTATTGAGGTTACTTTGGCTCTATAATCTGTAAAATACAGAAAATTGCAGTTAGGATACTCAAGTATTTTTCTAGTTTTAGAGAAATCTTTTTGCTTCAGAGGTGGAAGTGTTGAAGAAACACAAGCCTTGATGCTTGAAGCATTGAAGCAAAGGCGATCGTGGTGCCCACCTGGACAAGCTCGGAATTTTGGCGACCTTACTGTCATGTTACGAGCTGTATTGAGTGCTGAAGCATTAGAAGTGAGGAATTCGTTTTGTGTGTGCATGTAAGTATGCGTATGTGTGTTGGATCTTTTTTTCACTACAAAAAGGATTCAGTATGCTTATTTCATATCAAAAGCATTTTTAGGGATCCGAAGAGGAATGTCATCGATTGGGAGTTCGTCATAAAGCGCTTATTGAAATCCGAAAATTACGTCAGCAGCTAGCCAAAATTATCAACTCAAAGTGCCCACAGGATGAGGTGTTTACAATAAATTTTGCTATGAAACCTCCCAATGATAAAGAAATGTTAATGTTAAGGTTAGAAAAGTCAATTCATTGAAGTATTTTGATTTTTTATTTATATTTAATTGAGAACTGATTTTCAAATCAGTGTGAAGTTATTTCTTCCCTTAATTTGATTATTCAATCGAAATTTTTTTCCCCGTCAGGCAGATTGTGACTGCTTCGCTTACTGATAATATAGCGAGAAGAATGGATCCAATAGCGACAGAGAATGTTCCCAAAGGTGCATATCAATCTCAGAAATTAAAGGTTTGACTTGTCTGTCACGCTTTATTCATTACTAAAATGCCCAGGTTTTGAAAGTACTTCCGAGTACATTCTCTGTTTATAGGACTACATTTATATCGATCCAAGTTCTGTATTATTCAAAGATGAACCAGAATGGGTATTATATCAAGAAATCGTAGAGGTTTGTTGTCGAATTTACTTGCCTTAAGGAGGGAAAGTGGGGCAATTAATTGTTTTGAAGTTCATTTGCAATGATGGACTATTTTCTTTTCACATTCATATTTGATTTTATTTGAAATTTTATATTTATCAATATTAGTTAATTTGCAGCGGAAAGACAAAAAATATATGCAAAATGTGATTTGTGTTGAAGAAAACTGGTTACCTCGTTTGGCAAATACTTACTGCCACTTCACACCAGTTAAGGGAGCTGAGCCACGGTAATGAAGAGTTTTTCAGCAATTGGTCATCTACTGATAAGTTTCAGAAAAAATTTGAAACCAAGAATTTTGTTTGTATCATGGTTGAAAAACCTCGAATTTTCAGATATGATCCAACTACAGATACTATCCTCATTTTCATGGATGGAACATTCAGCGATATGCATTGGTCTTTAGGCAGAGTTGAACAGCCATTACCCCTTAATATCAATTTGTATCGTTATTTTGCACAATTCTTTCTCGATGGTTCAATTTGTCCACCTTTGGCGCTTTACGCTGACAAACTTCTACTCTCACCAAGTACAATGTCGAAACCATGGGCAAAATTGCAGATGCGAACGGAGAAACTGCTAAATGCATTGATTGAGTATGAGGTAGAAACATTATTAATTTCATAAATTTGAATTCCAATGACTTAAAAAAAAAAAGAAAATGAATTAATTTATCAGAGCTCTTGTTGCATCGTTTTCCAGGTAACAAGCCGAACACGTTTATTGGAAGTCTGGAGGAATAGAAGTGAATATCTTTTGGATGAATACCTCGAATGGCTTCCACAATTTTTGCATGAAAAAGTTCAGATGAATTGGCCACCGAACTGAATATTAAATTTTGAAAAATTGGCACCTATAGTTAATTTAATATTTTATTTGTTTTTTGAGAAAATATTCTATGATTAATTTAAATATTGTTTATATTTTTCTTCGAATGGACAAGGCTGGAAAAGTAATCTTTTTACATTTGTTGTCATTCTGGTATCGCACATATGTTCATCAATAATATTTCAAGTATATGGATTGTCTTGCTCCAAGTTTTTTAAATTTCTTTATTTTGAAGATTTCTTTTGCTAGTCATTTACAGGTAATGATTGGCAACTAGGCTTGTTCTTACCGAGTGTTGTCTAATTTTGTACACCGGTTATTTTGAACAGAAGAAATTTGTTACTATTGTTATGATTTTGTTGGTCGTTAAAATTAAAATAAAAGTTAATCAATATATTTAACCAGTTTATTTGTTATCAGTGCATTGTAACATTTGTTGAGATTTTTCTAAATTGGAGTTTCTGATATTTAAATGTTAGGAAAAGATGGCCATTTATGACTTCACATACTATTACCCAAACCATTAATTCTCACAAGGGTTGCCAAATAATAGTAATAAGGAATGGGCTTTATTTTGTTATGATTATACGATAACAAATTGATTTAAGTTATGGAATTATTCTGGAGGCTGAAAGAGTATGCCTGTGTAATTTTTTCCGTAAATTTAATTGTTTATTGCGATTTCAGACAATGGTTGTATTAGCAGTTCTTGAAATTGGTACGAATATTGACAGGTGGATCAGTGATTGGAGATATGGTATAGAATCGTTGAATAACATTTTATCATTATCGAAATCAGCTCTAAGGAACAGATTATCTAATGATCCACAAATTTTAGAGCTTGTTGACAGCTTCCTTCATATTTTCCCAAAGTACTTTGTTGTTATTCATTCTTTGTTTTTTGCTTAAAAGAAATTACTTTTTTGCGAAATCTTATTACATGTTTAGTTTTTTTTTTTTTTTTTGAATGTTTAGAATTCAATGTTGAAGTCAATATGCTAAAGTTCACTCTTTAAAAACCAACTTTTATAATTATCGGATATTTTTTCTTCTTATAGCTGTTGATTCTCGATAGTTTCAGGAATTGGCGAAAAGATGAAGCTTTAAGCATGGTATTGAATAAAAGTGGGCAATTGGATCGTGGAGAAGAAATTCATGCCGTAATTGTTGAGATGTACAAAAAAATTTTGATGCTTTTCTTGAAGTTAGCTAGAGACATTTGGAAGCAGGTGTTCATATTTTTTTTTCTCCTTTTTTTGAACTTTCCTTCCAAAATTGAATTATTATTAGCATGGCTACAAATAGATACAAGTTTTTCTTGGAGGAAATAGTAAATGCTCCTATAAATCCTTTAAATGAATTTTAATTGTTTACTTTTGCAAAAAAATGGAGTAGTTTTAACAGTCATTTATTAATAGAATTTATTCGTTCTTCAAATCACATATTATCAATATTTAGTTTGTTGACGAACAAAGCCAACAGAAAAGCTCTCTCTTCAATTTAAATCGATTGTTCCGTGCAATTGTAATATTTAAAACCTCAAATCAAAATGCTGTCGGGAATATCGTGACACAAGCACTTGCTGCAAGGCAGTTCACAGAAGAGGATATTGAAACATTTATCAAAACTGTAGAACAGGTAATTTTTTAAATTTTAAAGCCTATCTCTGCTCTTTATAATATCTGTGAGTCAGGAATATTTGATTTGTTAATGCAGTGCTTTTTCAAGTTCATTGGTCTTAGCTTGACAATTTTCCCGCTTATTATGATAATCTTATTACCTAATTTCGTGGAAATGACAAACTTTTATCTGTAGTGTTTTATGGGAATTATAGAAAAATGAATTTCCTTTTTCAATATTTTAGGAATTAATTGACTACAGCAGTGATATTGCATTTTCTAAAAACAATGTCAATAAAATGGAGTCATTTTTGGAGAAATGTTTAATAAATTTTGAGGGATTAACAGCTGTTTCATCGCTGTTGTTTAATCATCATAAATCACAAGCAACCTTATGTAGTTTCTTGAATAAGTATGTTTCTTTCGTTTATTTGCATATTTCATTATTCGTTGCAGTCTTTAACTTCAAGCAGTTTTGCTTTCGTATCAAGTTTTTACGGCGAACTCTTAAGCCAAGATTTTTATTGATTAGCTGTAAAGTTTAACTAATAATTTCATTGAAAAATTGTTATGACATTGAAAGAATGTATGATATGCTGATTTAGCTTAGCTCTTTTCGTGGAGAATTTGGATGAGCATTATTGCATGGAGCAGATAATGAACACATCAGCAGATTTGCGAGGAACATTTAAGTAAATCCGTTATTATTATTTCCTAATTAACAAATTGAAAAAAACCACACTGTTAAGCGTATCTTGAATCTCTTCTAAAAAACGATTTTCAAAAATTTGATGTGCTACCTTCATTTACTACTACTACTGCTATCACCAACAACGATTATCACATTAAATATGTTAAATATTCTTGTAAATTATCTTCAAAAAATTAAATATACTTGTAATTTATGTTGCTTCTGATGTTTGGTCCATCTTTATTTGGAATTTTAGGATGTTGCTAATATTGGTAGATAACGTGATAACTTCAGCGTATGCTCTTTTTCACACTTTAATTGACTGTCTTACTTCAGTCGATGAATTATATACTGTTATTGTTAACTGCTTGCAATACACAAGGTTTTACATTTCAAATTTTAAACTCTCTAGTAAACTCTAATGAACTAACGGATATTTTTATTTATCGTTTTCTCATCTTCGTTCTTTTCTGAAAAAGAAAGGTCTATTTGTTTTAGTGCATTTTTCTGTTTCCTTAATATTTTTTCAAATATATTTCTTTTGGAATAAGAAAAATCATTCGAAATCAATTTTATGAAACTACATCAGTAGTTGCTGCATTATTATTATGAATCTTATGCTGATATGCTTCATAAATGAGCTTTATTTATTTTCTAGGCACTTAAAATCTTCTACTCTTTTCAGGTTTATTTTTTACTACAGTATTATTTATCCAATCGATGAGATTCTTAATCGATGCGATGAAGAACAAAGGATTTATATAAATACGAGCCTCGAATATATCAGAGAGAATTGTACTACAAATGTTTTGAAACAGTTGAAAAAACGTGGTTTGCTTGTTGTAAGTTACTAATTTTATTTATTTAATTGATATTTAGCTTTTCTGGATGTATTACATCTCCTGTATTGCTATAATTTATTATTTTCTGCACTGGCAGTGTTGAACAACTGAAAAGCTGCCTTGAATAACAGAAAAAGTGGAAATTAAATTTATACGAATTCTTTTTGAGATAAGATTAATCTACAAATTCCGTTCATCATTTTTACTAATGTTGCTTCTTTTATGAAGAGAGTATATCAGGAAGAAATTCCTAGAAATTTTTGCTTTGATTTGCAGGGCCTTGGATCATCTGCTAATCAGGAAGTGCAGAGTAAAATCGATTATCTGGCCGAACTTCTGCCCCATTTCTCGCCCCAATTTATTCATGTTAATTTGAATTTTATCATAAAAAGTTTATTTTGAATTTTATCATGGAAAGTTTGCCTGAAAAAAAAATATTTTTTTTTTTTTTGAGAAATGATTTTAGGAACTGTTTGATTGAGGATTTGTCTGATATATGCTCTGACTCATTTTAATATTAGTTCATTTAGGATATGAGATTTTTCATATAATTTTGACAAGATTTGATTCTGAAGTTTTGCGGTAGAAAACCTGATTCTTGTTTCTCTTTTTTTACAGTGTAAACATTTTTGTGAAAATTGATGGAACTTCATTAATACATTTCTGACTTAAATGGGAATCGATCATTCATTGTAGCATTCAAAAAAGGAAAAAAAAGAAAAAGAAAAAAATTGAAATAAGTTTAAATTTGTCATTGCTTCGAAATTTTATGATCTTTAAGTTTGATTTACTTGATTTTAGTTGAGCCTGCGACATTTCGGTTATCAAACTGAACAAACAGCAAATGCATTATTGAATAATAATGAATTGCCTTTGGATCTGCAAGCTTTAATGTCGGTAGAACTAAAAGCAGAAAATACATCAATGATTGTTGCCGGCTGTTCTCCCTTTTATGATTTTACCGGTACGTTTCTGTTATATATTAAATCTATACTAAAAAATTATCCGGTCATTCACATAGCTCAATCGTCTTAGAGACTGTATAAGACCCGATGGAGAAGTTGATGTATTAAATGATTTTAAGTTCATTTCATTGTAAAATTAGCTGACCTTTTCAAAATTTTTAGTGGAATTTCTTCTTCTCTGAATATTGAACTATTATATATCACCGCATTGAATAAAAATCATTTTCATTCCATATATTTGGTTATATGACAATACTATCTTGAATTCCTTCTAAAACCTCTTCTTCCTATATTTCTGATTCTTTTTTCTTTTCATATCCCTTCTATTCAGAATCGTAATATTGTCTGCAAAATCATAAAATACTTTTTGCCAATCTGAATTAACCAAAACTTTTTCCCCCATATACAAAAGCAGTACATTAAATTTCTTCATTGCCTGAAAAATCACTGCTTCAAAAAATTATGGTATCTAAAAATTTGCAATATTTTATCCTGGGATTAAAGTACTACTGTTAATAATATTATTTCTAAAAATAAAATCTGAAAATATTTCAAGCGAGCAAAGTAGATTTCTAAGAAATTGTAGTTGCAGGTGATAACGGTAGCATGCATAACATTTTTGTTTCTCTTATTCTTCCTTTTTATGATCATCTCCTCTTATCCTCTCCCGTTTTCATCCTCTTTTACATTTTGTTTAATTTCAGTGAATAAGAAGTGATGAATAGAAAAGCAAAAATAGTTAGAGTAAGAAAAAGAATGAAAGACAAAAAAAAAAAATTGTACAAATTTTGCGAACCACTAAAATGCTTTATTGTTTCCAATGACTACCGATCCATCTGAGAATTCCAATGAATTTTTAATGATTGGACAATCTTCTCTTCTCATATTTTCACATTTTCCTGCTTTCCTTCCTGTTTTTCTCTCTATCTCTCTCTCCTCCTCCTCTTCTTCATCTATTCTTTATTCTTTTCGTTCTTTGAAAAACATCATCGTTAACAAAATTTTATAATAATATTAAATTTAAAAAGCAAAAAGGAGCTGAGAAGGAAAATGATTGAAAATTATTTCAAAATTTGATCTTTTGGCAAAAAAATTCGATCTTTTTTTTTGTATTGCTGTTTATTTTCTAAAAAGTCGATTTTTTTTTCAAAAATTTTGCGATGTTTTGTTTATATTCTCAATCTTTTATTTTTATAAAAGCTTTCAAAAATTTCAACTTGCTATCCCAGTTTTACATTATTTAAAATTTGAGATGATGAAATTTGCGATTGTAAAGCGAACACAAGCGAGAAGAAACTGTCAGATGCATTAATTTGCATGAAACCACCACATCTATCCACCAGTAAACAAGAGGGAGAATCTCTTGGCACCGCTCATAATGCTTTCGAATCAAAAACAAGTAGTATCCGGAAAGATTTGGAGGCTGAATTTGGTATCGAAGCATTTTTAAAGGAAAGAAAAATGAATACAGAAGTCAAAAAGTAAGATTCATGTTTTTCATTCTATTGCACTAGTTTTGTGTTGAAGTTTAAATTAAATTTTGAATGGATTTTAGTTATATTCCATAACTAGTTGAAATGAATTTATTCTTGATTTTTCAAAATTTTTCAAATTTTAATGAAGATTATTTATTGTAACTCTTATTGTAACTAGTGATTGTAGCTTTTGCAGTAAGCCGTTATTCACTGAAACATTTGATGTGCCAGACTCTGAAAAGATTGCCCTAAGGCCAAGCTATGAACGATATCGTTATATGGAAACAACGTCTGCGGAATACAATCTGTATGATGATGAATATGATGATACGTATGATGATCAGCACCAAAACTACGATTTTGATTTCAGGTTGCCCGATTCCTATGTTCGCAGATCATGTGACAAATTTTGATAGTTCAACTTTTGTCATATTTCAGAGATGGCGATGTTGCAATCGAGAACAGTGGAATCAAACCAAATACGAATCGTATGCAAGTGGACAGTGATGTAGATGTTAATACAGAGAATCAGGAGGAGAAAACAAGTGAAAAAGGTAGTTCAAGGAGGAAAAAACACTTTAAAAATGGTCGACAAACAATGAGTGCCGTCATGTTGGATGAGCAAAATCAAAGTAATGTCTGTACGAAGGAAGCGGAAGAGGTGAAACATGCATCAGGAAGTGGTCCTAACGAAAGGCATAAACCGTCATATACCGGTGGACGGGGTCGACAATTAAAAGAACGCCATAAAGGTGAATTTAGACGACGACAAGCTGATAAAAAAATGCGTAGTGGAATGTTTTGATTTTGAAGACTATTAATTTCTATTTATAATCTAACGGTCATTGACCCTTATTAATTATTTCTCGAATCGCTCTAAAAGTATGCTGCATTAGTTTTGGACTTTGACAGTTTATCATGTTAATGTGTTTTAAATTCTTGCGAAATACAATTGAGACATTAAGAAACTATTTAAAATTTTAATATCTAAAAGTTATCGGAATTTCATCAAATATATTTTCACTTCAAAAGAAAAAGAAAACCAAATTTTTTGTTGCTTTATATAATCTTTTGTCTAGTTGTTTTCAGACTTCGTGGAACATAGGTTGTACCGGATATATAAAAACCTGAAGGTAGATATGAGATTTCTATGTCGGTTCTATTTTTTCTTTTTTGTTTTCTTCTTTCCTGCTTGTAAAATGTTTGAAACTAACAAGTTAACGTAAACAGGAATATGATAGTACCATACTTTTTGGAGCATCCGGAAACTACTTCACGAAGAATTTTAATTTAGTAATTTGGACGTATTCAACTTGTAACATATTTCAATAAGACATCTGATGTGATTGAAATGAAGTGCCAGTATTATGGGAAAATACACATATATTTCAATGCATCATTAAGAAATAAACAAATGAGGAAGTAAGGGTGACGAGGATTCTACCGAAAATGTCAAAGTCTTATTTCTGATAACACGTAAATTTAATGAAGTTTCTCCAAAAAAATAGAGCTATATTCAAGAACCACTTGTCGTGATCTCCAAAATGAAAGGAGCATCAATAGAAAATGGTGAATTAAAACTCATATTTGAAGTCTTTAAATTCAATAATAGTTAATTAACGACAATGCATTCATTTAACGATTGCTGTTGTTTCGATCTTGTATATGGAAATATGAAAGACAAGAAAACGATCACTTGATTGTATGGGAAGGTAGTTTCCGCTAATTTGGAGAAAAAGGACTGGGATTTATCAATTCAAGAAATTCGAAAAATTTTCTAGGGAGCAGAATAATCTACGAGTCTTGATTAATTTTTGCTTTTGTTTTAAAATAAAATTAAGGTCAAAGTTTTGCGGGGTTTCGTAATTTTCATCAATCGAAATGAAATTAAATTAAATCATTGATGCACAAATGCTATACAATGGCTACACAAATAACAGCTAAAGTAAACAACACGGTATAAAAAAATTGAATTTTTTTTCTCTCAGTCAAAATAACCGCTTGAAAATGGTGAACATTTGATATTGGCTCCTACCATCCGTGGCGTACTCACATTTTGATTTCGACATCTACAAAATTGATGATGGATTGGTGTACGGTACTGCAGCTGCACGATTACGATAATGTATAGTACTGCAATTTGTATGTATAGTATCCTGTTTTGAAATTTGCCTAAAATCACCTCCACCATTTCCTTCATTCAAAATCAATATTATTTTCTTCCCTCATTTCTTCCACTTGTATACTAAATGCATAGAGAGAGAGAGAGGGAGAGAGAGAGAGAAAGAGAAATGAAGATTAGTATATTTCAACTTCAAAATATGGTGCAAATTGGCTTGTTTTGACTTTAGAACTTGTAGTTTGAAAGATGAAAGCTTGCAGATTATATTCACATTTTGGTAAATTCATAATTTAATTTATCTATGATTTTTATGCACGAAATGTTTTTTAAAAAATATTGTTGTTTTAACAAAATTTATTTATTTTTTGATTTTAAATGAATTAATGGTTCTATTTATTGCATATTTTGTAGCAACAGATATTTATAAAGTCTAATTTTCAACAATAACTGACCTTTTTTGCTTTTGTCGTTGATTACAAAACCATACTCTGACAACATTTTTCTTTAAATCGAGTTTATTGGCTATTGCTGAAATTCGTTCACCACTCGGTCGAGGCTGTTGTCTGTGAAATGTATTATTGTTTTGTTGACCATATAATTAATGCTAACAGCAATAATAAAAACAATGCTAATAATAATGATAGCAGTAATGATTTAACAACAATGTTGGTAAATGATAATGTTAACGGTACTAATAATGATGGCAGTGTACATGTAGCAATGATAAAGTACTGATAGCAATAATGCTTAAGAATGTTACTATTAGCGATAGTAATAATAACAGTAATATAATGGTGATAATAATATCATAGTGATAATAATAATAGTAATAATATTAATAATAATAATAGTAATAATATTAATAATAATAATAATAATAATAATAATAATAATAATAATAATAATAATAATAATAATAATAATAATAATAATAGTAATAGTAATAGTAATAGTAATAATAATAATAATAGTAATAATATTAATAATAATAACAATAACATTAATAATAATAATAACAATAAGATATGAAGAATACAAATAATCTCTTAAATTTTGTTCAAGAACAATTATGCTATCAATCTGAATCAAACAATAAATTAATACAAAAAAATAAATCAATACAAAAAAAGTAAACGTTTAAGGGATAAAAAACTGCTTTATCTATTTTTTTATATGTAACAAAGCAACATTTCAGGATTTCGTCGAGGATAAAAGAAGTTGAATATAATTCCGATCTACAATTTGGCTTCGGAAGGAAGCTGATGATATTAGCTTATTTATTTATCAACTATTTAACTTCTTTGTCAAATTATATTGTGGAAAATGATGAAAATTCTTTCTGCAAAATGTGATAAAGGAAAGGAGAGAGGGATTATAATTTGATATTAAATTAAAAAAAGTTTATTACCGAAAATAATCTTCTAGCAAACGTTTTTCGGGTGCGGCAATAGAAGTTCGCTTCCTTTTCTTATCCATATTTGGTAAAATACCTTGTGCATCACCTGCCATATCTTTCGTTTTTGTTACTTCTTCGGCCTAATTAATATGCACAAGTTACCTACATGAAATACACAACATACTTGCTTATGTTTAACAAATGTAATGAATAAATTTTCTGTAATGTTATGGGAAATCTTTATTTGGATAATAAAACAGTGCAATTTATTTTTTTTTTTCCTTTCTAAATTTTCAAGATACAAATGAAGTTAAAACTTATTCTGAAATATTAGAAAAAGATAGCGAAATTAAAATTAATTTATGGTTGATTATTTAATTTATATAAAATTATTATGGAATATCGCATCCAAAAATAATTCAAGAACTCATTTTTAGGAGAAATTTAAAACCGATTTTAACAAAACCTTTTCAAGCCATGAATGCAAAATAGGTTTCAGCGCCACCATATTGTTATGCGACAAAGTAAGACTTTCGAATCGGCATATCGTTGATTGACTTAAAGAACCAACACCTGGCATCTTTAGATGTGCGAGAGCTTTCCCAACATCAGCTTGAGTTACGCCTAATTTAATACGCCTTTGCTTAAAATGTTCCGCAAAACGTTCCAATTCACGTGGATCTGTGTCCAATTCTGTAATATGCAATTTTCAATTCTTTCTTTTTTACCCTTCTATTTTAATCTATTGAAACTCATAGTTAGTCACTATAAAATAATTATACTTTGATAAAATTTTTTATGTATATAATAAATATAACGTAATTAAGTACATGAAGAAAACAAACGAAAAAATTTTTGCAAAAAAAACAAAACTACGGATTTTTTCCTTTTGAATCAGAATTATCAGTTTCTTATCAGTACCTGTAGCTTGAGCTGATAATGGGTATATTGGCATTGCGGCGGCAGCAGCAGCAGCAGCATTTTGTGATGCAACAACTGCAGTAGCGGTTGCAAACGGTGACGGAATTGGATATTGGGAAAATTGTGCAGTTGGATAGTGTTGCATTGCCATTACATGCTGCAAGTACTATAAGATAACCGGAAAAAATGCGAATTAAAAATTACAAAAAAAATAAACACTATTTGTTATCAAATTAATGCAGCAAAAAACGGATGAGATCAAAAAAAAAAGACTAATTACTGATCCGGAAGTTGTACAACCTGTAATGACGCCATTGAGTCGGCAGCATGATTCATAGATGAGTCAATAATTGAACTCTGTGAAATTGAAGATGAATCAAATTCACCCGATGATGGCAAATGTGATGCTGCGGTAGAATGATAGCTAGAATAATGGTTGACAATTCTTATCTCATAAACAATCATCAATTTTATTCATTTATTAGAATTAAGTAATTTACCTGAAACTAAGAGAAGAAGGCTAGGATTAAAAGAATTATTGGAAACTGAAATGGTAATATCAAAAAAGTAATAAGAATTTTTCGAAGCTGAGAGAAAAGAAAAAAAAATGAAATGTTCCACGTACGTGAACATATCTGATGGTCGAAGCATCCCACTAGCAGCCATATTGACATTTTTAACGTCAATTTCAGCAAGGGCAGCTTGTGCTGCTCTTGCTTGAAATAACGTATCATCGAAAGTGCCAAAAATTGAATTCGTTTGAAAGTTCTGAAAATTTCAAAAAAAAAAAAATCACAAACAGAAAATTTGAATTTCGTATGAAAATAAAAACTTAATTATTATTGGATTACCAAGTGAAGCAAACCATGCAACAGATATTGAGCACTAAATATGTTATACATTATGCTTATAGAAGTTCTTAAAAATATTAATTTCAAAAATTTGTGATGAAGTATAACTAAGTACAACGATATTAGAACAAACATAAGAATACTTGTATGCTAAGGTTAAAAGTTAAACTGTTGCAAAAGTCTTCTTATTTACTCTATTTTACTCAAGGAAATTTCGAGAAACAAAGGGAAAAAAGTTTATTGACAACACTGAAGTAAAGCCTATGTGAAGTAATACTTAATTCTTGAAAACGTCTAGAAAAAGTCGACAAAAAAATGAAGCTGAAGAAAGAAAGATAAAAAAGAGAAATTTTTAGACTGTTATTTAACAATATCTACTATTATTCAACAATGTCTACTATTTCCATCAAATCATTATAACTTGAATACTTTTGAATTCAAATTTCCTGGCATATCTTGCTCTTTTATTTCTTTAAAAATACTTTAGCATTTATTTAATAATTTAAATAGCATTGGAGAAATTATATACTTTATTCAGTTGTATTTAAGCTTAACTCTGCCAATTAAAAAAAAATTGCTTTGCAATCGATGCATAACTTTTTTGCTAGAAATAATAAAAACTAGAAAACATTTTCTTAAGAAAAACTCAATATATAATATAAATTGATATGTGAAAAGTTATTTTCGGATAAATTTCCTTAATTTTAAGCAATTTATGAACAAAAGTTTTCCTGAATCTATGAAATTTAGTTATCATACGCATTCTTTTATGTTCTTTTATCGTTCAAAACGATTGCAAATATTGTTAGCTTTAAATGCGAAACGATTTTGAAATAGCATTTCTGATTAATTATTGATTTTAAAAGTTAATAAATTGAAATAAAATTTGATCAATTTTGAATAAGTTCCAAGTTATCATTAATTTATATACATGTATGCAGTTGTATCACTTCATTTTTCGTTCTTTCGTTTTTTCAAAAAATAACATTTAAATTTCCAGAATTAAATAATGTATGATAGGTAATAAATAAATAAGCAAATTAAGGTAAGTATTGAATAAACAAATAAATAAATATATAAGTACATACATACCGAATAGACATAAACATACGGCATATATGTAAAGATACAGATTACAAATGAATGAATATTTCAATGACTACGAATGAATAGTTCATGACCATCATTGACAAGCTTTTGACAATAACATTGATCAGCTCAATGGTGAAATTAGCTGAGGGGTTGAAGATTCATAAATTAATGAAATATACTTGTTATATTTGCTATTGCATCTTGCATTCGTTAGCTATCATTTTAGTATCATTAAAATTAAATTAAATTCATTTATTACAATTATTACGTTACTATTATTGTTATTGTTATTGTTGCTGTTGTAATGATCAATTATGCTATATTTACTGTTCTCATATCGGTTAACTGATTTATTAACTTTATAAAATTTTTTTTTTCGTACTTATATATGTATAGTAAGCAGATATATATATATATATATTTTTATATGTATAGTAAGCAATATATTCTAACAAATGGACAAGATAATCAAGAGAAAATTATGATCGGCAAAGAGAACAATTGTAATGATAATAGAATAATGATAAGTTTATGAATACCTACACTAGGCATTCGGGTACGGTATGCAGCTGCTGCCGTTGTTGCTCCGGTTCCGGTAGGTGAGTAACGTGTCATTGTAGCAGTAGATGTAATCGTATTTAAGCCGGGATATAACCGTTGCGATGACTGCATATCCTTTTTTCTCTTCTTTTCTCTTCCTTTTTTTCTTTTACGTTACGCTATACCGTGTATGACTGTATAATATTTTATTGTCAGCCGATAGAAAAAGAAAACCAGAAAAAACCGGAAATAAATGTAAATTTAACCAATTGATTTCCAAAAAATACGGATGAATTTTATGTTGGATGAAACAGTTCCGGCAACCGGAGTAGTTGATCGGTTATTTAGGAGTTTAACGGTGAGGAGGAGGAGGAGAAGAAGGTGGGGAGATAAATATGGCATTTGCTTGGAAATGGGTGACACGCTTCACACTGGTCGATACGATGAGCATCGTCGGAAAAGCTTCTCAATAGATTGAACATGCGCTACTTACTTACTTACTTACTTCATTCTAAACCCACCACTGTCATCACTGCAACACTCTTTAGAATGCTACCGTATCCTTGGAGCATTGATCCAAAAATTATTGGCACCGCCTTAAAAGCATTTTCTGATTTGCTAAAAGATGATAGTTTGAAGCAAAATGCAGAGAGAAGGGAGAACGAGAAAAAAAGTGGAAGCATACTTTTCTCCGTCATTGTGTTTTCTCTTCAAATCTTTTTGCATTAACAGCTATTTCATGTGGACACTGAATTTTTTTTTTTCATTTTTCATTTTTCAACTAATTTATGGAAAACATTTAAAAAAAAAAAGAAAGAAAAGGGCGAAGAGACATAATTTTTTTTTTTTTTTTTTGTTTTTTTTTATTATTTAACATAAAGTTTTCATGATTTTTAATCACTTATCGATATTATCATTTATCATTGATACAGAGAAAGTATTCATAATTTTTATCTTTCCGTGGATGTTATTAAGTATTGATTTTCATGCAGTATGCACAACTTTTCTCTGTCGCAAATAATGCGGCATATTATCAGCTCCCGGAAAGCAATGACGATTTTTGTCCTTATTGATAATATCATATATTATTGATTTGCGTGAAACACATGTAACTATGATTATTGAAATAGCAGGACATATCTTAATTTAATTTGAATTTAACATTTATCAAGTTCAATATCAAGAGAATTAATTTCTCAAGTATTTGTGTTGTTTTTTTTTTTTTTTTTTAATTCTTTGTCTTATTTCTATGTTATTTTTATCGCCAAAATTTCCTGTAATTGTTTTTTTTTTTTTTTTCTGGAAATTTAATTTTTATTATTTGTTAATACCAATTCATTTTTAGAGTATAAGAGAAAGAGGAGAAGGAGAATGCAAGAGAAAGAGAAAGAGAAAGGTTAAGTAATACTTCCATACCACTTGAATAGTATATATTGTAATATGAATGATATGTTAAAATAATATTTCTTGGACTTTTCTAGGACAAATATGGGGAAACTTACAAATATTCTGCATAATGCTATAATCATGCAAATATTAAACTATCATTTATTGCTACTAATTAACATTCTAGATATTCAAATTCAACAATGTTGTAATAATAATAGTAATAATAATAAGAAGAAAAAAAACAATAATAATAATAACGATAATAACGAAAATGTCAATAGTAGAATAACAAAGATATTTGTAGCTATTATTATTGTTATTATTAGCTTTTATTAAGATTGGGCAATTTGTTATCGTTTTTCACTTATTTCTTAGCTAAAATGACGATGACTGGTAACGATATTTGTTTCTTGGCTAAAGAAGCAAGAATCATTTAGTGGCCAAAGAAAAGAAAAAAAACAGATAAGACTATCATATGTAATAAAAACCATATCACATATCATATCATATCATATCATATCATATCACATCACATCACTTTTCTACCAATCAAGAGTTATAGCACTAATGCAGAAACTGCTCATTTATACTTTTGTTAAGTATTTCCATTGATAAAAAGCATATTTACCCTTTGAAGTGACCTATTTCTTCTTTACTATTATTAACTTTCAAAATGTCAAATCTTCTTCTATTAAAAAAAAAGGAAAAAAAAATGATATTTATTGAGTCAAAATCTTTTTTGAGTTTCAATATAAGCAATGAAATTATTAATAGAAATGGTATTGTTCCAAACAAGATTGACAATTTTTAAGTTAGATATGGTTTAAAATTTATTGTGCATTCCCTCATTCTAATTAGAAATTTAAATTCACAACCGAACTTTTAATCAAATAAAGCAAATTTAATTTTTTTTTCTTTGAATTAAAAAATTATTCATTCAAGCAATAAATATCTACATGATAGTAATAATACAAAGTTTATCACATAGATGTCAATCTGACAAAACGAAAAAAAGAAAAAAAAAACAAGCAGTATAGGTTTAAATTTAATTTCAAGCATATTTATTATTACCATTGTCTCATTGATATTATCATTATCATAGCTATTATTATTTCTGTTGCAAATTTCTCTCTACGATGCTTATTAGAGATAATTTTCACTAAATATGCGTCATTTCTTTAATATTATTTATTCTTATTTCATTATTTCCTAACTTATAAATGCAATATTACTCAATTTTTATATAATAAACAAAATGAAATTGTATGAGAGGTTAGTCGCCTATGGTCAGATTTAAGTATAAATTACAGAAGTGAATTCTTGCATGGTAGTAGCCTCTTATGGTCACTCTAAACAACATATGCTTATAATTCTATCGTCCATTTGACTGGAATTAATCGACTCTGATGATGGGAAGCTCAATACATGCATCTATCTATCTATCTATTCATTGTCCGAAGAGTAAGAAAAACGGAAGCATTGCGATCAAAGTCTAAACTGAATCAGCAACACACGAACAGACAGGCATAAGATACACACACACACACACACACACACACACACATACTCACAAATACACCAGACACATGCATACACATACACACATTCATACATACATGATATCCATAAATATTTTATGAGTTAATGAATTGATGGTAGTTGCAGTAGAACAGCTTGGAATATCCATAATATATTGTCGTATTGATGATATGATGCTTATAATTAATTGCAGAAAAACGTACGATCAATTAGTACTTTTCCAGTTTTTTTCTTTTGATTTTTTAACTATCAAAAAAAAAAAAAAAGAAAAAATTTAATAAGGCAAAAGAGGAAGAAATTATTGTTTAATTATATTTTTGATAATAATTCATTTAAAAATTATCTGAAAGAATTATTAAAAAAAGTTCGGAAAGATCCCAAAATTAATCTATTCTGTATTTCACTAACTTTCAATTATTTCGAGTGGACTTTAAATGTAATATTCTAAAATAAAGTTATCAAATATTTCACTTTTAATTTGAAAAAGTGATTTTTATTCCTAACAAATTTTAAATTAATATATGCAGTAAATGTAATAATACATGCCATAATACATTTATTGTATAAGTAGTAACATCGATTATTGCATTTATTATATCTATGCAATACTTGTTAAATCAGATTTCATGGACAGATTCATGGAAGATAATCATTCCGGAAAATTACTTTAATAATTTGTACAATTTGCAATTTCTTTTCCGGAAAGCTTTTCTAATACTCTTTGCAACATTGGTTTTCCATTACTGTATTCTTAGAATGAATAAAAATTAAATCCATTATACTTCAAGACTTTCAGGCTATTTTTTATTCCTCAAATATCATCCATTAAATTACGGTATGAGAACATTAAGTGAGATTAAGCCTAAATATATGGACCAAAAGTGTCAAGTATGAGAATTTTGTCCACTTTCCCTTATTGAGATAAATGTCCTTTAGGGTTGAAAGAATTGAATTGAAGTAAATATCTTCTTCCTTTTCCCAAACCAAAGCATTAAATGGAAAATGGGAATAATTGTCCTTCTTTTGCATAAATAAATATGCACACTTAGTTAGTTCATAGATTAGGCTTAACAAATATATGATACGGAACCAATACATTCTATTTTAATTGTTAATAAATATTGCATAACTAATAAATCAATCAATTGAATTAATTATCAATAATTACAATAATAGTAATAGTAATAATAATAAATAGTAAATAACAAGTGATTTAGAAATGACTTATGTGTATTGATATTTCGGCATTCCTTTATATATTTTTTTAAATGTAACACAAAAATGAACAATGAGCAATCATCCCATGAGATGATACAGTACTCGAATATTTAAGAGCGGTGATATTTATCAAAAGATTTGACGAATGATTGTTATATGATGACATTTTGATTCATTTGAAATTCCCATTGGGAAATGACCGATCCATCCATCTATCCATCATTCCATTCATCTTTTCCTTTTTATGCTCATCAATTAGATGAACATACATATGATAACATCGAATATTATTAATTTACGATCATAATTTCATTTCATCATAGTATTTTATTTTACGATTATTTGCTAAGCTAATAAGTCCATACTAATTAAGCTCATTATTACTACTATTTTATATTCAAAAGATATCACACTAGATTAAAAAATTGAAGAATGCTAAAAAGGAAAGAAAGAGAATGAATAAGTTAAGATAATGGACAAATTTAGAAGTTTGTTACGGTAATGCACAAATGATTGAAAAAGAAATGGTCTAAGCTTTAAAAAGTTCAAATATTTTCTTCGGTATACTGTAATGTTACATTCCTTCCCAAAAAATATTTTATAATTTGAAGAAACAATTAAGTTTTAACATTTTGAAGATATTATCTTTCAAACAATACCGCAAGACTCCTTGGTAGTTAAAAGTTTATTCGCATTACAAGCAACCAGAATGTTGCAATAAAAATGTCAACAATAGCATCAGTAGTAATGATACTAATGATAATAGCAAGTAATGGTAACAATAAATAATAATGATAATAGTAGTAAGTAATAATGGTAACATCTTACGTTTCTTGAATAATGATTCGAAGTTTAAATTAAATTTAGACAAAGTTCAAATAAAATCAAATAGGATTAGTTTTATTAACAATAATAAAATGAAAGAAGCGTGAAAATATTAAGAAACAAATAAAAATACTTGAAGAAGAATAAGAAAGAAATAACAGAGAGATATAATTTATGTTAATTCAATCCATTAATGAACTTCTAAAATTTAGTATAAGTTGCACTTTCCAAATTCAATTTTAATTTTTGGAAACAACGAGGAAAAGTCATACAGCTATATGTGTCCCTACGTACGTGTATATGTACTGAGATAATGGCGGAAATATCAGGTGTTTCAACTATAATCATAATGCTTAATAGCATAATATAATTAATTAGCTATGTCTCATTTTTCTTCTAAATCTCTTTTCCTATTCTCCACCAAACCAAATTGAATTCCTTTCAGGTGACCGCATTACCTCCTTCTTTCTTTCTCTCTCTCCTTTCACCTCATTTACTTTATCTTCGCTCCTATTTCTCTCGTTCTATTCCATCCCAAATACCACCCCGTCATATACCAGAAACAAGTAATTAATTACTGATTGGCTTATAGGTAGAATAATTTCTGCTTTAGCAAGCCTGTTAAACTTAAAGCAATTATCTTCTCTCTCTTTCCATTTTTTGTGATTTTTTTTTTGTTCTACTTTCAGTATTGCTTACAAGCTCTTTTTTTTCAGACCTTGTAAAATACCTGAATTTGTAGATGGAATAAAATCCAACTTATATTTTGTCATCAAATTATGATCGAATTTTCGAATCACTTAAGTGGTTAACAAGGAAACAACAGCAAATCAAAATCAACCTGACATTCTAACCCGGCAAATTTTTTTTTTTTTTTAAAAAAGAGAATGAATTGCAAAAATATCTCTTTAATAATGATTGATTAAAAAAATTGTTTGATATCAGCAATTTCATCTTTGTTTTTCTTCTGAGCTTTTACTCCTAATATTCATATTTGTCACTGCTCAATGAATTTCTTTTTTAAAACCTGCAAAATTAACTACCTGTATTTTTCTTCCCATTAACTATTGATATGATTTGTATAATCAGAATGATGAGCATCTAGTGAAATGGTAAATAATAATTTTAAAAAGATCATGTTGGATACAAAGGCCGGAAAGAAAAAAAAATAGCGGATTACTTAAGTTGATATTCTAATTTATATTATTTTATGTAATAGTTACTAAAACTCACATTAAATATTTTTTTTTTCCTTTTTGACATAAAATGTTCAAAAATTAGAGTATAACCAAAGGCATTCACTCATCCGTAAAATATTAGTCAAAAGCATCGAAAATCGAACTTGATGACCTCGTCGATTTAGCTTGACAATGGCAACTGCGACAGGTGTCACCATGTTCCCATCCCCAAAATATCCATCTGACTATTCATACAAGTCCGTATCGCTTCTATCCGTACATGCTATACAGATTGGAACGAAATGAACAAGCACGCACATACATCAGCCATCAATCCTTTTGAAATATTAATTAATTAATGGGATAAACACATATATATATATATAGGGTACCAGAAAATTATCCATGCGCTTGCTTTCCATATTAGCTAATACATTCTCTGAATTATCCAAAGATAATTTCAATGCTACATCATTTTACGATTTAGGATTAAGAGAAAATTTGAAAAAAAATTTATCTTATCCAAATCAACATATATGTATTTGTCTTGTTCATAACTTTCAAGAATACAAAATTGCTATGTGCCCGTTTCAGTATTCGTTACTACATATAATATGGAAATGTATGATTTAAGGGGAAACATCTTCAAGCTAAGAACAATTTAATAAATGAATATGAAATAAAAACAAGAATGATTTTTAGGTGTTTAACTAAAAAGCAAAATAATATGAACAAGCATCAGAGAAAGAGGTACAGTAGGTTATAATATATCAATATATAACAAGAGTAAAGAGACTGCAAGGACAAAAAAAGTTCAGTGACTTTAGATATAATAATTTAATAACCAGAAAATAAAAACTTTGGTTTATCTAGGAATGATTTCAATGTAAGTAATCAGCAAAGGCCATCCGAAAAGTAAACGAAGCTAACTGTTCAGTTTGCTTGTTCACAACTTTCCACAGTAGTTTTGTAATTTAAGGAAAAAATAAAAATAAACAAATTTAGTCAGATTAAAATACAAAAATTAAAACAACAATGACAAAAAATTTTAAGTTTGATCGACATCCTTATAATTACAAAACCAAATATACATTCTTAAATAATAAATCCTTGCAGAAGAATAGTATGTAAGAAGCAAAAAAAAAGGTCAACCAAAAAGAAAAAAAAGAAAAAAAGAACTCTGCACAATAAATAAAGCGTAAGCCAGCAAAACAAGAACGATCAACTGTTGACTTGACGGTTAATAAAAAAAATGGATATGAATTCACTGTAACTGAAATACATTTGTTGAGAAAGCACAGCAATTTACATGAGAATACAATGAATACAACTGCAAAATAAAGGAAAACAAACAGACAAAATAGATCCCCCTTCTGTAATTTCCCAAACCTTAATCTACTTGTTGCCATAACTACAGACAGAATAGTAGTGTGAAAATTTGAAAAATGTTACTATTTTTAAACGAAAGCATTACAGAACGATTATTGGTACTGAGATATTCAACAACAAAAAAAAAGTTTATCAAAAGTCATTTAAGAAAAACGTAAAATATTATAATCAAAGCTATTTAATGAAAAAGTTATTGCAGTGGATAATCGGTGCATTGCAAACACATGAACCGCGGTTGGTTCATGTGTTTGCAATGCACTAACATTATTCATAAAGGAATGTAGTTTTCTGGAAGATGGTTACCACTTTTATCGTCGTCTTCTCTTTTAGTCTCCTGATTTTTGTTGAATTTAGATTCGCTATGGTGTTCGGTATCTTCTTCACCAGAAATATAATGTTTAAGTGCCAGATAATCGTTCTCTTCCTCTATAATTTCTTCATTCAGTTTAGCCAGACGAATCGATAACTGCAATGTATATATATTTTTCATTCGGTGCCATCAAAATGCTAATCTTTTAACTATTGGTCAAATGCAATGATTTATCAACTTCTTTGCAATTGCAGAAATATATAAAAAATATTTATTAGATGTCAAGTAAATTTAATAAAAAATATTCTCTTTGGGAAAATATTATCTTTGTAATTGTTAACCCAATAATTCCATATTTATAATAACTGATGGAATATTTTTGAAATGACTTTACATGTTTTTCTAACTTCCTCTAGTATCCATTATAAAAGAAACACAAATTCAGGTAATCAAACCTCAAAATTTATTTTTGCTTTCCGTTCAATTTCCGCATACAGCCGCTCTGCCAATCGCCGCCAGTAACTCGCACTAATTTCTGATGATTTCAGATCTTCAGCTGTTAGCTTCGGCAGCTTATTGCTAACTGTTACATCGGTCTGTACTGCAGCCTGAAATATAACAAATAGCCCTAAAGTCTGCATCGTCTCAAATGAGCAATACGTACACAGAAAAGGGATTAATGAGTAACAAAAATTTTTTTGAAGAAAAAAGATTTGATGCTGTTTTCATGCGGCGGGTTTTCTAAACATGAATTTAAGGTAGGCAAAGGTATGAATCATTTGTCGCTCTTTCCACTCTTGGCTACACAACTTTCGCACTTCCAAATAATCTTCGAAATACGAGTATGCATTCGAGTTCTGCGGATCAACTATATTTGACTCAAATAAGGTTCTTCATTAGCTCTAGCCCGTAAGAAAAAGGGCATATGGACATACCAAAAATGGGTATCGAGCTAGCTTGGATTCAAAAAAAGCAGTTTAAATTTACTATTCAAAAAAAAAAATCAACCATTTATAGAATAGAAAAAAGTGAAGTGCGACAAACAACACAAACCTCAACAATAGTCGATGTTACACGTACAAGTTCCGCCTTTAGAATTTTCGTTTCATTCAACTTCTCTTCATTATTTATTAAATCCCTCCCCACATTCTGGTTCCAAATTTTTGTCTCACCATGTTCATTTCCATCCTTAACATTGAGACTTTGATAATTATTTTCACTTCAAAAACTATTCGATTGATTCAACAGTGAGATAATTCAATAACACGAATGTCAGTAATTATGGCATCATCACATTCATGTTTAAAACGTTTAAAGCAAAACGTCTAACGCAAATTTTATTTTTAATTTCAAAAGGAATTACGGAAAACGAACCAAAGATTTGTGATAATTGAACTCTAGCACAAAATACCTCATGGCAACTTCTGGAATTTCTGCTACGATAAAAAATTAATATTTAATTTGCCCTTTGTAAGCAGTAGTCATTGCCACTCAACCATATTTAAGATAGAATGTTTCAAGGTTTGAGAAAATTAATTGAATAAAATGGCTTCAACAAATTAATAAACTCAAGCGAGATCCACTTCTTTGTTTTCCAGCAATTCACATATTTGAAATGTGTCACTTATGTGTTGCACCTTGGCATTAATCGTCGCTGTTTTCGAAACTTTCAACTCTCCTGTTTTCCGCGTTGTGTGTGTTGCTATATTCTGCACCTGGCAAAGTGTTCCACCTGGCATATTTCTACTCGAATTTTACAAAGTGAGCAGCTGAAATAATAGAAATATTTGAACTATACAAATGCATAGAATTTCACCGATGTCACCAAAATGCTGAGAAAAACATTGCCATTTATAAGGCGAATCCTGAAAAACATATTATGCAGCAAATAAAACATCAAGCAGCTATAAGAAATACCAGCGAAAGAAAATAAAATCTCTGAAAAAAAGTACAAATAAAACAAAGATGTTTGAAATTTTATCAAGCAAAAATAAGACAAACTGTACATATAATTATAGATAAACTGATAAAAGACTGCAAATTTTATGAACCACTTAAAATGATCATTTCCGATGCACTTTAATCCCATCATTTCCCATTAATCAATATTCACTCGCGTCTTAATCGATATTTTCCCAATAATATCAGACCAATAAAAACATTATACTGTAGCTCGATAAAACTGCAGACATAAATCATGAGACTTTTTTGAAAATCAGATAAATTCAAAACAGTGATGAGGAAGTGGATTCTGTCTCACTAGTACCATTATCCAAACACTGCGCTTTCTCCAGCAATTCGGCATTCAAATCTTTGAGGCTATCTAACTGAGTTTTTCCGCTGTTTATCAAATTTTCCAGCTAAAAAAAAAAGATTATCATCTGTATGCGGCAATAATAAGCATAATAGTCAAGACCGATATAAAATTAGTTTTGTTACATAATTTAACAAATGTTACACAATCGAAACCATCTGGTTCAAAAATTTGCCGAATAGAAACGTTTAATTAAAATGGCATGAGTGATGAGAAGATATTATGACATTAGAGAAAGGTACGACTTCCATCGAACTATTTTAAAACATATTAAAAAACAAGCTCTCTACTATTTTATAATATTTATTTCCTCTCACATTAAGATTGTCTGTTCGTAACCTGTCCAGTTCACTAGCAAACTTTTCAGCAGCAAAACGCCAAAACTGCATATCGGCATTTTCTGAAGCATAAGCTTCAAGTGAACAAGGAATCGAAAGTTCCGTTTCTATTGATTCATCACTCACATCTCGAATTTCTTCCTGAAAAATGTGTGTAATCTAGTTGCTAAGTCCTCAATAGCTGGAGGGAAAAAATCACAAGGTAATAAATTATCATATTAAATAACCACAGTCGGAATCGGTTTAATTATTATTTCCATAGCTCTGATCTCAGACCAAGTAAAACTGAAGGCAACTACAACTGGGCAAACTTAATTATAATGAAAATAGTACTATGAAATCATGGTCGTTGATAAGTTTTTTATTGGAAATGATCACATCGGAAAAGGAGAGCATCAAAATAACATTAACAATTAATTTCGTACATATTTAGATAATTAACCTTTTCTTTGATCCGTTCCAGCTGTTTTTTCAATATTGTTGACGAAACATTTTCATCACCTATTTGCTCATTCATCACACCTTACTAAAAATTCAATAATAAACCAAAAGCTACCAAAAATGTTAAATTATATCCGTTCAATTAGTCGAGTTTGAATTTCGTATACAAACGCTTAAAAATAATTGATTTCCTAAATTTACTTTTGTAAAATACAACAAGTCTCCACTGCCTGTGATGTCATGCATTAATCGAACGATAACTTCGTCTTCCAACATTGGTATCGTCCTTATTTCACTTTTTTTTCAGTTATCTTTCCTGTTTTCGTGACTATACATTTGCAATAATTCAGGAATTATCAAACAGAAAAAAATTTTCAGTCTCATTAGAATTTCGAATCATGATACTATCTTTAAAGTTGGAGAAATTAAAAATGTTTATAAATCCTATTAAGCTCTAACTATCAAATTTAGTCAAACTAGTTAATAACAAAATGAAAACTGAACTTACAGACATTACCAGCAGTTAGTACATCCAGCTCTTTAAAATCCCAACTTTTTTGGATATAATGAAGAAAAATGGAGAAAAACGTAATTTTTGGAAAGAAAAACACAATTTTTACTAAGTATTGAAAAATAAATACAAATGGATGAATAGTGGGCACAGATTAATACTCCATTAAAAGTGCAAAGTACTTGAGCGATTCAACCTTTGACCCCAGATTGCTATCAAGGCAGCAGCACACCAATATATTGACAGCAATATACACGCAGTAACTGTTTCATAATTCCCGCTTGTACTAAAATCGCGGTAGAAGCCATTCAATTGTCATGATTATTCAACTTCCGTCCCAACTGCAGACCACTCTCATTACTAACCACCCACCATTTAGCAGATTGACTGTTGCCTTTCAGAATTCTCCCGAAGCTAACGAAATGACAATTCTGTTACTTTTCCTTATCTCTCTCCTTCCCATCTGTTAAATCTTTCTGGCTCATGAAACATGCAACTGAAGCTTCGTTGACTTCGTCTTCAATCTTTTTATATTATATTCTTTTTTCAAATCTCGTTTCTTATATTTTATTTTCAGGTAATGTCACCGCTCATTGCTATCCTTTGTCTGGTATGTTTTTTTGCATTATAATTTTTTAAGTTTCTCAAAACTTCTGTTGAGATACTCAATATTTTTGTGAGAAAAAAATCAAATAACAATGAATATAACTGCAGATTACCCTACTTGTTGATAGTCAAATGCTTCCATTTACGATTCAGCTACCATTACAAAAAAATCGGATTTATCAAGGTAATTTGGTTATTTTTGGGAAAATTTTTCATGTATATACCTAATCCAATGACTGTTATTTTAATCATTATCAAAATGATGACATCAATTGATAATCTTGATTTTAAAAGCACTTTCGAATACCCAAAAAACACTGCAAAACCGGTCTTGATTTTCGATTTCACACACAATTTTCATTAGCAGAAATCGAAATATTTAGTATCAATTAATTTTCCTTTATATCCGGACATGTCTGCTTCGTCATACGTCCATCTCAGTTGATAATGAACCGGCTGAAACAATAATAACAAGATACAAAAAAAATCAAATCCGATAAGCGAAAAAAAATGAAAGAAAGAGCAATAAATCCAAGACATAATCAGCTGTTAATAGTAATATCCATTTTAGATAAAGTACAGCTTAAAGAGACACAAACGATGAAAGGATCAATCTACAAGGATACTTTTAAACTGGAACAAAATTATTAATAGTGAACTACCATTTTGCAGAGTTGCCTTTGTAATCTTTAGTGATATTTCCTATCTTTATTTACAGTATGTGATCGTTGCGATATCATCAATAGAGGCTTGCGGATCTTCCTTGCGTAGTAGTAAGTATCCCTGCACCTGAGCTGGACTTATTTGTACATTCAGTGCTACCGCAGCGTTTCGAAATTTCATAGCCATATCTTCGGTAATATTATCACCATAGAAATGCTTGAACATCTGTAAAAATTGTTTCTCCAGTCACTTAAGCAAATGATTATATTGTCGACTAAATAAATGACATTAATTTCTTCTTGTTGAAATAACAAAAAGTTATTGACGAATTAATCTAAAACACGCTCAATCAATTCAATCTTGTGCAGAAGTCTCTGTCTATTTTGCTAATTTCCTTAGCAGTCCTGGGATACAAATTTACCAATTCATAAATATGTGGTTTCACGTAAAAAAGTGTAGAGTCGATTTCAATACTATATGAAATTGGTTATTACAAGCATCTAAGTACAAAAATAGACCTCAGAAAACATAGCCTCGGTGCAGTAACCAAAATATTGTTTCACATCAACACGACCTGGACGTATCAAAGCTGGATCAAGACGATCAACATGATTAGTTGTCATGAAAAGTATTCGTTCATCTGCACTAGCAACACCATCAATCGCATTCAGTAGTCCCGAAAATGTCACCCTGTAAATGTTAAATTTCAAAATAGCAACTTTTTTTCTTGAACCTAAAATCCAGTTAACATTTTTAGCTAGAGCTTCTAAGGTTAATCTTTATCCTATAACAGTAGTCATATAATAAATTATATAACACTTCCAAATTTTCAAAACAAATTTCAAAGAAAAAAAAAGAATTTCCAAATTTGTGGCTTTTTCAATAAATTTTTCCTGCAGACTTCAATAACCTTGTCAAACCTTCGTACGCCTTTGAAGACTGTACAGTATCGTCGCGCGAACCAAAAGCGGCATCCACGTCCTCCAATACCACCACACTCTGTATTCAAAATTTCAATTTATTGTAGCGAAACCAATTTACTAGATTTACTAGAATACCTTTATAAATTATGTTTATTAGATTCAGTAAATATAGAAACTCTATAAAGGCATGTAATTTTGCTTAATCTCCACAACAGCTTACATAAGGAGGTGGAGTGTTCAGAAGATGATTTAAACGGTCATCATCAAGGGTTCGTTCACTGAGTGACAGCATGCACACGCTATAACCGAAATAGCTAGCCAATGCAGCAATAAAACTGCTTTTACCGGATCCAGGAGGTCCGTAAAATAAATAACCACGACGGTATGGAATTCCACGTTCTGTGTACCTTTAAAAAGAACAAACGACAATAACTTAAACCGATGAAAAAAAAAAAAAAAAAATTCTGCGAACAGAAAGAGCAGTTAACGAACTCCTATGAAAAGAAGCTAATGAAATTGTACTTATTTGGCAGTACCATTTGGAAGATGAGCTAAATTCCTGAAAGTCATTCACGATTGCATTTGCAATACCCTCGTCTAACACAACCGATTTTATAGGTCTTTTCCGCATTGGTGTACCGAAACGACGCCATTCCGGTCCTGCAGCTCGATAAACAACTAAGCCCGTTTCGACCTAAAAAGTCTATGTATACATCATCGCACATACAAGCAAGACTGAATTTTGTTTGGCTGAAAAAATTGTAATTCTTCTTGAGACAGAGAAACAGCAGATAAAGTGTTCCAACTTCCTGCAACTGAGCATTTTTAAAATTTTAGCTATTATAATATGCAAAAGATGAAGCAGAAAAAACGAAACAGAATGTATTAAACTAAAGTAACAAATAATAAACAAAACAATAAACCAGAAACTTTTTACATGTTGCAGTGCTTCCGAGGTGGCTTTATCGAGCAAATTTGTTAAAAACCGTACATCAGTACCTGTAATTAAAAGCTTTGGATATTAAAAAAACTACGAAAAAAAAAGTAAAAACAGTCTAAGAAAGAGAAGCGAATATACCTAAAGTTGTTAATGTGACAGTTTCAAAAGGTGTGCGATAATTTCCTTTCTGTATAACTTGCTTTTCTCGTTGCCTTTCTACCTGAACAACATAAATGAACAAAAAAATAAGTCTTTTATCCATTTGTGACTGTGAATTGGAGAACTTCAGTATTCAGCTTTGACGACACCTGTATCCATCGATAATTATATGTGAAATAATGCATTCCATGTCCTGGTAAATACGTAAAATTCGTAATAGTTCGGCCACTTTCTGCTTGGCTAATTAAAGTATGCACCGATATTTGCCGAGTTTGACGTGCGCTGTTTCGATTAATGTAATCCAGTAACCATGGATATGCGCTAAATTCTACCAATTTTCAAGTAACTAATATTCTATGTTTATGAATTTCAACATCAATCAAATCGATCAAAAAAAACATGTCTAAGAGTGAACCATCCGTATAACATTTAACTAATGCTGTTTTCAGCGTGACAGTACTAATGCCGTTGTAACGGAAACAAATGCATAGATAAACCTGTTCTGAGCATTACCATTAATTGACAGCAAACGAGTACTTACGGATCCTCATTACTGATTTGCAACGATATCAAGAACCGTCTTCTAAATATTGTATTCGATATAACTATCAATTTCCGAGTGATCGACAAACACACTCCAAGGCCTGCAAGTCCGGCACCAGCCCCAAAGTAAGGATTTGATGATAGATAACTGTATACCTGAACACTTAAAATGAAACAAAAGATGGATTCACAGGAAGATTTTAAGAAAGAACGAAAGTCCAAAGTGACGAAGTTGCAGTAGATTCTTTAAATCAATAAATCAATAAGCCGAAATACCCATAAGTTGGATATCTCAGTTAGTCCGACTCTAGTCTGTGAATTCTAAGACTATATGTAGACGTGATAATGTGCTAAGCAACCAGAAATACTGGTATTGTTCACAAAAATAAAGATTTACTTTGTGAAAGCGAGATGGTTGTAATGGTTCGACAAATGGTTCAGTATTCAATGGTTCTTTCATCCTAAATTTTCAAAACTTTAGCATCAATTCATCAGAAAGCTATATTTCAAACAGGAAAGGCGGTATTGCGACATATACCTCAAAGCAATAATTCAGGACTGGTAAAGTTCTAATCTACAAATGATAATATGGTAACAATAAAATGTTCATTTTGTAGCATAACAAACTATAACTGCTTAATATCAAATGCTTGAAATAAAATAACTTTACAAGTTTTAAATTTCGTAAGTTAATAATGAAACATGCAGCGACTATTTTAGATTCTGAAATTCGTCTTTATTTCTATTTCTACATATAACCATTTTAGTACTCATTAATTAAATAAGATATTTTATAATCATGTAAATAGATAAGGACAAAAATTATAATCGATAAATTAGTAAACTTTAAAGCGAGAAGGAAAAACACTCACACTAGAAAATACCCAAAAACCCTGGGAATATCCATATGATAATCCCCTGCAAAGATAATCCCCAGATATTGCAATTTTCCAGCGACTACATTTAACGCTACACTATATGAAATTATGAAAGCTTTAGTTTTTCTAAATTGGTATGCTTCTCGGAGATAAGTTGCTTATAGCAGTGGACGAAGGTAAAGTGCTAGTAATAATAAATGGCAAATTTTTACAAACAAAGAGAGAATAGCACTATCGCTTAAATTATTTGTATTTTCCTATCATTTTTCACGCACACATGTACATACACGTACGTCATAATGTAATTACGATATTTCAGCTAGATATGTACCTCATACCTCGTCAGTGAATTTAGTATACCTCATATCTGATAAGCTTTTTATGTAAAATATAACTGATATGCTTTTTTTTTCTTCATATCACTGCTTTATTTTTCATATCACATTTCCTTTTTTTCCTTATTGTTACTATTACATATCGGAAATAATGCATTTAATAATCTTATATAAGCTGGAAATGGAAAGGAAAGAACTTGAAGGAATGTTCTCTTTTTTAAACCGTCAATAAATCATAAAATTAAATTTTTCTTTTTTTTTCAGAAACAAAGAAGAAATTTTCCTGGTGGTAAACGATACCATTAACCACCAAAATGGCAGAATCAAAAGCATTTCGAGGATTGATTCGGTCTACGAGTTAGTTTCCTTTCCATTTTCTGGATTACAAAAATATTCAGTTCCTATTTAATATAATAGTTATATTTGACAGTTTGAATTTACCATACTTCGTATCTGATTGTCTACCATACCTCATATCTGAATTTTTAATAACAATTTTTTAGTAGCATTGTCTTTTGCATAACTTACATGTATTCATCTTTGTTCTTTGAGAATGAATATGAATGAAAGTCAAAGTGATAGAAGCACTGATCTAAAATATAGATAGGTTTAATGGAAATGAATATGAATAGAATTCTCGAACAATTTAGACAAAAATATTTATAAATTTAGGAAATTATGGATTCATATTTATATCAATTTGAATAAGGAAGAATGTGAGAAGGGATTAAAATAATTTAAGAGATTTTTTACCTTATTACGTTGTTGATTAAGTATGCTGTCAATGTCAATAAAATGAAAACAGTGCAGTAAAGAAAGGAAAGTATGAATGTAAATAATGAAAGTTATGAAGAAACAATAGATTATTTCTCATCTTCTAGTGATTTAATCATACTGATAGAGCCATTAAATAGCATTATCTATTAGCATTATAAGCTAGGATGGGGTAGTGGTCAGTAGGAGAGAGAGAGAGTAGCAAAATTTCAAAACCGTCAAACTGGTAGTTGAGGTTTTTTGGGTAAATGAAAATAATTTGCTCTCAGTAATGATATGAAAGGAAAAAATTATTTTTTTGTTCCCTAAAATTTTCCGTTTTCTTTGAAGGCAAAGAATCAGTAATATCTGCGATTAGTCATGTTGGCGATTGGGAAATCGGTGATCGCTGTCAGATTGGCGAAAGAGTGGGGAATATTGTATATATTGGACCAGCTAGGTTTGCACCAGGTGAATGGATAGGTATTGTTCTCGATCAACCACTTGGGAAAAATGATGGTTCTGTTGATGGACATCGATATTTTTCTGTAAGTGATGAATTTTTTGTTGGGAAAAATTTTAGATGTTTCATCTAACCGTATTCATCTTCCAAAAAAAGAAATGACATTAACATCTAGTAAACTGATGAATTCCTCAGGAATAAAAACGAAATCTTTCAGTGTGAACCGAAGCATGGATTATTTTGTAAAGCTAGTAAATTGGAACATGTACAGTCAACGAGTCTGTCAGCTGATACGTCACAAAATAATCCATTTTGCAAAGAATACGGGTGTGCAATTTGTGCTACTGTTTTTCTTCCCTTTGGAAACTTATAAATACTTATAATTTTCATCGATAGCCTCTCTAATGAAATGATTAAATATTTTGGCATTGTCAAGAGACAGCAGAGAAGGCAAGCTTAAATATGAAGAAAGGCCTTAACGTCTGTGGAGTGTAGTGAGATTCCATAAATCTAGGATTGGGAATTTAATAAGTTATATTATTTCCCAAGCCATAAATTACTAAAAAATAATTTGGTTTTTGTTCAAAATACTTGCTTGTTATTTAGGTTTGAGATTGGTGATCGAGTTATTGTATCGGGTGGTAAATATGGAAGATTGCGCTTTCTTGGAAACACGGATTTCAAAGACGGCGTTTGGGCTGGCATCGAGTTGGAGCAGCCAGTAGGAAAAAACGATGGCAGCGTTCAGGTATTTTAAAATTAATTATACTTTTATTCACAAATGATTATATATATATATATATATATATATTATTCTAATAAAATCTGTCAAATTTTAGGGTAAACGATATTTTACATGTAAAGCACCATATGGTTTATTTGCTGCCGCTTCAAAAGTTATTCGTGCGCCCGAACAAACTTCGGCTAAATTCAAGGTGTGTTTGGCATAGATTCTGTTTTGATATTTTCTAAATTATTGCATATATATGAACTTTGCAGTAAATTTTGCATATATACAAAATTTGCAGTAAATTTTGCATATATATAAAGTTTGCAGTATTGCCTTGTTGAGTTTTGCGCTGTGGTCGTTTTTCTTCAAATACATACATTCCATGACTTTTCTTTTCTCACATAATAGACATTCCTAATTATAAACATCGTGGTAGTCAGATGAACTGCATATATATACTGTTTTGTTAGTTAATGGTAACTTGGTGTTTACTTAAAATCAAGAGTAGTTCCAACTTGGTTATTAAAATCCTAAAAAATGTTTATGTTTATAAAAAATATGTGATGTAAAATTATGTTGACAAAATTCTTAGAAAATGTTTGGATTTAAATGTGTCGTCATCGTAAGCATAATATCTGTAAAATTTGTTTTATAGATTCGGCATACGAAAACGTCAGCATTACGGCAACGTTCAGGTAGCCACGAATCATTGTCGTCTATTGGTGCATCATCGGTTGCATCGTCACGAATTTCTAAATACAATTTTGCAACACCACGATCAGTCCACGTATGAATACTGTTCTGGTTTCGTTGGTTATCTTAAATTCTATACTGAAAACATATATAGCACATGAAGGTTTTGCTTTTTTAGAATAATAAGTGACGATCAAATGGAGAAAGATTAGGTTCTGGTCAACACAACACAGCACAAATTTTTGTACATTTAAATTATTTCACGTAAAACACACACATATACACTGTCGACTGAATGTTTTCTTGGTCTAGTTTTTGTTTAATGATTAAGAAGCAGTTAGAATGAACTAAAATTAAAATGAATAAAGATTTTAATGATTATTCAAATTTATTTATTTATTCAGTGCGGTAATGTCAGCTAAGGAAGTTTTGTAATTTTCAGAAATTGTACTATAAATTTAAATTAATTCGAAAAACTTGTGTATTATTCTGTATTATATGTATATAAACTTTCTCGCTTTACAGTTTTTTGAAAATTATTTGAAAAATTGCAGAGGCCATTTATTATTTCATCAGCTAGAGGTCAAGAAGATTTATTCAAAGCAATTCAGGTTAGTTAAAAAGATGACCGTTCTAGTTATTCAGTTTTTGCATCGAATTCCTTTACTTTCGGATAACTATTAATCCTGAACCATTCTTTTCTGGAATCTGTGATTTCTTTTTGTCCAACTCAAGAACGAAAAGAAAATTAAAACTTGTAATTTCTATCACTATCAATTTATAGGAGTCATTAAAAGAGAAGGAAACTCATTTGGAACAGGTAATAAGAGAACGTGATCTTGAACGAAATGAGATGGCAGCCTTGTCAAGCCGTTGCGAATTGGCAGAAGCAAAAGCAACACAACTCGAAAGTGCAAAAACTTTAGTCGATCAACAACTTGAAGCATTAAAAGTTATGTTAGATAAAAGTGAAGCTAAATTTAAAGTAGCAGATGGTACTGTTAACGATCTTACGATTCAGCTGAAGGAAAAGGAGGATGTAAGAATTTGTTTGCATAATTATTTTGATTTAGCAGAACAAAGGGGTTCACAAACTTGAGACATGATACGCTCATTTTTTGTTAATTCTTAATTATTTTAAGATTCAGTTCATAATATTTCCATATAACCGCACAAGTTATTAGGATATAATGTTGAGGATAGAGAATTGACTCATTAGTCTATAATTTTTAGCTTCTCTGTAATACATATTTATCAAAAAATTTGTTTAGCAGAAATAACTTGATAGGTAGTATGTTTCATTGGGAACTATAAAGTGTAAATTTGTGATATAAATTTGCAGGCTCTTGAAGATTTAACGTTTCGCTATGATGAGGAGACTATAATGAATGCTGAAATGGCGGAAAAAATTGCTGAGTTGGAAAAGAGAACTGTTGTTAAAGAAGTTGGTTCATGTATTGCCATGTCCAAAACTTTGATTTATTGTCACAATTTCAAATAATATTTTTATTTTAATTTAAATTTTTAAGAGCAGAAGTGAGGATACAACTAAATTATTGATGGACGAGGCAGAAAAAACCAAGTTACAATTGGAGGAATTGAGAAAACAGTGCTCCCGTATGTTGCGTCTCTTCTATATTGTGGAGTTATTATATTTTGAAAGTTTCATGTTTTATTTTGTAATATTAGAAGTTTTTTTTTTCTTTTTTTGGAATATTACACATTTTCAACATCTTTAGTTTTTGAACAAGAAAGGATTTCGGTGTGTTCTCAAATGAAAAACATATGGTCTGCTTTTAACGAAGATTTTTGGGAGGTATGTTATTCTCAGATGCGATTTTAAAACTTGGAATTTGAAGCATTATATTTGTTCACCCTTTTTAATATGCTGAATATTAGAAAACCCAGTAAATGTTTTTCAGTTAGCGAAACTTTTATCTCCTAATAATGCTGTGGGATGTATGAATAAAAGTGAAAAAGAAACTAGTGATGACAATTGTGATTTATCGAAGCAGTAAGTATTATACTTATTAAAAATTTTTTTATTTTATCAGAGATCATTCTTTACACATTTATTCAGGTTGGAAGCGAATATGAAAAAGTTGAGTAATTTGATAGGTCACAATAAAACAGTCAAAAAATCAGTACAAGAAAGGCTTGAAAGTGATAAAGAGGAAATAAAGAATTTGACTGCTCAGGTATCTAAATTGTATCAGAATAAATATAGAATATTATATTCTTATCTTTTTTTTTCTATAAATCATTTAGTGAATTTAATATGTAACTGAAAATTTTTGATGATGTTTTTTTACGTTAAATGAAACTTTTTGATAATTTTTCCCTTATCAGACATAATTCGATTTTGTGAAATTCTAGTTCGAATTAAATTTTAATTTTCAAGTTAATTTTTGATATCCAACTTTAGCTTGAAATATTGAAAAAATCAATGGATAACAAGGCAGCCAATATTTCACAAAAGGATGAAGAACTAACAGTATATCGGGCAACTGTGGATCAGCTAAGAAATGAGCTGGAAAAGTGAGATTTTCTGTAAAATTTTACAAGGTAGGCATAAGAATAAGGAAATACGAACAAAATAATCATTTTCTGATGAACATACATTTCGGAATTCTCTAGAGTTGAAAAAAGCAAAGCAAAATTGAAAGAAACATATGATGCATTAGAGATGTCGAATAATGCTCTGTTGACAAATTTCGATCACTTAAAAAGAAAGGACGCTGAAATGGTTGAAAAAGTAAGTAATGTTGATTCATGTAGTATATTTTTGTAACTGTAATATTTAACAAAATAAGTATGAACTATCTGGCACTTATAAAAAAGTGAATATTTTTTTATGTTTTCTTGGATTTCCGATTCTGGTTATTCAGGATAACTTTTAATTTAAATCTTATCATTAAATTACTGATGAATTTTTCTACAGTTCACTTTAGTTACTATGGCATGTTTACTTTTTTTGTGCAGACAGAGAATGAAAAGAAAGAACACAACACGGAAGTCAGCAGATTAAATGGGGAGCTGCGACAAGTACAAAACGATTCCATCCAATTACATGAACAGTTGAGAAAGTGAATTACTTTTAGCATTTTTTTTTTTATCACAGTATGTCAGTATTTGGAGCTTATCTTTTCTTTATGCTTTAAGAATTCTCAGTAAATCAACTGTTTGTATTTTAGGATGGAAATTGAGAAAGCGAAGTTAATGGAATTGCAAGAATCTCTGGAAAATAGCAATAGAGAATTTCTTACTAATACGAAGTCGTTAGAATCTCAAAAAATTGAATTGGAGGGAGAGGTTTTGAGAATTTTACATAATATACAGTTTAATTTTCAATATGTTTCTATATTTTACTTTTTAATAATCCTTTTGATGTTTTCATTCTTTAAGTTGAGACAGAAGGAATCAGAGAAAGAAATACTCAGGTCTTCTTTGACAAAGAAAGAGTCAGAACTTTCTTCGGCAAAGTCCAAACTCGATGAACTCAGTGGTCAAATTGATAAGTAAGTGATAGTCATTATTTTATCAAAGTGAAAAAGTTAATATTTTTATAATTTTTTCTTTTTTTAAATAAATTCATGAAGTACTTTAACAGGTTACTGTCATAAATACAAAATCTCTATCAATTGAATGCGTTTTAAACTGCAAATCTATTTTGTTTACAGACTTCGTGTCAGCCTTTATGAAGCAAGTTCCAGTGATGAAAGTCTCAAAAAAGAACTGGAATTACTTCGTGAAGAAAATAAAAAAGAAGCTGAAGCGCACATAATCGAGGTAAGAGCTTTTTTTTGAATTATAGTGGAATTCGAAGTTTTGCTATGACTCTAGGACCTAAAAAGATTATTCTTTTTTAGCAATATTTAATTCTTTTTTCATTTTCATTTTGTTATGCTTTATTATTATAGGCTTGTTATCTATTATTATAGGTGGCACAGCTACAAACAACCAATGAATCCCTCGAAAAGGATTTGTTAACAACTAGAAATAACGTTCAGAACCTGGAAAATATGCATGATGCTATGAAAAATACATTGGGAAAGTAAGGACAACGTTTTCTTTTTTTTTTCTCAATTACGGAAAATCTTTATATTTGCGATATTATTATCTAATTCTACTGTCGAATTTGAAGATGATCAATTTAATTATTATTTGCAAAAAACTTTTTCTATTTCCAGAACTCAATTTGAACTTGAGAAACTAAAGGAGGATCTTTCATTTTCACAACAAGAATTGATAGCTGAGCACGAAAAAGTAATCATTTCGTGGCCAAAGATATTTATTTTGAATCGTAGAGCACTTCCAAAATTCTTTATTATTATTTAAGGATCTATTTATAGTGTTATTTTTTGAGCGAACATTATTTTCTACATGTAATTTAATTATTAAGTTTCGGAATGAAATTATTTGGTCTTTATCAGGTTGCAAGATTGCAACAAGAAATAATTTCTCACGTTAGTGATATGGAACAATTGCAAAGGTTGCAAAGAGAAGAAGCTTCAAATCATGCTAAAATCAAATCTAGGTAGGAACTTTTTTACACATGTTAGGTTCTTTTGTGAAATATACATAATTCAAAAACTACTTATGCAAATTTCCACTTATTCTTTTCGGATTCGAAATGATTCATTTCAAAGAAACTCGTTCATATTTTGTTCAGTCTTCTTAGATTAATTGGTATGAAAAACATAAGGAAGCTTTCACAGCAGTTACTTGGAAGATGCTTGTGTGGGCAGACAAAAAAGTAGTTTTCTGCAGATCTGTTAATGGATTCTGAGGGCAAGAAAGTAGTGTTTCTATACGAATTCTTTATCTTATTGATCTCTAAGCTAAGTGTTATATCCCAGAGTTTAAGACAAGATAAGATTTTATTAAATATGAAGATTATGTCAGATTTCCATATATACTCGAACAGATTTTTTTCCCTACTCAGCATGCATCGATTTACACGTTACGTGTTACATTCAGCGTTACATTCAGTTCGATACTTCAGTAGTATAAATTTGGATTGGAATATAAGGAAGATAAGACGTGAGCATTTCATAACGAAGAAATTCGCATTCATAACCTAATAGAATCAATAAATAGACAGACTCACATCGGATTGCAATTGGTCAAATTTTCACATTTTTACCTTGTATTTACTGTGAAATGAATTTCATGCACTCATATTTTGTGTATTTACTGCAAAACTGTAGTGTTCGTTTTTCTAGTTTGTTTTCATCTTTGTTTAGCTCTTTTTTTTTTTTTATTTAATTAAAGGGAAAATGATCAAATTGGTTGATAGATTTTAAAAGAATTGATTCTTTTACAGATTAGAATCAGAGAATGATAGTGCATATCAAAAATTGCGTGATTTGGAAGCTGAAAAAGAAATCCTCTTGAAAGAAAAGGTCGAAATGCAGAAAGAAGTAATTTTTTGCTTTGAGAAAAAAATGATATATATATAATGAGTAACTCATTTCTTCGACTTGGAAATGTTTGCAAATCATAAGTTGGAATTTAATGGAATTTTTCTTTATAAGTATTGTGTGATCAACTGATGTCTTTCGGTCGGTCAAACTGCTGAGATTTTTCAAGATTTCTAATAATTTCTTTTTACTGTTTTAACGAAGAGTCATTTTGTTGCCTAACAGGAATAAATTTGTAGTATACAAAGGTAGAAGAACGTTACGAAGCATTGACGCAATCGTTAAAAGGTCGTGTTAGCCTGGATAGTGATTATAAAGAAAAGGTGCGGAAACTCGGAGCTGAACTGAAAAGGCTTGTTTCCTTATAATGGTCAATCATAAATCTTTTCCAGAATACATTTATATTTCATTTCTGATCATTCATTTCAGTATAACAGAATGTTTGAGCACAGTTGATTGCAAAGGCGGATCTTTGGAAGAAAAAATCGGTAATTTGTTGGAAGAAAGAATCCAGCTGGTGGATGCAGAAAAGAAGTTGGTTGGTGGAAATTTTATAAATTCGAAATATTCAATTTTAGCCTTACTAATTAAATTAACCAGTGTTTTGTGTTTTGGATTTCAGAAGGTGGAAATTGAAAGGTTGATGGCTGAAAAAGAAAATCAAGCATTTGATTTGACAGTGACTACCGAGAAATTATCTGAGCTTAAACAGGAATACAATACACTTGCTGCTTCACTGAATAAGTTTGTTTATTCATTTTGAATTGATAAATTTATAGTAACATACTCAACTAATGCCAGGGTTGAGTCAAAACCTTTTCACATTATTGATGTGATAACGGATAATGTTAGATTGTTTTATATATGTCTCCAGAGGTCTTCAAATAAACCAAATATGTCTTCAAATAAACCAAAGGTCATTACTACCGTAGAAGGGGAAGCTGCTGAATGCATTTTAGCATTTGATACTGTTAAGCACGTGGATTTGACACTTAATACTACTAGTGTCTTTTGGAATTCCTATATATAGTTACTTACATTTGCCTATACTTAACTCGTTTAGCTATATTCTGCATACTTTTCTTGTTATTTTTAAGTTGTAACAGTATCAAAAGATGTGCTAAATGTTGAATTAAAGGTGAGAATTAACTTTTCAAATTTTACTAGGATAAACGAATCCTTAGGAAAGTTTTATATTGGTGATTCTGGTCATTTAGTTTTTTGGTCAGTTGATATTGCATTATAGTTAATATTGCAATTAACTTTATATGTCTTTTTTTTTTTTTTTTTTTTTTTGGAGTTAATTATATGAAGAAAATAAACCATCAGATATTTAAATTACTTGAAATTATATTAATTTCAAAGTTTATTCAAGATTAGAAAAGGAACGAAACGATAAAGATGCCGAATTGAATGTTTTGAGGACGGAAATGATGAAGATTAATGATGAAAACAAAAACAAGGATGAGATCATAAATTTACTGAAAGCAAAGGTAAATATATTTGCTCATTTGGATAATATCATATATACATTTTTAGAGTTGAAATTTCCAAATGTTTAAAAACAATGTGAATCACTACCACTATTTTTTGTACAGATTATGAGTAAGAAAGAAAACGAGAGTTAAGCTTAAAATTTCCCAACTTATAGTGTATTCTTGATAAAAATTTCGCAAATGGTTATATGATTATCCAAAAAGTGGTCATTTTAGTTGATGGAATACCTAACTTCAGTATTCCTATCTTTATTTTCTGCTAATTTTAACTTATTTATAGCATGGTACCAGTACTGTGGATTTGACACAAAACGAACAATATGAAAAGGAGATTGACGCTTTGAAAGAAGGAAAGAACCAAGCTATCAGTCAGATTAATTCACTGAAGTTAGAGGTATTTCAACTGTAACTTCGTTAAAGAATTGTAAACAACATACTTTTTTTTTTGTTTTCCATAGGTTTAATCATCGAAAACCTAACAGATGAGTTTAATATTTTTTGATTATTCGCTGTGTAAATTTTTAAAGGGTTTAGTTACGTCAAGCATACAGTCTCGTTATCATGTACGATAACTTGTATGCTGATATTTTATCCAATTAGATTTACAAAAAAATTCCAAACATATATGCTAAAAAAAAAAAAAAAAAAACATATTTGGTCATAAAATGGCTGGCTTTTGTATAAAAAGCTTTGTATTTATCAATTCAGGTACTTGAGCTGTTGAAGAGACAGGCAGAAAATGAAGGAATCGTTTCAGAAGCAAAACAGCGGAGGTCGGTTTTGTTGCTAGTCTTTCTTTTTTGTATTTGATGTTTTTGCATTTTGATCTGAACTAGTTTGTTACAGTGCTTTATTTGTCGATCTTGAAGAAGAATGGAAAAAGAAGGAAGATGCATATAAACAGGAAATACAAAAATTGAAGGTAGCAGTGGGTAAAACAGAAACTGACAAAATTGAAGAAATGAAACGTGATGTAAGTAAGCAGAAAAAAATTTTGATTACTACTTAATAAATCATTTGTCTGCTATACTTATAGGAAAGAACAGTTAATGTTAATAAGAAAGAATAGTTAATGTTAATTGGGTGAGATGAAATAATAAAATCAGTGATTTACCACACTTTCCTATTAAATTCTTTGGAATTATATCTTATGGAAATTTAATCTTTTTCATTTTAAAATGCTGTTGGAAGTTTATTGCTTTGCTTTTAATAATATATAAATTTTGCAGATATCGTTTCTCAATTCTATTATAGCAGAGCAATACAAGAAAGAGAAAGATTTGAACGAACAAATCGCAATTCTCAATTCGCTGCCCGCAAATGAAATGTAAATTGCATTTTGTAAATAAGATACACAGAAATAAAAAAAATTAAAAATAGCAGTAAAGGGAATATTCCAAGTTTATAAATTTTGGTTATGTTACAAGATGCAAGATGCTTTCTTTTTTAAGATGCTTTCTACAAGATGCTTTCTTTTTTAAAAAAGTGATTGAATTTGATTTTGTATTAAGTTCGAAGTCTTTCTATATTATCATACAACGGGTATTTTTGATCCAAAGCTTGGTTATTTGAGTAATGGGATATAGCTTCAATTTTAGTAGACGATTTTTTTTGTCGGCCTATTAAATTTTGTTTTACTCATAATACTTGATCTCGTTTGCTTTACCGTTTATTTCGAGCTTTCAATTTGAATTTTCGCAATGAGAGTTTAATTTATGTTTTCTCTACTCCATTTATTTGCTGCTACATTTACTTAGTAATTAAAACTTTTAACTGATTAAAATTAAATGTTCAGAATGACGGAACTTCAACGTAAAACTACAGACGACATCCCACTACGCTTATATTGTGATATATGTGAAGTATTCGATTTGCACGATACCACTGATTGTCCAACACAAGCAATGGATATGGAAGAAGAGACAGTTCGGAAGAAAAACAAGAGGGGCAAGCCACCAGCCCGACCTTATTGTGAACACTGTGAAGGTAAGATGCGATATATCTTGGCTTTTTTATTTCTTTTCAAACAAATTTTCATTGAATAAATATTTTCGGTTTGTATACTTTGTTTTAAACCCATCTTCAGTAACTTTGATCAATTTCTTTTTTCAACTCTTATTTCAGAATTTGGACATGGTGTAAGTAATTGCTCAAAAGTGCAAACTGAAAAGCCAAAATCAAAAGATTATACATTTTAATTAGATCACTTCTGGATTGTGTAACAGATCATTTCGGGTTGCTCAACTGTATATGAATTTGCAGTTCTTACTTAACCAGTTCTGTGCTAGCTATATTATTAATTGATGATATGTTTTCCATTTTTTCCTAATTTTTCCATTTTTTCTGGAAATTTTCCATTTTTTTAGACTGATTTGTTGAAGGCTTATTATAAAACAGAAAAAGATTAGTTTGTAAATTACTGAAACATCTTCATAAAGTTTTACGTATATGATTTTATTCTTTTTTACTACTTATTCGATGTGGCCTTTATACACACACTTAGGTATTGCTAGTGATATTTCTCATGAGCTTCAGTTGTATTATTTTCTTTTCATAATTTCATAATTTATCATGATTTAAAATTTATTTTTCTCTTTCTTGTAGATAGAAATTTTCATATATATATTGATTTTAGAAATATGTGGTGATCAGTTTTTGTATGCTTGATAATTGCTAAGGTTGTAATATATTCCCTATCTTTCGACAAATTTTGATCTTTTTTTGGGACTTAATTTCAGAACTGACCAAACGACTTCTATAGTGAGTGTATGCTAATCGTAATGCTTCATAATTTTCTCAATTTCAGTTATGTCTTTGAATGCTTAAAAAATGCATACCACATCGCAGCTATTCTTCATGCATATATGCAATAATTGATCACTACTAATTCTGTGTCTTCATGCTATAAAAAGGTATTTGTAAACTTCAAATGTACATACCTTCGTATGATAATTTAAAATACTTAAATTAATGTCAATGAAATCTCTATTGAAACTTTATGTTTCTTTTTCAGGCTTTATTGAATACTCGCTTACATTATTTTCAGGTTCTTAGTTAAAATATAGTAGTGAGCCGTCGTATTTCTATTTTGTAATGTATTTTTTTTCTTTTTTTTTTTAGTTTTTGCCTTGTATTGTTTACCTTCTATATATAATTTTCCATTTTTGAATTTAGAATTGATCCGAAAATTATGTGCTGAAGTTTTATTTAAATGAGATAAACTTGCAAGTATAAAAAAGAGGAAAAAATGCATCGTTCTACAGTAACATTTAACTGAATAATAAGAAAGCAGAAATGAAAAATGTTTCCCATTTTAATACAAACTTTCGTCTTTGAATAAATTTAACAATTACGACTAAATGATTTGAAAAATAGCATAGTCAATAGTTCCATACACTGGTCATATTGATAGCAAATGTTCAGAAAAAGACGTAAGACCTACTCTAAAATGACGGTCCAGGCTTATTTGTAACAAAAACAAATTTGAATATCTGAATTCTCAGCAATGCGTAGGCTAACGTCGAGTATGAGTAATACTATTTTGCTGATTAACTTATTAAATGAATTAAACATAGATTTTATCATTTGCTAAAGGATAGTGCCAGTATTTCATATGATGCATCTGCTCATCTCATATCTTTTTGATATCAAATATGGCAGATTGTAATAACATTTATTCGTAGCTGTGTTGCATTTAGTTGAAAAAAAGAAGAAATCATGCAAGTTAGATCATAAAAAATAAAAAAAAAAGCTGCGAATTAATTATTAAAAGCTCTTTTCTTTTTAATTTCTTATAAATATAATATTATTGTCTTAGATGTATTACATTTTTCTATGCTCATAATAAATAACACTGGAGAATAAGTTAAATGCACATCCGACACTAATACTACATTTCAGTGCGATAATAACAATAATAATGATAGTATAATAATGAATTAGTTAACCTCAAAAATTAGTTTAATTACTTAAATATTACTCATGAGACTTAACGTAACGATCATATGCTTCCTGGGTTGGATCACTGGTTTCGATGGTACCATAATTTGCATTTGTCACAGATGTTTGATTGAATGCATCGGTTAGTTTACTTTCACCATGATGCAGCGGTAACCCTTGAGGTGCTAGAAAAAGAATAATTATTAATGAATTTAAACAAGTAGGTATTCTGTTATTTTTTTATTTAATCTGTTGCATATCATTGAAAGCTTAAAAGGTAACAGTTATCTTTTCATTATCAGTTTGTTCTATTTTTATTGAATGACAACAAAATCGAAAGATTCTAATAATATTAATAATAAAAGATGATAATAATAGTAATAATAAATAATAATAATAATTAATAATGATAACCTTAAAAGAGCATAATAAATTCAAAATCAAAGGATTTCAAATCCAAATTGTAAATAAATTAAAAAATAAAATAAATCGTACCAACAGGCATGTCATCATCATCGTCAAATTCATGACTGTATTTAATATTATCATATTTAAGCAATCGATTCATTCCATAATGTATGCTTAATACAAGTATTGCAATTATTGAATAAATCTGAAATGTTAGCCGTGTACCTGAAATATAGATTAATTAATATGTAAATTTGACAACTTAAATTAGAATATATTACTAGCAATAAAGACTGAAATTATAATATTAAGACTGCAGTTTTATTAGATGATTATTATTGTCACATTTAACAATACTTTTAATTTCTTTGATAAGATTTTTGGAAAAAATTTTTTTGAATTAAAAAAAAAATATAGAAAAATCATTCTATAAAGTCAATAAATAATGTATATAACATATTACCGACAGATTTAATAATGCAACCGCCAATAATACTCCCAAATCCTTTTCCAATGCCATGATAAAGGAGCATTAGAACAGTTTGCGCTGTTCGTTTCAGTTGAGATGGCGCAATTAGTGAAATGTATGATGATGCAGATGCCCATGTTGTTGCTAAAGTTAAGCCTGAAAATTTTAATTTCAGTATCTCTTCATTTTATGAATTATGAAAAAAAAAAAAAACTTTTCAGACTTTATGATGCGATTGTTTCATTTAAAATTTAGTTAACCGCACAATATAATATGAAAATTTACGTTAATTAATGAATTTAAAAGAATATGTAAGACAACTTTTAATTAAATGTATTGACATTTCAAAAAAAAAAAAAAAAGGAGATAACCTTGCAATATTTGTAATGGAAGTACCATCCATGGATTTGTGAGTAAACTAATTATGAAGAAACGAATTACATTAACTAATAAACAAATATTTATCAGCTGTAATTGAAGCAATTAGAGTGGCAATGTTTTGTAAAATTGTTCAAAAAGATACGATAGCATTTTTCGGAATTATTGTTTAAATTTATGATTATGATAATTATTATATGAATTATTGATGAAAAACTAATGTTATCTTAGTATTTTTCATCATTTTTTTTTCTCATAATTTTATTTTTTTTATTTTATTTTTTTCTCATTATTCTTTTATCTCATTTATTTTTATTTAAATTTTATTTTATTCTTTTTATTGATTCATTTGTTGTAGTCAAATTATTATCATATTTTAATGATTTCTTGCTAATATTTTGTCGTCTTCTTTTAATCAATGCTGTTTGTTTATTTTACCTTAACATGGCCAAATTTATTGATCAAATGAAAGCAATAAAAATGGGCGGTAATTTCGGTTCCATGGTTGACAACTGATGCAAAACCAAATAAAATAGGTGAACCACCAAAGTCCTGCAATAATTGTTCAATGTTTCAACTAAACTAATTAAATTATTAGTGCAGTTTAGTAGTGAAACACAAAAATTTGTAAACAATAATAGTAGTATTGTCAAATAACGAAAATTTCGTGATTTTTCCAGTATCCATAAGGCATATTTACTGTATAAATGACGTAGACGTCGATTTTCACGCAACTTCACGCTACAAATTAAATGGCTTTTCGTGTACACTGATGATTAGAAAAATTATTGCAGATAAAATTTCACATTATAACTGATTTCACTTTTGTCTCCAATATCTTTTAATACTATATTAAAAAATATATTTGAGTAAAAACAGATAAAAATATGTTTGAGCTTTGTCTAATAAATAAACATCAAATTTTTGGAAAAATTATTTTTCCGAATGTTTTTTTCTTTAATTTTTTTTTTTTTAAAGGAACGAAAAATTTGTTCTTCGAACTTGTAGATGCCAGAAGAGAAAAGCGAAAATGATTCCGGCACCAAAACCGATCGTTGTAACCGCCAATAGATAAAATGCCGCATGGCCACGAAACAATGCTTTGATAGTTGGAATCCATTGCGCATTACCTTCCGAATGTTCCAACTTCAATGAGATATGATAACGCAGATAAGAAATTAATGACAAAAAAAAATTGAATAATTTATTTTTGGACAATAAAAATTGATAAATGGAAGTAATGGGTGATGGACAGTTTTTAAATTTATTCTTGAAACAATTTAAAAATTATAAATGAGGAAAAAAATCGAAAAATTAAGAAGTAAACAAAAAATCTAAAAAATTGGTCCTTTTTCTTGATCTTGAATAAAACTTAAAATATACCTGCAACTGCCTTACTCGAGCTTTTTCTGCCACTGCTGGAGCAATTTCATCAATTCGTGTTTCGATTACACTACAAGCTGCTTCATCCGGACGTTGTTCTTTACCAAAGCGAAATTGCGTGGCTCAAAAAAATTCAGTGAAATTTTTATGAATTTTAATGGCATTTTGCAAAAAAAAAAAAGAAAAAAAAAATGAAATTTACAATCCAAATTATGATTTAAAAAATTACTGAGAAAAGGTAAACAGTTCTACTATTCTTCCATTCATTTCTTTTTCTTTCATTAAAATTTCATTAGATTGCAATTTCTGTTTTTTTTACCAACAAGCATTGCAGCAAGCATAAACAGTGAATATGCGACAAAGCATAATGTATAGTTCTTTTCGGTAGTATTCTTCGTTGGACACGGATGATTCCGGAAGGTTTCCGAATAATCTAGACCAATGCCCATAATAAACATTGCCAAACCCCAGCCAAAACTTCCAAAAAGCCGAATTGTACCAAACTACAAGAAAGAAAGAAAAAATTAAAACTTTTCAATATATATATATATATATATGTGTGTGAAATAATTAATAATTAGGGTGAAAAATTTTTTTGAAACAAAAAGGAAGAAAGTTGAGGGCGAAAATTTAATTCCATTTAATAAAGATGTCAATTAATAAAAAATGGATGTTTTGAGAAATATGATGCCAATTTCAGATTTATTTAAAACATTTCATAGTAGAAATTACAGTATTCATTTTGATTTTTTATATTTTTCAAGGAAATAAATCTAGTGTACTTTAAATTATCATAAAAATTTCTGTATATGTCATTGGTAACACATTAGTAGTTACTTATAAATATAGTAAAGAATAAAATTCTAAAAGAAAAATAGTGTAATACCTGTTTTGGATTATCGGATACATAAGTTAATGTGACGCTATCCGCTAAAGCAAGACTTGGTGAACTAAAAAATTCACCCAAAATGACAAGCAGCAGTAGAAGAAGAAAAACCTAAAAATCGTTCCACATAACTTATATTTCATGATAATTCGAATTGAAAAAAAGAAAGATATTAAATTTTGATTTTAAATCAATTTTTTTCCTTTTGCTTAGTTTCTTTGCAAAATGACATTAAAAAAAAAACAATAGATAATTGAATTATTTTAGAGAGAAAATTTTTTGACAATTAATTTTTAAATGTAAAATTTATGACCTTTTTTTAAGAAAACCTTTCTAACAATCTTTAAGAAAATTTCTTTCATTATTTAGGAACAACATAGTTTCTATAGGTAATAAATACATGTAATTTCATAAATTTTGAAACAGATTTTAGGAAAAAATAATTGGAAGAAGAGATAAAAGTACGAATGAAGAAGAAGGAAAGACAAACATAAAGGAAAAAAATGAAATGGAAGGATTATATCATCTTCTTTGCAATAAAAAATTATGAGAATTACTCGAATTAATGATAATTTTTTTCAAACTATTTAAGTAATTCAATAAGACCAATTTAATTACTAACTTTTTTTTTACTCTTTTGTCTTCATTTCAATCTATTAATTCATTACCATAGCAAATATCAATGTATTACTGTAACGAAAATAGTACACTTACTTGCTCCACAGCTGGTTTACGGTAAACTCGTGTACTGTGTGGTGGACTAACTAAAACACCGTACAAGTCTTCATCATAATTGCATACCTGTAATAGATGTAAACTCAAGCAAAGGTTTAAACTACTTAGTAATCAAAGGCAACTCTGTTTATTCTGCTAATTATCGCATAAACTTATTTGTTGTCAATAAAATAAATACCAAATTGGCTCACCAAACTAAGCTGTAATCTTATGAAAAATGAATTGAAGTGTTTCTTGTTATTATTGTAAGTATAAGATACAATTTACTGTGTAACATATGCCAAGCTTATCAGTATTAATTTATTGGTATTTGAATTAAAATATCCCAGAAATACACGCATCAATTTGTAATTAATTTTCTTTTTCATTAGTATAATAGAATAAATTTTGTAAAAATTTAAACAATTTTACAGACTGTAATAAAATACATTGCAAAAAATTTATCGTATATGTGACATAACTCTGATATGTGAGATAATCGCTGGTTACCTGATCTTTTGTTAAAGCAAGCGGTGAAAGACCCGGTACAACATCATCTTCCTTGTTGTAGGAGCTTAGATCAATAATTGTCTCGAGGATAGCTACAAATAAATAATTCTTTTTTAAGAATAAATTTTTTCAAAATTTTGAAAAGAAGCTGAAATTAAGCAAACAAAGCAAAAAATCGAAAAGCAAAAAGAAACTGTTATAAATTTTATTAAATTAAATATGTTATGAAATCATAGTCAATTAATTCCGATTAAAATATTGCTTAAATCGATAAAATAAAAAGCGATCTGATTGTTGACGCATTTATTTAGGTGTAAATAATGCATAGCTGAAATGAGAAAGTTCTCTATTTTACTAATAAAGGATTTATATAACTAGTTCTATAAAGTTAATTCATTTTAAGACTTAAATTTAACAAAATCTGTAAATATTTTTCAAATTTAATCTATTATTATATCACATGAATTTGTGCTTCTTTTGTTTTTGATGGATATCAATATTTTTCAGTTACTTACGAGGGGCACTCCGTTTTTTTCGGCCAATTCCGGTTGCTTTTTTCAGATAACCCAATGCGCCACCTCGAATAGTTTGTCCAGCCGGTTCAAGGTAAAAACACTTTGTAGTTACATTTACTGGCTTTACCACACAATATGGTGTCAACGGTTGGACAAATCCAATGGCTAATGTTGATATGATAAATGAAGCTAATGAAAATTCCAGAAGTAATTTTCCCTGCAGTTAAAGAAAAAAAAACTTTTCTGTTTTCAAATGAACTTTGTTATTTATCTTCTTTCAAATTCTTGATAGTTGAAAAATCCGTTAAGTTGCTAAAATCAAAATTTAATTTGGGGTTTTAAAATTGAAATTCATTTTTTTCTCAGTATGAATGTTTTTTGTTTCATGGCATATTTTGACGATAAGTGAGAAATTCATATTGATAACTGAAAATTTGACTGAAAATTTGTATGTCAATATTTATATTGAAATTTAACCAAGAAAAAAAGTTCGTAAAGTTCAATTTTTTTTTCAGAGAAAACAAAAAAAAAAAAAAAAAAGCAAGAAAGAAATCGGAAGAAAGAAATTGAAAATTAGTAAAATTGCATTATTTAGTAATTAAATTTTGAGAGACAGAAGTTGAAGCACTGATCAATAAAGAATTTTCGATATTAAGGAAATGACGAGGATAATGAAATACTTCAAGTACTTAATGGAAAAGGACTTAGTCAAGAAATATCATTTCTCAATAGACATGTGCTGAAGAAAAATGTTAGTTAAAAACAACCGCAAAAAAAAAAAAAATTTATTGCAAATTATTTCAAATATAGTCGGAGCATTTCACGCTAGCACTAATCTTAAAGTAAATCTCTCTCAATGTCCTTTCATTATATTATTTTTTTATATTATTATAATATTACTATAACATTATTATTATTATTGTTGTTATCGCTGTTATTATTATCATTGTTTATTGATTAACTTATTTTCTATCAAAGTAATTAATTAAAATAAGAATACCTGAATAAGACATTAAATATATTCATTTATTTACCTTCCTGAATTTATTGGCAAAACTGCTCCAAAACGGACGTGCGGCAAATTCAACCAGTGGTCGTGCACCGAGCAAAAAACCCGCCTGTGAGGCATTCATTCCTAGTTGCTTGAAATAAATAGCCAACAAAGGAAATAATGAGCCAAATGAAGCAAAATAAAAGATATAAAATAGCCTGGCGATAATCAGATCACGTTGGTACTCATAGCCAAAAATACGGATAACACGTGAAGTAGTAGTATTAGTATCAGTATCAGTATTAGTATTAAAATGATTATAACCGCCACTTTGTTCCATTTTTCTAACTTTGTTGTCGCTTTCTTTTTTCCTTCTTTCTTTTTCTTCGTTTTCGTTTTTTCTTCCCTTTTACTCAATTCATTTGATTATTATTAGCACAGAATATCCCAATATAAATATGAAAGCAAGCGATAGATAGATATATAGCTAGTCTAAACTTAACATTACCATTCATCGATTTTTGCGCATATTGAAAAGCATTTTGGCTTCTTCCCACTTTCTATCCTTTGGGCGGTAGTTTCGAAAAGATTTTTCTGGCCAAAGGTTTTATCCAATAAGAAATGAATGAAAGAGGAAAATTGAAATATGCATGATGTGGCATTTAAAGAGTAGAAGAAAGAGGAGGAAGAGGAAAACAGAAAAGGATAAAATGAATCTCCTCCTTGCTATTCTATGTTATGTTTGATTCGTCTTTTTCTTCTCCTAAATATTTTCTTCTGATGTTTTGCTAAAAGAAGTTTTGAAAAGAAAAGAAAAACGTAAAGCTTTAAAGCATAAAAGGGATGCTTACTGAGAAAAAGAGAAAAAGAAAAAAAAATCCTTCTGCACTTTTTCCAAAAATCAGAATGAAATTATTTCCGTTATAATTATAACTTTTTATTTATTTAAACTCCAACTATCAATGAAAAAAAAATATATATATCCCCAGGAAAGTTTATCATAAGTAAAAAAAAAAAAAAGAAAAAAGATGATTAGATGAAATATTTTGTTGGATGCATAAACGAAGGAGATATAAGACGAAAAAAAAAAAGGAAATGCACAACGTCTAGATTTCGGATTATATGAAAAACGAAAAACAGCTTAATCAATTTATTCGAAAATATATTATGCTAGCACTTTAGAAGAACTTCATTTCATTCATTTCTAATTTATGAATTTCATCCCTTTCCACAATACCTCAATGAATTCATTTAATAATTTATAAAGTAAATATTATAATGTAATGTAATTAATCGCTTATGACAGCATTTATCAGCAAAGGTTGCATCAAGATTGTTGGTGCTAAACATGACATCAAGATTGCTGGTGCTAAACATGACATCAAGATTGCTGGTGCTAAACATGACATCAAGATTGCTGGTGCTAAACATGACATCAAGATTGCTGGTGCTAAACAGGACATCAAGATTGTTGGTGCTAAACATGACATCAAGATTGTTGGTGCTAAACATGACATCAAGATTGCTGGTGCTGTCGGAAAAACTAAATTACAACAATCCGTAGACATTCCTTGGATAAATGTTCCAATGTTACGAAGAAATCATTTATCTAATATTCATCATCAATTTATCTGAGCTTACTTGCATTGTTATAAACAAAGAATACGTATTGGAATTTCACTAATTAGATTGTTTACAATTATCAGTTCTTTCATTATTTAGTTGAATTCGTTTGTTGTTTGTCTTTCCTTACTAACTGCAAATTCTATTAGAATTTCATGAGGGTAACAACACTTTGATTAGCTGACCTCTGCTGTGGTATTGTAATTCATGTGAGGAGTTATAACCTTAATTGGGTTAGATTTTTTTGGATTACACTCTTATAACTATCTCTACGTCAATAAAATGAAGATTGATCAAATGGAGCCTTCTTTATAAAGCAACAACTATTCGGTTTTGCAATCTATTCGAATTAGCCATATTTTACGATAACAATTATTTCTCGTCAAGGTGAAGTATGTTTGAAACGTTGTAATCTAACTTTATTAGATCGAAAACTTCCACATAAATTTAGACAGCAATAGGTGATCAAATTGCAGATTATCAATGAAATGATCAAATGTTTCGATTATTATACTGATATGCTCGAAAAAATTGTTCAAAAATGGCAGATCTCATCAGAGTACGACAATCGCAAAAAAAGAAAGTTGAAGGAAATAAAGCAAAAATGAATTCTTTTTGTACCAAAAATGGTTGAAAATTTAAGATACAAGGTATTTCAATTTAATAGCTAACGAAAGGTAAGCCATTATTACTCTAAAAATATATAGCGAAGGCTATAAAGTAATACTTCAAAAATAAGGAAGGAATTGGAGAGTTAACCTTAAATGGAAGGGTGGAAGCACAGTTACTACTTTCAACATTTAGTGGTGATTCAAGAATGTGGAGATAATTTTGGAGCAGCTGCAATGTAGCTAGCTTTTGATGATCAGATATTCAGAAACTGAATTACCTGATGTCTTGTCTTAAAGAGACTTAACTAACAGAGAAGTATGGCAGACCTTTCACATAACGAAGTCACTTTACCTTATCAACAAGGACCACTGAAAAAGGAAATTGTCACATTTATCCAACGCTTATGCTCCGTAAAGTGACTGCAAAAAATAGAAACTTTGTTGTTTTTTTTGAAACTTTCTTGTACTGTAATGGTTCGAATATAACAAATTTACATAGTTAGTAGCTTGCAGTAACGAGAATCTGGATTCCACTACTATCATAAATTTAGTCATCTAAGATAAAAGGTAAAGAAGTAATTCAACAAAGGGTATTAACGCTATTTGACGTTGGCTTACAATCATCCTTTGTATCGAAGCAATTAATGAGAAGGAGCGAAAAGAGAAAAATTGAAACTTTTATCATTTTGTAACAAAGTTCCAAAATCATGTTGGACTTCAGAAGTAAAAATTTGGAATCCAAAATTACAACTACTTGTTAATTACTTAACAGAAAAACTCCAACTAATTAAATCAAGCCATCATGATTCTCCACGTATGACATCTCAAGAACAGCTAGACGTGATAGGAGTTCACTACTTCTTTGATTTCATGTTGCCAAATCAAAATGATGTAAGGCTTTACGTAATCCTTGCAAAAGTTTGTCCTACAATAACTTGGACATTGTTATATCATTATGATAACGACCAAATCAAATTTGATAACGCATCTGTCCAAACTAAATCAATGAATGTAAACAGTGTCACTACAACTCCAGAAATAAATCATTTCTGGAAACTAGAACTCATAGGTATTCAGGAACAATCTAGTACTCATAATGACGAACAAGCGCTGAAGTATTTCAAAGAAACTATTATTAAACAAAACAATACCTTAGCCTTGGAAAGATTCAAATGTTAGTCTAAATGATAAATATTAATTAGACGCTTGGAATAAATAAGTAAAAACGATAAAGAAAAGTGGAGATCTCTGATGACGTGAACAGATGTAAAGGAACTGCCACGAGAGCAAACGTAACTCCATGTCATCACAAATACATCAACTTGGCCTATTCTGCAGCCATATGGCTATACGCGTAGCCATGGCATTCAAAGAATTCAAATGTCTTCGATATTTCCGAATTGCACCAATTAAAGGTAACACTATACTCTCCGATCAGAATTATTTGCAATATTTATTATATGGAGTAAAAGCAGCTCATTTTGTAATAAATCAATTTAGAGCTCAACAATATCGGTCATTTTATGGTCAGATTCTAAGTGTGCACTACAGTGAGTCGAGAGTAGCTCTCAACTGCTACAGAACTTTGTACAAAATCGAGTAGAAGAAATAAGAACAGCAACAAAGGGATTCTCTCCGACAAAACTTGGAAAATAAGGATCAATAAAAAATTGTATGGACTCTTAAGTCCAAATCTCATGGCTAAAATCTTTATTAACAATAAAAGGTCAAGTTACAACAGATGATTACAAATTAGCTAGAAAGATATTGATTAGACAAGCGCAACTGGAAGAAATAAATCAATGGATAAAGGAAATTGCTATTTGAAATCCAAAAGGTGATTGGACATAATTGAACTTTTCATACAAAAACAGCACGAGGAACTATATCATACCGGAATTGCCCATACTTTCGAAATCGAGAACAGAATTCTAGAACCTAAGGTAGAACAGAAATTAAGCGAGTATTGAACAAATGTATGGGTTCTCCCGGTCACGTCGAATCTTCCGGACTCGAATCATATGCTCTCGATTATTCACAAAGTTTGGATTAGATTATATAGGTCTTTTTTCTATCAGACTGAAACTGTCATAATTAAAAATGGCTGATTCTTTTTATATTCCAATTAGTTTCCCAGACCATTGCGGAACAAATTAAAAGATTTCCTAGCAAATAAAGGAATGAATGATTCGGAAGAACACTGTACCAACAGTTTCACAGAGTGGAAGAGTTTATGAGAATAATTCGAAAAGTCAAGAACTAATGAGAAAAGCCATTGGAAGTTCTCTTTTTTGTTATATCTGGCAGAGCAATCTCTCTCAGAAGAACTGAAAATTGCATTACCACCATGGAACATTTAAAGAAGAACAAATTTTTCACGGATAATTGAAATTAAGCGCAAAAAGAAGTGTTACGTTAGTAGGACAACAGCTCCCCAAATTAGTATAACTGCCATCGTTTGTATATTACACAACAAAACCGCCGTACAAAGAGTGCCATAAGCATTCCGAAAATGTGAATTTGTGATTGTGATATGAAGTGATAAGCCATTGCTGATAATAATATCCCTTCCCTCTTCTCTCTCCCTTCCCCCCCCCCCCCCCCCAAAAAAAAAAAAAAAAAAAAACTGATACAAGTGATTTATTTATGAATGATCTCATAAAAACTTTAAAAAAGTTCAATGTTCTTCACATATAAAAGGATAAACGAAAATCAAATTTACTAAAAAGCAAAAATCGAATTTATTCCGGTAATATAAAGTAATATTAAAGTATGTCTTTACATTGAATTCAACGAATGTCATTAAAATTTTCAAAATCAAAAACCAATCAAGAAATCGGAAAGAAATGATTGATTCAAAAAAAAGAAAAAAAAAAAAGTTCTACACAACGAAAATTGAATTTAGATTTACGGTATGACACAAAAATGAAGTAAATCCATATGTACAAATAAATAATTCATTGCTTTTTTGGCAGACTTTTTATTAATTTTAAAATCTTGAAGGGAAATGCAGCACTGATTTGAATTCCTTTCAGACTTCTTACATTCAATGTAATTTATCAATAATAAGTTTACAAGATTACACTGATCGATCGTTGAATACAATTTAATAATACACTCATTGATTTTTCAACTTAGAATAAGTTAATATTAACAATGCATATATTGAAATAATATTTTTTTAAATTTTAGATTATAAATGGATGAATTTATGCATAAACTTTAGTAAAAATAAGGATGAATGAATGGCTGAAGGAAAAGTATGAAAACTTTAAGTATTATTATGTCAAAAGATGAGAGACTGAGGTAAGAATAAAAGCACACTGAGAGTTTCTGATGCCATTTATCGCAATTTATACAGTTTTAACATTCACATCCAAATATCATAATTTTATTTCAATCCAACATTAGCAAATTAAATTTCAAAATTATTAATTTTTTAATTTTCCATTAAAGCAGGTGGTCATTATTGCTTAACTGAAAAATCCTTGTCATCTCTCAATAAACAAATTGAAAAACTGCATTTTAATTATGTGCTGGATGTTATTACATTACAAATAGGTACGTATTTTTCATTTCAAAACCACTTCACTCTTTCACTAAAGTCGTTAATGACTTGCGAGAAAATATTTAAAGTTGGAATTTTTAAGCGATATAAAATGGTTGGCTGAGTTTTACGGTCCAACTAGTGCTTATAATCTGGAATTAATTAACTCTGCATCGTTCCATGTTTTGTCCGTAAATCCCTTACTTGATAGTTGATAGTCATTTCAAGTGGTTTAAGTCTTCGTTCCGTGTCTGTGTGTGTATTTCAGTAGTATATCGAATATTTATTTGTAGTTAAATCATCATACGAGGTGTTCATCTACTAATATTTCATTCTCCATGTAATCTTGTTTACATATATTGCGTTGAAATTCTTTGAAAACAATAAAAACTTAAAATCCAGCATTTCAAATATTTAGTCACATCTAGGCTACTCTTGGGCTATTTCCTAGCATTTATATTTTTACTTCAATGAATTGAGATTTCGAGAATTTTAGATTAGAGATTTCGTTGTTCGTCGTACATAATCAATAGATAAACAAATATCAACAGTGATCATATCAGTAGTGATCAAAAAAACCACAGCAAATTGGCCATCTTAGATTTTCTACTATTAATTTTAAAAACTAAATCATTTCACTAATTTTCAGAATAGCTTTTTAGTGTGTATATTCTATTGATTTTAAAATAACTTTAACCCAAATATGAATCAATTTATTTCAGATCAAGTATATAAGAATTCATTGTGAAAAGAAGAAAAACAACAACAGGAAATGATCCGTATACGAAAAGTTCAGGTATGAATCTATTGCATGTTCAGGTGTGAATCTATTGCATGTTCAGGTATTTATTGAGTTTATTGAGGATTTAGTCGAAGAGAAACGACGAATGTAAGTATATATCGAGGATAGATGGTGTAGTAGAAGACCGATTGATGCAAATTGAAATGAGCGTTTAATTAAGTGAGTGTCACATGAAAATGGCATTGTTCAATTACTTATTCACTTTATTTCAGTGTATTTTGATAAAATCATTGTTGAACGGATGAAACAGACAGTTACCATCAAAAATGTGCAAATGTTGTCAAAGTCACTTCTAATGAAAAGGAAAATTTTGTATTGTTTATCATTATGATTTGAAAGAGTTTAAACAATGAAATTAGTCATTATTGAAATTACAGGTGGGTTGTGGTGCACGATTAGATCAACCCGAACGTTACCCAAAAAATATGTTTTGTCTCATGCAAAAATGCTGAAAGCACCCTTATGACATGAAACAAATAAGCTCAAATTGAAGGGCTTAAAGTTTTTAAATTTAAAAAAGAACTTAAATGGTAACTTAAGAAGTACTTTTTGAAGACTTAACTTTGCCTATATGCTCTGAGGTCCTGAAATAACTTCAAGAATGTGAAACTTTTCAAAGATTATTTGGAAGGTAAAGTAAGAAGAAAAAACAAAACAAAGATGACCGAATTAACAAACTATGAAAGATGAAAAAAATTTTGCTGAGGAATATTTGAAGAGAAATCGAAAAAATGAAAATAATTATTGAAATCAAAAAATTGTAAGGTAAAATTGCAAGATTGCGCGTAATTAATTATGGTTCGATGTCATCGACTACAGAAGAAAATCGATAAAATTATCCAAAAGACAAAATATCGAGAAGAATGGATGACTAATAAAGAATGCTCGGGAATTCGAGCAGATCTGCAATTGAAAATCTCTTAAAGCAAAGGAAGGATTGGTTCAACGAATAAAGTTCATCTCTGTAATCTTATTATTTCTTCTTTTCCAAGTTGATAGATTTTACAAAAGCTTAGAATAAATTATAGGAAGATATTAAATTTGCTGATAACGATTCTATTATTCATTGCAATCTAAGTGTTAAATGAAAATTTTTACAATTAGAAGATTGAAGATTTCAGTGCTTTCAGTACTTCGGTAATCAAACAAAATTAAATTTCATTTATGCAATAACCTAATATTTTTTTTGTTGTACAAATGTATAAATGATATTTGTCAAAATATTATCTTTCCCATTGATGCTGAATGAATGAATGAATGATTTCTTTGCTTGCATATCGTCTATTTTACATTATTTTTTAGAAATATTTTTTTTTTCATATTTAACAATAAATTTTTAAGAACTAAAACCAAGTAGAATGATAAGACAAATAAGAATGGTCACAAAAAAACGAATTGCAAAAACCGTATCCAGAATACTGAAATTATTCTTCGGTTCAGTTATTGACATCTGCCATCAAAGAAAGGGAGTTATTTATTATTTTAAGGACTGTCAGAGTGTCACTGAATTCTTTTTGGTTTTTAATTCATCTGATATACAGTGTTAGCTTTTGTATTAAAATTAGTTTGCATTAATTAAGGAGTGTACTACTGAACCGTTGCGCTTCTCGGTTAAATATGATTTGAGGAATCTTAGAGATCTCATAAATATACCTGAAAGCAGTTTTACCTGAAGGCATTTATTTGAAGGATTGATGATAAGTAAATCTTCAGTGTGACACTATGAGTGTGTAAAAATTTAATTGCAGGGTTGGAGTTAAGATAAAAAGTCTAAAGGAAAATTGAAACAAACTGTCAAAACATGAAAGATTTGATTTTAGGCAAAAAGTCTTTCATTTTATCGATGAGTTCAAGTTAATTGACTTCAAGCATAATAATTTCAAATAATAATTATTCATATCAGCGCTCACTGAAAACCCATAATCATAGGCATACGAAGTGACAGGGATTTATTGATTTTTTCTTATCAAAACTTTAAGGGGGGGAAAGGTCAGAAATTCAAAGTTTATTTTCAAAAAGATTAAGAAAAGAAATGAAAAAGTTTTTGATGTGATTATATGTTTAACATTGGAATTTTCATAATCAAACTAATAGATTAATTTAAAAAATAAGCAAAGAGAAGAATAGTAATGATTAGATCTTTCTAGAACTGATATGATCATGTGAAAAGATCACTGAAGTATGATTGTCCGTATCATAGATTGAAGCAGAAAATGAACAAAATTAATTTTAGATTACTCAGGATATCAAGAGATAAAAAATTGATTAATTGTGCGGCGAAAATAATCGATTAAAGGGATTATTTCTTCATCTGATAATTTTTCATTCATTTATTAGCGATATATTTCTGCTCTAAATTAAATATATAAATTTGGAAAAAATATTAGGAACTTAACAGGTGGGTATTTTTCGCAGCTAAAATGATTTTTTTGTCGGATCGATTGATATAATATATTCGACACATAATTATGCCGGAGTATTGCAATGAATGAAAGTTTAAATTTCAAGTGTAAAAATTATTTGGATATGTGAGCAAATTACACTCTAAAATTTTCAGTGAAATTTTTGTTAGCAGTGTATCACCTGGCATTAGTCATAATAAAGGACGAAAAAGTAATAATTTAAGGTTTCTGAAAAAAGCAGTGCTATTGATACCATAATTTGCATAAATTATAGATCAAAGTAATTAAGATATTTGAACTGTCTGCTTGCATCATAATTTTGCATTCAGTTTTTTGCACATCATAATTTTGCATTTTCCTTCCGGATCCGTAACTTTCCTTCGGATTCGCTTAATGTTGTTATCGTTGACATATTCCTTAATCCATAGAACAGAAACTTTCTTTCCCAGATGATAAAAGTGACGCCAATTAAAGGTTAGAATAACAAATCTGTAATATTGTATGACTATTTCCATACTGACACATTGTCACCTATTGCAAGAAACAGAAAAAAATTTTTTGAACGATTTAAACATGTCTTTCTAGCACTTCAAAGCCATCACTTCTAAAATAATATTTAATTAGAGAAGCAACGAATAAGAAAGATTTAATCATTTTGAAATATTTCTTAACTAAAATTTGAGATTTCTACCATTCAATTTTTTTCTGTTTTGTTACCATTTGTGCTTCCAATTTTCTTATAATAATTTGAATTAAATGAAAAAAAAAAATCAAAAATAACAAATCTAATTATTTCTTGGGAGACAAAAGTGAACGTCAAAAAATTTTTTCTATAACTTTTAAATTTCACATAGACATTGGCAATTGAAATACATTCAAAACTAATTAGTTTTTCAGGTGCATCCAAAAGTTCAAAAATAGAATCTGAAAGACTTTTCAGTTTTATTTCTTATTACTAATCAATTCATTAAATGGCTCATCTTTTCATGATACTATTCAATGTAATAATACTAACAGATTTACTGATACAGGTAATAATCATCGCTTTTATCAGTTGAGTTAATCAGTTGAAATGAAACGAAGGAAAAAATACCTCACTTTATTGAATTAGTAATGAAATTTCTTACCCTTCTAAAGCATGTGCCATTTCCCAAGAAATTGTACACACCATAAATACTACCCACTTATTAGTTGATAAGTAATCACCGAAAAAAAAGATAATGGAAGATACAATTATCACAATTCCAATAATAAAAGTCTGAAATTTTAGCAATAAATTTTATTTATCTTAAAACGTAAATTAGATATTAAATTTAAAAATCAGATTTTATAGAGTTAAAATATCATTAAGAAATTTGATGCTATAAGGTCATTTAAATGAAACAAGTTGTCTTAGCAACATTAAAAGAGGTGTCGATATACAATTTACTTATACGCGATACTTATTACTTACACTTGGCTAACTTTTCATATAAAATTTCTAATTTTTAATTTTGCTATACCCATTGCCTTACTTGTTTAAAAAATAAGAGATCGAGTTTACGCCGCCCAGTAAAATTGTTTCTCATCATTGGAACTGTTTTTAACTGAAAAGATTAGAAAATGTTTAGTTCAAACCATTAGCAATGCTTAGAATATGCAAAACAAATTTCACTCAAAACTTTTAATTAGATATAAAGTAGAATGTTACACAATTTAAATATAGCACAAAACTGAATCATTTCATCCATTTTATCTGAATGCTAATGAAATGACTTTGAGGTGAAAGTGTCATCCACTTGGAATCATACGAATTCATTTGATAAATTAAACTTCAAATAATTACTTTTAATCCTACTTTATAGTGATTCCGCATTTTGATAAACGTTGCAAAATTGATACATCCCATTATCACTGAAGATGATGTAACTATTATTACATCAAAAACGGAATTGAATTGTCCACAGGTTGTGTCGGAATAAGTCCAACAGTAATTCAATTTCGCATTAAAAATGGGAGTACACGGTCCTGTAAAGCTCTAATATGGATTAAGTGTGTCTCGAACTTTGAGATTTTTGAGTTTTGATTTTAATGAACTCTTTTGATTAATCGATAAACTATTTTGTCTCTATGATAATATACTCAAAGAATACCGAGAATATTTGGAAGACACGGTAGAAATCCAAGAAGATAGGCAATAATTCCTGCTCGACGAGCTTTCGGTATAGACCAGAAATTGTGATATTTTAAAGGATATGCAAGTGCGCAATATCGATTCATTGTAATTAACAAATTCACTACTACCGCCCCGTAAAGTGACACATTTGCCAAACATCCGGGAATTAAAGCAATGGAAGATGTTGGTGATGATAATTCTCGAGAATGCCTGAAATTACGATTGATTCAACAGGTTCTATTAGTAGTTGTCAAATTAAAATTCCGATTTGTTTTCACGGATAATTGAAATTAAGCGCAAAAAGAAGTGTTACGTTAGTAGGACAACAGCTCCCCAAATTAGTATAACTGCTATCGTTTGTATATTACACAACAAAACCGCCGTACAAAGAGTGCCATAAGCATTCCGAAAATGTGAATTTGTGATTGTGATATGAAGTGATAAGCCATTGCTGATAAAGCCAAACAATGATACCTGCAAAAAGAAAAGTTAGTGTAAGTAAAATTAATTGCGTCACACTGATTCGATTGATTAATAGTATAATGGACATAATTTGGCTTTTAAAATCTTCAAGAAATCTTCAGAAAATGAATAAATAATTTAAAAGCAAACTTACTACAACAATACAAAATAGTGCGAACATATCTTCCACATAACTTGGCTCTACGATTGTCATTAAATTTTTTGAAATCAGCAAATTAATCTGAAAGAAATTTAAAAAAATACCAATCCTTTTTTTTTTTTTTAAATTCATTCTTTTTTATTTTCTAACATTTTTTTTCAGTTACAATAATAATAATTTTAATACAGTTTTAGACCTCTCACATTCATTGTAACTTATAAATAATAAATTTACAAAATTGCATCTCATATTTGACCATTCAATACAATTTAATCATACACTCATTGATTTTTCAATCCAAATTTTAGGTCACAAATAGATAAATTTATGCATGAACTTTGGTAATATTCAAGTATTATGCCAAAAGGTGAGAGAATGAGAAGAAATTGAAAAGACACTGAGAGTTCCTGATGGACTGAGAGTTCTTGATAGACTGAGATTCCTGGTGTACTCTAGCTTATGTATTCTGTCTTCTAGCAAAATTTTTAAATAGTGTTTATGCTTTTTCTTCAGTCAATCACTTACTTTTGATTATAAATTCATATATAAGTTTATCCATTTACAATTTAAAATTTAGAAAAATTTTTTCAAAATAAACATTGTTTATAATCAGTTATTCTCATTTGAAAAGTTAATGACATTGGCAGCACATATTATTAATTTATATTCAACGATTGGAAAAGAATGCAAAGAATACGAAACGATGAAAAGCGACGGAAAGTTACTCAAATTTTAAAATTCTCGTCTCGTCTTGATTGCGAATAGAAAGTTATCATTTACGATAACTTTAAATATAACCGATTGTAATAACAAGCTAACATATGGTGAATTAAATTTAAATCAATCGTAAATTTATTTAATAACCTTTAAGATTTAAAATTTATGAGATCAAAATTTTTAATTAAAATTGTCTTTATTGAATCGTATTTATGTCTAAATTGTTATTATTACTCAAACATTTCCTCATTTATCGTCTCATCACAATTAATTCATTCAGCTTGAAATTCAATTTATATTTATATTATTTTTCATATTTTTAATTGCATGTCAAACTGGAATGGTTGAACTTTAATACAGTTAGACAGGAAAAGTATAAGTAAATAGTAATAAATAGAAAGTAAATTAAATATTCTTTGAATCACATGGAAAAGCAGCAAAATTGAGGAATGATTGTTTGAGAGAATTATTTATGAAAAAAATTAAACTGCTCAACCGTTCAGTGCAGCGCATTTGTAAACATCCTTACGGATGATGGCAGATAATTCAGTTCGATCACATATTAACAAATTAATTCGAGGAAATGAATTATGATTTAAAATTTATATATATAAGCATGCTAATGTATATATAAATATACTGCATTTTATTATATTGCAACAATCTTAGTTCATTTCATTTTTAATGCTCTAAATACAAATATCAATGCTCAAAATATTTCCTCAAAATGCTTTAAAGATATTGAAAAGTTTTAATCATTAGGAATTGAAGGACAGTTTGTTAGCTTTTCTAAATTGTTTAATTGATCTAATTAAAAATTATTTTTGCTATTGGATATTTTAACTTTGAAAAAGAAAAAGGAACAAATTTATTCAATTTAAATCTAAAAAAAAAAAAAAAAAAAAAAAAAAAAACAAAGATTCAATTTCTGCAAGAGCTATAAAATTAATGCATTTTACATTAATAAAAGTATCATCTACTGAAAGCAAACATATTTCAATTTCTGCATTTCTTATTTTAACTCTCTGCTAAAGTAGCATGACATTCTCACACTTTTCCTATAATTTTTGTTTTTATAGCTCTTTTCTCATTAATCTAAAGAATTAATTATTGTCTTTGGTGACATAGCAGTATACTCTTTCACGTAGATACTTATGAAAACTGAAGTATTACTAGTAGTTATGCAATGAAAGCCAAAGTTATTTTGATGGGAATGCTTGCAGAATGCAAGTAATGAAGAATGCAGAATGCAAGTTGAAGTAGAAATTAAAGATCGTGAAACTTTTTCAAAATCAATCAAAGAAAAGACGAAATGACTTGTAGAAAAATTATTCCTTGTTTAAACTGGTATGAATTTGGACTGCCAGATTTAAAATTAGCTATACATTTATATGTTAGGCAAGTGTATAACTGTATAACATCGTTGAAAATTTTTTCATATATTTAAATATTTTTAAAAAAATCATCTCTCTCAAAATATAATTTTAATTTCAATTTTTTTTTTTTTGATCTTTATTAAATTTTTTGAAAAAACAGAATACAACTTTCAAAGGCTTTCTACGTAATTTCCTTAAAGTTCTTTAAGAGCAAACACTTTTTTTTGGCTTATTATATTTTGGACTATTTTTTTTTCTGTCTTTTACTACTTTCTCTTCTTAAAAACGTTTCCTGAAAAGGAAATTAATATTGCCATTCTTTCATTTTTATTTTTATTTTTTAATTTTGCAGATAGCACTGTTAAAGTCGTAATTCTTTCCCACTTCTCATAAATACAAGCATTTTTAGTAATTGTAATCACATAAGTCAATTCACTCTGCCATAATAAAGAACTAACATCAATTCTTAGGTTTTAAATCTCTTTTAAAAAAGTCAAACTTTAAATGCAATCTGCATGATACAGATTTTTGTAATAACTCTCTGGATGATTTCATCTTGTTGCGAGTTAAAGAGTTAAATGGACTGATACTACAATTCTGAATTATTATTCAGAGATGAAGTGACATTGCACATACAACATAACTACTGATCCCATTTCGATGAAGCTAAGATTTCAGATGAAACGAATAAAATGATTTAGAGAGTTATGGGAGTTAAAACTGTTATTTGGAAAGATAGAATTCTGTGATTTTATCTGATTTAGGTCCGATGGTTTACTGGAACTAACTATTTCTGTCAATGAAACAATTGTTATTTCGTTGTTCTTGTCGGTTTTCTCGTAATAATACAGGTAAAATATTTAAAAGTACAGGTAAGCTAGCACATGTAATCATGTAGAAGGACCAGGAAATGCAACAGATATGAGAAAGTATTTAAATTGCACATTCAGTTTACAAAGATAGATGAAACCATTTAAATTTGATTTATACCGCAAAGGAATTACTGATCATAGCGATCAGCAAAGAAATGAATGCATACAGATGTAAAGTTAATGTGACAGGAAATTTCAACTTGACAAAGCGCTAAAATTTCATTGAAAAGTTATGTTCTGTAGTAAGTTCCTTAATGAAGCTAAGAGCAGAAGATATCTTTGTCACAGGTGTATGAATAATGTATGAAATTATTGTATTGTGATTCATTTAAACTGTACTTACACTATTCTCTTTTGTTCATTAATTTTTGATGGAATGTTAAAAGGAATAAAATTTAATATAAAATTCATTTAATTAAAAAACTATTATATGTTATTTTATTCATTGTGACTAATATTTTCCGTTAGTTGTCATATTTCTTTAATCGGCCATCACAATTCTTCACTTCTACTATTTATTTTATCGGAGACTTTTCATCTTATCGACGTTTGTAAAAATCGATCAGATGTACATTCTGCTGAAATTTAAATAAAAAACATCATCAAACTCTTTCAAAAAAAAAAAAGATCCAAATTTAGTTTGTAGAAAGTCATAATGAAATATCGTAATAAAACTAAATGTTTTATGTTCGTCTTAATAAATCTCAAATATACGACTTATGATAATGAATTTTGTTGAAAAATACAAAAGGATTCTTTTCAAAAATTTGATATTAAGCATTTTTCAAAAAAGAAATGAAAATCATTTTGTATATGTAAAGTTAATGTGACACTATCAGTGACCTTCTGTTAGAATTCGAATCCATTTGAATAGCAAACACTCACTTTTTTTTTGTTTTCCTTTTTGCTCACTGTGTAACTTTCGATCATTTCACTGTTTCGTTTTTTTTTTTTTTTTTTTTTGAATACTTTTTCCGGTTTTCTTTTATAAAAAATAATTTGACTAAAATATCAGCAATTTTTCAACCATTTAATCAAGCAATAAACCTCAAATTCAATCGATACTGTCATCGTTCTTTCAGTAAATTAAGAAAAAAAAAATTAAACTCAAAAATTAATTTCAAATGAATTACATAGATTAAATAAACACTCCTTTCAATAAATTCAAAAAAATTACTTCAGTGATGACATTAGCATAATAAATAATGAAGACAGCAAAAAATTCAACAATGGCCATTAATTAATTAACAGTAGTAATAAATAATAATAATAATAGCAATAATATAATAGTAACAGTAAAAATAAAAATACTAATAACAATAATAATAGCAATAATATAATAGTAACAGTAAAAATAAAAATACTAATAACAATAATAATAGCAATAATATAATAGTAACAGTAAAAATAAAAATACTAATAACAATAATAATAGCAATAATATAATAGTAACAGTAAAAATAAAAATACTAATAACAATAATAATAGCAATAATATAATAGTAACAGTAAAAATAAAAATACTAATAACAATAATAATAGCAATAATATAATAGTAACAGTAAAAATAAAAATACTAATAACAATAATAATTGGCAATGTAGCTGCAATAGTAAAAATGCGGGAATTTTTTCATTTAAATTTCGTTGCATTTATTATGGGAGAATGCGATCTGGGAGTGTCTCGTTGGTGGTACTACGATTGTTCAGAACTTTCATTATTTCCAATTTTTCCAAGAATTACTGAAGTATTGCAGATCTATTGCAACCAACAAGGTTATTCTAGATTTTTGAATGATATTTTTTTAGAATAATTGATTCATTTGAAAACTTTTGTTTAATCATTTCTAAATTCTTCATTTATGCAATCGGTCTATGCACAATATGTTGATTAGTTGAAAGAAGAAAGGAAGAGAGAGGCAAAGAAAGATCCACTAGATTTTTACTTGTTAGATTATAAGAGTAATATAATTTAACTTAGAGAAAGATGAGGTATTGAATCATTGTGCTTTGTAGGATTCGGTCTGTTGGTACTGGTGCTTGAGAGTCCTTAAGAATAAGACTTTTTTACTTTGCGAAATTGGTGTTTGGATAGTTCACTATTCAATTAGGATTGCTCGAATCTGATTCTCTGTTGAATTTTAACTGCTATTCTTGCAATTCCATCAATTCTTCAGGTGCTTACTTTTAGTTGGCATTTCACGAGTTCTTTGTAAGTTCTTTCTCTCATGAATGATGCTTTTGGAGCAGTTGTTCTTATTTATTAATTGTGTTTTTAGAGTAAAATAATTATGGAAACCGATGTCGTGGAAGATAACATTAAAGTAGTCGTCAGGATGCGACCTCCTCTTGCAAGGTTTCGAATTAAGTAAATAAGTAGTCTTTGTTTGAGGTTATTTTTGAAGGTAAATGAAATCCTTCGCGAAAATATTTTAAAGCTTTTCTACATAGAGTTTACTTTTTTACTGTGTGAAAAAATGATGTCACTTGAAGGCATCTTAAGGACATCATGTGCATTTATTTTGTAGGGAATCAGCAAGAGTATATTGGAAGGTTATCGATGATCATACTATTGTTGATGGAGAAGAGAAAAGCTACACGTTTGGTAAATCGTTTTCATTTGAAATTCAAGATTATTTAAGGAATTCGTAGATTGTAAAGTTTCTGATCATATGATATACACTCGCCATTAGATTATAGTTGGTTTGCAAAGGATAGATTATATCGCTGATTTACTTGAACGAATCTGTAAACTTTGAAAATAAGCAGATTTTGACTTATCGAGAAAAATTTGTTCAAGACAAATCAGTTTGAATATTTCTATAAGTAAATCAAAAAAAAATTTTTTTCTTTTTAAATTGTGCTTTCCAGATCAGGTATATCGTGAAATAGATCGAACACAAGATGTGTTTGTTAATTCAGCAAAAGATGTAGTGGAATCAGCTATGGCTGGTTATAACGGAACTCTATTTGCCTATGGGCAAACTGCATCTGGTAAAACATACACAATGTTTGGTACAGATAATTCAGATGGCATTGTTCAAATGGCACTCGATACAATTTTTGCAAAGATCTTGGAAGTAAGTTTTGAACGAGACATAAATGAAGCAAAATGTAACTTTTTTTTGGGCAAAAGGATGCGAGGTGTTGTTCTCTATTTTCATTGATAGAGTTACTGTAGAACTGGATGTTAAACATTATTGCAGTTTTAAAATTCGTAACTAGCACTTGTTTTTGTTACCTTACTATAGTAAGGCTTGTATTTCTAATTTACTGAAGGATATAGGCTATTAAATATGGCCTTTTTTGTAATGTAAGGCAAGACATCTAATTACAACGAATCAACATTTTTCGACAAAACACCACAGAAAAAATTCGAAATTCAGGGAAGCGGTAAACGGTATATGTTACGCATATCATGTGTTGAAATTTATAACGAAAAAGTAAGAGATTTGCTATCTAATTCGATCGCCGATTTACCGATAAAAGAATTCAAAGAAAAAATCGTAGTGGACGGTCTGCGAGAAGAAGTTATTGTTTGCAAAGATGGTGTCGCAATGCTGATCCAACGAGCATTTGGTACAATTTCCTTTTTTTTATTTTTTTTAAGTAAATTGAACCGAAAAAAATCTAGAAATTAGCTCCAAATACATTATCAAAGTGAAATACTATTTGTTTTCTTTATTGGCATAACTTTATTTTTTCCCAAATGCCAAGAACCAGCAGATAAATTAAGTGCATAAACGAAAGTAATAATGATAACTTCTAATATGACCTTTTGAATTGTTAGTCTGTTATGTCACTAGAAAACGCAGTGCACCTTTTCGTTTTCTTATTAATCTCTTTGGGTTTTGTTTCATACTAAATTATAACAGTAAGGTTTCAGGTATTTCTAAATAAGATGAAGTAAAAAAAAAAAAAAAAAGTTGATCGAATGATATTTAGAAGGTTTTATTTTAGCAAATCGTGTAACTGGTGAAACTGCTCTTAATGAACGTTCATCACGATCACATGTCATTCTTCGCTTTGTAATCGAATGCTACGACGATGCTGTTGCCTCGAATTCTTCTTCTTATATTTCATTTCTAGTAAGTTCATAATAACTTATTTGAAATAATATAGACATATAGTGCAATGAAACTTTAAAAATGTTAAATGCTTCGGATGTGACAAATTTCAGAATGTGGTGGATTTAGCCGGTAGTGAAAGTGCGAAACATTCGGGAGGGGATGGCGATCGTTTAAAAGAAAGCGGTAAAATAAACACCAGTCTCTTGGCTCTACAAAAAGTTATAAATCAATTAAGTGAAAAAGGGTAAGTTGGATGACATTATTGGTTAACGAAATTACAAAAAATCATTTCTTTTCATTGAATTATAAATCCTTTTTATACGAGTATCCAAGTATAAAAATTAGGAAATACACATTTATAGGTATCGTTTTAAAAAGAGCAAATATTTCTTGGTTTGTCTTTTTTCCAATCATAACCAATTTAGGAATGGTCATGTCAGCTTCCGCGATTCCAAGTTAACACGTTTATTGAAAAATTCATTGGGTGGTAACGCACGAACGTTAATAATCTGCACCGCTTCACCCACCGAGGTTACGCAAACCTTACAAACGCTCAGGGTTAGTTTGAATTCAGCTGTTAACGAAAATTCCATTTTAGGTAACTTTTCCGGAAATGTTTCTGAAAAAAGACTTGGATTATAGTTTGCCGCAAGTGCAAAGAATATCAAGAATAAACCACGGAAAAATTGGAATACTGAAGGATTGCTAACCCAATATATTCAGACCATTGAACGCCTGAAGGCTGAATTAGAGGTAATTTTTTCTTATAAATATAGGTCGAATTTTTTCAGCCCAAAATTTAGTCTTAAATAACTATTCTCTCTCACAGCTGTTTTATGGACAATTTTCAGGAAAATCGAAAAAACGAAACTGCAGAGCTTGAATTAATAAACAAAAACATTGAATTAAGCAAGGAAGTCGAACGTTTAAGAAAATGTATTCTTTCAAGTCGAGTACTTCCACAATCTATTCAAGTAAGTTATTTTTGAGTGGAGTTCTAATATCAATAGATAAGCTTAGAAGCCTTTGAATAAAGTTATTTTGGAAAAATGCAAGATTTAACATCTCGAAGATTCGAATTAAAATTTTAGAAAGATAACGATCGTCGTGCGCGAAGACAAACGTGGGGTGGTAACTGGGCTCGTCCAGGTACGGATTTGCTTCTGCCATGTGCGAATTCACCTCCTAACGTTCAGTTGCACGAGGTAAATCCATTGCAATAATTTGTATTGTCGATTTGGAAATAAGGAAACTAGTCAGTTTAAATTTTAGAATCTTGTTGTGGCGGGATTAAAAGATAGTGCTGTTGATGAAATATCAGAGCAACAAGATACAGCAACGTTTTATGATGCATCAGTCGTAGCATTTACGACTTTAAGAGTAAGCTTCCAAGATTTTTTCATGTTCAGTTTCCTTATTTTTCTAACTTTTCAACCAGTGTTATATTTCACATTCAAAAATTCAAACTTACACTTTACTGTTCTATCATCCGAATTATATTCAGCTCGATGATGACGAAGCAGATACCGTGACTGATGATTTTCAAGTATCAAATCAGGATGTTAATCAAGTAAGAGAAAATGAATCCATGGTCACAACTGATGACGAGATTGAGAATCAGCAGTCACCTACGACAAACCACAGTGCTGAAGATGAGAAGCTATCTATCGGAAACTCCACAATTGATCAGAAAATAAGTGAGGATGATTCGCCAAGTTGTGGTGAAAACGAAGACATCGAGAGTATACAATCGAGTCCATTGAATGAATTGTATGTTTCTCTGTTTTCTTTAGAATTTATCAGCAATATATCTCTTTAGAATTTATCAACAGTATACGTAGTAATTCGAAATTCAACTTTCATTTCAGTAAAAAGAAAGTAAATCATTTGGAAGCTACGGTTGATGAACTGAAAGCAGAAAATGAGGTAAACTTTTCTTTTTCATTTTTCTCTTGAAGTTTTCGTTATAGTTACAATTTTAAATTCATCTTTTAATTTTTCTATGCTTCATAAAATTTTTAATTGTAGAATCTAAAGGAAGAATTGCGCTGCAGAAATCGGGATATAAGTTGGTTGGAGAAGCAGTGTGATGATGCCGACAGTAAAGAAACAGAATTAAGGGAGCAAGTATACGAAACGCAGAAAATCAATGAAGAAAATGTAAGTATTCGTGAATACGAATAGCAGTTATTTTTGACAACAATCCTTATAAGGTTTCATCTGTTTTCAAGATGAAGTGTAACGCTGTTTTGAATAAAAGCTGCAATAGTTAGAGTAAGGGTGGAATTGGCACATTATGTTTACTTTCAAAAACTACGTTCCGCTGAGTATTATGCAACTCAAACTTACGGATACGACCATTGTTTGCAGTTATTGGTAATTGCGGCACTTCGAAATGAGATTGTACAGATGAAGGATTCAATGATGGCTTCCGATGCTGTAGATATTCAAAATAAGGAAAACTTATTTCGTTTAGAAAATGAAATTCAAAAGAAGGAAAAGGAGTAAGTTCATGTTTTCCAGTTCTACAAACTTTTTCTAAGAATCGAAAAAGGGGATTGTCACATATGTATGTAATTATTGCTACTGTGATACTGTACTAACTCTACCCTTGATCTTGATAGTAAGATTTTCTGTAATATATCACTATTAAGGATGATGAATCCGAAGAGCAGTTACAATGGCAATAATTACATATATTGTCGTAGCATCCTCAAATCACTTTATTAGTGCCATGTATACATTTCGTCCCATTCACCTTAAGTTATTACAAGTATCAATATAACTATCAATAATCATAACTTTTAGGGCACGTGAGATGAAAGGAGAGATTGCTTCAAAGGACCGAAAAATTAGCGGGTTATTATTGGAATTACGTCGGGTAACGAATAAACAGGAATGCAGTAAGTAATTTAAGATTTTACAATGCTGCTTTGGAAACAGTGAAATACTACCATCAAATTTCCTCTATATGACAAAAAAAAGTGAAGGGGAGTAAAATAAAGGCTTTAGCGTTTGTAAACTTAATAATATATTAACAACTTGAATGCAGTAGCGTTGTCGAGAAAACGGTAAGTATAACTTTTATTGTGGTGTTTTTTTCTTTTTAGTGATATAATTAGATGATGGGAAAAGAATGTAAAATTCATATTTTTGATCAAAAAGCTAACCGTTCTTTCCAGTGGCAGAAAAAGCGCGATTTGGAGAAAATGATAATGACAGCATATCATCCAAACCAGCCAACTGTACTAACGCCCAAATGAAATCAAAAAATCGATATGCCATAAAAGTAGATTCGTCACAATCGACACCAGTAAAAAATTATCCGGAATGCACAACTCAGTGATCAGTGATTCCTCATTTATGTACATTTATGAATTTAATGACAGGGGATTGAAGCAAGAAAAAAGAGCAGGAATGATGGAAAGTGGGGTTTATGTGAATTTTAGCTTTTTCTAAACAGAATTTGAATTTGTAATGCTTTCGGTATCCTTTGCTCATTTATAAATTGGTACATTGAATATCCTAAGTGTTTTAATAGACCAATAAAAGAAATAGATATTCGGCTTATTAACGAATTAAATTTTTTTTTTATTCAGAAGAAATGACTTAAAACGAAGCAATTCCATTTGAAATATTTCTCCTTTCAACATTTTTAAAATGTGTAATGCTAACTGAGTAAAATATATGTGTACAATAATTAATAAAATTTACATAGTATTAATAAGTTTCTCTGTTCAACAGCTTCTCTTCCAACGAAATTTTCTAAACTTATTCCTAGAAGTTGGAAGAAATCCATTTCTGAACTCAATCTTAGCTTCTATCGACAACTTCAGATACATATTTGCTTCATTTTCTAAACAGCTTATGACTGAACTGAAGCACTGCGCGTTCTAGTTTATTCTAACGAGAGAATGGTAGCAATATGAAATATAATGGAAATAGTTATTGCAGAATGTTAAGTGTCACCTTTCGAAACACTAGGGAAATCACGTAACACAGTTCGGAATTTAACTATCAAAAACTACTGGTGAAATAAAGTGAGCGGCAAGGAATGAGGTTGAGATTTAACGAATTTCATAGTTGACTTAGTTTTTAAGCCGATTTTTGAAAGTGTTTAGATAATTTGATTTCTGTACGTTCTCATTGGATAAAATTTTATTGCGGTATGAGCAAATTCGTCTGTGCACTTGTTTCACTTTTACAATTTGTGGTGAATTGCATTTGTTAACTTTCAGGACTATATTTGAATTAATTAAGAAAAACACGGCATACAATGAATGATGATGATGAACCAGAAGGTTATACATGGGAAGTGGATTATGCGGATGGTATAATTATTAAATATTTTGTTATTTGAATCAGCTTAATATGCATCTATTTTAGATTATATGCAGCAGATTTTTTTTTTTCACTTAGAAATAACTTAGTATTGACAATTGTGCGGTCTAAAGTTGACCAGATGGGAAATAATTCAATATTTGCAAATTGCAGGATTGAATATTCGAGATGTATTACGTGAAGATGAGAGTGGTTCAATTGAGAAATCGGTGGCTAAATTGATACTTGATGCAAAGCGGAAAAAACGTCTTAACAATAGACCGGCTAAAGTTCGCTTGGGAATTGTAAGTGAATTTATATTATAATTTTTTTTGATCCTAAAATTTACGATCATCTGATGTTTTAATAAAATGGGTAATTTTATAGATGCGTTATGTGTATCTAGTCATTGATTGCTCATTTTCAATGGCCGATAAATCAATACAACCATCCCGTCTTGCTGTTACAATTAAGGTAGTCTTCTTAATAACTTCGATTATTTTGTTATTGTAAGGAAAATTTTGACTGTTTGCACACTGTCTTATTCCTCATAAATAAGACATTTGTAAGTACAAAAATAAATATATTCCGTATTATTTTGAACGGGAAATTAGTGGCTACTGAATTTCCTAATTTTTATAAGTAATTTAAAGAGTTTTTTTTCCAGTATTTATTAATGTATTATGCTATATAAAGTCGATCTCACTTTAATTGGTCTGTTACTTTATTTCATATCAATGAACGGTTCACAAAATTGACGTGAAATGGTGATTTACACAGTGATCATAATTAAATTTGATTTTCAGGCCTTAAATCAGTTTCTCGACAAGTTTTCGGAGCAGAATCCTATTTCACAAGTGGGTGTTGTAGTTTGCAGAGATAAACGAGCCGAACGCCTGATTCCCCTTACTGGTTATTTAATTGTTTATATTCATTCAGTTTTTTTATAGATGTTTTTTGTAAATTCAACATGTACACCAAGGAAAGGTTAAATTTTAATTTGAAGTACAGAAGTCTTTCCTACATTGCTTGTAGTAATGACTTATTTCTTTTCACATTTCAATAAATTAAATCTATCATCAAGTTGATTATATAGTTTCTTTTTTTTTTTTAGGTAATGTTCGCTTGGTAAAGGAATCATTATCGACGATAACAGAACTCTTGTGTCACGGAGAGTTTTCACTGCATAACAGTTTGATGGCCACTATTAGAAGTCTGCAGTATGATTTTTTTTTTAATTTTTTTTTGATAAGTATGGAAATTCCAAATGCATATACATACTATAAAAGTTGGCATGTTGAACCGATAAGAGTAGCTGCGTATTCAACTGGTAATATTGTAATATGAAATACATGCATAACTAAAAACATGTATATAGTTTTACTAAAGTTTGTATAAGTGTTATTATATCATTGATTATATATATATATCATTGCTTTTTACATCTTTACATTGCTATGTATACGAAGAAAACATAATGCAATCACTGATGAGGGGTCCATATAAGTGCACTTCCAAGTTTAATAAATTCGGGTCTTGGTAATTGGACCAGTAAGTCGGGAGTTTGCAGAAATATCTACATTTCAGTAGTTACCCGGGTCACGCTAGTCGAGAGGTAATATTGATTGTAGCAAGTCTTTCAACATGTGATCCATCAAGTATTTTTGGCACATTTGAGGTTCCTTCAAGTCTTTTTGTTTTTATTTTATTGACGATTTATTTTATTAATTGGACTTTCTACTCTATATCATTAAGTTGCTTTTTACATCTTTACAGTGCTATTTATTTTAAATGTTTATTGCAGTTACTAAAAAGGTACCATATACGCTGCTCGGTGGTTTCACTTAGTGCTGAAATCTTTGTTTTCAAAAAACTTTGTTCCATTACATCAGGTAAATTTTTTTCTCCTTAAAGGATGGTTCTCCACAGAATCTCTTCTTGTTAGTTTTATTTAACGAAGTAATTTAAATTTTGTATAATTTAAGGGCGTCACGACGTAATTCTGGATAGTAGCCATTTCGAGGTAATTTTGAGTGAGCATGCGATTCCTCCGGTATGTAGTCGAAATGCAGAAAGCAGCGTTGTTCGGATGGGTTTTCCAGCCCATGAAAGCATAGATTGTCCTTCATTTTGTTTGTGGTGAGTTTAATTGAAGTAACTTTTCAAAAAAAAAAAAAAAAAAATCACATTTTCAAAAAGAAGCTGATTAATTTCAGCCATCAATCAGAAGTTCGGCCATCTGGTGGGAGAGGCTTTTTTTGTCCGCAGTGTGGGGCACGCTATTGCAGTTTACCAGTTGAATGTCGAATCTGCAAATTAACTTTAATCTCAGCACCTCAGCTTGCGCGTTCTTTGTATAATTTGCTGCCACTACCAGCTTTTGAAGAAATCGATACAGCGGAAGGGTAATTCTATTTACTAAATTTTGGGTTAAAACCTTAAGGATTTAGTACCAATGTGTAATCATATTCCAGCAGTAGCAGAGTTGTAAGCAGTCCGGGTGGTTTGTTCTGCTTTGAAAAAAAAAAAAAGTCATTTTTAATTACTCCAGATATTAATATACTTGTTTTTTTAGGACCTGTTTTGCTTGTATCCGACAACTTGACGATAAAAGTTTCATTTGTAAGAGCTGCAAATCGACGTTTTGCATAGATTGTGATGTTTTATTGCATGAATCATTGCAAATTTGTCCTGGTTGTAAATCTGGTGTTAAATAAATTTGTTCAAAGGATAAATCGTGGATTTGAATTCATATTTACCTGTGAGGTCACATGTACTTATTTACGCGTTTCTAAATTTACGTATGCTACTTAAGTCGCCTATTAAAATGTGTTGGAAGAGTATCTATATAGTTTTGATCCGTAAATCTTCAGTTGAAAGTTACAACGTGTTTGTGTGTGTGTGTGTGTGTGTGTGTGTGTGTATGTGTGTGTGTGTGTGTGTGTGTGTGTGTGTGTGTGTGTGTGTGTGTGTGTGTGTGTGTGTGTGTGTGTGTGTGTGTGTGGCATTTTATTGGTCTATTTGTCTTTTCACAGGTAATCTGTAAATGAAACAGATGTTTTCAGCATGGTAAAAAAGGCGAATAGTGGAATGCTGAAGAAGTCTAATAATCAGCCGGTGGAGCTGAATCCATTCGAGTTAAAATACAATCGTGCAAAGCACAAGGTAAATCTTATCAAAATGAAGTTTTTGTAATTCTGAAGATTTTGAACTTAATTCTTGAGTCGGTGGTCGTGATTTCTCGTGCTTTAAATTTCATTCTGAATGCATTGTAGATACTTGGAACAAAAGCGATATCAGCTCCCTGTGGTGCACCAGGATTGTCGAAGAAAAAGGCCTTTGAAAATAGGACTAAGACATTGGCTGTGGAATGGAAAGAACGTGGGAAGCGTAATAAAGTACAATCATTTTCGCTGTTTAGTAATTATTACAAAGTGTAGGACGAATTCGTTTTTCCTTGGTTTTTGGTCATTCCATAAGTGTCATTTTTAGATTATTGATCAGCGCATCGGTGAAGGTAATAGCATGATGAATGCTGAAGAATGTATTTCGAAGCGATTTACTGCAGAACGTTTAAAAATTTTCAAAGCAACCAATTCGGAACTGGTAAATAATGGAGGTAAATTCCTTTTAGTGAAGCTTCAGTCTTTCGCAAGATGTCAAACATCATTTCTGCGTATAGAGTTTTCTTTTTTTTTTTTTTGTTGTTAAAAGTGCTATTTAATTTCAAATTGTTTCAAATATTCATTTGATATGCTGATTATATGAACAGATGATTTGTTTTCAGCATGTCATAATCTTTCAGAAGAAGCATTGACTCATAGGGGACGAGAATTAACAGAAGTAGAGAAGTATGATCGCACGATGTTAAGCGACGAGGACGATGACGAAGTTAGAGGAGGAGGAAGTATCGGTGCGAATATTGTAGCTGCAGTTCATTTCGGTGGTGGAAATGCTGCATCGGTGGAAAATGCAACTAGCAAAAGGTTTTTTTTTTCTTTTTAATTTATATGTGACATTTAGGGAAAGAAGTTCAAAATTAGGAAGGATATCCTGCATCTTTTGTTACCATATGTTTTTTTAATTTTCTTCGGTATGTAGTGGAGGAAAATTGTTCACTATGTTCTTTTTTATTATTAAAGCATTTTTTGAGAGAAATAAGTGCTTTGAAACTTGTTACATGGTTTTGAACCAATTAACGATATATTCCTCTTGTATAGACGAGACTTTATTGCGGAACTGATAGCAAAAACGAAGCAGCAACGTTACGACAAGAAATTAGCTCGTGATGAGCGTGAAGATGCAACAGAGAGGTTGGATGAGAAGTGGAACAAGATACAACAAACGGATGTAATGTCCGGTTTTATAAAGCCTGTGAATGATAGATCAAGTATAATTCGACCTGAGAAGGACGATTACGACCATTTGGCAAGTTCATATTCCAGATTTCGAATACATTTCCTCTGATCTCGACTATATTCTTTTTGTTTGGAAAAATTGCTGGGCATATTCTTTTGAAAAGATAGATTATCATTATATTTGTTATTTCTTGCCACATATTTTTGCAAGGTTCATTATTTTATCAGAGAGCGTGGTTTTAGAATGATTTGTTAACTTTTTAGCTCTTCGAGCTTCAAATGGATAGTGGGAAAAGAGGCCAAGCAAGTGAGCGACAAAAAACAGAAGAAGAGATTGCACATGAAGAGCGTGAGAAGCTAATTAGACAGGAAAAAGCTCGTCTTGCTCAGTTGGTAAGATTTTCTACGAGGATTGTTGTAATTACTTCGTTTTGTTGATATATTTTATGCATTAATTTGAATTTTTATACATTCAGTTATTAATCGACGTCTTACAACAAATTTTCCAGGCTGATATTAGCGAAGCAAAAAAGAAATCGAAAACTGATGATAACAAAGAAGGTTTTGTGGTGAAGTACGACAGCTCAGGTGTGCTTATGAATGCAGAAAAGGTATACAATGATTGACATTTTAAGAGTTATGTTGTTTGCCAATGGCACTTTTTGAGGAAGTTGCATTCGCTAGTCTTAGGAAAATGATATATTTTGTAATCAGTTCATGCAAATTTTTATTATCTCCTAATTTTCTATTTCCAAAGTTTTTGGTGCACTTTTAGCTTAAAAAAGGACGAATAAAAGTAATTCGGATTGATTCATCAGATGAGGAAGATGAATCAGAAAGTGACGATTTGGATGAAGACAAAGAAGAGGATGATTTTGATGCAATGGTGAATGGCGATGAACAAATGGATTTGCCGCCATCTAGTTCAGAAAATGCTGCAACAGATGCAGAAATGGAAAGTTAGTTGTATTATTTCAGTTTTTAAAACGGTTGATTGAGGCTAATTTATGTAATTTATTTCCTGAAACAGCGAGGGAGTATTCAGTGAACGTTGCTGTCGTCGATGATTGCACTCGGTTTTGGGAAAATGATATTTATTGTAATCATTTTTTAGCCTTAGAGTGTTCTACCATGCATATGAGATTTTGCTGTACAGTAAAAAATCTTGGTACATATTAATTATATATGGTGGATTGGTAAAAAAATAGGAAGTACGGAGTAAAATACCTCGACTTTGGATGGTTTAAGAAGCTAGTTTATAATTCGGATGAGATACACGTATCTAATTTGTAGAATCATAGTTTAATTTATAGTAACACATTTTATAGTATGTGCAACAAATTACCAAATTAACAATTGATTGCAGTTCAGAAAAGATGGCAAAATGCGGAATTACCTTTTGTGATTGATTTGCCGCAGAACTACCAAAATCTGAAAAAATTGTTGGATGCTCAAAGTGATGCAAACTGTGAAGTATTCATTAAAAGATTAATAAAGCTTTATCATCCAAGTCTTCGCGAAGGGAATAAATCACGACTTGGTCGTTTATTTGTACTTCTTCTCAGGTATTTCAGTTACTATTTTTTTTTTTTTTTTTGTTCTTCATAAATATAAATCAGTTGTAGTGAGGTAAATAAAATATACTTGAAAACTAGAGTAAAAAGATTAGGTTATGTATTCTCTTGAGTTCTTTGTCATCGGTATTACTTTAAGCTCAATGCATATTGGATATAGCAGATTAATTCTTTTAAATTATTCAAAAAAAAAACAAAAAAACAAAAAAAAAATTTTTTCCATAACTGCAGGCTTTCTTTTTAGGTATTACGACGACTTGTCCAAGGAACGAGAAGCTAAAATAGCTTTGTTTGGTTATATAGCACGAGGATTATATTATTTGATGCAGGTTAGTTTATAAGGCAGTTTTTTGAAGACATCAGTTTTTCCTACTAGTTTTGTTAAGCTTATATCGATTGCAGAATTTTTACTTTTTTGTGACGAAATAATTGATATTCATTTTTTTTTCTATGTTTTAGCTCAATGTTGAGCATAGTGCACGTTGCATGCGTGCTCTTCTGCGTCAACAATATGCACAACATGCACGTGCACCACGTGAAATGTTTACATTTCGCTGTATTGCATTTCTGAAGTTGGTTTTAATTTTGTACCCAGTGCGAGACGTATTTCATCCTGTTGTCAGTCCTACACTTGCATTTGCATGCAGCCTTGTTTCAACTGTACGGATGTGCAGTATAAAAGACATTGCACGCATGCTATTAATGGTCAGAATAGTGGGTTCATTTGTCGAAGAAAGTAAAAGGTAAAATTTTTCCTACGAGGTAATTTTGAGGGTATCGATAAACAATTTTTAAATGATTATTGAATTTGGGTGGAGAGTTTTATATTTCCAATAACTTCTTAAATTTCCGAATATTAAAATTTTTAAATTTTGTGGAAGTGTAATGTGTACAATGGATTGTACAGGTATCTGCCAGAGGTTATCGCTTTTCTTCACGGCGTTCTTTTGATGGCGATTGAAAACAGCGATGATGAACATTGTCCGACGACGACTTTTCCCATATCATTACCACATCGAAGAATGCTTTTTGTCACAGATGATGTTAGTTTATTATTTTTTAAGCACAAGAAATTAGTTTTCTTCTAATATTTTCATTTAAGACTTAAGAATTGGTCTTCATTTAAGTAATGCTAATCATTTTCAGTGTTCAATGATTGAAATACCTTCACAGCTAGATATAAAGCAAATATTTGTTGATGACACAGATAGGTAAGTGTTAATTTTTTGTTATCATAGTGAATACGACGGTTGGGTTTGTGACGAACAAATGTATTATTTTCAAACGGCCATATTTGGAAGAATATTAAGTAGTCTGTAGTATTTCATTATTTTAAATAACTGTTTATGGTTACTATTTCTTATATCGAATTCCATGTATTTAATGGAACTCATTTCCTAACTGATGCTGCATTCCGGATGCAGCAAAAATCAGTCTTATAAAAATATGACTGGTCCTTTGAGCTATCGATATAAAGTGATAATCATGAAAATAATTGTATATTGTTAAGGATTGCGAATCGTTTTTTTTTTTTTTCTTTTTTTTTCCTACTTCCTTTTGCGATCTTTTTTCAGCTTCGAAGAAAACAACAAAAATCGATTATGCGTTCTAAATATTGCTTTCACCGTTTTATGTCGATTTAGCTTCCTTTATTCCAATCTTATCGGCTTCTCTATAATCTTCAGGTGTTTCATATTTTTTAATAAATGACAAGTAAATGTAGTTGTATGTTTCTCAATTAATTAATTGAGGAAATTTCTGGAATTAGAGTATTAGCGAATCGAATTTTTAGACCACTGCTTGGCTTGTTGTCAAGGTTACCGCGTAATCTATATCCGTCTCAGTTGTTGACGGAATTGTCTGCACTGGAATCATTTATCACCGCTCAGTCTTCAAGAAATTTACTGAAACAACTGCAAAGGCCAGCTAAGCAGAAAAAGTCAGTTTTTTCTTAGAAAATCTGGTCACATATCGTTTTATTACTGTTCATTAATTTATTTCATTATATTTAACTTAGAATGCTGGATTTATTGGAACCACGTTTTGACGAGAACTATAATATAGAAAAAGCACATTACGAGAAGAACACTGCAAAGAAGTCGAAAAAGGTTGAAATCAAGCAACTCACTAAAAAGTATAAGAAAGAATTACGTGGAACAGTTCGAGAATTACGTCGTGACAATCAATTTTTGAATAGGTACATGTGATGATATGTATTTATATGAATGAATGCATTTGAATGCAATCTCTGTTATTTTTTTTTTTTTGATTTACATCTTAAATATATATATATATATATATATATATATAAAATTTCACCGTAATCAATTTTTCAGGGAAAAACGGCAGGAAATGTTGGAAAGTGATAAGGCTCGAAAAGAAAAGACAAAATGGTTGATCTCCACTTTACAAGGACAGGAAAGTGAATACAAAAAGAATGCCTACATGAAACAGAAGTTGTAAACACTGTCAGTGATTAACTATTTTCTAGTAGATTCAGCGGGTTATTGTTGATGTTACTGAGACACTTTTATTTTTGTCTAATTTTTCATTATACTTCAGATAAATACTTTTAATGATTCTTCCACAATTTAATAGATGTCGTTGAAAAGAATTGGTGCAAGTATTAGTGTAGTTAAATATCTATAACAACACTGTTCGGTGTATCAGTTCCCCAAAATTATGGGTACCCATACATTTTTTTCCATAATCATATTTTTCTTGTAGTCAATAACTCTTAAGTAACTCTCATTAAAACAGACAGATTCCGAAGCGATGGAAACTGTTAAAGTCAAATATATATTGACTTTAGGTTAGCTAGCAAAATGTTGTGTATGGTAGAGAAATGAACGACCTTCGAGGCCATGCAGACGACCACAAATATTTCTGAATGCATAACTTGCAACGATGCAGCAAAAATTTTTCAATTCTTCAAGATCTTTGACCCATGTTATCCGATTGTTTCTTTTAAATCTGTTTTGCAAGTACTATTTGTCGCGAAACTCGGAAATAATCTCGTGAACCTCCAAATAGCTTACAAAATATATGGAATAAAATTGCATTAATCCATAATATAATACTAAAATTCGTTTTAATTGAACATTAGCAATGTAAAACTGTTTCAAATTATACATCATGTAAGCAATTATTTCCCCACCATAGTTGAGCTTATCTGCTCGTCTAGACATTTTCAGCAATTAACAAAAGGTATGTGCATTGTTTAATATGTTAAAAATTACTCCTTTGTTTCAAATCAAATCTACTTGCAATGTCAAAATATTGCAAAGGTTTTTTAAGCCTTTGAGAAGCTACAATATTAAAACCTATTTCTTACTCTATAAAGAGTAAAGATCATCTGATACTCTCTAATTACTGTAATCATGTACTTATTGCAACTCAGTATCCACTATATAATGATTTAAATCTTTTGTCACAATCAGTTTTTCTCAGTTTTTTCCTTATTAGTAAGCTATCAATTCGGCTGCTTTCCCTCACTCACAACTCATTTAATTTCATTAAATTCTTCAACTACTCATCCATTTTCTTCATCTCATTTGTGGATACACTACGAAATTATCAGTATTGTTGCTATAGATTAATATCTATGTATTGTGATTGCTAACGAATCAAATGGTTACAACAGATCTATCATTCAATGCATTCGTCTATACCAATTGAACACAATAACAAACAAAGAAGGCTCTTAAGGATATGATATGAAAGTTTAATTGGATTCTAAGTCATAAGTTATATTCAGACTGAATTCATTTTAAGTGTATGTTTATGTATTGCAATAATATTTGAAGATGATTAGACAATGGAAACATTCGGCACATCTCTGAATCCGTCCAGATTAAAAATTTCAAACCGAAAGAAGTCCCTATGAACTGTTTGTAGCTACGGCCAATAAAATTTTTGAAGTATTCGAAAAAATGCTTTTTTAAAATGGCATTATGAAAGTATTCAAATTTTCATTCATTTTTTTTTCACTTTTATTTGCCTTTTCATTTTAAGAATTGTTTCAGTTGTCTTTCCACATGAAATAAAAACTCAAATAGTTTGCTTTCGTGTTCTGATTTCAGTTTAGACTTCTGATAGCACCAAAAGGCATCATACATATACATATATCGCTGTGGATATTGTTGAAACCATTGAGGTGAAAGGTTACTGACATGTGATTGGTAGTATTGGTAGTTGAGGCGTGACATATGATACTAGTATGAGTGACATCTATAGCTAATAAAATTAATATATTTCGCATTGTGAATGTTTGTATAGAGGCATGTATAATGTAAGGTATAAAATATAATAATATAAAATGTTATCGGTATAAAAATTGTTCAAAACATCATGAAAAATTAGATAATAAATGAAGTAAAAGTAATGAATAATAAAGTTCCAGTAACTATGAAAGAAATTGTAAATCGCTAATAAATAGCATTACTAGAATTGAAAATTGATGGTAATTTAATTAAGCCAAATGGTGCTAAATTAGTAAGTCCAGTGATAAGAGAAAAAATACGAATGATATCTGATTAGATTTTGTTTGGTCATATGATATTACACTAATGGTTGGATGATTGCATTAAACGTTTTATTTGTTACTTACAAATTATACATTTATTATTATTACATATATTGTTGCTTTAAATAAGCAAATAATTTATTGAATTCTGAAATTAATTCAGTTCTTCTTTAAATCAGTCATCAATCATCTTCCTTTTTTCAAATGAGAAAAAAAAAACGAAAAAAAGGAATCATAAAATGCATTGTAATAACATTACACGTAATTTTTCATACTGTGGATTGATTAATTTGTTGTGAAGACGTTGTGCGCCACACGTCTGTGGTAACATCAAAAAGAGTAAAACTGCAGTCTGCAAATAGGTTAAAATTTAGCGGAAAACGGGATTAATTGAAATTTGGGTTCAAAATATTATTTGAAACAATTCTGATTGATAACAACACTGTACACTTCTCAAATATGTTATAAAGGATAGATGTGATGAGAGAGAAATTTTTTAAAAATGTGTAACATCAAAGTGGAATGATTCATTGAATTAACGATTCTGTCATATTTCTTCACTGAATTGCAGTCTAACTTTTTGCTTCAAAAAGGCGCATGAAGGCTTACTTTCAATGACTTTCAGTATATAAGTTTATGTTTATTATCATATAAAGGGAATGTATTAGTATTTTACTTTTATTTTATTATTATTATTATTAATCATTTGATATGTCTATTGTGTATTGTAAATAGATGTTGCATAATCATTATATACATATATCTTTATATTAGAGATCATTTTTAGAATAACTACCGATTGTTTTGAAAGGAAAACCACTGTAAAGCTTAGCTTTTTCGACTAAATTTCATTTTTAGAGAAGCATAGATGGAGGAATTATTTTTTCATAACGGTAATATAATTGTGAATTTGAAAAAGGAAATTAAGAATTAATATTAATTAATATGACATCTATAATTACCTTAATTAGCCAAAAAAAGGGAAAAATAGCATTGATAGTTTTAGCATATGAATCAGTTAATGTTAAAAAACCAAACCGTATCCAATAGCATAGCCAATTCATTACTTTTGACTTTGAGTGATTATGTATGGCCTAGAAATTTTCTTTCCAAATATTTCGGTGTGTGCCAAACTAACAAATCATTGGCAATTTATAATGGTACATTGACGCACGTCACTTCATGAATTTTTAATGTGAAGCATTTTTGCAAAGAACTTTCAATACTTCAACACAATCTTTTCAAAAAAAAGAAGAGAAAACTTAATGCTATTTTTTTCTTCACTTTTTAATCCTTTATTATTATTTTCTTCCTTTTTGAAATATTATCAACCAAAAAAAAATTTTTTTTTCATCTCTATCTTTTGATTCACAGTTATTTTCTCTCCATTATGACCAAAAAAAAAAAGTATCAAATTCAAATATCTCATTTAAGTGTTAACTAATGCATAAGAAAAGAAGTAAATAATAAAAACAAAGTAAAACTTCTTCAATTATTATTTATTTGACTGTTTGCTATGTTGTAAATTGTTGAACAATAATTTGTTAGAACAATAGAACAATAAACTAACTTCAATACTGGCAGCAGCAGGATATGTGAAACCAATAAGATTTGTTAATATGCCAGCTTCATCACCAACAATAAGTTATAATGCAATAATACCAATCATAACACATGCTACCTCATATAAATTGGAAGTATTTTTCAAATAAAGTTTGAGATTTTAAAAAGATTGTTCTATTATTAAAACTTTTTTTTCTTTTAAAAAATTTTCCATTACAAAAATTTTCGCGAATATTTGACTGATAAATTAAATTATTAATTTAACATCATTGGAATATTAATTTGTTACGTATAAGAGAGAGGGAATCTACACTATCACTAATATATTTTATTTATTGAATATAGATGAAATGCTTTTCCATTTCTTTTTTTTTTTGTGATAATTTTGTAATGAATAAGCAATTCTATCATCAAATCATGCTAATTTTAACAATCTATGCTGAGCTAATTTTTCAAACTTTTTCATTATCATCGTTATTGCAATATCATCCTTATCACTCCTTATCCTATCATTATCATTATTAATATTGTCCTTTTCAAGACATCATCCATACTATATTGTTTCTATTACTCCTTTATCATTATTGTTATCAATGTTATGTTTTTTACATTATCAAATCTTTTATGAAAAAAGATGTATATGTATTCTTACATATTCTCTTTTTATGCCAATTTTTTTCTCAGCATCTCGTAATTCCTTTTCAACGTTATCATTATTGTACTGATAAAGTAGTTTGTGTAATTCAGTTCCAAAATCATTAAGTTTTCAATCATTGCCTTATGATCATTGAAATCAATCTCAGAAAATGTCGTTTCAACTGTGTCACTTATTGACATGTTGCAAAACTTTTATTCGCTATTTTTTACTGAAACTTTTATATTTTGACAAATTTTATTTCTGAAATTAATCATACATTGTGAAATATTACAAATTTGAATTGAGAAATTTTTCAGAAAGGAAATTGCTAAAATTTAATCTATAAAGTAGGAAGAAGTGTTGTAACAATTCTAAAAAATGTCTATCAATGTCTTGTCGAATTTTTTCAATTTAAAAATGCTAAAGTTTGCATATATTAAAAATTCAAGCAGGTTTTATGTCTATATATATAACAAAGTACAACAATAATTTATTAACTCTTATCTTTTGTATAATTTAAATGTTGGCTTTTGTTTGAAACTTACAGCAAATATGCAATGAACCGGTCGAGTATTAAAAAGATTAAAGGAATAATGAAATTATAATTAAATTTTATTAATTTTCAACGAAAACAAATCAATGATCAATGAAATTATGATTATATGCATAAGACAATGTATTACAATGAAAGTTTTTTCTTCCTTAAAAAAAATTTCTTGAAAAAAACTGCATTGTTGGAAAAAAGTTCTTTTTTTTTAAAAAAAGTGAAAAAAGTGAAAAACATTTTTGTATTATTAACTGGGAAAGGAAATTATTTCACTTTTTTAATCAAATTTAAATTACCTTATGTACATCTTTTTTTTTTTGTTCTTAATTATTTTAAAGAATTATAATTTTAGAATAATCATAAAAAAGGGATGAATATTTATTTACAAAATTGTAATACAATGTCCCATTAATTGCATAAATTTATTGATTATTAATAATTACTGTCTTCCAATTTGTACTATGCAAATGACATCCTACATACATACATACATGCATACATACATGCACACATACATACGGAAAGTACACTGATAGACAAATATACATTGGTGATAGATATGTTGGTGACATGTTTGGTGACACAGTTGATGAAGAAGAATAAGCAGGCTGTGTTCACTGAGAAGAAGTAATGGAGCAAAGTGTATTCTCCATTCATTTACTTATTTATGTCATTGAGGATGCTATTTGATGTCATTGATTTTATTATTTTTAGAATAATTGCATTTTCATCGACTGTTATGCTTCATTGAAATTTTGATTAATTATAATTTGTAATTACAAATTATAATTAAATATTTAAGTAACCTTTTTTTTCTTGAAATATCTGTTATAAAAAGTTCATTCTTTTTTCTTTCTTTCGTACTATTTTATTTTGTTCTTTTTCAGTTGAATGGAAATAAGAATTTTCAGGTATATATGAAATGCTTTTTTGTTTCTGTATTTTATTGCTTACTGATTATTGTTATCAGTAAACAAGCAATAACAGATAAGGATGGAAAAGCTGCTGATATAAGAGCAAATTTAACAACACTCATTCATGTTCATGCAGTAAGTTATATTAAAATATGTCCTTGGGATTTTTTTCTTCTATCAGTCAAAATGATTAATGATAATCTAAAATTTTCATCAAGAAGTTAAATAATCTAATATATCTAATATATCCATTTAATTACTGAACTATTTGGCAGAAAAGGAGGAATAGTAAAAATATTGATTCTGTTTGAAATGCTTTCTTAAAATTTAATTGTTTTTATTGAAAGTGTTATTGATAATAACACATAATTATCAGGAAATTAGTCATGGGCATTATGCATGTTGTAAAAGATTTTTAAATAAATAAGAAGATCAAAAAGTTGTAAAAGTTTATTATCAGATTTCGATCATTATTTCTATTATTCATGTAGTATTATCATTAGCTAATCATAATAATCTATAGGTGTGAATTAAATGACAAGTTGTTGACCAATACATTATTAGCAAATTTTAATTACTACTTATCATTATTTGCTAAGTAATAATTAGACGTACAATAATTGATGGTCAAACTAATAATCAGATAATTAAATCATATAATAATTAGTCATATAGATGTGGCGACATGGTGATCGTACACCGATAAATTTACTTCCAAATGATAACAAAGAATCATGGGAAATTGGCTTAGGTGAATTAACAGTTGATGGCATCTGGCAAGCATATCATCTTGGCAAATTGCTTAGACAACGATATGATGGATTTTTGAGTAAAACTTTCAAAACTTCAGAGGTTTCATTTGGATTTTATAAATTTTGATATGTAACAATTTATTCTTATTATCATTGCAAATTTTTGAATGAAAATATTTAATTTAAATAAAAAAAATCTCATTCCTCCATTTGTTTCGATAATATCTGATTTTAATATCCTTTTTTTTTAAAAAAAAATAATGAAAAAATAATAGCAAAAATTAAAAGCTAGTAAACGACACAATATTTTTTTGACCTCTGACCCATAAGTCAAAGATGATTAAAGAATATTGGTACTATCTAATTGTATCAAAAAAAGTGTTTTACTTTATTCATTCAAATTTTGATTAAAAAGGTTGCTATACAGCAGAAATAATAATATAAAAGTTGTTCACTTAATCATTTAATTAGTTATCTTAGCAAAATTTTTAAATATTCAATTGATTTGTTTATTTTTGCCGACGTAACGTATTATTTTAGATTTACGTAAGAAGCACAGATATTAACCGTACGTTAATGACAGCTAATGCTGTCCTTCAAGGCTTATATCCACAAACATATCACAGTGATAATTTATCATCAGTATGGCATCCAATACCAGTGCATACCGTACAGGCTGAAAACGACAAAGTTTGACATTTTTGCTTTAGTTATTAATTTTTCTAAGTTTAAAAAGTAATCTTTTTTTGAAAAAATAAATAATTTAAGAGTAAAATATGTATTTATTGAAGCCTATTTTCTGTATTACAAGTTATTTATTTAAATTTGAAACTTTAAAATCTAATTTTTCCAGCAATTGCTTCAACAAGACTGTCCAAAGGTGAAAGAAGAGCTAAAAGAAGTACTTAGAACGAAAACAGTGCAAGATATGTTAAAGATGAATGAAGGATTTTTACGATATATCGGTAAACATATGAATGTAGAAAGTGGATATTACGATTTTGAAAATATTTGGCTTGTTTACGATTCACTTAAAGTTATTGTAAGTTACTGTTTTCTATTTAAATTTAAAGTTAGTTAATAAATTTGAAAATTATATTTTAATTTACAGTATATTTTAAATTATAAAAAAAAAGAAAATAGTTTGATAATGAAGTAAAAAAAAAAAAAAACGAAAAAGTTGGAAGTATTTTGTTCAAAATTATTTTGATGTTTAGAAGTGAAAAAAAAACAAATTGTTTTGCAATCTTTTCATTTATTTTATTTTATTTTATTTTTTTTTTGTTTTTGTTTTTGTTTTTGTTTTACGTTTTCTTTAGACTTGTCATAAGGATAAACATCAATTTCCAAAATGGGTTAATGAAACTGTATGGAATAAAATCTCAGAAATGTTTAATTTGTGGGGTCAATATGAATACAGCACCGATTTGTTGAAAAGACTTCAAGGAGGTTAGTTTTTAGGAAAAAATTTCCTTGAAATAAAAAAAAAAAATTATAACATTTAGTAAAAATAAGTTTCGCAAAAAGAATAAATTTTGATAGTTTTAGGCGAATTATGGAAGGAAATTTTTGCAAGACTTAATAATTTAATGAAAGAACATTCAACATGGAAGCAAAAGATGTATGCATATTCAGCGGTTTGTTTTATTTATTTATTTATTTTTGTATATATTTCTTCGTTTTTCTAATTAAGTAATTGATTATTATGCTGAATTTAAAGTGATTTAACTAATAAATATAATTTTTTTTCCGTTATTTATCTGAGCGGAATTGTTTTATTCGTCAAGAAATATCTGCTATTTGTCAAATAAAATTCTCATTTGACTTATAATCTGTTTTTTTATTGTTTATGTAAAAATCTTTTAGCATGATGATACATTAGCAGTACTGCTAAGTATGTTTGGTATGAAGCTTACAGCTTATCCTCCATATGCTGCTCTTGTATTACTTGAAACGCATCAAATTGATAATCAATTCATTCTTCAGGTATATATTTTAATTTTTTTTGAATTGTCAAATTATCATTTTAATGACTTCTATTTCCTTTTTTGTTTTTGCTTTTTGTTTGTTAAACTATAAGTAGGTAGTGCCATTATTATCAATTAACACTGTTTATCTTAGAGTAAATACTATTCTCGGCTTATCATTGAAAATATTGAAGATATGCAAATAAAAAAATTAAAGATAACCTTGTTATTAGTTCAAATACACTATCGTCCATAGCATTTGCAATTGCTTTTCACATAATTTCTTCTTGCTAATTTAAAGTATTATCATTATCAATTACTTTACAAAAGCCATTATTACATCTCTATCAATTTACATACTTCTAATCCTCGCTATTACTTACGTCAGCTCTTTTTTAATTCATGAAAGTGACTTAGTAAAAATAATGTAATTAAGTGCATGAATATGAGATTTGTTTACTAATGTGTAAAAATTTGAAATTCCCTAAGTTGAATTTTTATAATTTAAGAAAAAATTTCTGTAATTTAACATTCATTGCATAATATCCAATCGTACAAAACTGCATATTTTCCCGTTAGAATTAATATTTTCGTAATATTTTCTTTGATTTAAGCTTTACTACAAAAATGTCACCGATTCCAATCAAATATATCATTTTCCAATTGCCTATTGTGATAAAATATGTACAGTGGAAAATTTGGAAGTAGCAACAAGTAATTTTATTCCACTCAATTGGAAAATGGAATGTGATCCGTTCGTTTTGTACAGGAAAATGAGTAAGTCACATGTAATAATGAAATATATCGAAAAACGGAAAATGTTAATATTTCAATTAGTGAATTTAACGTATGAATACAAATATGAAAATAGCTTTTCTTGTTGGTTGACATCTGTTTAAATTTCTGAGAAATATAATTATATCAGAAGCATAAATTAATAATTGCAAAGTATCTGCATTTACGTGTGTGTGTGTGTGTGTGTGTGTGTGTGTGTGTGTGTGTGTGTGTGTGTGTGTGTGTGTGTGTGTGTGTGTGTGTGTGTGTGTGTGTGTGTGTGTGTGTGTGTGTGTGTGTGTGTGTGTGTGTGTGTGTGTGTGTGTGTGTGTGTGTGTGTGTGTGTGTGTATGTGTATGTCGTGGAAGTTTTTGATTGTTTAATTAATAATATTGGTAGAGGTGTTTGATCGCAGGGAGGATGTAAATATAAGTGCGTGAGGTAACAGAAATATAAACCAATTTCTTTATTAGCAGAAGTAATAGGACAGACAATACGTTGATAGAGAACAATTGAAATTGGAATCGTCGGTCCTTGGCGATAATTTACACATATACTAAATCTTCTAACACGATTTAACAAGGGTGATCCTTATATAGCAATTATCTTACATTATATGTGTTAAAATGTGGGAGTGGTTTATAATTAGACATTTTTGTACAAAGGATGATAGTAAGTAACTTTAACAATAGGTTTAAAAATGTATATCACGAAAGAGAGTAGAATGGTTTGTCTAGACATTATGACAAGTGGCTATTATGAGTTGCAATAGACATTACATGATAGATGCTCATAGTATGTGAATTGATATAAGATCAAAAGTCAGTTAAACCATTACGATGAATTGCAAAGGACATTATTGGATTGCTATATTAAGTATTGTTAACATTTATTTAGTGCTTCACGATGTTAAAGTCCGCGACAGTGTATGCGTCTACTTAACTTTATGATTGTGCGTATGTGAATATGCGTACGTGTGAATGTATACTCTTTAATGGTTGAATTTATTACTAACGCCACATAAGTTATTTATTTCCAAATTAAATATCTATTTTGTTTTGTTAAAAAATAGAAATTGTTTAGGAAATATATATCAGTTGAACATTCCAGCAAATTTGTAATCAGGCCAAGAAATAAATTCCACCTGCTAATATAGTTGGAACCAGGCTAAGAAAAACATTTTATTTACTAGAATTTATAATCAAATTAAGACGATAATTTCGCCTACCAATATGTTAAATAAGATAGTAAAAGTAATTTGAAATTTCTACAGGATTTGAAAACCAAAAATAGGAAGAAATGTACTGATGACTGATATCATAAAAAAGAAATGTAGAATGTTTAAGTTTTATAATGAATGCTAGCATTTGATTGATCCAGTAATTTGAAACTTCAATTTTTAAAGAATTTTTTTTTGTTAAATATTAATTTGAACTTTTCTAAAAAGTTGCAAATATTTAATTTTAATTTGTTTAGGTACTTTTGGATTGTTTATATCAGTGATTAGCATTGTGGCGGTAATTTCTTGTCAAATATTGAAGTCACATTTAATGAAACGAAAAATATATGGCGACCGAACAGTTCTTCCATCTGATGCTGATGTAGCACTTTTAAGAGAGGATGTCATACGATAAAAAGTTCATCAATTTTCATTTAATCTCTTCAACTGCCAATGTTCTAAAGCTAAATGATATTTTTATTTACCATAATTTTTTCTCTATTGTTAGAGTTATAATGATTTTACTGATAACCATAACAATAGTAATAATAATAGAAATGAATAATTAACTATGCAATGAAATAAGCTTTATATAAGAAAATAAAAACATTACAGATGTAGCATTAAAAGCTAGCCATTCTCAAATTTTGAAAATCATTTCATATAGCTATTACTAAATGATTGTAATGCATTTACATTTGCATATTTTTGTTGATTTTCCTTTTTTTCAACATTTTTTTCTTAATCTCAAATTTGTATTATACACATTTATGTTTTATGTTGTTTGCGACTAACCATAATTTAGCTATGCTATCATCATAAATGCATCATTTAATTCGTTGGATTCTAATTCACTATTATAATTTTAATTTCGAAATTAAAAAATTTCTTGAAAGACCAAATTTTGCAATAAAAATTAAATTTTTTTCTTTCCACTTATTTTTGAGGCATACACACACTACATATATACATACACACACAATATAATAACGAGTAAATACGATTTATAGTAAACATAACATTTTAGCCTTATCTTAATATTTTCTCTTCCCATTTCTATTCCTCTCTGTTCAAAGGAATCAGTCAGTTTTATTGTTCCCTTTAATTATTTAATTATATTATATAATTATTTAGCAAAAGTATTCCTTACCCAATTTATTTCTTTTCAGTTTTTTGACATTTTATCGATTTATTGATATTAAGATTACAAATAGTATTATTTGATAGAATGAATAAATATAAACAAATGAAAATATAATCAAAACGAATGTCTAAGGATAGCATTAACGAAAATGTTACGATAAGTATTTGTGACACATTGTGTCATTTCATTTGATAAAGTATTTTTGTTTAGCATTCGCAATATTTCATTATTTTTCATTTGCATGACATACAGTGATTTTAAGACTATTTTTATAAATTATAACTAAGTGTAACCTATCTCATTTTTCATTATTATTCATAATAATCTAGATTGAAAACATTTTTTTTTTTTAAATTTAAAAAACAAAGTGCGAAAATTGAAATTTTTGAAATTATTGGGTAGTGATAAAGATTGGCATTTTCTTTTTAACAGACAAACAAATTTACCAGTCTAGTACAGTTGCTTTATTTCCAAAATCTTGATAAATTATCATCTAATTAACTGATATATTTCGAGAGAATTCCAGAAAATTAAACTAAAAATAATACTTTTCAGAAATAATTCAAAAGGAATGGTACCATTTTTTTGTGGTATGAATCCATCTTTAAAAGCCAAGTGATTCCAACACTTCTTTTCCCTTTAAATTAATGAAGATCAAATAAGATGGATAAATTTCAAATTTCAGTACAAATCGAACTACTATTAATTCATTTAAACGTGAATGTACATCAAGTACATACGATATGGATCATTTTTGATGTGATAAACAAGGGAAATAGATCATTTTTGATGTGATAAACATACAGTGCTCTGGAGGATTTTGTTACCAGATTTGATGTTACTTTAAAGTATTTCATCTTTCGGAATAATTTTTACATTTCTCGTAGGAAATTTCAACTAGTTCATAATGAATGTTTCTCCAAATAGTCAATCTATTCCAAAATTTCTGCTATTGTATTTTTCAAAGCAAAAAAAGACATTCACTAAGGCAATATGCATAACAGTGATAAATATGTCTCAAGAATAGAAGCTGTTACCCAATCTTCAACATATAATTACCTTACTGTAATGAAAAATAAACATGTTAAGATGATTCAGCACTCACATGCTAGAATTGAACTGAATTCGTAACTTTTCTTTTTTAAATATGAAGCTTCTAAACCCAAAAGCGCAAGAATCTCACACAAATTTACTGACTAATGGACGAATGGATTTCTTAATTTAAGTGAGCTATAACAATACTGCATGGTTTCAGCTTAAATCATAATTTTGTATTCAAGCATAAAAGTGTTTGCAAGAAATCTCAAGCTTGCGTGTAAAATTGAATGTTGTTTCTTTTTTAATCCCATCGAATCAATAAACACAAAAACAACGACGTCAAATATAACAATATATATTTTATTAAACAAAACGTAATTCTATGTTAAACATAATAACTGATGGATGAATTTTACATACTGTTTCCAATATGAATGACGAGAAGTCCCCAGTTAGTAAATAAAAATTCGCATCTGACGACTGCATAGCGCCATGTCACTGATACTCCTCTCCTACCAATCAAATTTATTTCTAATATTTTCCAGCAAATTTCAAATTAAGTGCATTTGTACCATCACCTTTTTGATTTTCCGGTGGCATCCACATGATATAGTCCTCATCTCTGTTGGCAATTCCTTCACCATAATCACCGTTCTGCAATGAATCATATAAAGACATGAGAAAGCTGAAAGAAAATTAGCTCAAATTAGTCATAAATACATTATACATAAGCAGGTAGATATGCTATTAACCACATGGACTGTATTAACAAAACAATATTAAATGAAAGTAGAACAATTAAGACAATTTAATGAGTTAAAGAACTAAACTTAATTAAAAAATTAAAAGCATATGAAATATTTCTGTATGAAAATATATACCAAACTTTTGAATAATAATACAAAACCTTTTGCTGCTTCAATGCTGTCGTATCACGAATTCGAATACGTTTTCTTTTTAAAGATCTATCATCTTTTATTGTAGACGATGTCTTTTCATCAGAAATAATACATTGCGCATGTTGTTGTACTTCCTGTGCTACGGCTGATGAAACAATGACTGTTTCATCCTTTTCAGTTTCTTCAGCCAGAGTTCCCTCTGTGTTTGATATCACTGCCGACGTTGTTGGAACATTGAATTCCTTGAAATTAAAAAACATGTTACGAAAATTCACTAACTATTTAAAGAACTCCGAAATTTCAAAATTTTTAAAGAACTTTCTTTCAAAGTTAGAAAAATTAAAGAGATACCACAAAACCAAATTCGCTAACCAAATTCAATCAAGTCGTCTATTTAATTTAAAGACAAACCATCCTATTAGCATCATCAGTTTCCACTGGGAAATCTTGCTGATGAACGTTAGATGAGGCATTACCAGAACCAGTAATAGCTTTTTCATCATCTTCAATTTCTGCTATAAAAGGTAGCCTATCAATGGTTTCTTTAATGAACGTGTCCGATGGCAGTTCCATTCCTAATTGCTCATTTCGTTCTTTCTCTTCCGGAAGTAATCTTTTAACCTGTCGCATTTTCATTAATTTCTTCATTGTCGCTGCCGACAAAGAACCCACAGCACGTTTACCATCCTGAAAATCTGAAGTTTTAAGTCACAAATTTTAAGTCTTTCACAGTACCTTCTGAGAAGCAGAAGGTATTTTTAACCTTAAAAAAGAATAGCTTGAAGAAATAAATCACTACTTGATTTGATGATGTTTTTAGTGCTGGCAGTTCCACTGGCTTTGCTATTTTGGCCAATTTTTCGAGTCGTTCCTTTTCATGTTTTAAAGCTACGAGACGATGTCGCAAGACAGATTTTTCCATTTTCACCTGTAAATCAAATTATTTTCCATATATCCGCAAGTTCTTTTGTGCATGATGAAATTTGATGCAGAACATTAAGCTTTAAAAGCATACTGTGCATTATCCATTTTATATTGACAAACGATATGACAAACTTCAACAACGATAACAAATAATAAAAAAAATAATTGACTTACAGCCATGCTATCCTTTTCACTATAGCCCAGCTGTCCGCAGAATTTATCGAGATCATCATCATCAATCTTTTCGTTATCCTCTTTTTCCTTTCCTTTCTTGGAAATCGCTAGCAACTGAGCTTCCACCTCGCACAATTCCTTACTTGTTGAAGCAATTTTCTTCGTTAAAGTTTCGAAAGTTTCTACTTCTGTTGTCATTTTACCTTTCGCCTCCTGATATTTGCGTAATAAAAGGTTTATGGTTCAAAGAGTAACACAGAAAATATTTCATAATGCTATGAACATCTCTCCTTTTTTCTTCTCTCAATCCTACGTTTTTCTTCAAAATGACAAAATATTAAAAACAACAGCAAAGGATAAGCAACCAAAGCACGCTGCCGCCGCTTTTCACGATTTGTTTCAATTTGACCTGTCCTGTCGAAATACGTATCCTCATCGGAATCGTAATAATCATTATCAACTAAGTTTTTAGCTCTCCTTCTGGCTTCATTCGACCGAAACAGAATATTATGCATATCTGTCAACAAAATAAACATAAAAAGAATTCGTGCAGAAAAAACTTTTGTAAAGAGCAGCAAAAATCGAGCAAAACTTAAACAAGATACAAAAGATGACACGATACTCCAAAATAAATTTTTTTTTCTGACAAGATACTATTCCAAAACAAATTTTTTCTTTCTGAAATCAATGTTTTTAAATACCTAAAGTTTTGCAAGCATTGAAGGCGCATAACACCTGTGCTTCTTTTTTGCTTCCACTGCACACCACCGATGCAGATAAGGACTGGCCAGCTGCTGTATCAACAGGTAATCTGAATAATTAAGATCTTCTCAAATGAAAAAACTAGTCATTATTGCACAGTTAATCTATCCAAAATTAAGTTTAAAAATGTAAACTAACTCAATGGAACAAATCCATTTGTGGTTTTGTCCTGTCCCTGTTTCTTCATATGCAAATTCCATATCAAAACCTTCTTTTTCAAAAAACCGTGACAACACTTTCAGCGGATCATCACGATATTTTTCTTCTCTATCTTGGATATCATCTCCATCACGCGCCTGAGCATATGCTAATTCTTCATCATAATCTGAAACGAGACAACTTTTTAAAAAAAAGGCAGCATAAACACATAAATTTTCATGTTCTATTAAAAAAAGAAAAAAAAATCCAGTCCTACACTAACCATTCATTTATTTACAACTCAAAAGAATCATAAATAAGTTCTCTTTTGGTGACTGTTTGAAATCTCTAGATATGAAGGAAACACAAATTAAAAAATTCCGACTTTTCGAAAAACAAATCAACTAACCCATTCCCCACATAATACCGTCACTCTCTTTTTCATTTGCTGATGTCTTCTCTTTCTCTCTTTGTATTTTATCATAAAGTTTCTTTTGCTCGATCAGCCGCTTCATTTCCGTTGGTGAATACTCCCATTCCTCCTCAGTATCCGAATTTGGGCCAAATAAAGTCATAATTCTACTACTTCCTTAAAAAATTCCATAGGAATGAAATGAAAAGTTGAACTTACAAAATCAAATATATTATCCCACCAATAAAGTCGAGTTATTCGAGTATGTGATTTATACTAACAAATCAGGAGTCTCCAAAACTAGGAAAAAAAAGTTCCCAAAGATAAAAAATAAAGCACACCTCCAAACTGCATAACATGTCCGACGCGTATTCGGATGAACTGTTTCGGTGGAATCCTTTTTTTGTTTAGTTTCGTACCATGGGTACTACCTAAATCATAAATATGCCATCCTTTACCAGTTCGATTCATTAAATCATCACCATATTGAAGTATGCAATGATGCCTAAAACTCTCAAACATTAAAAATGACAAATCCCAAAAAAAAAAAAAAAATCAGAAAGACTTTCAAAATTAGAGATTTAGAGAACTCGGAGCTGAATTCTATTGCAAACTACTATATTTAGATGGTTTTGGGTGATATCAACACAAAGAAGTATCGTTCTAATATTAGAGGAAAATCAAAGCTTTCGAACATTGCACATATCATTTGATAAAACATGAATGCAAACTAATCAAGTAATTTTGCAGAAAGTCCATTAAAAGAACTAAAATTCCAGGACAATACCTTGAAATAGTAGGATGCTCTAGTTGTATGTCACAAGTAGGTAACCGACCGATGATTACAAACGTTCCGGCTTTCCGTCTCTCAAAATCAACTCTATCAATTACGGTACCATTTTTGATAATTTCAAAACCGTAATGAATGTCACTAGATGGTTCAATCGCAAATGCCGGCGGAACGTATTCCAAATTAGGTTGAGTTATGGATATTAATGGCACAGCAGCAGTGTTTATCATTGTATTCTGAAAAGAAAAAAAAAATATATATATATATATATATCGAAGATCTCCGCTTGTCTCGGCCACAATAGTTCATATGTCGCATATGCAATATGTTTCAGACATTTCGATGAAATATGTAAATGAAATGAAACATAGAGGCAATGAATTTCTCGAAGATCGAAAAAGATTTTTAATATATTACTCTATCTTTGTACAAAAGGTAAAAACTGTCAGCTGCACAGCTTAGGTAGCTAACCCATGCGTAACGTATATGTATGTGTGAAATTGACTACATGTAAGCAAAGCGTGCCTGCATCAGATTAATTTATGATATTATTTCGATTCACGCAACTCGATACCTTCTAGTAATTAATATTGAAATGAGTACTTTTTCGTCCTTCTCTTTCGATAATAGAGCTTTAAAGTCATTCATTTCCATTTCCAACGTATTCCCGGAATTTCAGTGCTACACAAACAAAGCCGACAACAATCTTAATTAATCGCTTAATTAGCATTTAACTCTATGGCAAAGCAACGAAGTAATTTTAACGACTCGACATACGGCCCGTAATTATAGAATTGGTTTTCCTATGACAGAGGGAATTGAGAGTGTAAAGTGAGCTTTGTGTTATGCTTTGCATATAACTGTGAGAAGTTTTCGTTTGTAACATTGCTGTAATAAAAGTTTTTCAGGCTAGTATCTTTGCAAAAATTACTTTTAATATAATATATCAGAAATTAGCTGTGTGGATTTTAACGATATGAATTTACCAGAGAAACGTATGAAAGAAGCAGTAGATGCATTAATTGATGATATCGATCAAAGGTAATATGCATATTTATATTCCATATAATATATTTAATAAAACCTCTACACATAAGTGCTTTTACCCATCAGACACTATGCTTATGACTCTATCACTAAATTGATTAATGCTTATGCATACTTAATGAAAAACTAAAAGAGAACTTCGTTGTATAGTGTGATAGAATTATTTGCAACTTTTGCTATTTATACATTTGACAAATTGTCTATATATTATGATGGTAATGAGACATCTCTACGTGTAAAAGACATATAAAGCAACAACTTATCTGTATTATTACAAATATTCATATTAATACATTTAGTGTATTGTTGAATGTTTGTATGCTTGTATGTCTAAAAATCCGAAGTTCTCATCTTTCTTTTTTGAAAAAGAATCCATTTCATTAGACAATTTAATTCCCACTCCAACTTCTGTTTCATTTGAGGTGGTGGAAACATAGGATTGTATTATTTTTCGACTAAAGATGAGTTAAAATTTGAACTCTTTCGGGTTTTTTTTTGCGATAAATGCAATTCCTACTGTTATTTTCCCTTTTTTTTTTCGGATTTTTCCGGAAATACTTCTAGAATTAGGGATTTACATTTAAAAATGACCTTTTTTCAGTTATTTAAGAGGAATTCATAAGAAAATGTTCGTCTGCTCATCAAACTGCTACGATAGGAGTATGAATCGAGATATTGTGGAGACTTGTGTTGAAGATTGCAATAAATCTGTCAAAAGTGCAACTGGAATTTTGCAAAAAGAACTTGACAATTTACAGGTAACAACATTAAGTTTTAATATTGGGTGGCTACAATTTTTTTCAGGCAGAGCAGATTTTATGAATTCGATACATAAGCATTAGAGGACTTAATGAGAGTTGCAAGAGAGAAATTATTTACAATAAAAATCTTGGAAAGTGTAAATAGCATTTCGTTTCTTCTTTAACTGATGGAAATTAGTGTTCAATATTTCAGTGGTTGTATACACCATCGCATTAATTTCGGTTACTCTTTAAAATATTTGGGACTAATTCGGCATTTTTAGTCTTATTCCAAAATTATTGCCTTTAAAGAGCTTTAAAATCATTTTAAGGCACAGTTGAATCGTTGTGGAATGACATGTTTCGATAAAGCAACGCAGAAATTTGGTCCTGATCCCGCAAAGTATACTGAAATCCAAATCAAAGAATTTGATGAACAACTATTAAAGTAACCAGTTTTTGTATTTGCTTCCATCTTGGACGTTTTTATCCAAAGTCATTTACTGGTTTGATTTTTTGTGCAGATCTTAAAATTTCTGGTTCCAAAATTTCTGTTCAGTTTTTTAATTGTAAGAATTTGGGAAACACTGAAATACTGATTACAGTTGTGCATGTTCCTGTGTTGACGACCATATCAGGCTGCTGCCGAATATCCGGAAACGATTAATTGATTCGTACCAAAGATTTCTGAAGTAGAACTGATATTCTGCACTTTTGTTTTTTGTTTATTCTCTAATTGCTCAATGTGAATGCAGGTTTTTACAACTTTGGGATTGTGGCTTTCGTAATCTACATTAAGCACAAAGCCTACTTTCAAGTGAAGCAGATTTCTTGATGTTATGCAGTCGTATAGGAAAATCGCCTGAGTCATAGGTACTAGTGTCCATTGATTCTGCATTTGTGTCGTCAGTTTGTTAAGTTCTAAATTGTTCAGGTTTTTTTCTGGAATGAAAATTAATGTGTGAATTGCAATTCGATATTTGACAAATTCCAAAGAACTTGAAAAATTTCGGATAACAAATAGACTTTTGTTAAACGTTCATTTCCCAAAAAGATCAGCATAATCTATGGATATCTCCACAGCAGCAGCCATTCCCCTCAACCATTAACTAGTAAAAATGGTCCAGAAAGTGACGAGTCTGTAGCTATCCCCTATCTATCAATTAGACTCATCATTCCCTTATATCTTCGAAGAAAAGCTTAAGCTTCGGGTCTCACGACACTTCTTCTTTTGTTAAGTACTTAGATTTCTCGGAGCTTGTACCGACAATACCAGGAAGGGTAGGAAATGCCGACCCAGATTCCACTGAACAAGAAGTGGATCACACGACAAACAGCACGACGAGAACCCAACAACTTAAGTCTCAGATTGTAAGAGCAATCGCAATTTTATAGATTCCCGTTAAACGTGTGATCCAACTTGGACATGTCAACACTAGACTGATATGTTGAGCAAACACGTCTGTAGCGCATAATTTATTTGTTACTATCAAACACTTGCCAAAAAAAGTCGTGAATGAATGCAGGCGCTACGTTTTTTTTTTTTTTTTTAACCTTAATTTTCCATCAGTGACAAATACATTACTTGAACAAAGCGAGGTTCATAAATCCAAGAGAACAGTGTAAGGAGAACAGAAGAACAGAAACTAGAATAGTCCGGAAAAAGCCATTTAATCAGAGAACGACTATGAAGAAGTGGAAAAAAGGAATATAAGAAAGTCGAAAAACTAAGGATAATGGAGAAAACAAACATAGGGAAGATTGGTGATGGAATGAAAGGAAAAAGGCAAACAATAGAAACTTCTGAATTTGAAATTATACCTAATGAGACAGTGCGACGGCTTCTATATAAGATGCCAAGTAAAAATCCAAGAGGTTTTGTAAGCCGCATTTCCGTAAAACCATAATACACAGATATTGAGATTTGCGGCTCAGCGAGTGGAATTAAAAACAAAAATCAAATAAAATGACCATAAAAAATGTTTTCAGAAAAAATTCACATTTTAGCGGAAATCTTAGTGACCTTTTTTAATTTGATTCACAAAGAATAAACATTGCTACAGTATATCTGCCAAATATTATTACAAGATTCTCCCCAATACGATATTTAACAGAAAACCCACTTTGCCTAGACCGAACAAACCAATCATTTATATAAGAGGTAATCAAGCAGTGAAGAAATCATAACCAGGCCGTTAACTCAAGGAATAAACGATCCTCTATTTTACTGGTGCGATTAACATGCCTAACTCAACATTGAACAATGAAAAACAATGAAATAAAATTATAAAATAATGATTTATAAAACACAAAATGCCGTATTATTAAAGGAACTATTTGACAAGAGCCGGGGATGGTAAACGGCTCACGGCATTAACAGCATAAAACATAACCAAACAACCTGAAAAAAAAAAAGGAACTCATTAAAAAAATGCTGAAGGAATATGAATAAAGCATAAGCATATAATAAAACGCACGAAAGCATCAAGTTAAGACTTTTCGTTATAGACCTAGACAACGAAAAATTTTTAAACCAATGAACTTTTACAGTAAATCTTAGATATATCAACTGACTGAACTACTCAAGTTCTTTAAAACATGATTTGAAAAAGAAAAGTTAAGAAAAAAAGAATCTCAGAAAACCACTCACCTGAACAAGGAAGCATCCAGCCCGGAAGATTGGTTTCTGCTTCCATACTGTTCATATCTGTTAAAATGTGCTGCACTGAGGCGATCAAGAAGGCTACATAAGATAAAGGCTTTACACCTTCAAAAATATAATTAGATGAATCTTTCTTAAAATTACAGTTTTTCACTTTTTTTACTATTATAATCGCCCTCAGCGGTTCAGCTTTTTTACGGAAAGATTGAGGGCAAAAAATTTCTCATCTTACATTTTTAAAAAAGAAATTTGACAATAATAGCACCCGAAGTTATCAAATATAATAAACTAATGTGTATAATTAAAACACGATAATGAACAAGGTGATTAACAGAAATTAAACGAGTAAAAACTGTGGAATCAAAAAACAAAATATTAGACAGACTAAAAATCAAAAAAAAAGTTAAAAACAAAACTATATGCACATACAACCGGCTTTTACGCTCAAGACGAGTAACGCGCAATGACTGAAATATGAACCTGAAAAAAAAAAAAAAAAAAATACTCGTTTATTACCGAGATATATTAACTGCCAAATATTATTAAAATTTGTAATCAACTTCAAATTAAAAACTATTATAAAGAATGATTTTTTTTGTAAAATTTATAATAAAGGATAGATAGAACTATTCAGATACAAACAACAAAAAACACTACCCTAAATGCATGAGTGGATCAGAAAAAGCTTCTGATGCTATAAATTAATTCCCTGCTTTAAGCTTAACTTTTTAAGTTTATTTTTAATATGCTTTCAGTTCAGAAAAAAAAAACTGGCTAATTGCATTAAAATAAATGAATTAAATGAAAGACTCACATATAGCAATGATAAGATAAATCAAAACAACGCAATAAATCGAAAGTAAAGAGATCAAATAAAAACGAGAAAAACGCAGCACCTTCACAAAACCTGGAATAGAAAATAATTTACAAATATAGCTCAACATCAGAAACTGTTTGTTAAGAAAGAAATAATTAACAACATTACTATATTTCGCAATTATCTTCCTTTTCAATTGGATGCATAATCGAACTTGAGGTTATTTTGTTAACCGGTTGGTGTATTTCTCTGCTGCACGAAATTGCTGGCTCATTTCTTTTTTTCTTTGTATTTTTTCATTACAGCTTTTTTACTTTATCTTATAAAGCCAAATAAGATCTAAATTATGATTTTGCGGAAATATTTCTACTCACCGCTTAAGCAGCCGTCTCCTTGGAAGATCCAACCATTTCGCTACCATTTTCATCAACGATTTGATACTCAGCAACATAAAGTTTCGGATCCACCGACTGAAAACGGCAACAGTGCTTAATTTGCACCCGTTGAGAAAACGAATTTCTGTATAATAATGAATTTAAGATAACCTTGGACATTTCTTCGTAAAAACGGAGAAAGAGATTTTGGAAAAGACTTCAAGAAAACAATAAGGAATGAACCTTTGGAATTGGAGCAATGCGAGTCCTCAGCTCAGCTTCAATACGTCGAAGAGTGAAGCGATCCTCATAAGTGATAAGATTGATCGCAATACCAAGATGTCCGAAACGACCCGAACTGAAAATATTATTATCATTCAGCAACATTATTATATATTATCATGAAACAGACTTTTTATAGTATACATTGACAAATTAAAAATATTTAGTCTAGCAATAAACTAACCCTATCGTTTCATTTCATTCTCTAAAGCATAAATGAGCTGAAATGATACTCTAGAATCGCAAAAGGACCAATTCTAATTGAAAACATTACACTTGTGACAGAACATTAGTAAGATATGGTATCAAAATCCTTATATAAAACAAAAATTTCAAGAAATAGAGTAAAAAATACCGGCCAATACGATGTAAATATGTTTCGGCGTTGCGGGGAAAATCAAAATTGATGACTACATTCACTGCTTGAATATCGATACCTCTAGTAAGCAAATCAGAGCAGACCAAATTACGACAAGCTCCTTTACGAAAATCATGAAAAACCCGATTACGATGACCCTGTGCCATGCGTGAATGAATGTAATAGCAGGAATAGCCTATTTCTGTGATTTTCTTTGCCAAAAGCTCCACACGTTGTGTTGAATTACAAAAAATTATGGACTGGTTGATTTGAAGCTGAAAAGAAATCAAAGATACTCAACTATGGCTGATCATATGATCATATAATTGATAAAATAGCAACAGTTTAACAAGGTGAATTCGGAAAATGTACAAATTTCAACCAAGTAAATTTCTGTACTGTGACATCACTAAAGTTCTAAGTCTGGTTTAGAACATATGAAAATGCAACAAACCTTACGGAACAACGTGTTCAAACAGTGAACTTTCTGCTTCTCTTGCACGTAAGCGTAATACTGCGTAACACCAACCAGTGTCAATTCTTCCATCAGATTAATTTCGTACGGATTCCTCATGTGCTTCTGCATGAATGTTGCCACTGTCAGAGGGAATGTTGCCGAATAAAGCATAATCTGACGATCAGGTGGTAGAAATTTGATGACACGATCTAAAATGCCTTGGAAATCCTGAGAAAGAAGTTTATCAGCTTCATCCAATACCAGTGTTGTGCAGTGCGACATATCAGCAACATTCTGAAAAAAGAACTGATATAAATGCTACTTCCCAATCGTAAAAAAAAAAAAAAAAAAAAAAAAAAATTTCTGACTTACTGGATAATAATTAAAATGGTGAATGTCAAATTTCAGTTCCAACTTAAAACCAAGTTGCCTAGAGATTGTCTCTGATAACAAAAATGTCATCAGAATTAGTAATTCGTTGTGGCAAGAATAATTTATCAACATGAGATCTTTGGTGAGACAAAGTTCCTGGATCTGTCGTATAGTGCATTGTTTCGCTAGACTTTAAAAACTTTTTAAAACAAGTTTTTTTTTTTTTTCTAAAAACTTTTCCGAAATCTGTTCTTTTGGTCGGAAAACTTATGAAGTCATACCTTATCCATAAGATCAAGAATACGGCCAGGAGTTGCTACAATGATGTGAACGGTACCATTCAGACGCATGATATCATTACGAAGTTCCGTGCCTCCCGTAGTAACCATTACCTAAAGTAAATGTTCATGATTCGTATGCGAAAAACACCAACATGAATATAGATTGTATTGAACTTCTAAAGGGCAAGTCTTTTGATTGAGAAAAATAACCAAGGGTTGAGTCATTATGTAGAATATCCAGTTATTCAATATTGTCTTCATTTGAAGATGTTGTAAGTATACGACATGTTAAGCATAAATATCCAGATCATCAGAAAAGACCCAAATGCAAAGCATTCTACAAGGTCTATCAAACCAATTAATCTCAGTACCAACGGCTACTATCAAAAATTAATAACTACTTTTTAAAAACAAAACCACTGGAATTTTGCAAACAAATGAACAAAATTAATTTCCCGTTTCACATTTCTTTTTCGCAGCTTACTGTAATGGTTATAACATTACTAGAGTAACACAAAGCATTCTACAAATCATTCTGCCACTCAGCAATATCCCACACTTATAGTTTCTGGAATGTCTCCCATTCGCTTCATTTTACAGTCAACAATTATTTAATCAAAATATGACCTTTAGATTCAAGTGTTTGCTCAAGTCGACACAAATATTAGAGGTTTGGAATGCTAGCTCCCTGGTCGGCACAATGATCAATGATTGTGGGTATTTTTTTTCAACATCGATTTTGTCAATGCAAGGGATACAATAGGCACCTGTTTTACCTGTACCGTTCTTTGCACGCGCCAAGATATCCTGACCTGAAAATTTTTCTGAGCTTTTCAAAACCACAAGACGCAATACTATCACAAAAGATCGAGTAGGAATTCCCTTTAATTATTTCTTCCACTGCTGATTTTCTTAGATTTCCCAGCAAACAGGATTTTCTACAAATCCTTAACTGCCATTACTAACTGAAAAAAAAATTCACACATCGAACAGCAAGTTACCTGATAATGCAATTGAAATGGATGCTTCCTGTATTGGACTTGGCTTTTCCCAACCTTTCTCAAAAATTCCCATCAACAATGGTCGCTTCAAGCAAAAATCCTCAAATTCAATACCTTTTGTATCCGTCACATCCTAAAAACCATTTAAGAATTATAGTGAATTTATATAAAACTACTACTGAAGTGGTCCAACAGTGAAAACATGCTAACCGTTGTCTTGAAACGTAAATCTTTGGCTGGTAGGTTAAGATTCTCCTTCCAGGACTGATCACTCTGTGACTCGGTTTTGTTGGTCATTTGTGAAATAATAATGCTGTTTTATTAAAATCAATAGCAGCTGAACAGAATCTAAAATTAACTTCGCGCTTTAGTATTCTGTAAAACTCACATTAAAAATTTACAACGAAGGATCGAATTACCGAATACCTCCATAAACTTCCGACTTTGTACATACCCTTGATTTGACTCAAAATAATATTGGGTAATATTATTTTAATAATATATAGTAATATTATTTTAATAATAATATTGTGCTATCCTTAACTGACATTGTTGCCCTTCAGGAAAAGTAGGGATCAAATATAAGCCTTCATATATGACCACTGGCATAACATAATTTCAAAATATCTACAAAGGCATATTTCGTTTACTTATCAGCTATTACTTGTTGCACTACTACTTTCTATGCCCACTAAGCCAATATCAAAAGACCCGAAAACTAAGCCGGAAAAAAAATCCCGTCCAGTTTTACTGCGCACAAAATTCTCAATAGATTTATATAAAGAAGGAAATTTCTGTAATCACATTACATTGCAAAATAGCATAAAATAGGCTATGTATACAACTCGCATTCAGCATTTCATATGTAAATTGTCTCGAACTTAAACACTCAAATCATGTTATGTTACATTGAAAGCTACATTATTTCACACTCAAATATCGTTTGAAGTCACTGCAAAAACGTGACATGCCTTTTAATCTGAACTGAAGATAGAGATTTGAGACCCCGGCAAACAGGTCCGTAAACATTGTCAGAGGTTTAAGGAAGCAACACAATGTCACTTTCAAGCATGACTTCGAGGAATGCTCCCGTAGATCTGCCGCCAACATCCCTGACCCATATAGCCTAAATGATCTATTCAATGAACTGGGTTTAGTTATATATCGTCTTGAAACAAGAAAAAATCCTATATCTTTATTGTTGAGTCTACATCCATAAGAATGTTGTGTTAGCTCAGAAATACACATAATATGTTTCCATATATGTTTCGGAATTATATATCAGCAGACTTTGAACGACTATGACAAAGGTGCTTTTTTGACAAGCGTTTTTATGCCACATGTGAATAAGTGCCGTATGTATAATATGTCAATTTCAAGCAATTTTAAAATCATCTGCTTCATCAAACAGATTTGTATGCTCACATCAGTTATAATATTATCCTATAAACATCCAAACTGCATCTTAATAAACACAGTGAGAGTAACAGAATGTATAACATATGTATCAGTCTAATGCAATACGCCAAACAGTTCGAGACTGAGTAACAAAATATGAATTTTATAAAGAAAAAAGGAAGAAAAAAATTTTTGCACTAAAACGTGAATAACTGCAAATCTTGAATGAGGAAATTTCTGGGAAAAAATCTGAGTAAGCATAATTAATTCTACGAATACGTTATTAAAAAATCACTTCATTTACATCTATACCTAAAAATAGATGTAAGTCTAAGTCTCATGGATATATTTTCTTCCATGTGTTAAAATGCACGCATGCATACATTCATGCAACATATTGCATAATTTGTTGTTAGCAGACTGCCATCGTTACCATTAAACATTGTTGCAGTTTATCTTGGAAATACTTTGCAAGTTTCACGAACGCATAATTTTACCCATACGTCGCACGTCGCAACTCACAGTCAGATGAGCGTACTATCACGTTCCACCCTATACTGCACGTCACCTTCATCAAGACAACGGCAAACCTCATCAACAGACCCAAATCCTGTTTAGAAGAAGAAAAAAACACCCCTCCACGATCACTACCCGACTAAATGACCACACAAAGGATGAACGACCCACGTAAGAAAAGACAATGAACCAACAGAACGTGCAATCGTGTTTAGAAACTATGTTTAACGCGACGGGCCACATTAATGGCCATACCTCTGTATGCAATTCAATGGTGCTGGATGGATCTTTGTTGAGGACATTAGTTCTTAACTTGTACTACTAGTGAAGTATGCTGTACTTCATTTCCAGTATTTTCTTTTCTTCCATTTCTCTTCCTCTTTTCCTTTAACTCTTAAAAATTATAATAAGTGACGTGTCTCTTATTGGCAAGTCCTTAGTACTAACCAAAAACTCCCACAATTAAAGTATATGTTAAGAGTTTTTTTCGAGTTCTTAGATTAATAAAATAATTTTAAATTGTCTCCTGGTCGTTGACATTTTATCTTATCATATTTTCAATTTTAGATTTTTGGGAGATTTCGTCTACTTGAAAGTACTTGAAATGAAATTCATTTAAACTGACCAAAAATGTAATTAAAACTTGGAATTTAACTTTGGAAGCTTTCAATTCATTTCCTTTTTCATATCTTCTTTTCTGAGAAATCAAGAAATGGGAATTCTTTTTCGCACATTGACAAACAAAAAACTTTTAAATTGATAATTACTTTTTAGACTTTAAAGTAATTGCTTTTCAAACAAAAATCCTCCCATGGGTATTTCTTCACTTCACATCCCGTTTTTCACTTAGTATTTTTCATGAAACATTTTTCTCGAATGTGATTAGCAAAAATACCAGAAATACCATTTCTCTTGTGAAATTTGAATGGGTGCGTTTTCCGGATTTACCGATTGCACTCATTCCAAACCATGTCAGTCCTTTACTCTTATCCTTATATATATATATATATATATATATATATTAGTTATTTATATACTTTATTTATTGTTCCTTACTTATTGACAATATTGAAGGAAGTTTTAGTATTCAATGATCTCCTTTTCAGTTTTGTTTTGACCACTTTTAAGCAACAGAATTATAACAATGAAATCCTTATTATATTCCATAAAGATGTAGAAAACTTAATTCATACCTCTTGCTTGTTCTCTCAAAAAAATAACTTTCGAAACTTCTTGAATTAAATATGAAATTTTGAATTAATTTCAGTCATCCATAGTATGTCAGTTAACTCTCATATAAACTCATAGCATTTCTACACTTTCATTGACTATTTTTTGCCTCAAACTTCCTAAAATAGTGCACATTTTGCTGCACTACTTTATTGGTCCTTACTTTAAAACACTACTTTATTGGTTATTAAAGTAATTTGTCCGAAAAATTATTTCAGATAACTTATAAAGTACAAGCTATAAAATAAATCCTAGAGAAAATAATAATAATAAATAATAAAATAGTATTCTTTCCTTGATTAATTAAAATACCAAAAATATGCTAATTACAAATTCTAAGATAAACGATTTGTACTAATTTGTTTCCCATTAATACTCTTTCTTTATCTAATTTTAGCTCTTTATTCATTACCCATAACAAGCAGAAGCATTTAATAATAATGTTAGCTGCTTCCATATTATAACAATGAAATCCTTATTATTCAAAAATGGAGAAGTATTGTCATTATAGCTTTAGTTTCAGTTTTAATTTTAATTCGTTAGATTATAATTTCTCAAGTTTTTGGTGGTTTGCTTTTATATTTAGATTTTCTCGAATAGTCATTAGTTAGTTTTTGAAATCGATGAATTGTCTTGAAATTTAATTAGAACTGAGATATTTAAAAATTATGCTAACCTCAAGTGCAAATGAAAAAAAAAAGTGATGTTGAAAGTAGAAAATTTATACTTTAAAGATCTTTCTTCTTTTTTTTTCTTTACACTAATTAATTTGAACCAATTTATTAGTCTTTGATCCTTACATTTTCTAGTAAATAAGAATATATAATTTATTTAATTTGAATTTCAGTTTAAATATAACGAGAAAATCTTACTTTTAAAACCTTTGAACTTTAGGAAATGTAGAAGACTCTAAAAAATAACAAACTCTGAACTTTGAGAACTGTAGAAGATTCTAGATAAATAAAAGAAAAAAAAAAGGGAAAAAAAGGAGGAAGCGAAAGAAACAGAGTAGGAAAGATGATGGGAAATCAGATGAAGGATACAGTGAAATAAATGCACTTTCAACAATTTCAACTTAATTTCTTTCCTAGACATATACCATCGGTTGATTATTATATTAATAAGATTAACATGCAGTCTTTTTGCTGTTTAGGTGATCAATGCGCTTGGTAAGGCGTTTGTTGCAACAATTTCGAGGTCATATGGTTGTGGAAAAATTAAAGTATTATGAACGTTTTCGACCACATCCGATATCATTGAAAATGTATTTGGGTTTTGGACAGGAGGGAACTGTGGAAATATCATTCAAATTCTTACAAAAAGAACTTCTTGTTCGTTTAGCTAATATTTCAAAGGTAAAATTAGCGTTTGCTTTTTCTTATGATGCTACTTATAGTGAGATAAAATGACAATTTCATTGAGTAAAATTGTTGAATGAATTCAAATGTGCAACCATTTTGGCATATCACAAAAAAATAATAATTTCCATCATATGAAAGAAAGTATGGAATGAATCCAATACCATGATTTATGTGATGTTAAGGAATGTAATCCGATATATAGATGTATAATCGAAAAAAAAAGAAAAAACGACAAATATTTATCTGGATCGTAATATTGATAAATTAGTCCTTAGGCATAGAATATAACTATTAATTTCTTAAATGTATTTCAACTACCAATGAAAATGTGAGCATTTTTTTTTTAGGAAATTGATTCATTACTTCAAAATTTACCTCAGTTATCTTCTACTACCGATGTATGTAAATTATTTTACCAAAGTTTCGAAGATTTGTTGCCGTTTGAAAATGCTGAGCCAACGGATGATAACATCAGTTCGTAAGTTCATTTCTTCATTTCACTGTGTCGTTTCAAAGTTATCGTTTAGAAATTGTGATCAAAGTCCTGCAACTTAATGATTTGCTAATGTTATTTGAGCCTTTTTCTAAAACTGAAACTTGCGGCGAGTCAATTATTTAATTCATAGGTTTATAGATTTAATGAGAAATTGGAAACAGTGATGATGCGACACGAAAATACCATCGAAGAGATGGCCGAAGGTATTGTTCAGTTACGACAGAAGTATGGCATAAATATAACATCAAATAATAAAATCCAATATTTTTTGGATCGATTTTATTTTAATACGATATCTATACGAATTTTGCAGCATCAGCATTGTTAGTTATATTTCTTTCAATTTTGGATAATTTAGTAAAATCATGCTAATATTTAATTTGCAATGCATGTGCTATAGCATGCATATTAATTTATAGTTATTAAAATTTCCCGTAATTTATTAATTTCTGGTAGAATTATTTTTTATTATACATGTCTGTTTATTTATGCATTTGTTCATTCTAATTTCTTTGTTTGCTTATTCATTCATTAACTCATTATTTATTTGTTTATTAATCATATCGTTCATCATTATTCTCATAGATCTTTTTGTTAAAGTGCAAATAGTAGTTCTGTTACTTTTCTCGGACATTTTCCAAAATTTTAATTTATATGATATGTAGAAGTTGTCTGAATTAAATGTACTAGAGTTAGACAATTGAATTACTATCAGAAAAACTGAAGGGATGAAAATTTCTAATCTTAAGAAAATTATTGTTTTGATTTCAGTGATAATTTTTGGAACATTACTTCCTGCGAGTCCTCGACATATAGGTTGCATTGATCCAGCATGTGATGTTGCTGCAGTTATCGTAGACGCCTATGATAGTGCCCGATTTGTGTGCGATGGGTAAGTAGTAATATGAAATTTCAGTTTTTGCTTTTTCTTAAAAAAATAAATACTTTTATAATTTACTTATTGTGTTAAAATTATTTATTAAAAATTTTAAATTATTTATTATGTAACATTTCATATTTGTTGCCATAATTCACGTGACTATAAACTTATGTTTTTTTAAGGTGTTATTGTGATTCGCCTAAACTACAATTCGATTCTTATAATTCAGTTGCACCTGGACATTCAATAGCTATCGCAGCTATACCATCTCATTTATATCATATCATGTTTGAATTATTCAAAGTATTGATAGATTTCTTCAAATAACTTTTTAATTGCAAATTTTTGTCAGGTTTTAATGAAACTTTTCAATGAAAAATTTTGCGAATTCTAGAACTCGATGCGTGCCACTGTTGATCATTACGGTGAATTCGAAAAACTTCCTCCTATTCAAGTATTGGCAACATTGGGTGAAGAAGATTTGACTGTTAGGGTAATTAAATGATCAGTGTTAAGCTTTTTTTTATTGGAAAAATATCAGAACTGAAATATTTTCCAAATAAGCTATATCAACTAGAAAAAAAAAAAAAAAACATGTGAATAATTTAAATTTGTAAAATATTATCATTTTTGAGAGATGTAATGTTAAAATCTTGGTTATTTGGAGCTCCATGGAAAAAATAATTTTGAATTCCAGATAAGTGACAGTGGTGGTGGCATTCCGCGAAGAAAGATGAATCAGTTGTTCCAGTACAGCTACACTACTGCACCACCACCAGCAAGTGGCGGTCATAATGCAGCATTAGTAAAGTTTTGTGAATGAAAGTCGTAAGGCTTCCATATCAAACTCCCCACTAATTTGGCATTTCAATGCAGTAATGTTTGTTTTTTAATTTCTAATTTCACTACTTTAGTTTAGACTCGACTGTTTTAGGCGGGATATGGTTATGGTCTTCCTCTGTCTCGGCTATACGCTCGCTATTTTCACGGAGATTTAATGGTCACTTCGATGGAAGGCTACGGAACCGATACATTTCTATACATTAAAGTAGGCATATGTTTATCTCATCGATGTTAATAAAACCCTAAACTGAATAAGCGGGCTTCCTTGGACTAAATATAGTCCTTACAGTAAATGATAATCATTTATAGTTTTCTGAATTTGTCGTATTCAATTGCACAATTTCAGGCAGTACCATTTAAAGCCAGCGAAACGATTCCAAGGTACAGTACATCATCACGAAACAATTCCTCCCCGTCGCCGACTGTTTCTCAGCCATCAGGTTGAAAATTAATCTGAATCCGTATCCGATGTGACAGAAAATAATAATTTTCTGATGTATTTGATAGTTATGAAACAAGCAACACGAAATAAACTTAAATTATAAATTATCCTTTTTTTTTGTATTGTATACTTATATACAAAATGATGAAATGTTGGTGTATAAATGATATTAGAGTTGTAATTAATTTATATGTCCGTTGTATGGAGTTTCCTTATTTAGTGTAACAAATTAATTAGAATATGTATAATCTATTAAGAAGGATAAAAATTTTCAAAAAATAAAGATTTCCCGGAGATATTTTGAAACATCTATATATTTGAAGCGTATATTTTAACGGTATGTAATATCTGCAAACATCTGCACGAACTTTATGTTTATAATGTAAGAATATAGCTGGTTCAAATTTCATTTTTTTCGGTATTTAGTTGATAAATATTCCTCCATATCCGCATTACTCAAATTTAATTTGATCTTTGATGATCTAATTAACATGACAGTTCCCACTGATACATTGTGGCAATAATCATACGGAACTTAAATCAGCAATGATAGCAACATAAAAATCGATAGCAACTGGCACGGGCAGATATTTCTTTTTTTTAAACTTTCTTTTACCATTAGAAATTCCGTAGTTTTTATCTATTTTTAAAACTGTTTTCTACTTTTCAGATGATTTTTTCTGCTATGAAGGGTATGAGTACTTTTTCTTTTATTTTTTTATTGCACTCATCATTCGGCATTAATTGCTTAAATCTTTAACATTGGTACACTTAGTGGCTTGCTAATATTAAAAAAAAAAATTTTCTTTAAAGATGTTAGCATATTAGAATTACGACATTATAATGTATTCTCCAACAAGAAACATGCTTAAATTTTAAAAAGAAATTACAATTGACCGGTTAACACATTAAAAAAATGGATTTGTTTATATGTCGTATATAAAATCTGACAACATTTGATAATTATTTCTAAGGAATGGGAAATTTCAATGAAAATTTCGAAGTCCGATAATATACATAATGCATTTAAATTACAAAAAATAAATGTGAAAGGCGAAGGGATTACTTAAAATGGAGTTAGTTAGAACTTATAATACTGAAATTTGAAAGAGAAAACAAAAAGTGGGAAAAAAACCTTAGAAATTAGTGCAAACTGATTGAATAATTGTATATATATGATAGAATCAAATCAATCTAATTATAATAGTGCAAAATTAAACATGAATAATTCGTGTCAGAAAAAATGAATAATCAAAAAAAGGGATAGATAAACATAAATATAGAAATATTTGAAATTTTCTAAAACTAAAACATCATAGTTTGTTTCATCTTTTTTCATTATTGAACTATCATTTATGCTCTCCCAATCAGAAAAAAGAAGATAAGGAAATAAGAAAAAAAAAAAGGAATCTAAAAATAATTCTTATAAATCATCAATAGCAGGTTATAGTTAGATGTTTTTTTCTACCTTTTTACAAACACAATCATTTTTTTTATGTCACCAAATAATGAGTGCGTGGATGCACGCATACGTACGTAAATGTACGAATTATTTTTGGCGCAAAGCAAAAAAAAGGCAATTTTTTAAAAATGAAGTATTTATATGTGCAAACAAAAATAATGTTTGAAAAAAAAAAAAAAAAAGGAAACAAGAAGCAAATATAAAATGACCGAAAATCTATTGAAAAAATAACTGCTAACAAATAATTTAGCAAACAATTAAATGTATCAGACAGATTTGGTGGCAATCAAATCAAGAAAATTTTTTGAAAATCTTGACTGATCGATAATTAAAGGTAAATTCAGTTAATCGCTGAAGAGTTTAGCAATAAGGGAAGTAAAAAATTTTAATGAAAAACTATCAACATTTAACAAATAATCGTCAGAACATTTATAACCATATATCTTCAATGTGTCATCTCATTTTAAATTGGAATTGCTCTTAAATAAACAGAAATTTTATATCATAAATGAAATGAGGGAGTCAAGAAGAATATTGCTAGGAAATAAACTGATAGTACAATTTGACTTCTACAATCACTGGTGTTCATTGTAAAACTGAAAGTAAAATTGTCTACTAAGACGAGATCAAACATATTTATTTCATCTATCCTTCATGTATCTTTTTCATTTGAATTTCTAGAAAATGAATTGCGCATGTGGAAGGAAAAGAAAAAATAAAAAATTAATGCCGAAAAATTCAAAACAAATATATTTGTAAATTAGAGATGAAAAAAAATTTCTAATTCTCGAATTTTTCAAGCCATTTGTTGAAATCCTTGCTAAATTCATTTCATTTTAATTTTTGAAGAACTACACGCAAGAAATATTTTACAAATCGTTTCTCTAATACAACTGATATTCCTCCTCCTTTTTTTTTTTTTGAAAAGAAAAAGGATAGATGAATCCATTTTTGTTGTAATACAATAAAAACGAAAACCTGAACACTTAAACCAGGGAAAGATTTTTAAATTTTAATGAATTAAATTTTTTTAAGACGATTATTCAATGCAGATATAAGGGAAAAAAGGATAAAGACTGGAACGCCAATCAATAATTAGGTCATTTTAGTAAAAAAAAAAAGACAGTTATTGAAAAGGATATAGAAAATGTACTGAAATTTTGGGTTAATCGAAAATTTTAATTCGATTCAATGTCAAACAAAGGATAGTTTCGAATGAGTCAAACATGTGTATCATTAAAATTGTACAAAATTAAACTAATTAATATAAATTAGGTATACATATATTGTACTTATTTGACATACTTCAAGCTTATTTGCATGGCAATTGTATCCTTTGTTTGAGACGAATGAATTACAGTGAACAGCTGAACATTCATTTCTATTTCCGAAACCAAAATTTCATCGTATTAAATTTTTAAAGTTATTGTCTCAAAAAAGAAAAAAATGTACTTAAATAGCTTTACCAGACTACTTTTTTTCGAGGTAGTAATTGTTAAATGATACCGATTTTGTTTCGACCTTTCCATACATTAATTTTCCGCATGTTCTTAAAATTTTCATTTGTAATTTTTGGTTTCTCTAAAGAAATAAAGAGAATAGAAAAATTTGAGCAATGCAATATTTCCCTCAAAAAAGAGTAAATTTCTAGTTTCATTCTATTTTAACAGGTGAGTTTGCACGATATTTGGATCGAAGGGCTGCTAAAGTTCTTTTATGCCCACCTTGCTTCCACTTATTTACAAGAACCGAAAGTAATGTAGACATATTGCAGCAAGCTACTAGAAAGAATCCATATGCAAGAATCTGCACCTGCAAAATGACATTTAATTGTTGATTTAATTGTAAAAGTAAGATTTTAAGCTAGAAATGAAGCATATAGAAGCAGTTATCGTATTCACATTTCCAGCTCTTATCTTGTTTAATCATTCGATAAAATCATTAACTACATAGTAAGCCGACCACACAAGTTTATAACTAATAACACAGATTTCGGTTTATAGGAATAATCAGAGAAGAATTACCTGCCACTGACTAATACAAATTGGAGCTTTCGATAAGTAATATAATTTGTAGGAATTGTAGAATTGAAAAATATAAGTTAGAATAAGGAAGGGTATTAAGAAAGTTAATCCTTTGAACATCCAGCTGCTAAATCCCTCTGAAATAAGAAATGATACAAAAATAGAAGTAATTTAAATATCAGTAATTTATAAAATATATATAAAATTTCTCCCACCGACAGATACATCCATGCTGTATCGTTGTCCTAATGCATGCAAACGTCGTAAACAACCAGTTTGATAGCGGCATTGCAAAAGCTAAAAGGAAAAATGTTATATCTTACCAAAATATTATATTCATAAAAATCAAATCGGTCAATAATTTAACAAGAATCTACAAATTAAAAGAACAAACGAACCTGAACAAAAGCGAGAAAAAAACAAAACATAATAAACTGTGTCCGAATACTTCGATAACATTCTCCATCTCCCCATGTTACAGTTATACCAGAAAGTACACACGAAACATAATGATGCATTATCCACCAGCCTTTAATCCTAAAATTATAATAAAATTATTAAGGAAGTTTTATTCCTAAACATTTGAATATTTGTGATTAAAAATTTTAGGAAAAAATGCAAAATTTTAAAATACAATAACATGATACCTTGACCCATTAATTCGTAATATTGCTTCACGTATTGTTAAAGTACAATAAAACCATACCAATACGAAATTTATTGCTAAATCAAGAACTCTAAAATTGAAAGTGTGTAAAATTCGCGATGACATATTGAAAAATCGTTGATTTATTGGATAAATTATAATGGAGAAATCGAGATTTTGCACTAAATCATGTAATGGCTAATATAATAAAGTAATGGAATTAAACTTGGTCCGTATTGAAGAAAGAGTACTCTTTAAAATTTAACACGCCTTTCCTTTTCCTACAGTCAAAGAAAAAAGAAAAATAAACCTTGATGTAAATATATATGCGAAAAAGAGAAGAGACAGCAGGGCACAATTTACGGTAACTTTGAACTTCTCGTATTCCTTCTTATATCGATAACGATCATTTTTATTCATTAATGAAACATTTAAGTTACTACCAAGGATAATCGACAGATACAAACTAAAATTTCAGTAAATTTCTATTTCACAATCAATCATTATCATCATAAAGAAATAATTACGTTTCAGTCAATTTTTTGTTGCTAAAAAAAAATCTGTCTCAGTGATGTCTAACATTTAGAAATTATTAACTCACGGATTTCACTGCAAATTATTGAAAACTATTCTGAAATATCTAATGAATTTATCTGACTTACCCATTACTTTGTACAGGTAATTCACCCTTCATATCTTGCGATCTCCTTTCTAGTTCCGCAATACCTTCCCTCACCGTTTTCAAATATTCGACATTTTCGGATTGCTCTTTACCTTTTAAGCTAAAAATAAATCAAATTGACAAATAATTTAATCATATATCTTTCATGGAAATGACTTTAAAAAAAAGATAAAACCATATTTTTAGACCAGATTTCAATTTAATTAAACAAATGAAAACCTTCTCAGAGATTCTCTAATCTTGGATATTCGATATAGACAATGTTTCACTGACTTTTGGCATCCTTCTTGCAACTTAGACACTTCTTGTAATTTGCCCAAATAGATACGATGATGATCCTGTAAAAGTCCTGTTATATTTTTTGAAAATTTTTGACTTAAAAAAAATGTTTACGGTATTTAGATAAGTACCGTAAATAGTTTGCAAATTTCGAATTCCACTAAACTTAGTCTAATTATCAGTTAAATTATTTAATATGTAAGTGTACAAAGCGTATAAACAGACTAAGAATTTTCACTTCAAAATATTTTAGTTTGAAATATTAATTCTTTTTTGATCTATACTTGGAACATTTATCCAATCATTACCAAGCAAATTATGTCAGTAATATAATGAAAGAAGAAAATATAGAAAATTCCAAACCTCAATTTCTTCAAATTCATCTTTCAATGAACGCCATTCATCGGATATACGAACAAATGGGCTTTTCTCATCTGCCATGGCTAAAAAATTTAACATTTTGAAATTAAATTCTTTAAAGAGAAAGGTAGATAACTTATCAACTGCATAACTGAAACAAAAACTTGATCCATTTTTTATAGATTTTTCTTTTTTGAAAATATTTCACTGCTCTTCCTTTACATCACATTTTCCATAGTACTGGACAAAATAGAAAAGGTAGATATTTGCGAAATTCAAATTAAAATTACATTCTAATTGATAATTTATTATAGAACCGGAAATTTCTGAGTGAGAAAGAACGACAATAATAATCATAACAAACCTATAAAATTTCACGAATATTTTGCAGTAATATCAAAGCCAAGCCAGTTTTGTACTAACTGAACATACGATTGCTGAAATAACAAAATTGAGCGCAAACTAACAAACAGTATTGTAACTTTAAAATTTACGGCAAACATTAACATTATCATAAGCATAAAATCGAGAAATACATCACACTTTAAAGTGGGAGAATAAAAATCATAAGATTATGCAATGGAAGAAAGCAGCAAAGAGGTATCACATCATCAGAAGATAAGTGATTTTTATTTTTTTTTTTTTTAAATCAATATAATTAATAAATATTTCCTACTTTGTGTGCAGAAAAAAAAAAAACTTCAAAAGAAATAAACTCAAAAAAAAGAAATTATTACCAATAATATATAAAATTTGCAGAAATTACAAGTCTTTGCTAGGACTTGAACCTACCAAAACATCATAAAGTTGAAATTCAAGGAAGGATTTAATAGCTAATAAGAAGGATACATTTATTAATCACATTGTTACAGGATTGTTTTGTTTTAAGTTTCTTCATTTTTCATCATCTATTAGCAAAATTTCTGACTCATCTATCACGATAAACAATTTCACATAGAATTACTTCTAAATGGCAGCAAGTTACTCATAATATGTGGAGAGGGAAAGTTATGAGATTATTTGTACGTGAAGTATGACATTTATATGACAGCTATGAGATATACGTAAAAAAATATGGTAACAATCTTCGCCGTATTATTTTGGACACTCAACAAATTCATATAAGTAATAAATGAAGGAGAAATCCAAGAAATACTTCATAAAATAAAATAAAATAAATGAAAAAAATTCATAATATTTGATGTATCATTTTGATCATCATTTGGAATAATATAATACAACAAAAATACCATCACAAATAGCGCCACAAAATTGTATCATCAAAAATGGTATCATTAGGAACCAATAAAGTACCATTAAAGAAATTAGGGATGGATAAATTATCCTAGACAGTAGCATAATAATTAGTAACATATGCAATAATATCAAAATTAAACAACCGTACGGAATATTTATAGCAGCGAGAATGACCCCACAGCGGTAGTAAACGGTCGTGATTTATAATTCCTCCATGTCGGAAATTGATTATTGTCACCTCTCCTCATTAATCAATTAATCATCGATACTTCTCTTAATTAATGAGTCATTTTCTCCACTCTTTGTTTACTCACTTTCACATTGTCTTATATAGTAGTATCGGAAGCAAATATTACTTTTGAATAATAAGTAAGAATTAACAAAAATCTTTGGAATTTAAAAAACAGATGATTAAATCTAGAAATTAAGTGATGAAAGTTAGAAGTTAAATAACGATAAGAATAAGTGGTGGAATATCTCTAACATATTCTTATATTGCATTTTATAAATGGATTTTTAGATGATCGTTTTTACACGAATAATTTATTTCAATTATATTTGAAAGATGATAATGTAATGATTAGTTTTAAAAAATGAGTAAATTTCTATCAAAATTTATCATTCATAACAAAAGAGAACTTTATTTATACCAATAAATCAATAATCTGATATAAATAGAAAAAAGGAAAAACAACAAACTACACTGACAAGAAAATTGAAAATATTTATAAAAAGTTCATCCCTAACAATTAGAAAAAAAAAAAAGAAATAAAGAAACAAATAGTTCGAATGACACTGCCGCATTCTTACATTCTCTTTGCTTATAAACTATCTATTTGGCTTATCGATTATCTAAAAAGAAGCGCAAAAATTCCTTTCTTTTCTCTTATTAGGTATTAAAAAGAGAAAAATAGAAAAAAAGGAATAAAAATGACTGATTGATTGATTGACTGATAGCAAGAAAAATGTCAAACTGTTACAGACGTAACCGTTAACGAATTAAATTTAAAATCTTATATCTCATTATAAAAATTTCATTTTTGGAAAAGAATGAAATTTATGAGGGCAGAGAAACAAATAAAATAAATAGAACTATTAAAGAAATTTCTGTTACTAATTAATTAAATATCAGCAAAATGATAAGAGCAAGGAGAGAAAATTCTTGATGAATGAATTCGTTTTAACTGTAAAAGAGGGAAATAATCGAATGATAATTCATCAAAAAGCAGTTCAAAATAACAATATATCTTAACTTAAAGAGGAATAGGAAAGAGAAATTTTATCCTCGAAGATACCAAAAAAAAAGACAAAACAGGAACTGAAATTTAAATCAACACCGGTGAATCTCATAATTAGGTCAAATTTTGAAAATTATTCCCTTGTCTTTTAAAATTGATGAACGAAACAATAACAAATCCAAGAACAGCAGCTTTTTTTCCGGTTAAAATTACTGATAAAAGAAAAAAAAATCTGAAAAATGCTTTTCCTTTTCGGAAAACCCAACAAATTCGTGAAAAATTTTAGTTTTTCAAGAATTCTCGAAATTCCTCTTTATGCCGAAAGAAAAATGACTTGTACTGATTTCTAGCAAACGGAATTGGTAAGGAAGAAATTGGCAAATCAGAAAATTTTATAGAATTTCAACATGAAATATACACAAATCACATTCTAATACACTATGAAATATATATATTATGCCAAAGTAGTTATTAGATTATAATAACACGAATAATAAGTAGTAAATAAATAATAATTAGTAATGATCAAAAAAATAATAAACAAGAAAAACTATAACACCTAGCAGAGTTATCCAAAAATAATTTCAAAATTAAGAGAAAATGAGTACATAAGAATGAAAAACAACAGTTGATGGCAAGCCAGAATGATTACACTGTTTACAACTATTGAAGCAATGCTAAGATAAAAGAAAGTCGAATATCAAATTACTGCACACGGATAAATATCCCAAACACAGTTACAACCGGTTCGTAAGTCCACACCTCATAATCCGTTCCGAAGTATTTACATTTTGGCAGATATACAATTAATCACTTCAAGGAAATTTACTGCATTTCATCCTAGTCAGCAATTTCTTATGTTATTTCGAAGTTGAAAAAACTGTGCAAATGGAAAACTAGAAAAAGAAAACCAAGAAAATATTCCAAATTTTAAAGTTGACTTACTGAAGAAAGTTATTAGGGCTTCTGCACCTTATATACATAATTTTTTCAATCATATAAACAAAAAAAAAACAAAGTTTCAAATAAAATTTAACGAAACAAATCAATTTAGCTGGAATGATAGATCCAACAATAACTGAGGTTCAAATGAAAATAATACAATTTTGTCCATGAAAAAAAAAGAACAATTACAGCTGGGCATAAAGCAAGCAGAAAGAATAAAAGTTAAATGAATATCAAATGGTTCAAAATTTCAACAAAATAAGACATTTTACTTCTTTTACAGAAGAATAAATAAGGGGAAAAAAATAAAAGACAAATTAAATGAATGAGATGTGAAACTTTCATCCACCGAAAACGAATAATTGTAAGTTTGTGAGCAAAACAAAATGTCTCGAGAAAAAGAATGGGAAAACTGTTTGGTTCGTTAAAGTGCAAATTTAATTCATCAGTTGCAAATTGTTTTGAATTAAAAAAAAAAAAAGAAAAAAAAAAACATGTATTCAAAGCCAAATTCAATTCCTGAACGAAGAAACATTGTGTTAGGAAGAATAAAAGCTTAAATTTTGCAAATCTATGTTATATGAAAGCCGAAAATAGATCATAAAAAATGAAATAAAAATAAGCTTAAAAATTTATATGAACAAGTAATAATAATGCATATAAGACATATTTATTTACGTTAGTAACAATTTTTTGAAACTCTCATGTACAATTCCGATCGTCTTCCACATTGATAAATATCTTAGGCTCGATAAGAAAGGAAAGTCAAAAATGCTGTAAACATTTTTGAAGAGAACTGTGATAAAATTATTGACAGACATGTAAATTAAGCATTTCCTAAAGAAATACAATTTTGAAAATAAATGAAAATACCTTGTGAAATAAGAAATCAAGTAGTACATAAAGTTAAAGTTACATAAAGTACAGAATTTGGAAACACTTTATATTTTCTTCTACCAGAAATTTAACCCTTTAAATCAATATTTTAATAGCTAATTTTTAAAATATCAATTTGAAAAATCAACAAATTGAGATAACAAAACAGCGTACCATACTTAAAACAACCAATTCAATTCACTTAAATTATAATCTAAGTTAAAATCATCTCAAATAGCAGTTTCACGCTCGAATGTAGGTAAGAAACTCATCTTTCCAATGTGGCGTTCCGAAATTGAATTTATTTCTTTGTGTTTTTCAACAATTTCACTAGAACATGTAAAACCATCGTAACCATTAGTTGGCTGCAAAAAAAGAAAAGAACGAAACAATAATAAGTATATAAGATGAAATCAGAAAACAAAAAAAATTAAAGGATCTATTGCAAAAACATTAGCACAGGACACAACGCAAACAAACAAGCATACATCACACATACATGCACATATATATGCACACATACACACACACACATACATATAAACATAAGCAATCCAAGCTAACATATACATACATATATACACCACATAACATACACAAGTTCCAAGCTACCCAATCATTTTATATTCTTTCGTTCCCTTAAATGAGGCAAATATTATTCAAAATGTTCACATTTAATGTTTCTCTGTTATATTATAATATGTATGAAAGTACTACTTCATTATTACAATAACTTAAATATTTAAAATAATTTGGAAATAAAAT